TCATCTTTCTGATCGGTATTGGTAATTTGACCCTTGGACTGGGCATCGGCCAATGCAGCCATAGCTACACCCAGTGTGAGCATTGCCACGCCCACAATTTGGCCTTGGGAGTACTTCCTGGAGCTGAAGAGACGTCCGACAATCATAGAAGCTACTGGACCACCGGATCTTAAGATGATGTGGAGTGGGACAGAAATCTTATAGGCAAAAGCCCAATTATTCAGCATGTTAATGGTCACAAAGAACGCGGTATACGCAAACCACGAGCTTAATGGGATGATGTTCTTTTTGAAAAACAATGCCCGGGGTCCTGCTGAAAAAGATAAAAAGCTTGGAAATGTAAACAGCGCAGTCAGTAAGAACTGCGCAAATGTTATTAGAGGGCCTGTGATATTATGAAGTTAGCAAGAATAGAAGGCGTCTATGGAGGATCAGATCTAACCTGCGCGTGGCCGATCCCTAGTTTAAAAGAGTCAGTAAGTTCCTTGAATACAATAGCCCCAGCCTTTCATCTGGCATTATCGGATATTGCAACTTGACTCACTTGATAATAGTCTCTAGTGTAAAAACCTATTTCACCCGTCAGTACAGAGTCATGCTTAAGTGAGAAAATACACTCACATTAGCACAGCAACCACCAAATATTAATGAGACCATGATAATCACAGTTTTCCAACTGGAGAGAATAGTTTGTATCACTGCATTTGTAATTTCAGATGATGTTGTTTTATGTAGCTCTGTGTCTCCATGACCATGCTCATTTCCAGGCTGTTCAGAGCACGGTTTTTGTGCCTTCTCCGTTGGTTCTTCACATGGGCGCACATCATTATAAGCACGGCGATCATCAGACTTTGATCCGCGGTTTCTGGGGTTTGAAGGACCAATATCAATTCCACCAGACATTTTCTGTGTACCTGAAGAGGTCACAGATGACATCACGTATCTTGGGACCGTCGACTCTGCTAGAAGAAACCCAGCTGGACAATCAACCCAGTGCGGGTATCAGAGACAATATAACAAAGTAACGACAGTGAAATATTCAATATATGAATGAACGCGATGGCCAGAATAATTACTCGGCGGAGTGAGTTCACTGGCGCCAACCTGCAAGGGCCATGTGGTTTGTTTTGGTTTGGCTGGCCCGATTTAGCTTGATTAGTGTACTGATCAATCGCTCGTTATCAATCACTCGAAATCTGACCTGGGCTTACAAAGCTTCAGATCTGTCAATTGAATCACAATCCAATATACCAAATACCATACAAAATGTAAGTGGTCTGAGAGACTATGTATCTCAAGCACTAGATGCAATAAACTCATATGAGATGGTATGAGAAATAGCATAAATACATCAACTCTTCGGATATCTGGAAGATATATATATGCACGGAGTAGTTTGTATACCTTTCAATTACGAGGTGTTTCTACCATGAGGGATTTCTTTAGAACCTTGTTGAGATTATACATGTATTGTGATATAAATGTCAAATGCGCAAAGAATATCCAATACACCAACGCAACCCTTATGCAACTAATGAATTGCTTCACTCTGTGAAAACCATCTAAACTCCGAAGTGGGACGGACCATGGGAAATCCGGATAATACACCGTCAACACCATGAAGGGCCGACCAGGGCGCGCAAGAGGCAATCAATCATCCACAATATCATCATCACTCAAGATGAGGTTATCATCCTCAAGCGTCTCAGGTTTGGAATTCCCACGATTATTTTGGTGGTTAGAATATGCTGCTTTTGGAGGCCGCGAGACGCCGTAGCTGAGTGATTCTTCCGGCGGAGCATTGCTATCGCTGTGAGAGACCCCAGATAAAGCATGCCCCTGGGGTTCCCTTTCGCTAAAACTGGTTAATTCCTTCAGACCTCTCTGTTCTGTCTTGTCGACACAAATCTTAGCCATATATGGCAGCTGGTCGAGCAACAATTCGTTACGAGCGATCATGGTGGTAGCAAAATCCTGCATATCACCGCGGTTGCATACCGCGGATTCCCGGTCCGTTTGAGCCTTATCCGACGCAGATCTGTTCCTGAGACCAGGGCTTCGAGTTGGTTCAACGGATCTGTTGAGTAGTTTGTTTGCCCACATATCTACGAAGCTTTGAGTTTCCTCGGCAGAACGCGCACACCGCAATGCAGGCGAGAAAAACATCCTATGAGGATCTCTTTTCACTGTACCAACCCTAGTTGATAACTGCCTTTTGACTGGGTAAGGTAGGGCGAACAGTATACCCCGTGCGGCAACCTGGTAGCTAATCTCATTCTGTCGTAGAGCATCGACCCCCACGTTTGCATTCGTGCCAGCGAAATTAGAAACGTGAGGTTTCCGAGAGCCCCTACGACCGACCGACAACAGATCGCTGTCCGACAACGCCTCCATGCACCCGTCAAGGTAGTCCGTGAAAGACGGACCGTTGCAAGATAAAACGTAATTTTCATGCAGGGTACTGATAAATGTTTGGGCATCTGTCCCTGCCTCGTCTATAAGATCGTTGACAGATACCTGGGAGATCTTTGGCCTTTCGTGATGAAGCATGTAGGCCGGGGGGGTGGGCGGTTTGGGACTGTCTGTAAGGCTCGGATCTTCCCGTTTGTTATACACAACTTTCCCGACTGCGTGGAAGATGCCTAAACTTGTTTCTCTCTGAGAAATTAGTGCTAAAATGTCCCTTTCTGAAGAGGTTAGAGATACGTCTTTTGGAATTCGCGTTTTCTTCTTAGTCGCAGGCCTTGTCCAATGCACCCCATTGCTGCATCTGAGGCATAGAAACTCTAGAGAGGCAATCGCACTCCGAATATCCCCCGTTTTAGAGATATCCTGAAGGACAGCGGGTCCCGGCGTTTTCTCCCGTTTGGAAAAGCGGGCGTCTTTTTCGAGAACCAACTGCAAAGCCTTGTTCATGAATGTTGGTGCAACCTTGTTGAAATCAAGGAGAGTTGTACTAGGATGGTTAAGAATTTGTGGTCCAAGTAATCGATGGGCGGTTAAGCTTTCTGCGGTTGAATATCCGGAGTTGAGGTCGTTTTCGGAAACGATGATGATTATAGGAGGAAGAGCCGGTGTGTTGTTTATACCAAAAGAACCATGTCTTGGGACTAGTGATACCGGCATGGCAAGGTATTGTTGCAGAGCCCGCCTGAAAGCAGTCAGACTGGAAACTTCTCGAAAGAATGTTGTAGGAAATTCTTCAATGAGAATTACACGTTGTGTATCCCGCTTTCTGACAGGATTTGTAGGCGTTAAAGAATCGTGTCGGGAGTTAGAGTCACTTTGGCGCCAAATCGAAGGCCTAGCTCCATCCAAATCGAGTTCTTGGTACTGATTACCTCGTTGGAGGAATTCATCAAACTGAGTAGCAAAAGATACATATCCCTTTTTGGAAAACTCGGAAGCTGGGGGGTTCTTCCACTCGACGACCTCGAATTCCAACTTATCGGACAACAAAGACACAGTGGTTGTTTTGCCGCTTCCTGCTGGGCCTCGAAGAACAAGGAGTCTCTATATTAGATATTAGCAAAGCAGAGTAGAATGGAGGAAACGCCAGAACACGATGAGGCGAGCTAGGAGTAACATAAAACATACATTGTTGTTATTTCCAGCGAAAGCGCTATATAGCCAATTTTGTACAGTGGATACCTTCTTACTATGAACTGCCAATTCATCTAGGCTGAGAGGTGGATACTGCTGCGCCCATGGCAGTTGCTCACTTTCCAAAGAACTCGTGCTTGTATCTTGATTCTGAGAAATAGAGTCCGGCGTGATAATGAATCTTTTTGTTGAATTGGGAGGATTTTTGTGTTTTTGTTTGGAAGAGGCTGGCCGATGTGGAACTTGAGACCTTGTTTGAACCTCCGAAGGCTTTTGAATCGTGACAGGGTCATCCAAGAAATGTTGCGTAAATAGTTCGTCAAAGGAGTCGTAATCATCTTCAATCATGTCATTTTCATCACCACCCCTCTCTGGGTCTATACTCAGATTGCATGGTGTTTCGACTTTCTGCGGCGAATGTTGCCGCTTGGAATATGCGGGCTCGGAAGACGTGCGGAAGGAGGTACAAATTGACGAATCGCTTGATGGAGGACATGGTTTTGTTGAAACCCGTTCGCATTCGGGTTGAGGGTTTTCTTCTCGCCGACTTCTCTTTCCTTTGCCTTGATTGTTCGTGTCTTGTCCATTTGGGAAGCGTAAACGTTCTTGATCAACCCGTTCTCCAGAGTCAGCGTCCACCGCTTTGACGCTTGATTTCCGTTGCCTTTTCGGGGGACGAATTGTCATCTTGGCGGTCCTTCGGTAAGATTGAGAGAATTCATTGCATGAGGACAGAAGCCATTGTAAATTGAGCTTCAAGATGGAAGTCACCTGCAGTTGGTACATCAATTCGATGGTGGTGAGGTTCGTACTAATATGTATTAGTAATATTCGAGAACTTCAATCCGAGGTATTTACGGAGTACTACTACACCATAGTACGGACTGAAAGATTGTGTATAGTAGGTATGGTATCTTTTACACATGTATATACCTTCTCTAGTTCATACTTCGCTTACAATGATATGAATTTTACCTACAGTGTATTGAACTTGTCCTCTTGGGAGGCTTCTATATAAATGTCCTTGTCAATCTGTATTCTATAGTTGATGCTAGAATCCCTCGAACCAGTTTCATTGCTAGCAGATCAGTTCTCATAGACAAGAGTATGCCTATGTAGCATGTATGAAATTATGAGCATATGTTGATACCCGTGCACGTCTAATATGTTTATTTTAAATACACAGAGAATGCAAGTCAAGATATATGAAGAAGTAGCCAAATGGCTGTATTGCAGTTGTTCGACAGACTCTCACGAGGGCTTTTGGTAAGCGCTTGGGATTATTCGAAGGCACCGCCCCACAGGCGGACAGAAAATAAATATAAGTGTTAATCAAGAAAGTGAAGAAGATTAAGCATAAGTTGAGTAAACCATAGCGCGCAAAAAGAATCACACCCCTACGCACCGCCAAAGACATCATAGTAATAATCCTCGTTGAGGCCATCCCGAGAGGGTACGCTGGGTGCATCGCTTGCAAATATTGCGTCGTCGTATCGAACGTTCAATAAGCGGATTTTGAGACCGTAATTTCCGACCAAGTCGATCATGTCATTCGTTTCTGAGGTGATGGGCTGCTGATTTAGCAACATGAGCAAGCCGTCGAGCCACTCGGAGGCGACGCTAGGAGTCTCTGGGCAAAGGCTCAGAAGGACACCCTCTCCCTGGGTCGTCTTGCTATTCGTGCGAGTATGGCCGCCGCCTTTTGAAGGTTCGTTGGTAGAGGAGGTAGACTGAAAGCCATGGATTGTGATTTTAGTGGAAGACACAGGGCAAGATACACTCTTGGCAGTTGACGAAGAGTCATCCGGCGATGATGAGACATTGGAGACTACCGAGGAAACATTTGACAACTCAACTAGAGAAATAATTAGCTCTAAGAGTAGGCCAAAAAGGGACGGGGTAGGATTATACTCACGTTTTTCTGGTAAAGCATCAAGTTCCGGACTTCTCTTGTCTATTGCGTCGAAATCTCCGAAGTGTAGAACTCTTCGATTATGTGAAAGTTGGACGAATTTCCAACCGGGATCCCGAGATGAGGTCAACTCTGACTTCAGTGGGCCATCATTGCGGAACCAAGCGCCTTGTAATAAGCAGCGAACCCTCTGTTCCTTGATGAAATGGAGCGCCTCGTGATGCAACTCATCGCGCACTTGCCGTAGATGTTGACCCCAGACATCCTCATATGTGAGCTCTAGTAATTCCATCTGGAGCTCGCGAAGTCGGCTGTATTCGAAGTTGGCTAATTCTTCCTCCACGTCTTGAACGTCTTTCGTTCGCGGTGCACCTCCAACCACAGACTCCACAAGAATGCGAACTAGTTCAACAATCTTCTCGTAATCTTCCAACTCCGCCCCGGTAGCTTTCCACAAGCGGAAAAAGGCATAGAGTCCCGCAACGTGTAGCCGGGTCCAGTGCAATAATAGAGGTTTGAACACCTTGTCTAAACCGGACCTAGACTCTAGGATCAAATAACTCTTCGCATCTTCCATTTCAGACTTGTCGACTTCAAAATGTTCGTATAAGATCGATGTGACGGATAAGGAGGCGCGGGCGATGGGACAACGCTGTTGCATTGGCTTGGTTGACTGCTCTAAGAGAATCCTTTGATATTCATCTTGATGGCTTCTGGCGTAGTCCGCCAGGTCCATCATCCCTAGGAAACCCATGTCTTCGAACTGTGCCACTGGACTCTCGGTCGCGAATCCAAGTCGCCTCCATTTGTCGGAATTGTGTTTCTTTGACCGCCGCACCTCGCTGGGGCTACCGGCGGATGTTTTCCCAGAGTTTCTTTCTTGTTGGCTTGCGAGATGTATCCCTTTTAACGCCCTCCTATGCTCTGGTTTTTCTAGATCCAGACGAATCTCTCGCCACTTTCTCAGAAGAACTTTTGTAAGTGATTGGAACTCGATGAGGGGATGCGCGTGGTCCTGCAGCGCGGTTCCTTGCATGAGACAATAGACAGCTCGAATCACACCCAAATCCTGTAATTTCTGAATGAATCTGGGCCATTCTGATTCCGAATCGTTTGTGATCGAGTCGCGCATAAGGGAATTGATCAACTGAAGCGCATTGGCACAGAGCGCATGATCCGCAGAGGAGAGTCGGCTGACAAGCATCTCCAGGAATTGTGGGTATATGGCTATCGCGGGTTTCAAGGCTCGAAACCCAAAGATTCCCTTTTCCGGCGCATTGCTACCGTTGGTATAAGGGTGGGATACGACAGAGACTAGGATGGACATTGCGCCGCGCAGGATATTCACCAATGGGTGGGTTACTATAAGCTCGACAATCTAAAGAGAGCGGCGAATATATTCGTAAGTAGCTGGTTATAGAAGGGGGCTGATAAAGACCGGGTTTGGAAAGTCGCGCATTGATCTGAATACATACCCTTTCAACCACTTCTTGGTCTACAAATTCCCAACCCTTATCGACTTCGAGCAACCTGGCGAAACTTGTTAGACTATATGCTAGAGTATTACCACTGGCATGCAAGGTCAGATAACGGAGTCTGGTCAATCCCCCTTCCGCGATGAAGATATCCGCAAATGAAGGATCCCCGATGCTGCTTTGCAGTTTGAAAACTGCCATTTTTCGTACTGCATCTTCATCGCTCCCGAGTCTTTCGACTAGCTCCGAGATGTTGTTCTCCATTGCCAATTGAATGTCTTCCCGCTTGGCCGCGGGTTTCAGGAGATAAGAGTAATCCCAGGAAGTCCGAGAGCTTCGCGCGGAAAGTAGTGTATTATCAGGTGGTGTACGGACTACGGAGAAGCGCATCTCCATCTCCTCACGGGGGGCAATGGATCCACAGTAAGGGACATATAGCCCGGTTGCCAAGAAGTCACTAATCGTATAGTATGCTCAGACTCCGTGGAAGATCTCGTCAATGGTACGGAGTACACCATACCTCCACTCCGTACTATGGTCCGTATTTAGATAGCTTGAGTATTTCACGTAATGTACCACAGTAGACCCTGGGCCTGCAGTGTCCGTGGCCTGTATTGTTCCGGATAGCGGTTGGCGCTATTGATCAAAGATCAAGACATGGGAGAAGGTCCATACTTACTAGGTTAGTACACTAGCTTGGAAGTTACTATCGGAGGTCAATGATAGTATGCTCGACTTGAGCCAACTTGAGGGTGTTCATGGAATGCATTAATGTTACGTCAGCCTGGGCGAAGGGATTAAATCAGTTTATGTATAATACTATGACAATAAACAAACAGATCATCTTTGGTGAACAATTATGCTGTTAACTAACTATTATCAGTTACTTATTTGTTAACACTTGTAATCGCAAAGCTTACCAACTTTCAGGTATAGTGTTCCTAGCGCAACTTCTTGAACCCGTATTATGGAGTGGAGAGCCTGTTCCTGAATCTTCCAGGCCACCAATGACTACTTTGGAGTCCAGTCATAACAGCAACCTCGCTCCCGGAGGATCCTCTTCGAACACCGGACCCACCTCTTGTTATCTATCGTCCTGCTCTTCTCTGGGTCGATGTCAGCTTTTCTTTGTTATACACTCTTGTTTTCATCCACTTGTTTCCTCCCTTGATCCACTCTTACCTCTGAGTGAACTCAACATCAGAGAACCCAACAGCGGCTCCCTTTCAACCCATGATGCCAGGCGTCATGGCCGAACATCATATGTCGCCTTCAAGTTTCAAGAAGCGGAAGAGGAATCAAACCGATCTCATCAGTCCGGCTGACTCGTAAGTCAACGATCAATCGCCAATGCAGGCAACTTGAGCTATCTCCATTCCCCAAGCATTTCATAATGGCCCTCTCTAGATAGGCAAGGACTTATCAAACAAATCGGAAAAGAGAGAGAACAGGCTTGGGAAGGGAATGCAGAGCAAGCCACACCTCATAAGACTTGGGACAAGAACTGACTGGCCAATTCCTATAGCACAAGACTTTTCCCCTCGACCCATAATCTCAATTCTCCCTATGGCATCGGATATCGAGACCAACCCAAGGACAATGAAGGATTCCAAACCCGTCAATCATGTCTTTCGAGGAAACGCCGTCTCCTTCAACAACCTTACATACAAACCCGACCCAACGACATGTATCAACCGCATCAAACCAGCATGACACAAGCAAAGTATTTGCCACCGAATATCTGCATCTCTTCCTCCGATATATCCTCGCCCCCAGTGTCTCCGAAGACCTTGGTTTCCTATCCTCAGCTACATAACTCCTGCACCGCTGCCTCATCCCTCCGACCCTGTCACATATGCCACAGAAAGCCGACGACGAGAGAAGCTCTCAATGCGTACACCGATTGTGGCCTATGTGGCCAACGAGCATGCTATATCTGTGTCCGACAATGCGATTCGCTTGATTGTGGTGGCTCTGTTCATATCTTAGAGGGGTCTCTTCCGTTCATTGATTCTTCTGGTAGACCGGAAGATATTATGGACAGTGGATTCCAAACGAAGAGGCCAAGAACAATTTGCTCCTGTTGTGCCATGGAAGGCGTGACTGAGACAGGGATGGAAGTTGTTAAATGCCTTGAATGTGTCCAAAATCACATAATCCGCTCTTCCCAGACAAACGGACGTGAGAAGGAAGCAAGCAACCATATGTTATAACCAGGCACATCAGTTGTTAACCTTATGATAGATTAAATAATGAAATGTATATGAGTCATGTGTGAGATCTTTTTTCTATATGTGGAATTGCTGGAATTTAACCTTAGGCCTTCTACAGACCGGAACAAAACTAGTGGGAGTAAATATTTGGACTTTATCGACTAAGTTGGGAAGAGTTGTGTATGTCTGTTTAACTGCCAATGATCAACTGGGTATGGGTTCCTTGATGTAATCAAAAGGAAAATAGAACTAATATATACAAGGTTGGTAGCTTGTCGAATTTTATATTGTTTATAATGCAAAATAATGAAAAACGCAAAGATGCATTTGTAACAGTCCATTATTCTTCTAGGCCCTATCACCGACCAAATCTCATTTGAGCGCCGGCGTAATGCCATAACCCTCTGATAAATCCCTGATACTCTACGGCTTCTCCACACCCGGAAATATTGCTAATCTTGTCACCGGTGCAGAACATCTCCGTGAGCCGAATATGCCAGGGTGGATAGCCATCTAACTTCAGAAACGACCCAAAGACCAGGAGAAGGTCGGGCTCGGGCTTTATAGATACCCCAGGAGACTCGATAGAGGATTGATCGTTGCTGTTATCATCGGAGAGTGCTGCAGCTGCTTGCGAAGGCTGCGTTGTGATTTCGCTGATTTCCGCATCGACCAGCTCCATGGTGATGTCTTCCGGGGACAGCTTCCCGTTCTGAGACATCTCTGCCAGGGTTTTGGTCAAGTCCACGAATGTCTCGCGACCATCTGTAGCAGACAGGAGAAGAACTGTAAGGGAGCCGGAGCCGGGTGCTGAGCTTTGCGTTCGTTCGCTATCCGAAGACGGGTTGTAAACAGGGTGGTGAGGGGCAAAGAGTTGCAACGCGGGCTGTCGGGAAGAATCGTAGTATGAAGACAGCTTGTTCGTGATCGTCTGGTGGAGGGGAGGGATGCAAGATTTCAGGATTCCTAAACCACTGATTAGCGACAGGTTCCATGATACAGCACAGTATCGTCCACTTACCACTCTTTTCGTACACACTCAGCACGGGGATTCCTGCGCTCATGCACCAGGCAGCAAGCTCTGCTACATCGTCCATCAATATGGCCAACGCATCATCTTCTCTTCGCATAGAAAGAACCACACTCAGGTGTTCCGGCAGCCGGTCTAGATTTTTCACATCCTTCCGGATCAACTCTGGCGTGCGGTGGTGATAGTAGATGATAGCCAGGATTCGATCCACAAGAGCATGGTATGCTTGTACGATGCGCACATATAAACCGAAGAAAATGTGGATCAAGGTATAGGTAAACTGATGTAGCTGCGACTTGAGAAAAGTCCGTATGGGTGTCTTTCTGGGCGCCTTCTTGCGCCGTTGAGTTGGTCGACGAGAAATGTCCGAGGGATCTGGTAGGTATGGCCGTAGAATTTTCTCACGTTCGGCAGCAGAGAGCTTCGTGCCGCGCGAGCGAACATCGTCCCTGAACAAATCTCGATCCCGCTGGGACACCATAACTTGACGTTTCGAGCGGTATGTACGGAATATGTGAAAAGGCGATATTTTTGGTGGAACGCAGTAGATCAAACCGGGGTTTGGTGGGTGGGAAATACAAGTGTTAACTGTGAAGTCGCTAGGTTGACATCTGTAAGCCTGGGATAGTTAGACAAGGTAACCAAGGTGGATCACTGGATAGTTAGTTAGAATTCCGTCGACCTTATCTCCTTAGAGCCTCGGTCCGCCCGCCACTCTGGTCTTAGGTAGCCATGATTACAGCGGGCTGTATGAAGTATCCCCAGGATGAAGCACATTGGATAGAATCAAGAGGAAAATTACGACACTGGATCAAATGAGTACTGGCCATCACTCTGGGGAATGGTCCATGTAATAATTCACTAATGACGTTAGATATTGCTACGTAGTCGCCCCCTGGCATCATGGCACATTGATGTAGTACATGTACTGGGTACAATCAAACAAAGCACTTATAGGAATAGAGGTAGTCTCCTAGTAATTAATGCCATTCCAAGTATCTTAAGGTACCCAACTGAACAATATGGATGAGTTGTACAGTGTAGGTACCAGATCCTCTCCGTAGTGTTACTGGCACGCCGGGAACGGGCCGGAGCTCACCTGACTTCGAGCTAACACAACTACCTTAGCTATCTAGACATGTTAACTGACCCCCCGCTCACGTCCACCTTACCTGCGTCTTTCATCAACTTCACGACCGTTGACCCGATGCATAAAATTGCAGTCAATTGATGGTCAATGCATATTTGAACCGCAGTTTCCGCGAATCCTCCTCTCATGCTGACACGGGGGTCGGCAAGCCGCAAAGATGCCGGATAATGTGTCCATGTCGGCCCAGTCGAACCCCACGTCCCGTTCCGTTTTCCCACAAGGGCCCAACTTCACTTTAGATGACTTCTCGGGTCGCGACTTCATTGTCAAAGAATTCATCGAAACGCTCTCAGATACTGCCATTTCCACCCAGCGGTCTACACTTGGACCCGCAGGTGGAAGCCAACCCTTCGACCCCAAGCCCCTCATTCGGACCTTCGAGAATGCACAGCGACGACTTGGCGAGCTTTCCGGTGACCTGGAGATCCGAGAAAATGAATTATCTGCGGCCGTACGCCGGGCGGAGGCGCAACACTCCCAGAACCTCAGTACCCTTGGCAAAAAGCTGAACCAGACCATTGAGTCCTTTCAGCAGCTGGATACGTCACTCAATGGATCGGGATTCTCTTCGAGTGAACTTGGTGGTACAACTGGTAGTATGGCCGTTGAAACAGGTCGTCGGTTGGAGGAGTTGGACCGACAGAGACGCAGAGCCCTTGATGCTCATTACTTGCTTGAATGCTGGGATGGAGTCTGCAACAGGGGCGAGATCACCCTCCTGGAGAATTTGCGGAGATCTGGAACAGGCGAAGCCAAGGTGCGCTCCGCACAGATCGCACGGCAGTTGCTCAGAATCAGCCAAAGACTTGATCCGAAGAGCTGGAACGAGTCCAGCGGAAAATCCGATGCACGGTCCGGGGGTGGGAGCGCTCCTGTGGAGGAGAACACTGAAACGGATGGACCGGTTCAACGAAATACACGAGAAATCATCGAGAAGTTCTCGGAAACATTGGAAAAAGACCTCCTGAAACAGTTCGACGAGTTTTACCGCAAGGCGAACTTTGAAGGCATGAAGGACTGTGCGACCGTGCTCCAGGACTTCAATGGGGGCGCCAGTGTGATCGCCCTGTTCGTCAATCAGCATCAGTTCTTCATTGATCGGAGCCAACTAGTAACCGAAGAAGTGGGCGGTGATCCAGAAGCCTGGGAAAAGCTGGCAGACCCTGATGCTGACCTCCTGAAAGTGGAGCCTAGCCTCCAGTCGTTGGTTGACGAAGTTAAAGTCGTGGTGCAGGAGGAGTCAGCGATCATAAAACGAGCGTTTCCCTTCTATGAACAAGTACTCGGGAAGTTTTTACAGCGCGTATTCCAGCAATCCATCCAGCAGCGACTTGAAATGGTTCTGGAAAAGGCGAATAGTGTTTCGTCTTTGGCCTTTTTACGATCGCTACAAAGCTCCCGTGGCTACATTGGCGCGTTAGTCGATGATTTGAAAGCACATGGCTTAACCGAGCATCCAGACCCGATATCCTCCCAGACGGCACTCGTCCTTGACCAACAGTTGGAGGACTTGTTTGTCCCGTACTTTGTGGGTTCTTCCTACATAGAACGGGAGAAGAAGATCCTTGAGGAATTATACACTTCTCTGCTGTTCAAGTTCACCACCTACCACGCTCGTAGGAAAAAGGCAGCCACGACTTTCATGGCATCACTGTCTAAGTCGGGAAGCGAGGTACTCTCATCTGCGCGGGACGCTTATATCAGCCGACTCGAATCTTCCGAATACTCTCCCACCCAAAGAACAATGCTCCTCCAGGTTGCTGGGCTAAATGAGTCTAGCGACCTGACAAAGCCATCGGATATAAAACTCACCGAAGAGGATGGTTTACCTAGCGTGGCTTACGCTAAGCGAATGCTCAAATGGCTTGCTGAGGGGGTTGGTAGGGGCTTAGAATTGAGCGTGAGCAGTGAAACACCGAAAGACATGCTCGCGCTGCTGAGTCTGCTCCTGTCCATGATGGGGGAGGGCTACATTGAAGTCTGCCTCGATGCCGCTCTGGATATAGCGACCTCGCAGGAGTCAGGGAAGGCGGAGCCGGACTTTGCATACCTGCCTGCGGTCCGAAGCGCTATTAGCATTGCCAATCTCATGGTCATGTGCATCAACACTCTCCTAATTCCTCTAGCGACTGCTAGTATCACCATTCGCCGAGAGATGGAGAAGAAGACCAACCTGGCAACATCGCGGATTGAAGATAAAATTAATACCATTGAACAGAAGATCATTGATGCAACACTAACCTGGGCCACCAAGTTGTTGTCAGGTCAAAGAAAAAATGATTTCCGCCTGAAGGAGGGCGATGATGCGGCTTGGTTAGAAAAATTACAAACACCGGTCAGTCCCAATTTCCATTCGTTGACATTGCAAGCGCTCTGATCTAATCTCTATCTGGCTCTTTAAGACGTGTGCTTCGCTGTGTACATTTTTAGGCCGCGTTCATAACACTGCGGTTACGGCCTTGCCATCCAGTGGCTCAAACCTGAAACAGCTGCTTACCGAGATTGCTTTGGGAACGCGCGGTCTTCTCCTTGAACACTTCAAGCGGTTTGCCGTCAACGGACCGGGTGGTCTGATGGTAACTAAAGACATGACTCAGTATACAGATCTCCTCAAGTCGTGGGACATTGATGAGCAAATCAAGGGTCCTAGTGGCGTATTGGATGTTTTGCTGGAGGTTGGCAGTCTTTTCGTTATCGGCTCTGAAGCATTGCGTGAAAGAGTCCGAGGTGGTGGTGCTGGCACTGCAAGCGGGAAAGCTGGCAGCAATGCTGGGACTAACAATGGACGCGGTCCTAGGCAGACCGAGGCTGGACTCAGTGCACAAGAGGTCCGAGCCTATGTTTCACGAAGGGAAGATTCCCACACAGCGGAGATGCAAAATGTCCTAAATACTCTGTGATTGTTTGGAGGAAGGATCTATTCTTTGGCCCCTATACTGTTAGGTACTAGGAAAGATTTTACGCTATTGTTTCTTCATGATGAATTACTATATATAACTTTGTTCCTGCCATAGATTGAATACTGATGCTTTGCTTTGAGACGAATTTATCTCCCAGCTTAGCGCCACAATGTAGGTGCCTGTCGTACTGGCGAGTTCTATGGGTAGCCAAAATTCCTCTCAACACCTACCTCGCAGTCGCAGTGGCATATCGACGACTTGTTCGTGATCAAGATAGGTCTACGGAGTATAACTTCGAGAATATAGATCGCACGTTGACATCATAGTGGAGAATGGGGTCAGGACCGGTATACCACCACGTTTGTAGGAATATCAATTGGATCTACCACCAATATTTGCTTCTCCGTCTCGTCTTCAAGAACTATATCATGCAGGGCTGACAGCTCGGCATGGGTATATATCAACTGAGCGTGGTCTTGGATAAGCCCCCAGCATGGATATAGATTGGATAATTACCAGGTTCTGTTACGATGTAACGTCTCTGCTGAACACCACACTTTACTGTAATTTATTTCTCCAGTACTTCCAGAAGTTATGAAGACTTCGATGATCTCTGCAACGTATTGCGAAAAGAATTATATCATTTATTTGCTTTTGTTCTATCTCTCTTCTTCCCCAAATTTTCCCTCTCATTCTGTTCTATTCTGTTCTACTTGATCCCATGTCATATCATGTTCATGTTTTCACCACACCCCTTCGCCGTCTGAATGCCCCTGTAATTAGGGGTCACTCCGAAATTTTCCCGTCCGATTACCTTGGTCCCAGACCGGGGTAAGCTACCCAGCTGATTGCCCCTGGTCGGCCAGCCCCATGGTTCGTTGAACGGTTAGGCTATCTCTCCTTAGTCTAATAGATGGTTTGCTCGCTGTTTCGGGCACTATCTATGCACTACTGAAATCGAACCGTCGAACTATCACTTACTATGTAATGGCGTGAATTGATGCGAGCTCTTCGAGGACATACTTTGAGCATGCTCAAGACAGTCTCAAACTGAAACAACGTCATGAAAGTCACCAAAATATGTATGAGAGCTCAAGTTGTATAGCATAATGCCTTGAATTGACATGGCTGCTGATCTCCTCTCGAATCACGAACTAACCTCGTCCCCCCTCCCCCACCCCCCGAGTGGAACTGGACTGACTATCAACTGATCAAGCCGGAGAGCAGCGGACCAGTGAAGCCAGTCAAATAGTCTGCGTGGCTCTGATCCCCTCCACCAACTCCCGCCCCCTTTTTCCCGACTCGGCACTATCCCTCATTTGTTGTGGAGTCTGTCAATCCAACGAGTCGCTTGCCACAAGCGGATTTACCCACGCGTATCTTAAAAAACCCGTTGTCCCGGGTTCTCCTGCGCCGGCTACCTTTCAACTTAGGTCGAGTCGCAATGCTTTCGTTCGCCTCCACCAAGAATCCAACAGAAGCGCTTGATTGCAACCAAGCGAGCCAACGTCTATCAAACACACCGCGACCGCTGACTCTGTTCCACCCGTGACAAGGCGCCTGATCGATTTCGGAAAACGCGACAAAGCCCGCATCATTGTTTCGAATCTGTTGGTAGAAGCCTTCTTTGTCTTTATATCGCAATTATCGAACGTCCTAATATGGACACAAGTGGTTTCATCCATGACAAATTGAAGTGGTTGGATGAGGACAGAGATCTTGACCTGACTCTGAATAAATACCATGCGCGCAGTTCCAATCCTGTTTTGGGGTCAACTCCCCAAAACAAGCAGTCTTTTCGGAGAACACTGTCCCTCAGTTCCGCCAGTATGGGTCGAAGACCGACCCTGAAGCCCCACAGGAAGCTCCCGAATTCTAGCCAGTCTGCTGGCGCACATCCGACTTTACACAACACTGTCAACGGCAACACTGATTCTCGGCCATTGTCCCCCCAAAGCCCGGCTCACCACGCACCTCGGTCCTCCACCTCCAGCATTGAACCAAATGCTCAGTACTACCGGGATCCAGAGGCTCGCCAAAAGTTGCGCGTTTCTTTATCGCCGCAGAAGTTCGACGAAGCACTCCGGTTCGGGTTTCCAGCCCCGGACAATAAAATCAATGGTCCTCGAAAGAGCTACGCTTTTGAACAAAATCGGCAGCTTCCAGATTTCGCCGCCCCATCCCTCGATGAGAAGGTGGTCTCCGGCAACACGGACGCGCAGCGGCGGACTTGGGCTTTAATGCCTGATCCTGCTTCTCCAACCCGCGAAATGACATTGAAAATGACGTTGACAAGACCCGATTTACGGTCAGAGTCACCCACTGCCGCCTCATTCCGAGACAATGATAGCTTAAAGCCTGCGAGTTTGCGCCAGGTGGATACTGCGCCCCAAGTTGGCAGTCCAGGCACGAGAGAACCTGGGTTGGTCAAGAAGATATGGCGCAAGGTTCGAAGACAATAAGGGCTGAACCCTCTATTGGGATCTCTATATATTGTTAGAGCGCCAAAGGATTATTCCAGGCTAGAGAAATGTCGTTACACGGCATCACTTGCGCCATGTGCCACGATATTATATCATAGGATGCCATTCGAAAACCCACTCTTATCTCCTCATTTTGAGAATATTTTGTGTTTGTTCCCTCGCATCGTCCTACTTTTTTGGACTCCTTCTTCTTCTTCTTCTTCTCCTCCTGATTCTTCTTCTTCTTCTTTTTTTTTTTTTTTTTGGAATACCCGAACAATTCGATATACCCTCTGGTCTCCCATACCTCTGTGCATTGTCATATAGATGTGTTTGTTATCTCATTGCTTCCATATAAATGTTCTTCAGGAAACAATTCAAGTCATTCGCAATGAAGCGGTTCAAGCCTATGCATTCCAAGCCGTCTAAATGCTATCTCGGCTTAGTTTCTACGCAAAAAGCATCGACTTCCCTTTTGCTGCCTTTTGTCTATGCTTCAGTTCTTTACATAGGGTAAGAAGGATTTGACCCAATAATTATTTTCATCCTTCGAGCGAGCCTTTGATGCAATGTACAGCGTACCATGTCGTTTCATCCGTCCAATAAGCCCACAGCCAGTCTGGGTTGTCAAACTATTTGACGTTTACTCCCTTGTATTTTTAGCACTGCGTAATATAAATAGCATTATGATCTGTAACATAAGTATCAATCATAATCATGACGCAAATAATATACTTCAATCTACCGGTAAAGTCTAGTATAAGAAAATGATTATGGCTGCCTAGTTGATACCATGTAGCGCTGATATCATTGAGCTTATCAGCACGTGATCATATCGCACCGAGGCGCCACGCAGCTAGTTACAAACATGCGCATCAGCATATTTGTCGTCAACAACTCAATCCCTTGGTATCATATCTTATACTGCGATTCGATTGCTTCCTCTGTTCCCCTTTGCAATTCACATCATTTTTCATTATCAGTCTAGTGCAACCTTTCTCCACCTGATACCCTAAAACGAGAAGGAGGCTAGCTACCAGGCAACCTTCTACCAATGTCCTGTGACCAACTGCCATGATTCCGCGATGGGCTTCCATAGTGAGCTGCCTCATACTGGCACTTTTGATGCAGATAGGCGCTGCCGCAAAATCGGAAGATCAGCTCAAAATTGAACCAAAAACGCTTAAGCTCGACGAATCACCCGCCGCGCTTTTCTATTTCGAAGGCACCGAAACAGTGCTGACCCACCTCTCCGACGGAGAACTATACCGGTCATTCGATGGAGGGAAAGAATGGGAAGTTGTCGAAACCGAGGGTGCGGCCGTGGGCCCGGTTTTGATGATTCGGCAGCATCCCTTCGACAACAAGAAAGCCTACGCCCTGTCGATAAATGGGCGCCACTGGATCACGACTGATCAGGCAAAAACGTGGAAGTCTTTTGAAGTCGCGGATACTCCGGCGTCGTACTTTTCTCCTCTAGTCTTCCACGGTTGGAATTCCAGCAAAGTCATCTTGCAGAGCGATGAATGCGCCGGCCGATATTGCATTGTGAGATCGTATTACACAACGGATGATTTCAAATCAGTGCATCTCCTTCGTGAGGGTACTGGTGGGTGTGTATGGGCCGCAGGTGATCCTCAATTCGCCGAAAATCCAGAAACACGCAAGGAGATTGAAGATCGCTCTCTTTGCGTGGTCACCGGCTTGAAGATACCCCTTCCGCATGCTTACCGTCTTGTATACTCGGATACTTATTTCAAAGATGATGGCGGTACAGAAGTGAAGCTACAAGAAGGACGAACAGTTTCGGGCGTCCAAAGTATTGTAGCAACAGAAAAATTTCTTCTTGCTGCAGCCAAGTCTAAAGGGACTGAGGAGCTTGCTTTGTACGTCACGACTGATGCCAACAGCTGGCACCGTGCAGAGTTTGACGATCACCGGATTGAAGAAGATGCATATACGGTGCTGGATGGTACCAACCACAGTCTTCAAGTGGACGTCTTGACAAGCAAAACTAGCGAGATGGGCGTTCTCTTCACATCCAACGCCAATGGCACCTACTTCACCCGTAACCTTGAGCATACAAATCGCAAAAAGACAAGAGTCGACTTTAAGCGTATTGTTGGTATTGAAGGTATCATGTTGGTAAATACTGTGAAGAACAGTGACGATGTCAGCTCCGGACGTGAAGAGAAACAGGTCGTTAGTAAAGTTACTTTTGACGATGGCCGGTCTTTCAAGTCACTGAAAGCTGGCAAGGACGACCTCCATCTCCATTCAGTGACCACTACGAAGAACATTGGACGATTATTCTCAAGCGCTACGGCACCGGGGCTAGTGGCCGGGATAGGAAATACAGGCAGCCATCTTACAGATTTTCTGGATGGCGACTTCTATATCTCAAGTGACGCAGGTGCCACTTGGAAGCTTGCCCTCGAAGGTCCCCACAAATACGAATTCGGCGATCAAGGTGCAATAGTGGTAGCGATCGAGGACGGTGATAAAGTCGACAGTATCCAATTTTCTTTCAATCACGGCAAAGATTGGAAGACGGCAAAACTTGAGCACAAGATTCGCCCTGTTACCATCACGACTGCTCCCAGTCCAGTCAGTTTAAAATTCATCGTGATTGGTGAATTAGACGGAGGCAAAACCGGGAAGCATGTTATATATACATTCGACCTCAAGGATATCCGTCAGCGGAAATGTGAAGAGAAGGATTTCGATACTAAATGGCCGGCTCGATTCAATGAAACGGGCGAATCTAATTGTGTGATGGGTCGCAGGCAATACTTCAAGCGCAGAAAGGCCGATGCTGATTGCTTTGTGGACGGAAAACCTGAAGATTTCGAGGCATTTTTTGAACCATGCAAATGTGGGATCGAAGATTTCGAGTGCGAATACAAACACGATAAGGATGGGGAGGGCTGTGTCCTTCCATCGCTATCACCTCCGGCAGGTGAATGCAAGGATCCATCTGACACATATATGGCCCCTTCGGGCTGGAGGTTAATTCCGGGCAATGCTTGCAATCGAGATGGTGGCAAGAATCTCGACGAAGAAATCCAAAAGTCGTGCAACGGGACTGAGAGTAAACCGCCATCCGGAGTTGTTGAGCCAAAGAAGAGTCGCTTCGATAAAGCCGTTGGGGCATATGTTTATCTGGAACGCCAGCCGACAAACCGAGGAGACGATGAGGCCATTGTATTGCTTACCATGGATGCCACGCTTCACATCTCAGTCGACCACGGTAAAGAGTGGCAACAGCCTGCACGCATCAAAGGGAAGAAGATTATTACAATCGCTTCGCACCCCTACAATAGTGAGGCTGCCTTCTTTCTCACATCCGGGACTGAGGGATTCTATACTGTCAACCGTGGGCAAAGCTTCGAGGTCTTTGAAGCGCCGATTCCTCCAGTCAAAGATAGCCAGATTCCCACCCTTACATTCCATCCGCAGTACCCTGATCGGCTGATCTGGATGGGAGGGGTGGACTGCCCCTCCATCAACTGCCATTCCGATGCTTATTATAGCGATAATCGTGGCCATGACTGGAAACTTCTTCTTCGCTATGCTAAGAAATGCGAGTTTGGGTCTAGAGAGAATCTTGCTGAAAGCATGAATCTCATATTTTGCGAACAGCATCGGGATGAAAACGCTGCCAACAAACAGATACGGCTCCTATCCAGCGACGACTTCTTCACGAGTCCGCCAAAGGAAGTTTTCGACCTAGTTTATGATTATGCCACCATGTCCGAGTTTATCATTGTGGCTTCTCCCGACCCGAACGACCCGAAATCTTTAGCTGCTAGCGTCAGCGTGGATGGCAAGACCTTCGCAGGGGTTAAGTTTCCCCCGAATGTCCAGGTGCCTGAACAAAAAGCGTACACTGTCCTCGACAGCTCTGGCCATGCCGTGTTCCTACACGTGACAGTGGGTAACGTCGATGGGGGTAGATACGGCTCCATAATCAAGAGCAACAGCAATGGCACTACTTATGTTCTCAGCCTTGCAGCAGTGAGTCAAAGTGATGAAGGCTACGTTGATTTTGAGAAGATACAGGGCATGGAAGGGGTGGCACTTGCAAACATTGTCAGCAATACAGACGCGGTATCAAAGGGTGCCCCGAAAGCGATTAAAACGATGATCACCCACAACGATGGAGCACAGTGGGCGTTGCTGCCCCCTCCCCTGAAAGACGCCCGAGGCAAGCCTTTTGAATGCTCTACAAAGAGTGTAGAAGAGTGTTCTCTCAATCTCCATGGTTACACAGAACGCAAAGATGAGAGGGACACGATGTCCTCAGGCTCCGCAATTGGCCTCATGATGGGCATGGGCAACGTTGGCAGTCAGCTGGCTGGCACAGAAGATGCAGACACCTTTCTTACAACCGACGGAGGATTCACATGGAAATTCGTCAAGAAAGGAAAACATATATATGAATTCGGCGACGCCGGCTCCGTCATTGTGATTGTGCCTGACTTCAACACCACCAAGGTTCTATATTATAGTACCGATGAGGGCGACAGCTGGGAAGAGTTCGCTTTCTCAGATGTGGACATGTACATTGACGACATCACCACAGTGCCTTCCGATACTTCGAAGAAATTTCTCCTCTGGGGCAGACATACGGATTCCAGCGACCTAGTCACCGTCAACATTGACTTTAGCGGACTCCGTGACAGACCGTGCTCTCTGGATGAGACCAAAGAAAATGACGATTACTATCTCTGGGAACCGAAACACCCTTTCCAGGAGGATAACTGCCTCTTTGGTCATGTTGAGCAGTACCATCGCAAGAAGACGTCAGCCCAGTGCTGGAATGGATGGAAAGAGCCACATGTCCACAGTATCGGAAACAATTGCACCTGTACCCGGGCTGATTTTGAATGGTGAGTCGCCTTTCCCTTCTGAATTAACACAATAGGCAGCAATAGTAACCTTGTCCCTCTACTAGTGATTACAACTATGAGCCTCAAAATGATGGTAGCTGTGCTCTCGTTCCCGGGCTGCCCATGCCCGATGCAATGGCTATCTGCAAGGAAGACCCGGACAGGATCGAATATTGGGAACCAACGGGTTACCGACGAATTCCGCAAACGACATGCGTGGACGGTCATCAAAAGTACGACCAAATAATTTCCAAACCATGCCCTAGCAAGGAAGAGGAGTACCGAAAGAAACACGGAATAAGCGGAGCCGGTCTATTCTTCGCAATCGTCATACCGGTTCTTGTTGCGGGCGCAGCCGGTTACTTCGTCTACACCAAATGGGATGGCAAATTCGGCCAAATTCGCCTTGGCGAGAATACCGGCGCTTCTCAAAGACTGCTGTCGCGGGATTCCTTGCTCGTCACTGTCCCAATTGCAGTCATCGCCGGCATTGTGGCCGTCGCTCGCGCCATTCCACTCCTCGTCTCCAGCCTCTGGCGCAGTGCTAGTGGATATGCGCAGGTCGGACGCGGTAGATCTCACGGTTACTCAAGGCCATACGCATCCCGAGGCTCCTTCGCAGCCCGGCGGGGCGATTATGCCAGCGTTGTCGACGACGAGGACGAGCTTCTCGGTGTGGAGGATGCCTCCATTGACGAAGATGATGAGCCGTAGCGGTATTTGTCAATTTGGCTAGTCTAACGTGACACAATACCCCCTGCGTTGTAACAAGACGATCGAGTCTGATATACCTGGTTTTCCGCTTCTCAGTTGAGACGGATATCCGGACTAGTGATTGGGCGTTTTTTTGTTGCTTGATGGAGAACATTATATAATGATGGAGATGACAGACGATTGGGAAAGCGAGTATACCTGAAGATGTAACAATTATGATGGATTTGAACGATTAGTGTTAGAATGTGCTTTATCCTTCTCCTCTTTGTCTTATCTCCTTGGACTTGTACTAAATGGAGTATATGACTGCTTGAATGTATTAAACGTAGGCTTGTAGATTTCATGGGCTTTCAACCCCAGCCAGTAGCTTCTACAGCATCAGAAGATTTACCTGTGCATATATCTCATTAATGCAACTGTAACACTTAACACAGTCGACTCTTCTTCCTACTCGACGAGCCTACAAGAATATGATACTAAGCTAGTCAAAAGAATGCAACAGATGCATGAAACTATACTGGCTAATGAAGTCCTATACTTAGACTCAAGCAACTTAGCATTCAGCATTGACTGAAAAGGAAAAGGATCCCATCCCAAAAAACCCTACGATGAGGCACTGCTCTCAAGATCATCAGGCCCAAACGAATTAGGCAATATCTATAAAAAAATCAGCATCGAGTCTAATAATTCCACAACCAATCAAAAACAACGCATAGAAACAAGATTCCGCAATGGTTGACTGATATAAGCAAGCAAACGATTCGCAGGGTCCAAATACCTCGCCCATAGTAGTAACAGTGTAGTTACCGTCCTTGTCATACATGTAGATAGGGAAAGAGGGGGTCGCAAATTCCCTCATGCTGTTTTACATGCATTAGCGTTGCCGATTTATGCGCGAGGTCCCGAAGGGATAGAAGTGCTCGGCCATATTCAAGATACGACTCGACTTGACTCGGTTCAGGTAAAACATAGATGGTACTCACTATTGCCGACACATGCCACACGGAGACGCAGGAGGCGAGATGTCAGTAGCGACGGCGATGGCTTTGAAGTTTTGGTGGCCGGCGACCTGGATGTGTTACCAGTGGACGAGTGGAAACCATTTGGGTTTATGATAAGCAGGTTTGGTTTTGATGGTGAAAACATACTACTGCAGTGCCGAATGCGACTCGCTCCGCACAGGTTCCGACTGGGAATGAGGCATTTTCGACGTTGGCGCCTTGGATGAATTCACCGGAGTGGGTGAGGAGACATGCGCCGACGCGGAATTTGGAGTAGGGGCCTGTTTATGTTTAGGAATTGATGTCAAGAATATACATGTATATATATATATATATATATATATTATATGGTACATGCAGAAATTCTGCATGATGGACCTCTCATTGGGCACTCATGACGTTTATCCTATCTTTGTTTTGTAAAACCGCACGGACTTACAGTATGCAGAGGCCTTGGCAGCGATGGCCTTGGTGGACAGAGTCTCCAGCTCTTGGGCGGAGAGGGTAGATGAGGAGGCCATAATGGTAGTGAGATAATGCAGTCAGATGAATATTGAGTGAGAGTAGTGTAGAAAGAAAGAAGAAAGAATAGATGAGAAAGAACAATTACTTGGCCAAGTCCGCTTAAGATCGGTGATATCCGCTGCGGTTGATAAGCCACAGGAAACGGCACGATCTCGGTTTAACATCTCATGTTCCCGGTCAGTATAAATTAATGTCTTCGTAGGAAACAGTAAGGCAAGTATGTTTAAGAAATGAAGTTGGGCTTCTACTATTTGAAATCTTACAACAATACATGCGAGGAAAAAAGACACCGTCGTTCTGCGTACAACTTGCGATTGTTATGCCCACGGCCATGACGTCCAAATTCATGATGCTGTATATTGATTGCACTGCAACCCCTCTCTATGGGTTTCAGATGTAGTAGAGTAGTAGATCCAAAGATTTTCAACTGCAGATCTTGAAGTGAAGGCTCAAATATATCCATCCGGTCTTTATGAATATTATCAACAAGGACAATGGTTTATTGTTCAGTCAATCATCGACACCGATCTTTGGTGTCATCTATCTATATAAATCCCCACGATTCAACCATGTCTATAGACAACTTTTATAATTCTGCGCCCAATGCCCGACTGATGTATGTGTTCAAATAGGAAAAAGAAAAGGAAATCTCGGTCTAAAAACAAAACTATAGGTATCACTCGAAAAAAGAAAAGAAACTCGAGACGGTAAAGAGAGGGTAGCAAACATGAAAAGGAGAAAAAAAAAAAGTGAAAAGAAAAAGATAGTCAGAGAGAGAGAAGGAGAAAGAAAACAGAAAGTAAAAACAAACTAGGAAAAGTGTCATCCAAAATAATTCCGTAACCCTTCATAAACTGTGAAAATGAACGCTGAGCTCGGTGCAGAGCGTGCGCAAGTGATGCCGCAACCTCGATAGAGAGCTCTGAATCCTTGCTGCTTCCATAAGGTTTTCCCGGCGTTCCAGAAAGTCAGTCGTTGGCCATTGACTGCCGCGATGTCCTCTGTTTGAATCCGGGACTTGATCGTGTCGGCAGGGTAGAACAGAAAGTTATAGCTGATACCGGCAGCCGCCCCCGCTATCATTTGCTGATGAATGGGCAGCGACGCCGAATTGGGGTCGGCAGGGCCAACCGCCGACTTTTGTTGATTGTATGTTCGGAATAATCCCGACACACCTTCGTAACCGCCAAACCAGGCGGCGCCGCCCCCGGTTTCCCGGATCAGTGTCCCGAACTGGCCCCGCCAGAACCCAAGAATACCATCCTGGCGAAAGATCGCTACCGCATGTGCCAGCGGCCCCGCTGGCGACTTTCCAGGGCTTGCCAGAGACACTTGGATCCTGCACTTGATGAGCTCGATCGGGGTCAGAGCAAGCGAAGTGATGGAACCGGAGGCGGCGCCACTCAGCAATAGAGCGGAGTAGGGTAGAGACTCGGCAGAGGAGTAATAGGTGGATTTCAAGATATCCTGAATCAGGCGATAGCTCCAGAAAAGGCAGCTATTCTCGATTGCAGCCCCCGTTAGAGGAGCACTGATGCCCCGGTAGAGGCTCTTGAAGCCATCCGCATGAACGGACTGACGAAAACAATCTAATGGTCCCGTGTATCGAAGAGGGAGGTGATCCGGCTGTGACTGAAGACGGACTTTCACCGTGTCAAAAGGGTATTCGATGACTTTGCCCGCCGACCCTGCCGCCTGCGAAGTTGTTAGCACCATCCACGTGACGTCGCGAACCGCAAAAAAGCACTTACCGAGCCGAAGACAACATCCTTGAAAGCCTCGAACCCCTGGTTGGGGGGTAATGTAGGTAGTTCTATCGACATTTCATTGTTGACGCTTGTCGCATGATCTGCAGCTGCCATGGAGGAATGAGATTGTGTGGCCAAGAGTACCAGATATCAAGTTATAAAGAATGAAAGAGCACAGCGAAGGGGTGGTTTTAACGAGTGACCATTTTATGGTGCCGCGAAAGGTTTGAGAGAGGGATTTAAAAGGAAAGTCTTGGAGGAATGAGGAGGGGGGGTGTGTTGGAATCAACGAGGGGTTTTCTGCATCGGGAGTCCGGTTCACGGACGAGTCGGACTCACCCTAAGACAGCATCGCTTGAACCAGCCCAATGGGATGATAGAAGAGATACTAGTAACTGGTAGGAAGTGAGTGGGGAAGAAAGACGGTGGGTTCTGGGCGGGGAGAGGTGGGTTGATTTCGTGGCGGTTACTGCGATAATTTCCTAGGCCAGGAACCGGTCAGAGTAGAAAGACTAAGAGTCATCAGAGGCAAACGGATCGGACTGTGACTTCTGCCGAGATCCGGTTATCTGATCGGTCTAAGATAACTTTTTCCTCAAGTCGACCAAGGGGAAAATTCTCATGGGAACTCTCCTCTCTTCTGATCTCCCTCTTTCCCACTCTCTCCCCGTTGGATTTCTTTGATTCTGACGATGTCGTCCACGGGTTCTGCTCCTTCCGGTGCTACCGCTACAGGCATGCGGAAAAATGGTATGGATTTGGCAAATTTAAAACCCCACTTTTCCCTGGTCTCCCATGCTAATACCTCTTTCTTCGGACCCGCAGGTAAAAACTGGCATGTCACCAAAAAGGCTTTCCGCCCAACTAGCGGCCTGACTTCGTATGCGAAAAGACAAGAAACGCGGAAACAGCAAGATGCCATCAAGGAGCATGAAAAGGAATTGAGGGATGAAAAGGAAGCGGAGCGACAGGTCAGAGGAGACCGATCATATTCCCTACACGAGGACACCTCTTGCTGACTTGGCTTACAGGCGCATATCCAGAGAATCAAGGATCGTCGAGCGGCGAAGGAAGAGAAAGAACGCTACGATAAGATGGCCGAGAAAATGCACCACAAGCGGGTGGAGCGATTGAAGCGCAGAGAAAAGCGCAACAAGCTGCTCAACTCATGATTATGACATGACAATTTCTAATAAGAGTATGAGGCTTTAATCAAGTACTGCTGTGACGACCGATCTATGTTGGCATGTATGGTTTTCCCCTTGTTTTCTTCCTAACGCGTCTTTCTTTCCCAGGTCTATGTTCAATATACACTATGCGGTTTCGTTTGGTTTAAATTGTAAATAACTACTACACGGCAAAATTTCGGTGGGCAACTGCTAGTGGAAGAGAATCGATATAGCGAGCTAGGAGTTGGCTTCAATTTGCAAAAGTTTCAGGGTGGTGGATTTCATGCACGCACAGATACCCTATTAGAGAAAATCAGAGACAGACACGGGATCTTTCATTTTAGGCATTCGCTCCGAACCTGTTGGTCATCGTGACCTTGCGGACTCTTCTTCCAAGGCGTGTTGATCCTTGCAAGAATGAGGGATGGTGAGGGTGGGCTCCGAGGCGCCGATCGGCCTTGGCGCCTTGTAATATCACGCTCAACCGTCCTTTCCCTCCGTCCAGCATCGTCCGTTGTCGATGTAATTCTCCTATTCCACCCGTTCCACCTGAGTAGCCAGTCTCAGGATCAAAGTTCCGATAATTCAAGCTAAATCCCGCCTATACCCTTCCTATACGGGTGAGATGTTCGGAGACCGTAAAGATGGTGTTCCCGGCCCAGCAGCTCTCCGCCACCTCGTCGCTGATCCATGGGCCTCCTCCCGCCGGTAGCCAGAAGACCGCATCATCCGGTCCTAGTACGACGGTCGCTGAGTGTCAACCGATCGATAGGCCTGGGGGTAACCCGGCTCCACAAAGCACTGGAGAGCACCGCGCTCCGTTCCAGTTTACACATAGACCTCAACACCCTCGCGAGAAACAGCAGAGCCGTTATCTCGACACTGTCTCCTTAGACCCGCATAGACTCCGACCGCGACACAAGCATAAACACACCAAATCCCGGGACGGCATCCTACCACGGAGAATGAATCAATTTGCGTCGAGCACAGGCGCGAGGGGATTATTGCAGACGTGGTCCGGTGGACGGGAGAAGGACACCGAAGCCGACAATGCTCTGCTTCGGCCGATGACCCGTGAAACAACTCGGTCGGGCTGGGGGTCGGACTCCACGGCGTTTGGTGCTGGCAGCAGAAACAGCAGCTTATTCGATGAGATTGACAATGGCCGTCACATTGCTTCAGTCAAGCGACAGGACATACAATCAATGGGGGACTTGGAGCAGGTGAGAGATCGGCGGAAACAAGGTGAAGAGTAAGGCTTGTCTCTGGGTTATTAGGGTTGCGCTGACTACGAATGCTAGATATCTACGGACTGCCTTGTCGTTGATTGGAACCCTTGCGACTGATATCACCCGTCGGCTGGATTATACGTACTACAACTTGCTTGAGAAGATTGCGGCTTTGAATGCAACCGTCGCTTCATTCCAAGAATTGTCCAATTCCACATCGACTCTGTTCAATGACTTTGAAAGAGAAACGACCAATCTGGAACATGAGGTCCGCAAGCAGTTTGGGGAGTTGAATGAGTTCCAGCCGCAGATACAAAGGATAGAGTCGTTGGAGGAGCGCATGCGAGTCGGTCGGGTGAAGGCCGAGGCCCTCAACGCGAAGCTCGAAGAAATGCGGGACGAAGTACATCGCTGGGAAGAGAAAGAGGTAGAGTGGCAGACGCGAGTCACGAAACGCCTTCGCATTATCTGGGGGCTGGTTCTATCAGGCGTGCTCGCGTTCATGATAGCATGTATCATTCAGATCTGGCCGACTGCGGTGTCCCAGGGGACCAACATGTCGCCGCTGGCAGAGGTGCTAACTAATCATTCCACGTCTCTACTTTGGCAAGCGCAAGGGCAAAATATCGCGAAGCCTATATTGTTAGGCGAGGATACCAGACAGGAAAGTGATTATCTGTCTCTCCACCCATCCCGTCTTGCACCGCACCAGAGCAGTCACCAAGTCAGTGTGTCAAATAAGGCTGCCTCGTCGACCGATTCAGACCAGAGTGCGGAGACAATTGACTCAAGCTTCTCGAGAATTCTTGATGAACTCTGATCAAGATTGTGACAGGACTCAATTTTTGCATCTTACGTTGGCATGCGGAGCGTGCTGGTCCCCTCCGCAATTTTGTCACATCTCCTTTCCTGTTTGGCTTTACAAGCGTTTCTATAAATTTCTGCAAATAGTCATAGCATAATACCCAGCGTCAAGCGATCGAGTGCCTATTGTGGCGCACTGCTTTTCTTCTTCTTATCCTCGATGAGTTCGATATTCGCCTCCGGGATCTCCTTCCCGTACACCTCCAGGAGCCACTCCTTCACATCCTCGCTCACATCTCCCTGCACCGTAATTTCCTCGGTCCCAGCAGACGACTTCGTAACCGAAGACCCGGTAGCGAATTTCTTCCCAAGCTCCTTGGCGACCTTCTTGTTCTCCAGACCGTAGACCTCTAACCCAGTGATGACACTGACGTGTTTGCGCTTGTTCCGCTCGACGCGCTTGATCTGGACCTTGGAAGCCGCCTTGCGCTCTGCGTCGCGCGCTTCTGCAAGAGCAGCCTTGGCCTCCTTCTTCGCGGCGTCCTTCGCAGCCCGTTCCTGGACAGATACTTTCAAAGTCGATAGATTGGAGCTGAGAGCGTCTGCATCCGAAGATCATTAGCTGAGTCTGAATTGGCACCCAGGAGAAAAGTGTATCGAACCTTCAGAGTATAAGTGCTCATACAGATCAGGATGATTGCTCTTCAACCACTCCTCGCATTTTTTCGCCTTGCCGCCGAACTCGCAGTACTGAACAACATTGTGTCAGCGGGGGATATACACGGATCCGTCGTGTCCCCAGACGAGCTCATACCTCAGGCGGTAAACTGCACACTGCCGTGATACCAATAGTTAGTCTCTCACTTATAAAAGTAGGAAGGACGAAACGCCCATATCTGGAATCAATCGCATGGCTGTTGAACGAACTCACCACCGCAATATACAACATGTCTAGCCTGGGGCTCGGCCGGGCCCGACTGGGCTACTTCAGACATAGTAGTGAATGTATTTGATGCAAGCTTCTGGTTGAAAAGCTTGGTGTCGCGGTCTTGAGAAGCGGGTAAATTGAATTCACATCCCACGTCGGATGGGCTATCGATAGGTCCGACGCGCGGGGTTAGGAGCTACCGCCTATATTGGGCTAACCGGGTTGGGTTAGACTAGTATATGAGGTAGGTGGGCTCTTTGTATACCATCATCTTCTTTTGATCTTGTATAAGTGAACAAGTACCTGTTGTTGACTGATATTCTCGTCGTTGGATACTGTGGGATACATATTATATGTCATGGTTGAGTATGAGATTATTTGCTTGAAATCTGCGCTCCAATGTTGATTTCATTCCTACTGCTGAGCATCACCTCCTTGATCACTACATTTCGTCCCAGTTTTTGCTTTATTATTTGCGTATATAGCACCATTTGGCCGAAGGGGGCATTCTATGGATACGGTGTGTTATTCTCCGACAGATTTATGAGAACAAAGAAGGCTGCATTGCGGCTACGTCGGAATCTCTCAATGGCATGTTCGATAGTCACACCGCTCGGATTGTTACGCCTCGACAGCTCATTCTCTATGACGAAGTATGACCTCGATGGCAGTGGTAAGCTTCCCATTATTGGAATTATTATTATACTAATATACCTGCTCAAGGGATCATAGGATGGCTGATGTGGTTGACCAGTCGTTCCGTCATTATCCACGCTCACTCAGTCTGTCAGGGTGTCTGAGTAAGAGGCGGCATATGTCATGGCTGGACAGGCTAACAGTCCTGATGGCTTTAGCCATGTATCAGCTTATCTCATAGGCTTGTAGCAGCAATAAGGGGCTTTGAATTGACTTTATGGAGCACGTATTTCTCGAGCGCGATAGTATGTAAGTCTGAAGGATAACGCAGCTGGATTACTGATATACAGGCTGCCACCGGTACCAAAAGCAGGATTGTTCAGGGAAACCTGTTGGTTTCAAGGTTTTTCCAATGCACAAAACCCTGCTCAATAGTTTTTATCTGCAAGTTTGGTCGGTTGTTTCCATGTCGGGGTAGCTCCGAGATACTACTACTACCAGCACCACCATCACCACCATCACCACTGATAACAGGATGGCTACCATCTGACCGCATTCAAGCTAGAAGAGAGCAATAAATGGCAGTGTCTTTGACATGTCTCACGCAATTCTGATGGCTTTCGCCGTGTATCAGCTTATCACAGAACACTAGCATGTTACATCGCTAGTATGCGAGCTGCTGGGAGCTTATCTTTGAGAAAGATTGCACTCCTAGCTTGGATAAACGGGGACATTCCACTAGGAAACAGATAGCAAGAGATACTTGAAATGAAACCCCACAGACTAAAAGCAAAGAGGAAAGAGGGGGCGATATCCCAGCGATCTCCTTGCATCTTTGACGCCTATCTATAGCGGAGGACGTGCGGACTGCGGAGTCTCCAGACGTACTCCTTCCTCTGACCTCTGCCCCCGTGTATTTTCTATTCGCGGGATCGCCCGGGGATGCGTACTGCAGTGGCTGAAAGACCTCCTACCCCTCTGGATTAGATTATCTATTCCCTGGTTCTGATTTGGCATCTGCACGTGGGGGACTTTATGCTCCACAGCTTTCGGTCATCGCGTAATCGTACTTTGGGATGAAACAGATTGCACGACCAGTAAGATGTGGTGTCGTTGATCCAGTGGCATGTATCATAACGTAGAGAAGATATAAACATCCACTTGGTAGAGTAGGTCGAATGAGCAGGGTAGAGTGACATAAGAACCAGTTCTTGAACCAGATAGGGCGAGGCATTATCAGTCCCACAGCCATGCCATACCTCAGAGTATGGCACCTCGTATCCTCCCACCTAGATAAAGGAGTGATATCGAAACCATAGAACATACGTTACACATTTCACACCGTCCGCGTATGTGGACCGAGCTCGACTACCGTGGAGACAGCTGACTGGCGGGTGCCTCGAGAGACTTTCCCCGACATCCGGGATCAGATATTGAGGCGCGTCCCTCCCCTCACCGGTGCAGGAGAGGCTACGTAGGGTTGGTGTGACGTGAGGTTGGATTGGGCCGGACTGGACGGAAGGCTTGATAAGATCTTCTTTTAAATTGAGATTGAAATTGAAAATGGAATATAATATGTGTGGTCAGTCTTGTTGTCATTGCGGTGTTACACGGCGGGGTTAACTCTAACCTTGAGAGTTGCGGATTGAGTTATACTGCAAGAGGGGTATCGTATCTATTCAGTCAGTGTAATTCTCAGATGATTATCAGGAATGCAAGCTCGAGTCCCGAGCGTCGACGCGTTAACTAACTAGTTCCGCAGAGATTTTCTCAGCAACTAAGTTTCGAGCAGGGTTGTATACCGACTAGTATAGCGCCCACTACCCTGCCCAACGGCCCACCCTGTTTTGGATTCAAAATAAAGCAGGCATCCCTCCCGCCGCCTGGTCGCATTTCTATCGGCGGGCCCCGGGCCGAAAGCAGGGTTTTGCCTTCCTTCTTTCGTGCCAGTCAATCTATTTCCGAAAAGTATTGATTCACTTATGAGACCGAGTAGGAGGCTAGGAGCACGGGCCGCTATAAATAGGCCGTGCTCTGGAGGTCTGTAGACGATCAGTGATCAACCCCTGGCTGGTGGATGCTGGTGAGCAGGGGCTGTTTCGACGGTTGGACTTGGTAGGGGTTGTTTTGTTGATCGTAATGAGTATACATTGGTCCCGAGGTATACTCCTGCTGGCCTGGAGCCTGTATTTGGATTAGGAGCATGGCGAGGTAATTGAGTCACGCCAAAGTATGACCAAAGCATGTTATGCCTACTGTTCTATCCCTCACAAATGTACGAATATGTGGATCATGACATGGTCATAGTAGCGCCATATTACATACTACTATAGCCACTCTCACCTCGGCATCTTTGCTCCCCTTGACAGTCCCAATCCGATCGCCAGCAACTGACACAGGAAGCATGCAACAACCAACACTGCACGGGCCCCAAGAGAAACCCAGAGAAACCCACTTCGCCAATCAGCACATGCATGGCGTGATAAGAGGCTGGCAGGACTCCTGCTTTGCCCCTCGTGCACGGGCGTACCTGTGGACACTGAAAGTCTCTTTTTCTGGGCTTGTTGATCGTGGACGGGCCCAGAACAACCCTATGGCGCAGGCGGAGATTTTCGTGACCAAGGAAACGGCCAGGAGCTACCCCTCTTGGGGAATGGAATGGATGCCAATGAGCCCTGCTGGGAGTTACGTGGGATTTGTGTCCTCTGACGTGCAGGTTCGACTGAGGGAATTAGTCATGGAAACAGCCACTTGATGGGATATTCTCCACTTGGGCTTGGTTGTTACGATGTCTGGATTATTATGTTATTGTAGGTACGGGATAGATAGATAGATAGATAGATAGATAGATAGATAGCTGGTCGTGGAGGTTGCGGACTGCGGACTCGTGGAGATAGAAGACTAACCTCGGGAGATTCTCTAGAGGTATATGCCCAAAATTAGATCAATAGGTAGTCATCGCTGATATAGTCATCGATTGGTGGTGCGACTCGTACATGATATCGGATGGCGGGCCCACCAGTCAGCTCATGTCTGGTTGCAACGATCGTGGTTCGTGATAAGAGCAGCCAATAGGTAGGAATGAGCAGGCCAGGAGGCGATACAGGCATGTCAACGCCCGTGCATGCATTAGTGGTGGTGGAGACAGGATGGTCGAGATAGTCGAGAGAATTAGTTAGTGGCTTGGTGGAAGATAACTGAACGTCTTGACGGTTGGATGAGTCAGCCCCGATTCCGGGTTGTTCCGATTGTACTTATTTCTTATTTCCTTGGATAGTACGGAGTACTGTGTAGAGTGTATTGACGGGATTTGTATCTTGATATTGAATTATAGATACAGTCAAGAATATATAGAAGTGGAGGATGGCTGTACTGGTGGGGGTTATAGAAAGTAAAGACAGAGTCAATCAAAATAAATCAAATAATACCTGAAATTCTAGGCTGGTCTGGAGTCCCCAGATCGGAAATCACCAATCACCAATCAATCCATCCATGGTGGCAACGGTTCACTCTCCACTGACCCTTTCACTGGGCTCGTCTTTTTCCTACTTTTTCTCTCTTGGTCTTTGTTTATTAAGTCCCTCATTTCTTTTTTCCTCACCTTCTCTGTGGGTAGCTGTGTCTCCGCCGGCTACCAAGGTTGAGCAACCCCAGGTATTTCCATCTCGTCCCTTCTTTCCATATCACTCTATATCATTGTCTCCCTTCCCCAGTCTATCTCCCCATCACATCACCCCCCGTCTTTCACTGCTCTATATCCTGATCCTTGGTCTGATATTGACGTCAGTTCTCTTCCACCGCACAGTCATGACAATTGCCATGATACACCCCATCTCCCTTGCTATTTAAGCTCGCCACGATTCTCTCCTCGAATCCATTCCATATCTACCAATTCACGCGACTACCCTACTCCATGTCCGTCGATCATCGATAAACAACCTAGAGTGATACTCAGACAAAATGGCGGCGATCCTGCCTTCCTCGCCGGAGAGGCAGTATTCCTTCTCTTCCGACTCCCTACCTATCGACAAGTATTTCCTGGATAGTCCTGACATGGCCGAGTCCAAATCTCCGGTTCATAACTATCCTTCCAGGGATTGTCCGAGTCCCGTCAACTCGTCGGCTCCCTCTTCCATCCCATCCTCGCCCGATTTCAACCCTACCTCCATCGACAACGCCCCTCCTAGTCCCGCCACTCTGAGCACCGTTTCGCTCAGTACGAACTACACCGAGGACTCGGACGACGAAGAGATCTTGTTACCCGCCTTCGAGGGTTATCCGGTCACAAAAAAGGTATCGGACGTCCCGAATGAAGTTCCGGAGTTGCCACGGATACGCTCGTCGGGTTCTGCCGCCGACGATAGCTCCATCGAGGAGGAGCCATCCAGGCACGTCGACTATCTCTCTCACGAGTGGGAGGAGGGTGATATCTGGGCCTCGTGGCGTTATGTCGTTGCACGGAGAAATGTATACGACAATGGGGCCCGTTTGGAGAATGCGTCCTGGAGAACCTGGGCCAAAATCCATTTGAAACGGGGCACCGTGTCACCCGAGGCACTCAATTGGTGAGTTCCATCCAGTTCTTTCCAATCCGGCAGTATTTTAACCTAGATTGCAATATAGGCTGAAAGACTGCGACGTAACATGGCTGTATGGCCCTCTCAAAAAGTGCGGGCGTCGCAAATCCGCGTCCGACTCCTCTCTCCCGTCAAGCCATCTCACCACTCCTACATTATGCCAGGACCGGAAACCGATCCTGAAGAAACGAACGGCTTCGGAAACCATCCTACAACGTTCTCTGTCCCAGCATACGCTCCTCCAGCATGCGGGCGCCATCCTCAAAGCACAAGAAGCAGAGCAAAGCCGCAACCGCTCATCTTTCCGAGCACTGGAACTCGACCGGATGCTGCCACGGCCGGACGGTCGTCAGGTAGTCTCACCCAACGGCACCCCGATCAACACAATGTCCAGTGGGGGCGCATCGCCGAATGAACGGCGCCACATCCACTTCAACAACGAGGTTGTGCAGTGTATCGCGGTCGAGAGCGAAGACGGGGATGACGATGAGGAAGTGGGCGGTGACTGGCCTACCGCCTGGGACGACGATTCGTTGCTGGACCGTGATTTTGTCACCATGAAACAAATGTTTTCTACTCCCTCCGACCGGAGCGCGTCTGCCAGTAATGCTGGCGCCGAGAATCGGACCATCGCCCCTCTTCCGTCCACCATCCTCAAGTATCGCGGAGATACCCCGGAACCTCCGGCAGGGTCCTTCATGCATCGCTGGTCCGGCTATTTATCCGCCTCGGTCTCTTCTCCTGCCGTCTCTTCTTCTGCCGAAACGACACGACAGTCGTTTCCGTCCGCCAATTTCCTGTTGGACGACAATGATTACGATCCTGATTTCTTCCACCATCCTGACCCACATGCCTTCGACTCGGGCGATCGACCTCGTCCCTGGTTCGTCAACCGAAAGGACGACGAAGAGCTCGACCGAGACATGGATTTCGCGTCATCCGGGCTCTTGTGGTCAGACGACGAACGAGATTCCACCAGTGGCAGCATCTTGGACCGTGTCGTTGATACCGTCAACACCGCTCGCGACATTGCCCATGTCATCTGGAATGTTGGCTGGCGGCGATGACCTAGACACTTATACTAGGTGCGGTGACTACTTTATTATTAAAAGGGCGTGGCGTTCTCTTCCTTCCGCGTGATGTTTTCAGGGAGCATAAACAGGCGATATTTGATAATCTGGAGTTTGAATTTCGAGCGCATTGTGGGTTACCAGGAAGCTATCAGGATATGGGACCCAGCAGTCTTTGTTTGCATACGTTGTCTATTCGACTCACTGGTGTTACCTTTGATTTTTACGATAAGAATGAGCAGCAGCGCTGTTCTCATTCGTACTTGTTACGAGATAATGATTAACTAATACAAAACGATATTGATGCTAGTCACTTAATTAAATTGCAAGGATCCTCGATAACTGTAATCTTAATGCACCATTGTCTACAGCATGATGCACCCCATCAGGATGGCATGATGGCCGTCTTAAGACTAATTCAAAATATACCCGTACAAAAGTCTGCCCTCCAGACAGATCAACATATAAGTTTACACATATAGTCATCTACGTCCTCCAGCGTAGTATACACAACACTACGCCAGGAAATCTCTGATTCGTGGACGGAGTATCCTCTCCTCGCCATCCAGCTAGCCTGTCCATAGAACGCCAAACATAGCATATCGTATTTTGCTTAAGACAAGACCATCAACCGTGCCTCCGCTGACGCGAAAAGAAGCGGATATACGTCTTGGTATCAATGCCACAGTATAGATAATGCTGGGTATTTCAAACTAACACTCGAAAAGTCTAGCTGGAGGGACGGTATATATATGTCTATGTATCTATACATGTGTGTAGTCCTCAATAATCCACAAAACCAATCGTCACGAATCCAAATAGACAGTCCAGATGAAGGCTAATCCCTCATCCCATCCTCACCCGAATCCTGAAACGTCTCGGGAAAGAACCCCGGCGGCGGCCATATATCCGCAATAGAAGAAGGATGGACCAACGGTTCAGAGCCCACCAGACGGTCCGGGTCGTGACAGAACGCTTGGAATGTGCTGTCGTCTAGGAAGCCAAAATCTTTCAATCCTGCTTCGCGGCTTGTGGCCCATTCTGTGGTGTCGAGGTAGGCGAGGTCTGAGAAGATGGCGTCTATGTCGCTGCTGCTGCTTGGGGCTGGGGGGAGGCTTTCTGTGTCTGGGATGGCCGGGTGTAGGCTCCTGTTTTCTTCTCTGGAGGGGATATGGGGGTCGGTGGGGGCTGGGGTTCCGGGCGGTGGTGCGTTTGAGATGGAGGAGTCTGGGGTGGGGGGTTGTGGGTGCGAGGTGGGAGGGGGCCTTTTGGAACTCCCCGGCTTCTCGGCTAGGGTGCTTCCACGAGATCTGTCGATTTGGGGTTGGAGTGAGATGTCCAGCATGGATGGGTCGGCGGTATCCGCTGTCGCGTCTTTGGGCGTCATGTATTGCCCATCTACTGGGATACTGATGCCGAGGACGGATGGCGGGTAAGCCGTTTCTGATAGTCTCATCTGTGGACGGGGATGCATCGCTGTTTCATCGTCCAAGGGCTGCTGTCTTGTTGGCATCGCCATGGCGTCTGGAGCGAACATGGTTGTGGGTGGTATGTATGGAGGTCGGATTGTGGTCGCGTCGAAGCCTCGAGTAGGGGCTGCAGACTCATAGATCTCGTTGGACTGATACCAATCCTCAATATTGGTTGCGAGTGAGCGATAGACCGACCAGGTGGAGCTGAGTTCCATGGTGTGTTGGAGCAGTGCATCTGTCCATCGGCCAAAAGGAAACACCTCGGGCTCAATCTTCTTTCTCAAAATGAAGGCTTGCTGCGCGATGGTTCGTAGTGAGAATTCAAATATTGGGGGTAGTCCACAAGACCCGAAATTATCCAAATGCTGAGATATCATGGGGAGAGCGCGATATAGAAGTTTCTTGGCGCCTTCGACGGCCGGCCGCTGTGTGCGATGCCGCTCGAGTTCTTGAGGGGCAATACGCAGGTACAGCCAGAGTAATGTAGCGACGTAGGTCATACCGAGGTAGCTTTGATGCGGGAGAAGCGCCGAATGTCGCTCAGGGTAGATGCTATCCGGCCCTATTAGCCGGCATCCTAAGGGCAGACGATCATCCCATTGCTTGAGTTCAAGAACCAACTGCTGGGCAGCGGCGGGCGCAATGGATTCGGTAGTAGACTCTCGAGCGATATTGTTTAGCACGCTGGCCAATTCCACCAGCCGGTTGAAGCAGCTGATAGCACGGAGCGGACCGCGTCGGGGTGAATTTCTCCCCTGTGTACCCCCACTTGGTGGAAGGACGTCGGCCCAAGAATTCCATTCCTCGAGACCGTCCTCCTCCAGTAGGCCCACGGTGCTCAAATCCTGCGAGTGCATGCACGGTCTTCGCGATAGGCGGAAGGACAGTAAGGAATCTAACACGAAGCATCCAAGGAAAACAGCTTTCCCTTGCCGCACGTCCTCCGACCTGCGCATGTCGGTGAGGATGCCCAAATCCAAGGCAATGGCCATACGGACTGCTTGGCCGATCAACAGCCAGGCAGCATTCCATTCCCCCACACCAACGTTCACCAAAGTGAGCAGAAGCAAGGCCTGGACGTGTCCGATCTCGTATCGTTCCGTCTCGGCAGGGATCAAGCTGCGTGCGACAGAATAATACTCCCTTGTCGTGTGCAGGACGGACCGGTCTTGCGGGTTTGTCAGTGATTGAGAAAAGGTGTAACTGAGGAGGGCCCATAGCGCGGCATGGTCTCCCGAACCAGGAGCCTCCTTGGCCACAGACAGCGGCGCATTTGCATAGAGGTAGGACGCCCGAAGGATGTTGTGCTTTGGGACAATTGGAAGCCAGGAGTGGGTGGTCGCAAAGTATAGATCTAACAATTGCGACGCTAGAGCGGGCAAGTGCAGCGGCGCATGAAGCGTATTGGCGGCCTGGGAGACCAAGGCACTATCCACCGGTTGGGACAGCCGTGGCCTTTTGGAGTTCGGAGACATAGGTGGATCCATTGCGCGAGGTGCGCCTTTGGGGATGGGCGTCGAGCTGCGCTCGATGCGAAATCCCCAGTCGCCGTCAACGCCAACGCCCTCATCCTCCCGAGGGCGTTTACCCGAGAGGTGTGTTACCGGCGATGCAGCCGACGTCGAGAGCATCTTTTCCAGTACACCGTATAGACGGCTTGATTTCCACGACTCGTGCAATGTCTCCGACGCACCATCGTCGGCCCATAGATCCATGAGCCTATCCCTGCGACCAGTTGATTCAGAGGTGTTACCCAAGAGGGCCAGCATGGTGTCTTCGAAGCCATCGATGTTGCATATTGACAAGGCCCAGAGCTTTTCGAGACCGCGAACATAGCCTTCAGGCAGACCGCGCTTCTTCGCGTGCGGATCATAGGAGCAGGTTAAGCCGGACGCGCGACAGGCGGTGCAGGCGGGACGAAGACCGTCGCATTTGTCCTGAGTTCATGTGTTAGCCCGATCTGAAGATGGAAATAGAACGATATGACAACGATTAGTCAGTAGCGAAAGTTCATATATGAATGAAGAGGCTGAGTCCGCGAGAAGGGACAGAGTGATAAATGCGCGAGGGGAGAAACCCACCTTCTTACTACGGCACCGATCGCAAGCTCTGGAGACCCTCTTTCGGCGAGGGGGCTTTGGGTCCGAGCCCTCATCCATTGAGGAGGCTCAAGTATAAGGGAAAGGGCATGCCATGTAGGAGCCCAGTATAAGAGGCGCGCGAGAGCTGACTCAAAGATGGAGAACACACGCGGTTACAGACGATCTTCAGTTGGAATGAAGGGACTTGAATGCGGAGGTGGAAAGGAATATCAAATTAGGAATTAGAAAAAGTCAGCAAATAAGATGGAGATGCAGGACTAAGACCGCCACGGCGGCGCATCTCTGGGCAAAGATAGAACCACGGACGACGGAGAGCTCGGAGCAGAACTCGGGAAGTGAAGAAGGCGGATCTGTGGGGGAGAGGCGGCCTGAGGTGTCGACCCCACATCGGTATACATAGAAAGAAATCATGGCCATGGAGAACTCCCCGGCATCCCGAGTCGGTATTCCCCGGCTGTCTCGAGTGCTATAATATATGGAAATGGCATTACTATCATTTTCTTTGGGCTAAATCCAAGAATCAATTGGAAAAAAATAAAAGAATATAAACATTGACTTTACCGGAAAGTCAAGAACAAGCGGGGTCAGCCTCTACAAACAACAATTGAGTTACGATGACAATAAGACACTGGCAGATATTCTCTTGGACTATTTCAATTTCTTCAGCGCAATTATCTTAGATCATACACATCCTTGGTTCATCGGACGTACTGACGAAGTCCTGGCCTTGTCCAGGCACATCTTGCCCCGGATAAGACCTCTGCCGGAGTCTTGGCACAACGGCTGTATGGCTACACCGACAGTACATACTGGTGGCTGACGGATACGCGATGCTGGCCATTTGTAAGTGACGTAATCTGGTATGGAGTGGCTTGGATCTGAGATGGTCTCGGCGACGTACACATTCCACGACGCGATACCCGGGGCGCCATGGTGTTTTTTTTTAGTTCCTGCCAAGTCGACGGCATGCCAGCGAGCTTGGAAATGATCGCATAAACAGAGCAAGAACTCCCGCCATGGGATACCGTCTTCTGGATATTTCTGGTCTCGACTGGCGACTGCAATTGATCTCCTGGCGCAGACGAAACAGAACACTATGAAGGCTAGTGGTGTTCTTACCGGGGGCCTGGTGCTGACGCTTTGCAGCTCCACGCTGGCGAAAGGCATTGACGAATTCACCTTTAGTTGTGAAACATTGACTATCCAACGATCCGACCCTATTATGTTCCCCGGCAAGACCGCTGGACACGTCCACATAGTCGCCGGAGGAACCGCATTTCAGCAGACGATGGATATCGACACGGCCACGAAGGCGAACGAGACAACCTGTGGCGTGGTAATAGACAAGAGCAATTATTGGATCCCGCAGCTTTATCACCGCGCGAAAAATGGAGCATTCGAGTTGGTGGAGAATGACGGAAATGTATGCCATTAGCCTCCCGTTGCTTTCTGTGGTAGACCGTGTTAACAGGCCAGGTGGTTTACTATCTGAACAGAGCATGCAATTATACCGAAGGCGCAACATCCTGTGACGGAAGTGATGGCGCGATAGCGCCTCCAGCTGGGCTCCGCGTCGTTGCCGGTGATACCAATCGTCGGTTAGATAGTCCGTTTGCCGCGAGTTGTGGTCACGCTGACATGGCCATCCAGGACCTATGATGACGCCGACTTTGCCCAACGGGCGACCACCCACATGTGCATTGGAGAAGATGGATCATCGTCGGAGACCAATAATATGCCAAACAAGCCATGTGCCAAGTTGAGGTCGCAGGTATTCTTGCCTTCTTGCTGGGACGGTCAAAACATCGATAGCAAAGACCACAGGAGCCACGTGAGTGTTCCGTTGCAAAAGCTGCATTTTTTTTCTGACACTGACATGACCAGATGGCATATCCCGCATCCGGAGACTATAACAGCGGCGTCTGTCCCAAGTCTCATCCCGTGGCGATCCTCTCCATATTCTTGGAGTTCTTTTTCAACACACACCCATTTCCGGATCACGATAATTGGGTATACAGCAATGGCGATGCAACCGGCTATGGTCTGCATGGGGACTATATCAACGGTTGGGAGGACCAAGTGGCTCTCGGGAACGCCATGAAGACCTGCACAGGTCCAAAACTGCTGAACGACCCGAAGTGCTCACTCACAAAGCACCAAAAAAGACCACTCACACCTGTTAAACAAACACCGGAGATCGCTGCCTCTGAAGAGGAGATAGGGCAGAATGGCCGGGTATTGCAGTTGCCAGGCCATAACCTGGCAAAATCGTAGGAAAGTGGCTCAACTGAGCCCTGCAAATAGTCCACACAATATTCCACACAATATCAAATCATGATAGTGGTAGAATCTCCTGGCCATGGCAGTCGTGAGAGTGTGTATTGCCGGAGGATGAAGCCCTGCATGGCGTAGAAACGGCCGAGAGATCCGGCCCGACCGAGAGACATTCTCTCACAATTAAATCGAAGATAGCGGAGGAATGGTCCTCGAGTTTCCCTGAACAATGGGATCGCGAATGTCGCATCTGGCCGACGAAAAGCATGCACTCAAGCGACAGCGTAGCGTAGATCCCATGTTGGTTCCGTCAACTGGCGTATCCCATACTCTTCCGCCACCAAGCCCAGATTCCCCGGTCTTCCATCATACCACCAAATTCTTTGACCGAATCAACCTCTCGCAGCCCAGGTTTATCCACATACTCGCGCTCATCCTTGAGAGAGTTCTTAATTCCCAAGGTAGCCTTATCAGGCCGTCGCGAGCTCGGCGCAGACGATTGATGATCCTCAGCCGCGTCTTGCAGACTCCCCGGCCGCGCAACCAATTGGAAATCTTTGTACCGCAACTTTTTCACCACCGTGACCCAGGATTCAACTGCTTCCTTGTCCTTGGCCTCGACGTACATAATCCCCGGACAACCGCCGGAGCGCAGGAGTACGAAGCAGTTGTGGGAGTCGGCGGCCCGTTTGAGGGCGGAGACTTTTTTGCGGGAGGTTATGTGGTGCGTGCGGATGAGGGCGTTGAAGAGCATTTTCTGGTATCCATGTAGGAACACTTTGTTCTCGTAGATGTGGTGGCTAGGTAGGAGGTTATAGAATATAGAGGATGTAGAAATGGAGTTGTTGAACAATTTTCGTAAGGTTGGTGGTTGTTTAGATGTTGTTTGGTTTGTTTTGAATCTACGTCATGCACTGCAAATCACCCGCAAATCTATAGACCTTACCAACACGTCATTACAGCAATATCAAATCTCGAAATAAGCAATTTGCATTACAGCAAACGGAGTCCAGAGTCTCGAATAAACATAAAGCGTACAACAAATCATGATGCAGAAGGACCCCCTAATCCCTCTGTCCGTTCAGGAGACTCGGGTTTCTCGCGCCCTCCCTTCATCGCCACAAAGCCATGCACAGCGAGGTAGGTCAATCCCACGATCCCCGCAATGACTGAGTACGCAATCATAGCGCCCTTCGGAGTACCGGGGGAACCAATTCCCGCCAAACGCAAGCCAAGGCCTCCATTGATAATACCAAGGATGATCAACACGCGGCCCAACCACCGGTGCGCATAAGCAAACGGGCTCTTCCCCCCTGTTCGTCGAAAATGCATATGTTGCAACAAGCCCATGGCGGGCTGAAAGAGAACAAGGAGTGCTATGACCACAATGCCAATGATGGGATGCGCGGTCTTCCTTGCCCCGCCACTAACCCAGAGTTTAATCCCGAGTCCGGCCCCCGCGATGGCAAGCGCGAGGGCAAATACCTGCAACGGCGCATGGATCTTGGCTACTGAGATGGGGATTGGCAAGGGAACCAGGAGGGCGAAGAGCGGGAATAAAAGGACGAAGGCGATTGCCATCATGAAGCCGTGGGCGATCAGCATGGCGTTACCGCCCCCGGAGCCTTTTGACGCAGTGTTGATAGCTGCGCTGTTCTGGCGTGGGGGGTTGTAATCCCTGAATGGGTTCTGGGATGTGGACTTTGCCTTGGTCAAGTCGACGGAGAATCCACCGAACATATCGTGGAATTGGATATTCTCTCTGACGTTGTCGGAGTTCAGTGGCTGGCCTTCCTTGTATGCAAAGATCCATGGGCTAGACGAGCTGCTGGTGTCGAGCGATCCGCCTTCCCATTGGAGACAGTTATCACACTGCACGTTGGCGGTCAGAATTCCATTGCGATTGCCACTACCATTCAAAAGCGAGACTTGGGCGTCGGGGTTGTATTGTGGTTGTTTGTGGCCCACGCCAGAGCGCGGAGACAAGGTCACATTGTTAGATGATGCGGAGTTGTGGAGGACAAATATGTTAGACCCTTTCATCCCTTTACCTTGGCCCAGTCCAACCCACTGGATCGCGTCGGGGGCTTGAATCTGGAAGAAAACGCGGTCGGAGCTTGACGATTCCCTTGCACCAGAGACGGCGATACTGAAGGATATGTCGGATTGACCTGTGGGGCGAAAAGTGGCCGGCTCAGCCAGAACGAGGGAGCCTGTCAGGTCAGTCTCGTTCCACGACATATTGACCTCAATATACAGAGGGAGAAATTCTCAAGATGCGGAAACATGAGGCCCTTGCATCAAGAAGAGAGACGGAAACCACGTACAGAAAGCCAAGATGGCAAAAATCAACACCACAATGAATCTCACCATGGCTGGACTGTGTACTGAAACTAGGCACCGTGGATCGCTCACAAGCAGCTTGTACAATTTTCCGACAGCGAAGAAATGAACTGGCGTCCCAACCTCTATATATGCTCGCGTCGGGGCAGGTTTCCAGCTTTGCACACCTTGAGACCGCCATTCAGCAGGCCAACCCCATACATGCACCTAGCCCATCACCAGTACATCTCAGCCGACATGGCGGATTATGAATCATTATAGATCAGAATGGCGGGATACACTAGATTTTGTTACTAACCAAGAATAGATTCCTCTCTGTTGAATCATGTTGTTGACTAGCCAATATTTCCCCATTGGGACAATAGGTTGTAGGTTCATGCGCGGTGATTGTGGTTTAGTCTCCAACACATACGTCTTGGCAATGAATTAAGCCAGGAATCATATCACATATGTTAGAAGGCCAAGCATTGTTCGCCGATCAGCGGCAGCTATGTGTGTGTTAGATGCCATGTTGGTTTCATTCGAGAGGGCAGATCTGATATATGATAGATATCAATATGATATGCGCTTTTCATTCCTGTTGTACTTACCAACTTTTTCCTTTGTTTCCCTCTCGTAGATTGCCCATGACCTTTGTTTGGGGGAGAAAACATACCTAGGTTAACTTTAGCTTCATCCATATCACTGAATGGTTGACTACGAAAGGCAGCACGATTTGATAGAACCCGTTCCATAGGTTCATCGATATCATTGCTTGTTGATCAGTTTTGGCCGCACAAGTCGCTCGCATGCCTGCAGGAAGCAAGAGAACTTTGCTTTACCCAAATTACCCAAGTAATGGGACACTTGGGTCGTGCTATACATGTTCATGCTAAGAAGCATAGTATAATTACATGCAGTATCAGACCAACGTGGAAGAAGCCATCGCCCTGTGGCTGCTCGACCATCATGTTGTGGCACAGGATACCTGATGTCTTGGACTAACATCGACGTGACGTGAAGAACTGACCCTGTCTCTCTTGTTTTTACTGTCATCCTTGAGGTGATTTTGGAATCAATTGAGAGGATGCGTTTGAAGGCGCATGGGCGAGTCGCATACACATGTCTCCTTAAACCATAACGCAGCACATATCGAGAAGATATACTCCGATTCATGAGTCTTAATGAACTCCGCTCTCCACCAAGTCAATACTACCGGTAAGAGGACCGAAGGCAGAAAAAGACATTGTGTGAGAATGTTTAATGAGCAAGAAAAAATTGAACAAAACAGAACGATGAAGAAATAGATTTGTGTAAGTCTTTATAGTTGGGTGTTTATCGTAAGATCAATAAACCCCGTTATGCTCTTTTATGCCTATGGATGACTCACCCTATGTGCATTACTGGCATCAATGCGGGAGACTCTGGAGTACAGTCAGACCGATCTTGTCTCAACTCCTTAGGGTAAAATGAGTACGCTTCAACAGGCTCTTCAGTACCATAATGCTTCTGACTACTTGAAACAGAAACCCTATGACTGGCTATCTACTCCATGCGATATCGAGATCTAATGATATCGAGATCTAATCTGAGATTGAAGTATAGGTACCAACGTTCAGCGAGATCCCTCATATCCCACAACTTATGCACAACCGGTCTTGGGAATTCCCCGCAGCATAAGTTGGGACCGAAAGTTGGGCACCGGTATAAGAAAAAGAAAAGAAGACGAAAAGAGGGAAATGCAAACCGAACAAGGCAAAGAGAAGGAAAAAAATCGATAGATCGCTGGAACCGAAGACCGAGTTAAAGGCGGCTGTAGTCTTGGCTGCCTTTTTGGATTCCCCAGGCCAGCAGGCCAATCAGCAGCCTCAGGCTCATGGGTCGCCTCCATTCTTCGAAGTCGAGGTGGTTCTTCTCCTACCGGATTCTCTCATGGTTCCATGGGTCTTCCGAGAATTTCTTATCCCTTTTCTTGGATGGGACGATGGTTTTCTCCATCGAGCTGCCCGAGTGGGAAAAGAATACGCGGAAAATTTGAAAATGCTTTTTTTCGACTCCGTTTCCAACACTGCACTAAGGGAGGTCTCCACTACTGAATGCCGACCAATGGCATTGTTAAGAGAACAATGGCAGCTCGTGGAGTTCCCACGCCCCAAGTGGCACTTCAACCAATTGGTAGCGTTGTGGCCATTCTGTTATTCATTGGAATTGGATGACGTCCCGTTCACCCTGAAGCTTGGCTTCCTTTTCGATCTAGTGTGGTGGCCAACGCTCAAGTCCACCATGGCTAGGCCCGGACACAGCTTAAGCATGTCTGGATATATAGCCCACTTCCCGCCCAAGTGGCATGGATTGATGATATCTCCACTTGACAAACGACACCTGCTTGCTCAAAGTGCAAGATTTGAGGTCCTGTGAAGGATCGATTGTTCGGTATCTATGCCCGCTCATCTTCCGGCCCATTTGCACGGCGGCGGATCTCTTGCTTCCGCACCGGAGGCAGAGTCTCCGGCGGATATTGTTGCCTCGCCGCGCGTGCACCTATCGCACGAGGATGAAGATGCTATAGCCGATATTCATCGCACCCTCACGGAGGGCAACCACCAAGAAACAGACCAGGGCTATCCCGAGCCCCATTCGACCTTCGATAAATTCCTCGAGAGCGAAATCCAGGCTGGCAGGAAGAGGTCAAATCTCGGGGTGTGCTTTCAGCATCTTTCGACATGGGGTGACGGTGATGATCATGCCAACGTGAAGACGTTGGGAACGGCTCTGTGGCGAACCTTAACGTTTCAAGACGTATACGAATGGACCATCAAGCCATGGCTCTCGAACAAGGACCCTCGGGAGGGGCGTCCTTTGATCCGAGATTTCTCAGGGGTAGTCCGGAGTGGTGAGATTATGCTGTAAGTACTTCCAGAGCAATTTCCGCGGGTCTCGACTAAGAAGCTTTACAGGGTATTGGGAAGGCCTGGGGCTGGTTGTTCGACCTTTCTCCGCACAATCGCCGGCCAGCATTCGTCTTTCTTAGGGGTCACCGGGTCTATCGATTACTCGGGTCTTAGTCCCGAAGAGGTGAGGAAGCATTACCGCAACCAGGTTGCCTATGTTCCTGAAGATGATGTCCATTTCCCGACGCTCAATGTTCGGCAAACCCTGGAGTTCGCTCTAAACAGCAAAACGCCCAAGCGGTACCGGGAGAGGATCCCTCGGTATTTGGACATCTACGGCCGGGTCTTCGGCATGTCCCACACGATGGACACCCTAGTGGGGAACGAGTACATTAGAGGTGTCTCCGGGGGAGAGCGTAAGCGGATTTCAATCATCGAATCCCTCGCGACTGATTCCTCGGTCATGTGCTGGGACAACTCCACCAGAGGTCTTGACGCGTCGTCAGCCCTCGACTACGCGCGTAGTCTCCGCATCATGACTGACACCTGCGGGAAAGCGACGCTGATGACGCTGTATCAGGCGTCCGACGCAATTTACGAACTAGTGGACAAAGTTTTACTCATTGACGAAGGGCGCATGCTTTACCAGGGTCCTGCCCGAGATGCGAGGAGCTACTTTGAAGGGCTAGGGTATGAATGTGCAGCTATGCAGACCACTTCGGATTTCTTAACTAGCATCACTATTCCCGAGAGACGACGATTCCGCCCTGGCTGGGAAAATCGGGCACCAAAGGGACCCATCGAGCTGGAGAATGCCTTCCGAGAAAGCCATCGATCTGCGGACATTCAAACAGATGTCCAGCACTACGACAACCAACGCTGTGGAGAAAAAAGCGGCCGCTCGTCACCGGCTGACTCGGAGCGGGACAGCCTGGAGCACCTCAAAAAGACCATCCAGACAGACAAGTCCCGTTTTGTACCCGCCAAGTCCCCATACACCATTTCCCTGTTCCGCCAAGTGGTGCTATGTGCCAAACGTCAGGTGTGGCAGATTCGGGGGCACATGTCTCCGTTGTATATCAAGCTTATCTCTTGCGTCGTATACGGCCTGCTGGTTGGTTCCATGTTCTATGACCAACCCCAGACAACGGATGGAATGTATTCCCGGGGAGGTGTGATCTTCTACTCCGCGATTTTGCTTGCCTGGCTGCAAATGTCCGAGCTGGAAGACGCCATGCAAGGCCGAGACATATTGAGCCGGCAGAAGAAGTTTGCTTTCGTCTCACCCAGCGCCGTGTGCCTGGCTCGGGTGATCACTGACCTGCTCATCGGATCTGCTCTCACTTTCCTGTACTTGATCGTTGTGTATTTCTTGTCCGGCCTGAAATCCGACGCGGGTGCGTTTTGGATCGACTTCCTGTTCATATATATGTGCACCATCTGTCTAACCGCCCAATTCCGACTGTTTGCGGCCGCGTCGTCGAATTTCGAAGTCGCCCTGCGCTACTGCGGCGTCTCAGTTCTGTTCTGCATTGTGTTCGGCGGATACGTCCTCTCGATCGACCGACTAATAGAGGATGTTCCTTGGGTTGGATGGATAGCATACACAACCCCGGCACTCTATACCTACGAGGCTATGATGGCCGCAGAATTTCACAACAACAACTTCGCATGCTCGTCAGGGTCAGTGGTCCCTTCTGGGCCCAACTACACCGATCTTGCCTATCAAACCTGCGGCTACCCGGGAAGTCAGGTTGGATCAACAGTAGTCAATGGCGATGACTATCTCGCTGTCCAGTACGGATTCTACTACAGTCACGTTTGGCGGAATTTCGGGATTCTGTGTCTCTTCACTGTCGTCTATGTGATATGCACCTGCTGGTTGAGTGAAATTATGGAATGGGAGGCAGAGAGTGCGGGCCCAGTCCAGTATAAAAAGTCACCGAAAGGATCAAGACAGTCTCCCAGAGGTGCCACAGACGAGGAGAGCAGCCCCGTGCAGGTTAAATCGAAGTCTTCATCCTCGAGCTTTGACGATCAAAAGTCAGGCGGACAACTCGTTGCTACAAAGTCGACTTTCACTTGGGATAACATCGAACTGACAGTTCAGGTTGGAAAGGAATCCCGGAAGCTCTTGAATGGCGTCAGTGGATATTGCAAGCCTGGAACGTTGACTGCGTTGGTGGGAGCATCGGGTGCAGGCAAGTCAACATTGCTGACGGTGCTGACCCAACGCCCCAGCTCAGGTGAGGTGACCGGCTCATTGTACGTGGACGGGGAACCTACGGACCAAACTTTCAATCGACGAGTTGGCTACTGCCAGCAGATGGATATCCACGATGAGAGTAGTACCGTCCGGGAGGCTTTTGAGTTCTCCGCTCTTCTCCGTCAAAGTTCAAGCGTCCCAGATGAAGACAAGCTGTCTTATGTTGACACCGTCATCGAAACGCTGGACCTGACCGACTTGCAGAACGCGATCATCGGGTCGTTGGACATTGAAAAGAAGAAGCGCGTCACAATAGGAACCGAGCTTTGCGCCAAGCCGGAATTGTTGCTCTTCCTTGACGAACCCACCAGTGGACTGGATAGCCAGGGTGCCTCGAACATTGTTGCACTGTTAAGGCGACTGGCCGACCAAGGGTTGGCCATTCTGTGTACCATTCACCAGGCGAACCAGGAGCAGTTTGAAGAGTTTGATCGGGTGCTGGCGTTGAGCCCGGGTGGGAGTACTTACTACTTCGGGGAGGTGGGAGATAAGGGCTGTTCTATCTTCGAGTATTTCACGAAGCAAGGACTCCAGCCTGAGAATGTCACCAACGCGGCAGACTTTCTGATTGAAGTGGTTGTGAGCGGCATTAGGGATAAATCGCAAAGTGTCAACTGGGCTGGTATATGGAATCGATCAGCGGAGGCGCAGGCCGTCGCGAAAGACATATCCGAAATTCGCTCGAACGTCGAGAAATCTGACGGTGCCAAGACGACTCTTTCCACGCCATCGGTCTTCAGACAGACTTCACTTCTGACCCAGCGTACCCTTCGGCAATTCTGGAGAAGTCCCGAGTACCCATATTCTCGACTCTACGCATCATTCCTCCATGCCCTGATCAACGGCCTCACCTACCTTCAGATCGGAAACAGTTCGACAGATCTGCAATCCAAAGCCTTCTCGTGCTTCCTCGTGCTGATGCTGGTACCCGAGTTCATCAACGCGATCTCGATGCGCTTTATCTTGAACCGCGACCTTTGGACGGCGCGCGAGGGCCCCAGTGGCGTGTACGGCTGGATCGCATTTTGCACCTCGCAAATTGTATGCGAAATCCCCTACGCCATCATCAGCGCTGTTATTTTCTACGTGCTTTACTACTATATTGTCGGACTCCCGCTGGGGTTTGCCGCGGGATACTGCTTCTTAATGTTTTTCATGTTCTTCCTCTTCGCCACATCCTGGGGCCAGTGGATTGCAGCACTCAGGTACGTTTTGCCCCAATCAGAAGACAGTTTCTACATTTCCAGTTCTAACATCATCTAGCGCCGACTCCATGGTGGCCGCCACACTCATGCCATTCTTCATCATCATGTGCGAGCTCTTCAACGGCATCCTCCAGCCTCACCAGAACATGCCCGTCTTCTGGAAATACACCATGTACTACATGACGCCGTTCACGTACTGGATCGGGGGCGTTCTTACCTCCGTCCTCCGAGGCATGCCAGTAATCTGCGACAGCAGCGAACTGACCATCTTCGAGAGCCCACCGAACATGACCTGCGGAGAATACGCCGGCTCCTGGCTTACAGAGCACGGAGTGGGGTATCTGTCTAATCCGAATGATTCCGGATCATGCGGATACTGCGAGTACAGCGTCGGAGATGATGTACGTTTCCCCTTTCCCCTTTCTTTCCCTCTCCCATGTCCTACCGTCCATACTTCCCCAGTGATCTCAGTCCAGAACTAACGAAATCAACTAGTACCTCGACAAAATTGAGCTCGACTCCTCCAAGATCTGGCCCTACTTTGGCATCTTCGTGGCGTTTGTGATCTCCAACTACCTAATGGTTTATCTGCTGGTGTACTTGCGCACGGTTAAAGGTTTGACCTGGCGCAAGACATAGTATAGTTGTATAGGCGTGCGCGTTGGAAGTTGATATATAATATGCATAGCGTGGTATAGCGGTATAAAAGTTTCTTTACCTATGTTGTTATCATTATGACATTTTAATGGAGAGTTCTACATCAAAAGCATTTGTATGATTCAAAAGCGTGTTCGCGTGCGCTTGTAATTAAAATCGGTAGTATACCTCTATAATCATATATATATATATATGCCCTTTGGCACCTAAATGTGTAGTTGCATCTCGACTGTATAGTAAATAGCTACAAATATCCACCCAACCAACCCCAGAAGCTCACCGGCAGCGGAAACGACGCAATGATCTCCGGCACAGCACTATAGTCAGTAAACCACGGACAAGTCCAATGCGTCCACACGGTCATGATCACTGCGTCCGTGGACCAGGCCACGCCGTCCGCCAACAACCCCCGGGGCAGGAGTTGTGGAACAAGGTACTCCGAGAAAAGCTGCTGCAGGGCGATGAAGACAGGCAGGACGTTGAAAAAGGCCATCATCATGGCGGCAGAGTGGGCGCTTTGTAAGGTCGCGTATGCGCCTGCGGCATGGAAGGTGCCTGAGATGATGAACGAGAGGTAGTATATGAAGAAGGTTTTGAGAGCGGCGGGCCAGGGTTGGGGCGTCATGGTGACGGATATGGCTAGTAAGGGGCGACGGCAGAGATCGTGCCACATTTTGCCCCAGATACCTGGACATGGTTAGCATGTGGAGCTTTTGGTTTTGGTCTAGATGTAGAGAGTGGGGGATGTGCTGTTGAACCTTTGAGGTTGAGACGGAAAAGACTAGTGACGGATCCAAACCACCCGGGATACATCCATGGTTCACTCGACGGCAGGTCCGAGAACGTGCTCAGGATCGCCACTGTCGCCATACTGTAGAGTGTGCGGACTGCTTCCATGAAAGAGAAGACCGCTAGCCAGCAGGAAACGGGGAACAGGTAGGTGATGGCTATATTTTCGCTAATTTCGGGAGCGTTCTTGACCCGCCAAGTGGTATCCAGGATCGTCTGTATTGTCGAGCAGACTCGGGGATAGTTTCGCGAAAAGCAGGTCTGGTGGGCATCGAAGACGAGATAGGCCGCGACGAGTGTTATAAGTCGGCTGCGGAAGAAAGCTAGACGCCGATTCTGTAAACGCTCCGGATGGTGATACCTGGCTGAGCCGTGACTCCAGCCGATGGCGCGGGGGTTCATAACCAAGTCCAACACCCAACGAAGACGTGTCCAGCCCAACGCCGCGGGCATCGGCTGCCAGGAGTATGGCGAGGAACGAGAGGTGCGATCAAGGGCGCGGAGCTGCTCCACGTCTCGGACGAGCAGAAGCTCGACGGCACGAACAAGGTAGCCGACCGAGAGGAAGCCATTCGCGTATTGTACCCATGGCTGAGCTTTGGGCGGGTAGAGAAGCGCGTGGAGGGTGCCGAGGATGATCGCCGGTAGCAAGACAGGCTGGACGAGGGGATATCGCGATCGGAGATATAATGTGGTGAGAAGAAGGGGGAGAGGGAGGAAGAGGAGTAACATCCTTGCAAGATACCATATGTTAAGTAGATCGTTCAGCCCATGCTATGTAGTCTGACCAAGATGTTGCTGGTTTGACGGAATGGGGCGGAGAGAGAGAAGGATATAAGAAGCGCGGCCATCGCCATGTCATAGATCCATACCCCTTCCTCAAAGGGAGATGATCCACCGACGAATGGGATGTATCAGAGTCATCCCATTCTTCATGATGGAGATCATCCAGCCGACCCATCAGCGTGTTTCGTATCGGATTGGCGATTTGCCATGAGACCGTGACGTATCCCGTTCACGTTTGAAAGTAGTCGACTAACTTGACGATGACACGATTGTCAAGGGAGTATACCGAAGATGAGGGTGATAAGTCGACAACGAGTCGTCTTGTCGAGGAGTGAAGAAGAAGTAGAGAAGGCGGAGAGAAAGTGGCGTCATGTGTCTTGGTCGGAGTTACCTAATTGGGACAATGTCCGATGTCCTATCTCCGACCTCCGCATCAACATCAACATTTCCAACAACTTCATCTTCACTCCCTATTATCATCTCTTCACACGATTCAGACTGGATAGATTGACTCTAGTACTGACATCAACTCGACTTGATTTATTGCTGATTTTCCTGGGCCCTCCACCCATTCGATCACATGGATGATGACGCCCTCCCGGGTCTTGCGACGTCTAGACGCCGCCGACCCGCCTTGTCCTGTACCATCTGTCGTCGCCGCAAATTGAAGTGTGACCGATCCATACCCTGCGAGCAGTGCATCAAGTCCAAGTCTCCCGAGTCGTGCGTTTATGTTGGTCCGCAGTCGGCAAGTAGCGCCCGCCAGAGCCATCGGGAACAGTCCCAGAGCTCCACCGGTCGGGGGAGCCCTGTCCACGGTGGGCTCCACGTCTTTGATTCAAAGCATCTTCAGAACTCGTCCTTTCATTTCTCGTCGTCCAGTCGAGTTACCAAACCCCAGAGACGCTCGGATGAACTATCCGAGTTGCGCAGTCGCGTGCAAGGGCTAGAACGCGCCCTCACCCAGGCAAACCCCATTTCCACCCCCGAGACTACGGCAACCGATACGTGGTCGGATTCAGACGTGCGGCAAACGGCGTCGAACGCGCAGGAGCTGAGTGATGCCGTAAGACACCTTCCGGGGCGGTCTTGCTTTCGAGGCAAGGCATGTAAAACCCGGTTCGGTGGACGATCCCATTGGGCCGTGTCGCTGTCCCTATTCAAAGACATCGGCATCTTTTTAAAAGGACAAAGCGGTGACTTCAAAAACCGCAAAGCAGAGCTTTGCAGTCTGAGCAAGTTCAAGAACGAACTCTGGTCCAGAGAAAAACAGGACCACCAGCGCACTTACCGGGAAAAGGCCTTTGCCCTTGGGGAGATACTGCCGCCCCGACGGGTCGCCGACGAACTACTCAATGTCTATTTGGCTACCTTCGAGACGACGTACCGGATTTTGCATACCCCGAGCTTTGTTGAACAGTACGAGGCTTACTGGAATGGTACGGGGACCACCGACATGGTCTTCCTCGCGAAATTGCTGGCGCTGATGGCTGCTAGTAGTGGCTTTTTCGGCCCGGCCACCAGACTCAGCGAGGAGGAGACCCTGCACACGGCGGCCGCGGGGTGGATTGTGGCCGTCGATGCATGGCTTGCTTCGACCTCGGTCAGTTCCTCCATCGAGTTCAACATGTTACAGATCCAGTGCCTGCTTCTCATTGCCCGCCAGGCTGGTGCGAATGATGGCGACCTGGTCTGGATTGCGTCTGGTTCTGTGATCCGTTCCGCGATGACGATGGGCTTGCACCGTAGTCCCTCGCGGTTCCCCAAGATCGGGAAGTTTTGGGCGGAAATGCGCCGCCGACTCTGGGCAACTATACTGGAGCTGGATCTCCAGTCGGCACTGGACGGAGGCATGGTGACGCAAATTGATCTCGACGAATACGATTGCGAGCCACCTTCCAACTACGACGACGCAGATTTGACGGAAAAGATGACGGAGGACCCAATCCCCCAAGGCTTGACCGTAGGGACTCGAAGTAGCTTTCAGGTCTTGCTGGCTCGATCATTGCCCCTCCGAGTTCGCATCGCCAAACTAGTGAACAGACTTAAATTCACCCTTTCGTACGACGACGCCCTTCGGATGAGCGAACAAATCCAGCAATACTTGGAGCAGGCCGCTACTCTGCTAGAAGAGCGGTCCTTCGCGCGGAACTTTTATGATTTCCTCATGCGTCGGTTTCTTCTGGTTCTTCATAGGCCGTTCGCTTTGAGCATTTTCTTGTCTCCTCAATTCTCGTATTCCCGCAAGGTTTGTCTCGAGAACTCCCTGGAGATGCTCTCATCGCTCAACCCCCCAGCGGTCACTCTGCCAGAAGCGCAGGCCTGTCCTCATCTGGGGCAGTTGAGCGGGGCAATGTTTCGGGATGAGTTTTTCCACGCTGCCATCACAATTTGCGTGGAGCTGTCTCTCCAGGCAAATGAGTTTGCCAAATCGGGGCCATCGCCCCCCTCGGGACCGCTCAACGCTTTGAATGATCTATTTCGGTCACAACAAGATGTTTTAGTTCGGGCGGTGGAGCATACGATCGATACGTTCGGCAGTCGGATGTCGTCTAAAGGGAAAGGTGGGAAACCGTTCTTCTTTCTTAGTATGGGTTTGGCGTCGGTCAAGGCGCGGCTGGACGGGAAAGAAGACCCGTACAAGAGCGTCGAACAGGTTTCAGCAAGGGTCATTCAGCAGTGCAACCAGATACTGAACGGGGCGACTTGGGCTGATGTCCGACGCGCCGAGAATTGCGAAGTTCCACCGCTACCGACCCCCGGACTATATCCCGCGACGCCAGAGCTGTCCATGGACCCGGCGTCGTGGCCGTCCACGGGCCTTTCAGTAAGCTTGCGGGCGATCCTACTGTCGATGCACACATGCTGACTTTTTAGCCATTGGATTTCGGGAATATCTTTGATACGGGGGGGGACTACGGGCTTCCGGAATTCTGGAACAGTGATTTTTTCACGGGCTTCTAGGACAAACACTACTGACACTGGCCACTGGGTCCGCGTCGACGGCCCCCAATCGATCGTCAGTCCGGAGCGGAGACGCTATTCGGCTAAAATGATCGGCATGGAGACAGTGGCTTGTGACGTACCATTCCCGTATCCCGCGGACAGATAGTTAAAGGGCCCCCGCGCCCCTGATTGTCTTTTGTTCAGTGTTCACCCATCCATTCACCATTGTTGATGTCGATCATGTCGTAAGTGAAGCCACTGGATCTGCCTCTCCCCACCTTTCTCACCCGGGGAGTTTCTGGATCACGAGTTGACCACTTGATAGTTCTATCCTGAGTACCCTGGGCCTTCATGCCGCAGCCAGCGGTGCCGCACCGCCTAACCACGCAGTGGGCTATATCGTGGCCAACTGGTTCTTCGCGTACCTCGCGACCAGCGCACGAGCGTCCAAGATGTGGCTAGGTCTTGATCACAATAGCGCGCCGCGTGAGGACCTGGCTAAATACGGCGAGGCCGCTGTACAGTCGGGGAAGATCAGCCGGGGAACGCTGAACCGACTGAAGCGTCAGGAAGCTGCGCACGCGAACGCGGTTGAGGGGTTTCCTCTATTTATTGCAGCGAGTATGTCTCCCTTTGTTTACTCTTGTGATTTTACTTTCTCTTCTATTGTTTAAAACTCTTGCATCACAAGCTGACCAAACAGTGCTCCTTGGCATCTTCGCCGGCCTTCCGACCGAAACGATCAACGGAATCGGAGCATGGTATAGCGTGTCGCGGCTGTTGTTCACAGTCAGCTACGCGTTGACCGAGTCGGAGGGGATGAGCTTCCTCCGGTCTGCGTTTTGGTTTTCGGGCAATATTGGCTGCATCGCGGGGCTGCTGGAAGCGGCCAAGACGCTGTAACATGCCGCCGTTGATCGTAGATGTCGACCTCAGTGTTTCCACTAGCTGATACGTCATATGTGAACATATGGGCGTACTAGGTAGTCACGGAAGGAAGGCAACGCCCAAATAATAATATACAACCAATCATAATGATGGTCTCCCCCAGGTTTCGCCTTAAACATATAATATATTGATATATGGAATCAACTGCCGGCATTAGCAGTGACTACTATAATATAATAGGAATCAAGCTCGTATTATACTGCACTTATAGTTAGATAGGTACTTTGTACATAAACATGTCTGATATAAAATCGGTAGTCCGATTGGTGGAAGTATCTTTTCCAGAAACGGGGAATTTGGCTCCGTCGCCAAACACCCAATTCTCCGATCATGGAGATAGAAGGGCATCTAACAGGTGGAGAAAATTGTTCCACGGTGATCCGGGGAAGGGCACTCATTGAATTACTAACTAGCAGGTAAAGAGGAGATCGAAGGTGATTAACCATGTTAGAAGACCTAGGGCAGTACTATAAAGCTGCAATGCAGCGCGCCGACAGCAGAGTAAAATAGAAAGACACCACCAGACAAGCTACAATCCCAACTCAACTCAATTGAACCTCACCCACAATGAAACTCCCATGGCTGTCCGCGCTCTTAACAAGCGCTCTCCTACCCACCACCCTCGCCAGCGCACTGCATAGCATCCCCTCCGCAATAATCCCAGGGGCACGCATCATCCCAGCAAGCGACACAGCAACGCTCAAACACCTAGGCGGCCACCATCACCACCACCGTGACCGACGAACGGTGACGATCCGGCCGTCGCGCAATGACACGGATGACATCTCGCGTGATTTCCTGTGGGGGATAAAGCGCGCGAACCACGGGGGCAGACTGCTGCTGCAGAAGGGGAAGAAGTATGTTATTGGGAAGAAGTTGGATTTGACGTTTTTGGATGATGTCGAGGTGCAGTTGGATGGGGAGATTATGGTATATCTTCCTATCATCTTTGTGTGGTTGTGTTGGTGGTGTGAGTAATCTGAGAATCAAACAGCTAATAGGTGATGATGGATAGTTCACAGACGACATCGACTACTGGCAATCCAACCACTTCTACTTCGACTTCCAAAAGTCCATCACATTCTGGGTGTGGGGCGGCAAAGACATCAAGATCTTTGGCTCGGGGGTCCTGAACGGAAACGGCCAGCGCTGGTACAACGAGTTTGCAGGCAAAGAGATCCTCGACCCGGACAATGTCTTCTACCGACCGATCCTGTTTACGACGGACAATGCGACAAGAGTTTCTGTCGAAGGGATCAAGCAGTTGAATTCGCCGTGCTGGACGAACTTCTTCGTCCGCAGCAAGGACGTCTCGTTTGACGATGTGTTTATTCATGCTTATTCGACCAATAAGTCGGTATGTTCCAACTTCCAAGTCAGAGTCAGGTTATTGGTTGGATTGGAAACAAGCTAAGAACCTCAGGCCCTAGCCAAAAACACAGACGGCTTCGATTCGCTCAACCTCGACGGACTAACAGTGACCAACACACGCGTGGACGTCGGCGACGACTGCTTCTCGCCGAAGCCCAACACGACGCACATCTTCGTGCAAAACCTGTGGTGCAACAACACGCACGGGGTCAGCATGGGCAGCATCGGGCAGTATCCGGGGGTGATGGACGTGATTGAGCATGCTTATATCCAGAACGTGACGCTGTTGAACGGAGAGGTACGATCTACACCCTGAGGGATCCCTCGTGTACTAACGGTTGTAGAACGGAGCCCGTCTCAAAGCATGGGCCGGCAAAGACGTCGGCTACGGCCGTATCAGGAACATCACATACAAAGACATCCACGTCGAAAACACCGACCACCCGATCGTGCTCGACCAGTGCTACTTCAACATCGAGGCGCCCGAGTGCGCCGAGTTTCCGTCGCAGGTGAACGTGACTGACATTCGGTTTGAGAATGTCTCCGGCACGTCGTCTGGCAAGGCGGGCAAGGTCGTGGGGAGTCTGGTGTGCTCCCCTAATGCGGTGTGTTCGGACGTGACGCTGGAGAATATCGATTTGAGCAGCCCTGCTGGGGGTCCGCCTGTTGTTGTTTGTGATGGGATTGATGGGGATATTGGGGTGGAGTGTCAATCGAGTTCGTAGGCTTGTGTGCATGGTCAGACGCAGGTGATCAAAGTAAGGATTGATATAGCAGTATTAGTAAAGGTGTATATATTCCATCTCAGTCGAGAGTCAAATTTAAACAACTGTTACCTCATTACCTACTATCCATGTCCTACTTTTATCTCCAAAGTTCAAGCAAGAGTCGAATAATTGACATAACTACATACAGAACAGATAATCGCAACGCTAACATCCTATATCTCAATCTTACCAATATCCATCATCAATCATTAAAGACAAACTACCACGCATCAACCCGCTGCATGCGCAAATGCATCCCCTCAACAGGCTTCGTAGTAACAGCCCCCCGAATATGAATCACCTGCTTCGGATCCTGCATCTCAAAGCGAAACCTGCCAACAATACCCGCAACCGCACAGCGCAGCTCGGCACGGGCAAAGTCCTTCCCAATACAAGCACGCTGGCCATGCAGGAAGGTAATCTGCGCGAAGTTGGTCGACGCACCGCCCGTGTTATTGGCCGTGCCGTCGGCGTTGACCCACCGCTCGGGGAGGAAACGGTCGCCGTCGGCGCCCCAGAACTCGGGGCTGCGGTTGATGGCGTAGGGGCAGAGGATGATGCGCGTGCCCTGGGGGACGTGCTTGCCGGCGACGACGGTGTCGCGGACGGACTCGCGGATGGTGATGGGCACAGTGGGGTACAGACGGAGGACTTCCTGGCAGACGCCATTGAGGAGCGGGAGGGTTTCCAGGTCGGCGGAGGTGATGGGGTGGTCGCCGGAGGGGATACGCTCGCGAATCTCAGCGCGAAGGCGCTCTTGCACCTCGGGGTGGAGAGTCAGGAGGTAGCAGGCCCAGGTGAATGCGCTGGCGGTGGTTTCGTGGCCCGCGGCGAGGAAGGTCATCATCTGGTCGACGAGCTCGTCGTCGGTGAAGTCACCGCCTAGCAGCATGGTGCCGAGGATGTCAGCCTCGAGGGTCTGGGAGGTGGCTTTTGTCTCGGTGATCATGGTGCGCTTCTCGCGCACAATGTCCTTGCAGAGGTTGCGGAGGAAGCCCGTCTCCTCATTGATGACGGCGTTGAGGCGGAAGGGCAGGCGCTGGATGAGCCACTGCGGGAACGTGAAGTTGATGGCCAGGAAGGCCATCTTCTCCTTGGAGGGTTCGAGGATGGCTAGGAAGCTGTCGGCGACTCTGTTGTCGAGGTTTTGGAGGGAGCGGAAATCGCGACCCATGGCTGTGGGGCCGATAATGTCGAGGGTGAGGCGGCTGTTCGGATTAGATTCTGATTATACCGAGTAGATCATGTAGAGAGAGAGAAAGAGACATACCTGGCCCACTCGCTCATCTCAACCTTGCCATCATGTTCGCCCATCTCGCGCTCCAACTCGTTCATGAGCAAGCCCGTCTTCTCCCACATGAGGGAATACAAGGCGCGGATATTCTTGATATTAAACGACGGAGTCAGGGCCTTGCGCTGCGTCCTGTGGGCAGTGCCCTCAGACAGAATCAAACCCCAACCAATGATTCGGGCCAAAAAGTCGCGAGCACGGAAGGGCTTCTCGAAATCATAAGTGTTAGTGCTCATGATATCCAGCAGGGCCTGGTGGTTGGTAGCCAGCAAGTAACTGCGTTGGAGCACATCGCGGTAGTGGATGAGGCCATCGTTGGGGATGGTGCGCATCCATTCCAGCGGGATTCTTCCACGGGGTTCATCAAAGACGACTTTGAGATTATTGAGGATGCCCTGTGCGAGTCAGTACATCTTATATTATATATATGTTCCTTTTTAGAAAGAGTAGTACCGGGGCAGTGGGCAGGTGGCGCAACGGTGTCACGAAGAACGGGTATATAGCGACATTCCACACAGCCAACAGACCCAGATTGACACCAAAGACGGCCAAAGCGACAGTGCGCAGAGTCGTATCGGCAAAGACGACGCGATGCAAGGCAAAGGCCTCGACAAGAGAGGCGAGAATGAAGGAGAGGCGGGGATCCATGGTCGTCGATCAACCAAACTGATGAATCTAGACAACACCGCGAATAAGGGGACTCCTGACCCGACCGATGGAATTGTGGAGGACCTGGGGAATTAATACCACAATTCTTAATTCATGTAATATCGATTCTCTGATCCGCCGCGGCGACAAGGACGGGTGGATCCACTGTGGATCAACGTCTGGATACCGTCGGATGGGGAAAGGAGTGCGATTCTGGAAATGAACCGTGACGGGCTGGCATCAGGAGTCAAAAGAGGCAAAAGAGGCAAAAAAGCCACAAGAGCCAGATAGACGGAACGAAATGAATGTGAAGGTGGACTACGCCAGGATGATGATGCCTGCAACATGGAGAAATAACCCTAATCCATGCGATCAGGAATGACGCACACAGGGATCCATGCGGGGAAGGCAGAAGACAAGAGACAACAAGGGCAGCAGTGCGAGATCCACCTGCGCATTGATATGCAAACTCTAGATGTTTGAAAGGAAGAAATGGACGTGCCTGGAGGGAGAAGACATCATCGTGGGTTGAATCCCCCACTATCATGTTCGCAACCACTTCCGAATCAGGCAATGATCGGGCCTCATGTGAGCCTCGGTGGTGATTTCCACTACCGACTTCACTATATATACAACAAACACTTCGGCTTCTGCTCATCCGCATAATCTCAAGTCCAGTCATCATGTCTCTAGATACTTCTCTGCAATTCCTCCACCAGTGGTCACAGGCGGCCCTGGAGCGTCTCCCTCCGCAGGCACAGAACGTCCTGTCGCATCCACTCGTCCCCAAGGCAGTCGCTGTCCTAGGAGCGCTGGGCGCATTGCACCAGACCAACAAGTGTCTCAACAAATGGACAGCCAACAATTTCACCCGCAGTGATCCCTGGGATCCAGCGCGTGAGCTGGCCCTGGTAACAGGAGGCTGCAGCGGTATCGGCAAGCAGATCATGCTCGACCTGGCAGCGGCAGGCGTCCGGGTGGTCATCCTCGACATCCAAGAGCCCCCGTTTAAGCTGCCCGCAAATGTCGCCTTCTACAACGCCGACATCACCACGTCCGACAACATCCGCGCCGTGGCGCAGCAGATCCGCGCCGACCACGGCGACCCGACGGTGCTGGTCAACAACGCTGGCGTGGGCCACGACGGCTCCATCCTGGAGGAGCCCGAGGCTAAGATCCGCCAGACTTTTGAGGTCAACACCATTTCCCACTTCCTCATGGTGCGCGAGTTCCTGCCCTTCATGATCAGCCGGAACCACGGCCATGTCATCACCGTGGCCAGCATGGCTAGCTTCATCTCCCTGGGCGAGATGGTCGACTACTGCTGCTCAAAGGCCAGCGCCCTCGCCTTCCACGAGGGACTGGGTCAGGAGCTGAAGACGTGGTACAATGCGCCCAAAGTGCGCACTAGGTATGATCCTGACAATCCAGACAATCAAAGGAAACCCAACTAACAGCTCAGTGTGATCCATCCGCTCTGGGTGCGCACACCCATGATCCAGCAGCTGACCGACGCCGGCGACCAGTTTAAGCAGCCCGTGTTGACGGTCGAGATGGTCTCGGAAGCCATCGTGCGGCAGATTGTCCAGCAGAAGAGCGGCCAGGTGATCCTGCCGGGCCGGCTCACCTTCATCAGCCTGATACGTGCCTTTCCCTCGTGGCTGCAGGAGCGCGCCCGGGGAATTGGTTCCAGGGATCTGTTCAATCTCCGCAAGTGTCAGTCCCTGCAGGAGCAGAAGTAAATGTTCATTGATGTATGATAAGCTTGATTGTACAGCGAATACCCATTTTGAAAATATATACTGTTACGGTCTTGCGTTTCGTATCCGTCATAAATAGAGAAGTAAGGTGCGTAATAAAGAGCAATAGTATAAGAAAAATCGCCAAGGAAGCAATTGATATAGTGCATTTAGACTGTAACAGCTCCATGGCTCATGTCATTCAATATAATCCGAACAACAACTTCAAACCATATTGTAACATCAGATAAGTCGTTGACTCCAGGGCCCACCTGGTCAGTGGTCAAGTCGACCACTGTCTCCATCTTCCACTCTCCAAGGCAGCAGTGCCCGACCAGACACATCTCGAATCTTCAAGGCATTGCTGTCTTTGCGTTGACCAAATGTACTTCGTGCATCATTCCCTGCTCTCTGAAGGAAAGCTTTGACCGTTCCATCAATACCAAAATGTACCGCCAACTGACCTCCTGTCATTTGCTTATCCTTTGACAAACCCCCTTGCTTTAGCACCTGGACTGACGCCTTTACTTTCATCTCACAATTCAGAAATTCCACAGCTTCAGAGAATAAAGTCGAAGCGCCACGAGCGTGATGCCCCCAGTTGCATGTGGCGTAGTCATAGAGCGGATACACGTGCAGACGCTCCGTAAGGTCCCACCCTGTTCGACACGGTCCGGTCTCAAACGCGCGAAACGATAGATAAGAGATGCATGTTTGTGCTATTTTAGTCTCTGCATCTGGAAACCAATGTTTCTGCGTTTGCTGAAAGTATTCTTGTATCGTACAGTGGGCGAATTGAATGATGCCGCTGGCTTCATCTACCGTGACGAGTCCGGCACAAACGGAGATCGCCTCTTCAATCTGTGGAAGGTTGTCGTGGCCGAGGTCGGGTTCGTCGTGCTCCACGGCGAGGGCGTGCTGAAGTTCAGTTGGCGAGAGCGGTCTCTTTGCGTAGGTGATCCATGAGAGAGTATCTCTCGCGAGCTTTTGAGAATCACTGTCCAGCTCCCAAATGCGTTGCATAGTATCGTTATATGGATGTTTGTATGCGAACCCGGTAGGAAGGCTTTTCAAGCTGTCTCGAACCTTTTTGATTGTTTTTCGTGTTTTGACCGTGTCAAAGTGTAACTGGGCCAGGAGAAACCTAGCTCATGATTAGCATGCGTAGACGGGTATTGAATATCATTTCTTACATTCCATCTGCGGCTTCTGTTATGCTATTTTGAATATCTTCAATATGTGATGCCAGAATGGTAGACTGTAGTTGTGATACCCGGGCGCGTAGATATCCCCGTATATCTTGGTCATGCGCACGGATTTCCAATTTAGTGCTGGACTTGAATGTCTCCGAAATTTGCGGAATGAACCTGGAAGTGGCGAATATGTTTACACCACATTGTGCCTGGAGGTTGGTGAGCTGCGATAGAAACCCTGCTAGGCAACCATCGGAGGTTTGGCATTCGTCCAGCGCGTCAACGATGATGAAGACTCTTGAATAAATTCTCGCAACAGACACGAGGGCCTGCATAATTTCTCCAAGCAATGGCCGTGTTTGCTTGTTTTTATGCTTGTTATGTATAGGTCGCACGATGTCTAGCGCGAAAGGCCGGTCCTGGCACAACTGCTTCAGAAGGCTTGCGAGTAAGTCTTCCAGCCTTTGTTCATCCTTGTGGCGAAAGTTGCAGTATATATACGCTATTCCAACAGACTGATCCTGCAAGAGCCGTGTAGTTAGGTCGTCGATGACGATTGCGGTCATCATTGTTTTCCCTGCTCCGGGAATGCCTGGACAGAATAGCGTTTGACAGTCGGAGGTTCGCCAAAAACAGTACTCATCAGAGTCCAAAAACCACTGGCCAGTGCCTGGTTGTCTTTTTCTTATCAGCTCGCTGTGACGGGGGCCATAGTCAATTGGTGTAAGCCAATTAAGAATCTCGAGATCCTCGTTTCTGGCCATCTTGGACCTTATTATTTCAAGCGTGCCAACGACTGTAAAGTCTGTCAGCAATCGTCACTGGAGACAGTGAGAGACTTTTTGAAGACTAACCATGACCCAGGATGTCCTGATCTGAGCGCTCTCCGACAACCTCACTTGGCTGTACATACTGGAGAAGCTCCTTCGCACAGGCTGCCGCTACACCTGCAGCATATTCCTGCCACTCGTCGGTCGTCTGTGAATCAGCATAATTGCTGATTCCACGAATGACAAGACATGGGAAGTCATCCATCAGCCCTGCGGCGCCTGTCTCAACACACATCACGTCCCCGCCAAGATACTCATCAAGACTATCACGAAATCTCGCATCCGTGACTGCCTGGCTACCCGACGCTATTAGCCCGTAATGCACGCGCATGCCTTCGGATCGCCTTTCGGGTGCATCCATTTCCACTTGTTCTAGATCAAGGTCTATGCGGGCGATACTGTGCCCTTTGCGACATGATGCATGAGTATACGCCGGCACCATGTTTGGCCATTTCCTCCCCATATCGTCCAGATACTGAGGTATCTTATACCCCCATAGCTCACCCTGGGACTCCATCTTCGCCAACGCTGTTAACAGCGCCGTCGGAGGGCTATTATGCCCGCCAACCCGACCAAACGGCCTACCGTCTTGTGCCTTTCCAAAGTCCCACTCCACCACTCCCTGATGCTCATCCCCTGGAGTGCCGACAACAACATCACCGAGACTAACCTTGGGCGGAATACCGCCGCCGATCCCAACCAAGAGGCTGAATTTTATAAACGGAAAAGTGCGCGCCATCTGCGTCGCCGAGATTGCAATTGAACTATTGCTAATTTCTCCTCTCGGTAGACATGCTATAACAATGTTGTGCTTGCCGATAGACCCTAGTGTGTATGCATTAGGGTCATCTGACGGCTTGGGAAGATTCGGGTGTATTTGGTCTAGAATAGCTGTCGCCGCTGTCAACTCCCTTGGCAACGCGCAGATCCATCCAACGGTATAGTCGCTGTAAGTTAGGTTGACGGCATGGGGCCCGAGTCCCGCAATTTTGTAGCCTGCCTCGCTAGACACAATCTGTGAGTCGACACCGGCGTCTCCCATATCATCGATTTCTTGGATTGTTGTTATAGGTCAAAAGTCTGTGAGAAGTGGAAAGGAAAAAAGGAACGGGGTGAGGCAGGCATCACTTATACATGATTCAGCCTCATGGGGTAAAGCATGGCGCGTAATGGGCGCCTGGTATATGCAGTCCTGCCGCCAACACAAGGATGACTTCTTTTTATAGATTTGATCCCGCTGATCTTGTCAAATAGAGACAATGCTTTATATAGACAGGTCTGAAAAGAAGTAAAATAACACCATATGAGATGCTTTGCCATACAGCATCAGATGTATAATTGATAACGCGTCTCATTGTCGCGAAGACCTTCGACCGTGGCGACTTGAACTGCGGCAAGCGCCCACCCAGGAGGATTTGCCATGTTGTCTTTAAGTTGTTGGAAGATGAGAGACTAGGCCGCTCCATGGCTGAATAAAGATAAGATGATACAATATATGATGATGAGTGAGTTGTTGTGAGAGGAAGAGTTCAGAATTGTAAAGATGTCACTGCTGTAGTCAGGTGACAGCCACTATCTATCGACCACAGACAGTCATCACTTCATGAATAGATTCAATTTCCTCGATTGATACACCAACTAAACCGGTAGCTATGTACACACAAACCCGTGGTTATACACAGAGTGGCTAAATAACGAAGCAAAAGAAATAAACAACCTAAACAACCTCAAGCAACCAGCTGCGCACACGCTTACCCTGCTCCGTCTCTGTTTTATCCCCGATATGCAGGTTATAGACAGGAGCGACATGGCCTTCCCGCTTGCCGAGGCAGTATTCCACCTCGTTGGGGAAGCCCTTTCGGAGCTTTTCCACAAATTGCTCAATGACAGGCAGGAGGATCTCGCGTTCGCCGGCGCAGACCAGAACTTTACGGACGGGGAAGGTCTCGAACCACTCCACAGGGGCATCGGCCAGATCCGTGTAGTTATCGCGCGGGGCGGTGCCAAGGTAGGAGCCAGCCCAGGGTGCCGCGACGGCCTCGGTGATGAGATCCCCGCGCGAATCGATGACGTGGTCCGTGAAGTCGGTAATCATCATCGTCCAGGGCGCGATCATGACGGCGCCACCCAGTGGTTGCGACAGGGTCAGGGGGTCGATCAGCGGGTGAGGGTGCGCCAGATGCGACATTACGCCGCCCACCAGGTTGCCGCCAGCGGAGTCGCCGCCGAGCAGGATCTGTTTGCTTGGGTTCTGGCCGGCGATGTATCGAAGCGCTGACACGGCCTGGCGTAGCTGCGTGGGGTAAGTGGCCGTGGGAGCCAGTGAGTAGGTCAGAGTGAAGACCGAGAACGACTTGCCGGCGCGGCTGGCGTCACCGACTAGGGTCCCGAAGAATTTGAAATACGCCATGTTGGCCGGGAGAGCAAAGCCGCCACCTGGCTTTTTATCAGAATAGGTTCAAAATGATACCCCAAAGGAGAGCATACCGTGATACCAGATCAGCACAGTGTCAGCATCATGCTTTCCGATCCAGTGTCCCAAGGCGCCATCCCCCAAATCGACTGTGTTGGCGAGCTGCTTGGCCTTGCGCGCGTACTGCTCATAGATCTTGTTGGTCGGAGGCAGCACATACTGCATCTGGCGGATGGATAATCGCGCGGTGGCCTTGCGAAAGGTGGCATATCCGATGTGCAAGAGCCAGCTCTTGGGATAGTGTTCGGAGCGCCAGAGCCCGGTGAACATGGCCCACACGATGGTGAGCCATAGCGTCCCGAGGGCAGGGATGAAGTCGAGCTTCTCACGCAGGGTGAGGGATACGCCGTTGAACATAGTGGGCGGGCAGCAGTGGACTGATGTTATCCAGAGAAGAGGGGAATTGGCTGGGAATGGAGCCATATAATGGCGGGTGGGAGTACATGTGAAGAAATCGCAACCATTACCCGATCCGGAAAAGATGTGCCATTCCCAGCGTCCCAGCAGACCGAACCCCACGATGATCCACCAAATCCTGGTCTATTTTGTACTCTGTCCCTCGGTCCCCCCAGATCTGCCTTTTCCCATTTTTCTTAATCTTTTCTAGGCTTTAGTCTAGCGCGTCTCGCGACTCGCGACCCTTCCTGAATGGGGCAACCATTACTACCTACCTACCTATATTACCGAGGAACATGTGAGGCGATAATCTGATTGGATGCTCAAGTCTCCAATGACTTAATGCCAAATCGGAGTCGTCGCGAATCGACTGGACATTGTTGTCATTTTTTATTTATATCCGACCGACACTTCCCCATGTTGGTCGGTGTCGCCCCTTCATCTTCACCCCCTTCCTTCCTCCTGCCTTCCTTTCCACCTCCGACCTCCTCAACATGGACGATTACGACGTCGTCATCGTCGGCGCCGGCATTTCCGGCATCAACGCGGCCTACCGCCTGCAGTCGCAGTTCCCCAACTTGCGCTATGCCATCCTCGAGGCGCGCACGTCGCTAGGAGGCACCTGGGACCTCTTCCGCTATCCCGGAATCCGCTCCGACTCGGACCTCTTCACCTTCGGCTTCGAGTGGTACCCCTGGGACCAGGACTGCGCCATCGCCGACGGGCACGCGATCGCGGCCTACGTGCGCAACGCGGCCCGCCACCACGGCATCGACCAGAAGATCCAGTACGAGCAGCGCATGCTGGGCGCAGACTGGTCGACAGAGGACCGCACCTGGACGCTGAGCGTCGATCACCAGGGCCAGGTGCGGTCGGTCTCGGCCCGGATGGTCATCTTCGGAACGGGCTACTACGATTACAACACGCCGCTGCAGACCGAAATCCCGGGGCTGAACAACTTCGAGGGCCAGGTCATCCACCCGCAATTCTGGCCCCAGGACTTGGATTACACAGGCAAGAAGATGGTCGTCATCGGCAGCGGCGCCACTGCGATCACGCTGCTGCCCAAGCTGGCAGAAAAGGCGTCCCACGTCACGATGCTGCAGCGGTCGCCCACGTACATCCTGTCGCTGCCCAACAACCAGCGCACCTGGCTCAGCTACATCCTGCCGACGGCGCTGTACCGCAAGATGCAGCGCATCAGCTGGATGATGACCTCGCGCTGGTTCTTCCTCTTCTGCCAGTCCTTCCCGTCGGTCGCGCGCTTCATCCTCCGCCTGCAGGTCTGGCGGCAGCTGCCCAAGGGCGTGCCCTTCGAGCCGCACTTCCGCCCGCGCTACAACCCCTGGGATCAGCGACTGTGTGTCAGCCCCGACGGGGATTTCTTCAAGAGTCTCCACGAGGGGCGGGCCTCCATCGCGACCGACACCATCCGGGAAGTCACCAAGACCGGCATCTCCATCAGCTCCGGCCAGCACCTCGAGGCGGACATGATCGTGACCGCGACGGGGCTGCGGCTGCAGGTCGCGGGCGGCGCGTCGCTGACCGTCGACGGGGAGCCGCTGCACATCGCAGACAAGTTCCTCTGGCACGGCCTGATGCTGCAAGACCTGCCGAACGCGATCTTCGTGCTCGGGTACGCCAACGCGTCGTGGACGCTCGGCGCCGACGCCACCGCCCTCTTCGCGTGCCGTCTACTCCGCGAGCTGGAGCGGCGCGGCGCGCAGGCAGCTGTGCCGCGCCTGACCCCGAAACAGGCAGCGCAGCTGAAGCCGCAGCCGCTGCTGACGATCAACTCGACGTACGTGCTCACGGCGGCGGACTCGCTGCCCAAGGCGGGTGACAGCGGGCCGTGGAAGCCGCGGAACAACTACCTTGAGGATGTGAAGTTTGCGCGGAATGGGAATGTGGATGAGGCGATGGAGTTTGTGGGGGAGAAGAAGGTGCAGTAACTGATGATACCATATTTGATCGATTTTACATGATAAGTTATGATAAGTAGACTGTCGATTACATATCCATTTCCCTTGAACAATAGACTATAATCAGACAATACTTTATCAAGTCAATAATGGGATGAAGAGGTGAGTATGTAATCACACCTCACGACACAGCCAGAGCGAGTGTCCCCAAAACAGAAATCTGAAGTCATCGACTACAGTGATGTCACGACTCTGCCCCAATACAAATAACGACACAATCACAAACCACATAGATCATCATTCATCCATATTCCATTCTCATCAAGCCTCATCCAACCTTAACTTGCTCTCTACCACACACGGTCTACAGCCAGCTAGCTATCAACCAACCAAGAGCTACAAAATGGACTCCCTCAAAGACAAGGTGCACGAGATTGAGGAGGGCGCTAAGAAGCAGTTCGATAACTTATTCCACAGTATGCTCTCTCTCTTTTCTTCCCTGTCTCTACACCTAATTATCATGGGTAATAGATAAACTGACAAAATGACAGACAAAGAATCCCAACAGGACAGTACGTGCTCATCGACTGCGTCCCCGTCCCCGTCCCCATCACCATCACCATCATCATCACACATACAAATACACAAGAATCCAAAACAAGCAAGAACCACAAGACCCAAAATCCACAGTCAAAAACAAGCCCAAATCCAAGCCCAAACACAAACAAACCCACACTCCCCAATCAAGCTCGTCCCCAGCCAGCAGCAGCAGCATGTGCGCAGGGCGAGACAGCATTCTCGATTGCGTAATTGGTTTCGTTAGACTTTCTACAAACCTCTCTCTTTGGGACTTTCTTTTTCAAATTCATTATATATATTAACTAATTAATTAGACGTGAACGAGCAGGCGAAGAAGAAGACCGAGGACGCTAAGAAGTCTGCGACGGATCAGGCGAAGAATCTGGCTGGGAGGGAGTAATGGGTCTTATACCTGTTGAGTGATTCTGGATGGATGGTACAGAATTTGTTTGACTTGGGCCAATGTGGATATGAATCTGTTGAGTGGAGAGTAGTATATAGGGTGTTGTCTAATGGCGTATAAATTGATGGTTCCATTATCGGACTGTTCTTTTACTTTGCTATTGAACCTTTTACTATTGCAACTTCCTTCCTTTGAAATAGTAGAGATACGCGAAGTATTCAACAACTGGTCATATTTTGACTACACGTGCGATTCAAGGATAGACAAATCATGCGCGACAGCACTTCAAGACGAAACTACACCCAGTCAAGCCTTCCCTTCCTCATCGACGTTAGGCTGCTTCCCCTGGTACTGGCTCTGAGGGAGATGGTTGAGCTCATCCTCCTGGCGATCAAGCTTATAGTTCGTCGACCAGAAGCCCACGCCGCCAATGAAAGCCAGAATAGCCACGACGGCATAGTTCCACTCCAGTAGGGGGTCCTCCGCAAGACCAACGAAGGCCTGGCCGATGGCCGAGGAGAAAGCATTCATGAAGAGCGCGACAGCCTGGATGAGAGAGCGCATGTTACGGGGGGCCTTGGTGAAGGCATACTCGAGGGAGGTGACCGAGGCGAAGATCTCAGAGATACCGCCCAGCACGTAGGTAAGAGCCTGGACCCAGACGGAGATGGGGGAGTACTTCTTGTGCTTGTCGAGACAAAAGTTGGCCTCCTTGCCGCAGTCGCCGAGCTTGTAGATGTAGTGTTGGGTGACTGTTGCTGCGATCATGGACGTGCCTGCGAAGAAGAACCCGGCTGTGATGCGCTTGACGGGCGTGAATTGGAAGCCGATCCGGCGGAGGCCCGGGTAGACGAGGCGGTCCATGATGGGGATGAAGATGATGAGGGCGAGGGGGTTGAGGTTGTTGATGATGTCGTTGGGGACGCCGCCGAGACGCATTGTAGCTGTTTGTTTTGTTAGTGGTGGGAGTGTTGGGGAGGGAGCGGGTAGGCGTACCCGCTTGGGAGGTGAGGTTGTTCAACATTTGGTTGTAGGCCAGCCCTGGATTGATTATGTTAGATTGCCGTTTTCTGTCGAAGTCGTCTGCTAGGGGAGGACTCACAATACAGAGGGTACCACAGGAAGACCTTGCAGGCTTTGAGGCCACGAGCGACCTCGTCCACCCATTCATCGTCAAACGTCATCCACTCCGGGCGGTTGGCGCCAAGTGCGGACGGCTTGACCCCGTCCCAGAACGGACGGTCATTCTTCTTGAACCTATGTCGGTCAGCATGTCGCTAGATCATTGAGAAGGAGATGAGAAGGACATACATTCGGGCTGGGTTCAGCGACCAGCGTCCCTTCATCGCCATCTTCCACAGGCGGAAGGCCTGCAGATACACCGACCCCGTCGGCTTCACAAAGTGATACTTGTTACGGCAGAGGAAGAGCACGATAGGGCACCAGAGGAACATGATGGTAGGCAGCAGGTACGACAGCCAGAAGCCGACGTAGCGCTCGGCGTAGACCATGCTGACCTGGCCGGCGAGAGAGCCAGTGTTGACCATCAAGTAGAAGTACAGGTAGATGCGAGAGACGGTAGCGGCGGGATCGATGATGACGCGCTCGCCGGACTCCAGGGTCTGAATGTAGGGTGTATCCTCGCGGTACTGCTCGGCGATCAGGGGGGAGATGTTGGACTTGAAACCGCCCGTGCCCATGCCCATGATGATCAGACCAATCGAGAAACACGCGACCGAGCCGCCGGGGTGCGCGATGACGGCGGGAATGGCGGAGACGATCAGGATGCTGTGACCGACGAGAGCGACGCCGATCGAGAACATGATGGTGCGGAATCGGCCCCAGTACTGATCGGCCATGTAGGCACCTACCAGGGGCATGATGTAGGCCCAGAAGGCATTGACTGTGACAATTAGCAAGGAACCGACCAGTTTTCGAGTGGTCACATCAATTGGGGTCAATTGAGGGGGAGGGGTGGAAACGTACACAAGGTCAAGCCAGTCGAGGCCTGTTGACCCAAGCCCAGGGCGCCTGGGATGCCATCATCCCCACCCGCACCGGTGGTGGAACCATCGGGCAGAGGACGCTGGAGGAAGTTGACAAAGACCGCCGTGGTGCCGTAGTAGGAGAAACGCTCGCAGAGCTCGACAAACGCTACAGTGTAGGCCGTCCAAGGGATCTTGCCTGCGACGCGACGCAGCGTACGCAGATCATCGTCAGTGGGGTACGTCTTCTTCGAGTCGAGATCGTCATCCACCGGCGTCACCTCGGCCACGGCAATCTCCTTGGAGGCAGGGATCTCCTCGATGCTGGGACTGGACGATCGCTGGCGCTGAACAGAGATCTCTTTGCTGTCGGTCATGGTGGCGCGTGCTTTGGCGATCTCGGTCACATCGACCGGATCAGAAGCGTTCATGATGGCAGATATGGATGGAAATTATGAGGGAGATGAGGTGGGAAAGAAGAAAAGAAAAAAAAGAGAAGGAAAAGCCCGAAGATTTATGGGGGAGGGGGCCCTGTAGACATGTATTTAATAGACAACAGGAATTCCCTCCCACCTGCCACAAGGAGCAACCCAAAACGTCTAGGGTTCAGTTCGAACCATCCTATCGGGGAACAGCTATCTATCCCAGTCACGCGTGATCGGAGGAAATGTTCCATTCACTCGGTCTAGCAGGGAATGCATCCATTGACTTTCAGGTGGTACAGCAGGCCAAGCCCACCGCAAGTAACCGGGGTCTGGCGAGGCAGACCTTTTTTGCCATATCGATATAAATCTCGCAGAGTATGGTCCGTGTGACAGAGGCGTTGGGCCTGGATACGAACAATCCAACAGGATGGTAGCATTGGCAATTCTTAGGGTCATAGACGACAGGGGAGAAGGGGGGAAGAGATCAACCCAAATTGAAGTAGAGTTTCTATGGACCGATAGGTAAATATGCGGGGAAACGAGTAGGAACGGGAGGAACTGATAGGGACCAACCCGCACCCCGACTTGGCGCGGCCTGGGCGCCAGTCTTGGCCAGGCTTTTCCAATGCAACCTTGACCCTTGGCAGGACTTGGTCTGCCATTCCGATGTTTCCCCTACTGACAAGCGAACGGTAGGAGAGATTTCGCGTGGCTGTCCCACCCTATCATCTCGTTCGCCACAGGCCATGGACCCCGCAGATTCCACCGTTATCAGAATAGATGAAACCAAGAACTTGGAAATACCTGATCGGGAAGAGTTGGTTTTACCTCCACGCTATCTGGACCGTACCAGTTCATTGGCATGACCAACGGAAATATCATAACCTGATAATGGAGAGTCGAAGCGAGACCAGGGATAGGTGAGGTGCAATATCGGACTAGGGCACATGGGTCACCTGATTATTTTATATTCTGCGGAGTCCATCCTTCGACCTATATCACTCGTATTATACCTCCTATTGATTTTCATTTATTTTCCCAAACCTGTGATATCCTGCAACATACTTGCCTACTTTACTTGGTCACAGATAAGATAATGATATAAAACAAGTGGATTGAGGAGTCACTTGTCCCAGGCCCGTCCCAGCCACCCAACCAAGGCCTGTACTAAAATACATGAATAGAAGACAACATGAAAGCATAAAAATCATAAGATATCAAAGACCCAAAACATATGAAAGACATAAGACATAAGACATGACAGACATCAAACGTAAAACATAACAAAGAAGAAACGTAGAAGAAACAAGAAAGACATATAAAAAGAAATAAAACAAATCACCACCACCTCTTTTCCTCATCAATCTTCCCCCACTTAAACTGAGTTGGCGTATTAATGGAAACGTCAAACCCCCATTCATTCAATCTCCTCCTCTTTAACAAAGACCCAATCCGCAACTGCAGAATGAGCCGGCCGAGCGACGAAACGTGCGAGCCGAGCATGACGCGAGCCACAGGGACCCGTCGCCGCTGCGAAAACCGAAACCCGGCGTGCCCAACCGAGTCCCCCCAATCACCACAACTCGCCTTATCATCCGCCTCCGCCACCGAGTCGGACTCCCCCTCCGACCGCCCACCACCATCACCACCACTACCACTACTACCCCCGAACTCGGTCCCCGAAGGGTAGGACACACCCGTAACCTCGAAGATCACAGAGACGACATCAGCCCCATGCTTCCCCGCCGCCTTCTCGATACCCGCGACGAGTGTCGGATCGGCCCACGCACGGTCGATTACTGCTTCGAGGTGGGGCGCTGGTCGGAGTGGCGGAGCCGGGTGCGTCTGCGGGTTGTGCGGAAGCTGCACCGAGAGGAGGGCGACCTGGAGGCGTCTCCAATGGTGAGGGCGAAGGGAGACGTAAGGGCGTGGTGGTGAGTCGAAGCGACGCAGTCTGGTGAGTGAGCGCGCGGAGGGTCGGATTTCGCCGTCGGATTCGGTTGATGTCTGGAGGTATGTTTCGATGTCGCTATGCCACTGCGAGGTTGGTCGGTGGGCAGGGGCATGTGGGCGTGTTTCGAACATGTTGGTTGGGGTCATTGTGGTGTCGTATATGATGTTGAGGTCGGTGGCACGTGGGTCGATGAATGCCCGGGTGCCCTGAGGGTCGGTGTCGAACAGGTCTTGCCAGGTCGACATGTTGGTTTTTATGTTGTTTTATATGTTGTCTTATATGGTGTTTTAGATGTGATTGATGTTGCTTTGTCTGATTATCAGACGGAAGTAATGTCGATTGATATCTGGACGCTACCAGATGGAGGAGGTGGATGGCGAGTATGTCTGATTATTATCAGACGGAGGTATATGCCGAGTATGTCTGGATGTTCCCAGATGGAGGAGGTATTGATGTGGTGTGATGTAATGACTGCTGATGCAGTAAGGTCGTAAGAAGCGAGTGTAGTCCCGTTTGGTATAGGACTGGAGGAGGCTGAAGATGTATATAATCTCCAAGAGGTAAGCGAGTGTCTGACACAAGACAAAGTCTCAAGGCAGATTGTTAACTACGAGCGAGTGACGTACGAAGATATAGTCGATCTCCAAAGCTTATTGATAACGAAAGTTGGTATACGGACAGATGGTTGCAGAAGGGAAGAAGAAAAGTCGTGGGCGACGGGCCAGCTCGCCAGATTTATACCCAGGTGAAAGTCTATTCACACATCCGATGATCCCGACCTTTCGGTTCCAGATACCAACGATGCTGGTCATCGTACAGAACGAGCCGTGTATGCCGCTCGTTCCTGACGACGGGTGATATAGTCCTGACGGCAGTTAGGGTTTGATATCGCGTTGCGGGCCAACGACATGGTGGGGAATGCGCGGGCCGCTAATGCCGAGCTTAAAGAAAAGCTTGTCTGGCCTATTTTGGGTAACATTGGTATTGTACTATTGTTGTGCTTATGCGTCTTTGTTCGGGGGATATTGCCAGGTGTTTACGTCTGGGTTGTTTCTTGACTTTCATAGTTACTGCGCTGAGGAAGAGAATGGATATGGTTGCTAGGATGAGGTGATTTCTGGCCTGCTGGTTTTTTCGTCTGGAAAGAGGTAACAGCACTCGTTCTTCTCGAAGCTTCTACTGTTATGCTGTAACAATGACATGCTAGACATTTCATCTAATGGGAATGCTCTGCGTTCGCTATTGTTACAATACAGATTGAAGTCATCTCTGTAAGGCATGACTCACACTAACAATGACAGATGAATTACTCAATATACTTGGTATGTCAATTCTGAACGAGTTACAGCATCACGACATCGTAGATCATCCCAGAACAAATATCAAACAACAACACGATAGAGCTATACCAAGCACTACCAACAGCATATCAAATATGTAGAGAATCCCCAATCTTAACAAGTACCTCATACGAATCCGAACGGTAGTCATCAGTCAGTAGCTCCGCATGATCATTGAAGAACTGCATGAGCTGCTTCTTGTCTTTCCACTGCGGCCACTCCATCAGATCGCCGCGACGCGAGTTCGGGTCCTGATCGTAGACGAAGCTGAAAAAGTAGGTGTGAATAGCACGCGAGGCGTAGTTGGGGAGGATGCCGTAGAACACCTGTAGAATGTCGGTACCGTGCACGGTGCCGAGGATGGGCGTTCCGTAGTTATACGACGACAGGTAGGACCAGCTGGGAACGTCGGGGGATACTTCTGCGGCGTTGTTCAGAAGCACCCGTCGCGAGAGGTTGAAGAGCACGTCGCCGAGAATCGCAGCCAGACGTTTGAACTGGGGGTACCAGTTATTGAGCATGCCGGTGCGGAACGGCGAGCCGTGCGTGTTGGTGTCCTCGTATGAGGCGACCAGCTCCTCCAGCTGCTCGCGCGAAGCCTTGTCCCAGAGGTATCCGCTGAGATAGTCGACGAGGTCGTCCGTGGTGGTGATATTGCTCTGGAACAGCGCGAACAAGGTCCCCTCGTCTTCCTGATCGCCGATGATAAACGGGACGCGCGCGTACTTTCCGGCCTTGCCGAGCCGTTCGGGGCTCTCCGTCAGGACTTTTCCATCGGGACGAGGCAGATACGACAGCGCGGGGGAGTAGTAACTGAGCAACCCCGGCACGGAATTAGTAGCGTTGAGGAGATCGTCGTAGTCGAGTTCGCGAAGACACTGCAAGGAGCTGGGAGCCTTATCGCACTTGGCGACCGAGACCACCTTGTCGTAGATGCGCTGGGCCCGCTTGCTGTCCATCGGCTCCGCTGGGGTGGCCCCGCCAGAGCTCATGATGCCGCCTTGGAACAGAGGCTTTCCCTTGTAAGTATGGTCCCCATCAAACAGAATCATCTGGTCATAGACGGAAATGGAGCCTGCCGACTCGCCCCAGATCGTCACCCGGTCCGGATCACCTCCAAAAGCTGCAATGTTGTCGGCGACCCACTGCAGCCCTGCCCGCTGATCCAGCAGGCCCAGATTGGACGCGCCGTCCTCCAGAACCTCTTTCCCAGGCAAGAATCCAAACCCAGCGACGCGGTAGCTGATGCCCACGAAAATGACCGGCATGTCCAGGTCCACCGAACTACTGACCAGGGGCGTGCCATCGTACATCAGCGACGAGCCCAGCTCAAAGCCACCACCGAAGAACCACACCAGCACGGGCAGCTTCGACTCGGGCGTGGTGCCCGCTGGGCGACGAATGTTGAGTCCCAGGCAGTCTTCACCCTCACTAACCACCTTCTGGAGCAGCGGATGATTCGCCAGCTGGCCGACCAGCGACCCAGGGAACTCGGTATTGTCCGTCGAGAAGAAGAATTGCGGGCAGGATTTCGAGATTCCGGTTGCTTCGACCGTTCCGAGCGGCTTATCCAAGGGGCGAGGGGGTCTCAGGCGAAGCGACCCGGTGGGTTGCTGCGCGAAGGGGATGTTGTTGAACTTTTCCACCTGGCTCAGGCCATCGCTGCCGATGATGGTGGCAGAGGGCTCTGCGATGGTCACCGTTGGCGTCGCGACAACGGCCGACGCCAATGCGAGGAGTGGCGCAAGGCGAGAGAAGATCATGGTGCCGAAGGTGGGTAGATTGTTGTCAAAGGAAAGACCGAGCTAGGAAGGGTCTGGCAGCCATTTTATCACTTTTTAGTCGCGCCCACAACGGCGCATTCTGCGTCTGCAGATCTGCCATTTTGCAGGCCTGTCAGTCAATGCACGACGCGATTGACAATCGGTTGGTATCCACGATCCCAAGTGCCGGCCATATGAGCATGTAAAACAGCGTCGGCGATTCCTGCATCTCGATGACACCCATAATTTGCCATTCCCATGTGAACCGAGGCAGATCGTTTCACGGACAACGGTAGACACAAGAATGCCGGACAGGCTGACGGGGGTTGACCCCTATCCTATCCCCACGTTCGCGGGAAAATTTCCCCCGTAATTGATGCTGCAGATCATTCCCGTGCGGGGAACCGTTGCGGACCAGATCGGCCAAAAGGGGAGTCGGAAAGGGCTGAGAGTGACCTGCCGATATGAAATAATCAGGATGATTCTGGTGTTGTATAGTTTCATGCTGCAGTTTCTATTATGGATATGCCGAGCTCTGACTCCGGACTCGTGCATCATATGCGACAGGTGGTTGACACCTGACTCGACCATCTGAGGTGCATAAGCCGTCGGTATTTCAAAGAGACCAATTGAGAGTACACCATAAATCAAAAGCAAGTGCCGCCATGGATATAGGGTGATTGACAGAGCCCAAACATGCTTTGATAGCTTTCTAGCCGAGTGATGATTCTTCTTTTATTGCGACACTCAATTGATTTCATGACACAAAGGACTAAAATCAACTGAGAAGTACTGCGAGTCACACCCATACTGTCTTCAGACGTCTTCTCCAGCATGCTGTATGTGGTGGTCTTGATAAGATAGAATTCAACCTCTGCACCTACTCATTTGGCGTTGACTGGGAGTCACGAATCTCTAAAGAACAGTCGGCGTGCTGTCCGCAAGGCTTATCAATCGTCTCTCGTCCCTCTAAAAGGGCGCCGCTGCGTCTCTTTGGCCCAGGGTGACAATATTTGTCACATTGTATTGGACCATAGAATGGAGCTTTCGATGTGATCATCTCTCGCATCGTCCCGGAGCATATCACCGGGAGAATGACTTGATGACAGGGTTCGACTGCTCCCGGTCCCACACAACTACCATGTTCTCACCGTGAACCATGCGTTACAAATGATTGAGAAAAACACAAGACATTGAATACAACAGGGCTGAGAGGAGCACCTGTCAAGTATGCACCTCAAAAAGGTATAAAAGTGCGCTCGCTAGCACTCATAACCGGGGCCTGAGCGGCCACCCTAGAGGCCAAAACACCGCTGGCTTTCTATATCGTGCGCTCGCAAGCTTTGACAAGTTTAACGGGATAAGTACGAAGTTGGTCAAATGTGTCATTACAAGGAGGAAGTTATGCGAGATGGCCAGGACTGGTGCATGGAATTGCACCGATACAGGCTGGAATCTAGTACCCTCTTGATATATACCACTGAACAGGGCCATTGACCAATCAGTTGCTTCACCTGACTAAAGTCTGATGCTATTCAAGGTCCTATACAGATTTATCTCGACACACTACATCCTTTCTTAGACCAAGGAGAGCACCACTACTCAACGTGATAATCTATCTGAGGAACCTGATATCTGCCTCCACGTAGAAAAAGTCATGTCTACGCAAGACTTTGTGGGTCAGAGTCCCCCAGGAGGGTTTCAACAGACCAGCAATTGATTCTTTGATTGCATAATCTATCACTCGTAATACCCACCATCACTACTCGTGGTTCGCTAAACTATTCGGTGTGCTATCCAAGGCCCTCCAATACAGTTATTGCTGGCGTGAATATGATTCGCTATAACCACTTTGAGAGACAATTATCCGGTAAGCGTATTGAAAGGCATGATGTACGCAACGGGATACTTGTCATGATTTGATAGGACAATCTGCCAGTTGAACTGACGCAATTATGACTTTCGTTAATTTTTTGATTAACATCCAAACTCCTTGCAACCAAAAGCTGTCAAGGGGGAATTGGGAGGTAATCAGGGCCATTCCCGCTGAGAATAGTTGCTTTTATGGACTGTGTCGCACTGAGATGGGGTTACTTACGAAAGCTGAAACATGGTGTCTTTCATAGTGGAGTGGCAATATGTACTCATTCACTCCAGCAGACTTGAACAAGGCTTCCAGATTCACCCGATGCAAACCCTCGACAGGCCGCTAATATAACACACACGAGAAATTTGGAAAATCTCTATTGAGAATGGTATGATGGGAGCGTAGAACTTAGGGACACGAAAAAATGGAGGGCTGCACGAGCCAGGAAGGAGCAACAATATAGAGTTTGTCGGTACGACATGCTATAATGCAGATCTGCCTGCAGGGTTGCACCGACCAACCTACTCTTTCTAGTCAGCTGAGGTAGATAATCTTTGCAGTACACCGAAGACCTAGCAGTGATATCCTTACAACCCATAAGATGGAGCGGTTCTTCGAGATATCAAGTGATGACCCTGAAATCCCGTCCACAGTTCAACAGACAAAACCCCGCCATGCTGACACCTCTTTCACGCGCCCTAGGCATCTGTAGCCTAGGTCTAACAGCGTTTGCCGCTGTATCTATACAGCCTCGACAGTCATCTTTAGACACCTGGTTAAGCAGTGAAATCAAGTACGCACGTCAGGCGATTCTGAATAACGTTGGATCCAGCGGCGTCTGGGTGCCGGGAGCGAAGACAGGCGTGGTCGTGGCCAGCCCCAGCACCTGCAATCCTGATTGTAAGCATTATCACTACAGGCTTGAAACACAAGTTAACCGGCAGACTTCTATACGTGGACGCGTGATTCAAGTCTGGTGCTTAAAACACTGGTGGATTTGTTCCGCAACGGGGATGCCGGCCTGCTATCGATCATTGAAGAGTGGATCTCCTCGCAGGCGCAAATCCAAGGCGTCACAAATCCTTCTGGTGATTTGTCCAGTGGGGGTTTAGGCGAACCGAAGTTCAACGTCGACGAGACGGCATACACGGGATCGTGGGGCCGACCGCAGCGTGATGGACCTGCTTTGCGAGCCACGGGGATGATCGCATTTGGCCAGTGGTTGATTGTATGTCTGACACTCTAGAATTCCTATCATAATATTGATGGCTGTAGGAACGCGGATATACCAACGTGGCATCGAGTCTGGTATGGCCGGTGGTGCGGAACGATCTGTCCTATGTGGCGCAATACTGGAATCAAACGGGATATGGTAACCGCTTTCCCAACCGCATTAGTTGTACGTTTGGGAAAGGGAGTCACTCATTCTTGTTATATGCAGATTTGTGGGAAGAAGTTTCCGGGTCCTCATTTTTCACCCTCGCTGTGCAGCACCGTGCGCTGGTAGAGGGGAGTGCATTTTCACGGAGCGTCGGCGCAACTTGTCCCTACTGTGACTCACAGGCACCCCAAGTTCTCTGTCTTTTGCAAAACTTTTGGACAGGGAGTCACGTCCTTGCTAATATTGGTGGAGGACGCAGCGGCAAAGACGCCAACACACTGCTCGGTAGTATTCACACCTTCGATCCCCAAGCAGGCTGCGACGACTCGACGTTCCAGCCATGCTCACCGCGCGCTCTGGCAAATCACAAGGTGGTGGTAGATGCATTCAGGTCGTTATACGGCATCAATTCGAGGATTGATAGTGGTGCCGCCGTAGCGGTCGGTCGGTATCCCGAAGACAGTTACTACAACGGCAACCCGTGGTTCTTATGCACCCTCGCTGCGGCAGAGCAGCTTTACGACGCGTTGTACCAGTGGAGCCGACAGGGGTGTTTGACTATCAGCGATGTGTCATTGCCGTTCTTCAAGGGAATCTATAGCTCCGCAGCTACGGGGACGTTCTCCTCTTCGAGCGCAGCCTATTCGAGTATTGTCAGTGCTGTGAAGACATACGCGGACGGCTTTATGAGCATTGTGGTATGCATTCCTACCCCAGATGCCATATTTAACTCTAATGAAAAGCCTAACATTGCAGCAAACTTACTCCCATCTAAATGGCTCCATGGCCGAGCAATTCTCCAAATTGGATGGCTCTCAGACATCCGCTCGCGATCTCACCTGGTCCTACGCAGCGCTGTTGACCGCAAATAACCGTCGCAATGGGGTGATGCCAGCCGCGTGGGGTGAGCAATCGGCAACGAGCGTGCCTTCGGTGTGTATTGCGACTTCAGCCTCCGGGACATACAGCAGCGTTACTATTTCAACGTGGCCAGCGATCAGCACAGGACCAGGGGGGCTGACCACCACCACCACCAACACACCATGCACAACTCCGACCGCCGTCGCCGTGACGTTCAAGCTGCGCGCGATGACAGCCTGGGGAGAAAACATCAAATTAGTAGGCTCAACGACGCAGCTCGGCAACTGGGCACCGGATAAGGGAGTAGCCCTGAACGCGGACAAGTACACCAAATATGATCCCCTCTGGTCGACCACAGTAATCCTACCGGCTGGTCAAACCGTCAAATACAAGTATATCCGGGTGAAGACCGATGGAACCGTGCAGTGGGAGAGCGACCCAAACCGCAAGTATACTGTGCCTGTGGATTGTGGGACAACATGCGCCGTGCAGGCTGATATCTGGCGCTAATCGTGGACCTGCATTGTGGGGACTGCAGCGATGTTGGAATGGTGGATAGCATGCATATCCATCTGGATAGATTCGTCTGTCCTCAGTCCGTTTGTCCGTTTCCCATGGTTCAAGGCCGGTGTTGATTGAGGTAACCATATGTAACTAGACATGAAGGTTCAATGTCTTCAAAATGATCATCGTTGACTCGCATCGAAGAAGTAGGCTATAGTTTCGTTCGATTTGTTATCGCAATTAGAGCTTGACGTCACTGCTATGAGATGCTATTGGTATCCAGAGCTACCCGTGGCGCACTGGATCTCACCGGTATATCGACTCATGTCCTACACTTGATTTGCATTGTACTCTTACCCTGCTTAAACTTCCCTTTTTATTTATTGGTCTAGCTGTCAAATGAGCTCCATAGAGAGCGAAAGAGCGGTAAGGGCCGACGGGCTAATTTCTCCTTTGATACGCTCTTGTTAAATTGGATATAGAGCTTATCAATGAAATCACTAGGCAATCCGACTGCACACTGCATGTTGCACCCAGACATTAACCGACAGTATGTCCGACCAGTGAGCTTCATGCACAATATGATCGAGTCCAATCAAATGCAAAATTTGGCTTCTCAGGTGGACCTGCTTTCCCCAATATGAGCTCATCTTAGAGTCGAGCACGTCATTAGCTGTGGGGCTGACTCCGCACAAGTGGAGACTAGCTTCCCCTGCCCCGTATGATCCTGCATTATACCGCGTCAACAGGCTTTGAGGTTGAAGAAAAAGAGAAAATATTTGAGGTTGAGACGAGTGTCTTGACTATTCTAAGTCAATGGAAGCTCCGTGATATCAACTATGGCTCCCTCGCTCCAGGGATGAGGCATAGAATATGCCGTCCGATCAGCCACATGGGTCTCTAGCGCACGACTGGTCAATCCTAGCACCACACGGCATAACAAAAGAAGCTCAGCTGTCTCCACACGCGAAGATTCAATGAGAATAGTTCCAATGCAGACCAATCGATCAACCCAATTGGGAGGACCCCTTGCGGCCCCGTGCCCACCAAGCCCTAAATGGAGAACGCGTCTTGGGATTCAGTCTCCTGCGGGGGCCTTTTTTTTGGTCGTATTGGATGTCTTGACTGAAAAATATATTATTTCGCTATCGTCACATCGATGGAGCATGTCATCATCCTGTCTGTGCCATACGCCATAGTGCGGAGCTGTCGAGCATTGAGCGTGCTGTGTATGTCTTAAACAGCTGCAAGCCACCGCTTTCTACTCACCAGCTCATCAGTCGTCTCACCATGAAAGTCTCCTCACTCTTGGCCGCAAGCGGTCTATTGTCCGTTTGCAGCGCGTTTCCAAACCATCAAGCCACACTGTTCAGTCGCGAGACGCCCAAAAAGCCCAACTTCCTATTCGTCATAACCGACGACCAAGACCTGCAGCTCAATTCAACCGCATACACCCCGCACATCCTCCGGCACATCAAAGACAAAGGCCTCGACTTCACGAACCACTTCGTGACGACGTCACTATGCTGCCCGTCGCGAGTAAGCCTCTGGACCGGCCGCCAGGCGCACAACACCAACGTCACAGACGTGAAGCCCCCGTGGGGCGGATACCCCAAGTTCGTGGAGCGCGGGTTCAACGAGGACTGGTTCCCCGTGTGGATGCAAAACGCGGGCTACAACACGTTCTACACGGGGAAGCTGATGAACGCGCAGAGCTTGACCACCTACAACAAGCCGTTCGTCAAGGGCTTCAACGGCTCGGACTTCCTGCTCGACCCGCACACCTACTCCTACTACAACTCTACCTACCAGCGTAACCATGAGCCTCCGCGCAACTATGAAGGTCAGTACACGGGCGATGTGATTAGCGAAAAGTCGCTAGGGTTCCTGGAAGACGCGCTGCGCGAGGATCGCCCGTTTTTCCTGACTGTTGCGCCCATCGCGCCGCACTCGGATATCTCGCCGTCTAGCTCAAGCACCCCTGGTCCGAGCATCATGCACGAGCCAGTTCCGGCACCGCGACACCGCCACCTGTTCAAGGACGTCAAGGTGCCGCGCACGGCGAACTTCAACCCGAAGAACAGCACCGGCGTCAGCTGGGTGAACAAGCTCGAGCTCCAGAACCAGACGGTAGTCGACTACCAGGACCACTACTACCGCCAGCGCCTACGCTCCCTGCAAAGCGTCGACGAGCTTGTCGACAAGCTCGTCACGCGACTCGAAGAAAGCGGCGAGATCGACAACACGTACATCATATACTCGTCCGACAACGGCTTCCACATCGGGCAGCACCGCATGACCCCCGGAAAGACGACGGGGTATGAGGAGGACATCCGGGTTCCGTTCTTCATCCGCGGACCGGGCATCTCCGCCGGCCAGACCAGCGACTCAGTCACTACGCATATCGATCTGGCACCGACGTTCTTCGAGCTCGCGGGCGTGGACCTGCGGAAGGACTTTGACGGCACGCCGATGCCTATTGCGAAGACGTCGGTGGGGATTGCGCATGAGCATGTTACTGTGGAGTTCTGGGGGAAGGCTGTTCTTGAGGGGGATTATGCTCGGATTGGTATGCCACCCATTACTAGTAGCAAGGTCTTTTTTGATGCGAGGACACAGCTAACGAAAACAGGACCCAACGGCGAGACCCGCTTCTTGAACAACACGTACAAGTCTGCTCGGGTTCTCGGCGACGGGTATAACCTCTACTACGCGGTCTGGTGCTCCAACGAGCACGAGCTCTACGATCTTTCGGTATGTCCTCCACTATCTACATATCCAAAACCCCAATCTAACATTACCAGACGGACCCCTACCAAATAACAAACATCTACACCAACACCCCAACCGCAACGCACCTCCTCGGCCGGCCGCTACGGAAAGTCCTCGACCGGCTCGACGCCCTGCTCCTCGTGCTCAAATCTTGCCAAGGCCCCACGTGCATCAAGCCGTGGAATGTGCTCCACCCGGAGGGAGGGGTCGCGTCGTTGAAGGATGCGCTGGCGCCGCAGTACGACAAATTCTATGATGACCAGCCGAAGGTGTCGTATAGTGCTTGTGAGGAGGGGTATATTGTGGGGTCTGAGGGGCCGCAGGTCGGTCTGGAGTTTAGGGATGGGTTGAGCTGGGACGCTTGGACTTAGGTTTTATTCATGGGTATATGATGAATTGATTTGGATAGCATATATATTGATTGCTTGGTCTAGCTGACTATATCTAATTCTAGCTTTATGATACTAACGAACCGTGGCTGTTTGTTCCAGACTTATATACGTCTGTCTACTTCATTCACGGAGCTTAAGGACATGTATCTTTTGAATCAATTAATATGTATCTGTAAAGCGTGCAGTCCAGCTGCAGCTACCACAGTAGTTCTATATACACTGTCTATCGCAGCAATACACACAGCAAGCGTAGTCAACCGCCCAAGCTACACATTTCCACGTAGCTCTCACATCACCGATGCTACCGCCCATGCGGCTGATAAGACGTGTCTATCTCGCTCGGTTCCCGACTTTTCCCTAATTCATACACGGCCGACGACTGGGGCTCGACGAGATACGACTGCCACGAGCGGTGGGACAGAGACGGCGGCGCGGTCAGCGGTGTCTGGTCGGGCACGGGATGGTAGTACGTCGACTGGTGGGCGGGGATGGGTTTTTTCCGGCCTCGAAGGAAGAAGAAGGCGATCGCGCCAGCGAGGAGAACCACGCCTAGTCCAGCGCCGATTCCAATCCCCGCTGCTGTCCCTGCGCTGACGGCACTGGTGTTGCTATTCGGTGTCGGTGTCGGTTTGGAAGTCGCGTAGGTGGGCGTCCCTTCGGGCGGGAGATACTGGATGGTGGCGAGCCATGTTGGCGGAGGAGCGGGGAAGATCTCGTCGGTTGCGTTGTCGCAGTTGGCGGTGCCGTCGTCGTTGACGCCGCAGCAGGACCAGACGCCCTTTGCTGTGTTGTAGGTGAGGTCGGAGCGATGTTTGCCGCCTGCGTGACATTTATGAGTCTATGTATGGTCGGACGACGGTGAGACGGGAGGGATAAGCTAACCGCATCGAACGCCGCAGGCGGGGTCTTCCATGGCCTCCTGGGTGCAGTCGGCATTGTAGAAGACTTCCGGCCTGTTCGCAGGAGCATGCTTGCAGATGGAGTTACTCATGCAATAGTCGCCGGCGACACAGCAGGTGACGTGGGGGTGGGAGGAGTTTGTGACGCCGCACGGGAGATCGATGTCGATGACGGTGATGGCGCCATCATGCATGGCGAAACAGGCAGGAGACATGACGATTGGGAGGGGTTAGTGATTATAGCGGGCTCCAGCCAAGATGATCTGGGTCATGTTTGCTTCCCATCCGTGGGTGTCATAAAGATAAATAGTGAAGAAAGCGCAAGCTTTGACTGATTGTGAATCTGGGCGCAGCCCCCTGCGTTCTAGGCTTAGTGGGAAAGCCTCGGACTTGTGCCTTGAGCCTTGAGCCGGTGATCGTCGGTTTCTGCAGTCTTTCATAGGCTATTAGACTGTCGGTGTCCACGCTGGGATGGAAGCGAATTGGATCATAGCCAGACCCACATGTCTGAAATTGTTTCTCGGCTGAACTGCGCGATAACTACGGAGTACGGCTGGGCCAATCATGGTGGCAGTGGATAGCTTTGCATCGGCCTAGAATTTAGAGTTAACCAATCTGTTGACTTCAAAGAAGAAAGTGAAGGGAAATATAGAAGGAGATAGATCTAAGGGAAGTTACAGAGGGTTGGAGAGAGAAAAATGGATCAAGGATAGGATCGGTCCAAGGCGGATCCCGGCCGATTTCATGACAGACCATCAACCGTATAAGCTAGGACCAAGCTTTGTACATGTCACTGTAAATGAATTCAGTTGATGGGAAGGAATGGACGGGCAGAGGACCAGTCATTGTGATATTTTGTCAAATTGATATACATGTATATATGTATCTGTATATATATTGCCATTCTTGCCATTATACCCAGTGTATAACCCTACAACCAGATATCACAGAAGCACCATGCCGTGACAAGTTCCAAGTCAGTGTCTAGACCCCAGCAGGATCTCATCCTACCAATACAGTACTGCCCAATGTGCACTAACTGTTCAGATAGCCATGCCGTGGTGTGAAGTCACATTAGCCCAGACTCGATAGACCATACTGAATACTCAGTAACAATCTACGACACCATCACCACCTCAAGCACATTCAGAATCCACATTTCCACATAATCTACATAATAACTCCCGAAGAATCACGACTGTTCCTGATCCAAGTGAATGGAACACCCTGTGACCCATGGTAGCCATCCCGGACCCACAGTGGGCCGGCCAGAAGTGGCAGGGCTCTACGCGGAAAGAGTCGTTTCTGTGGGATTGAAAGAGAACGGGGTATAGCTGATCGTGGCTCAGAGTTAGGGCCAGTTCTGAACCACGATCAGCTGTAATCTGCAATGTCAGCAGAGTTGGTATGATCCAATGCCCCACATGGACTATCCGAGTTTTAGCAGTTTTAGCTACGGAGTATACCATCGCCGTCTGCTGTAAATTCCCTAGCCATCCCACATACCCCAGATTAGCCCACTAGTGTTACTTCTTCTCACGAGTATACCAGTCCCCATTGAGGATCAAAACCACAAAACAACCATGGAAGGTCCAGCCACCAAGCACGCGCGTGCAGACTCCGCCGGCGACGTGCACATTCCAGCAGACAAATCCGAGTAAGATACACGCCTCACAGCCGACCAGATCAAAGAGTACATGCAGGAGCTGCGCCCAGAGCAGTTATCCGAGATCATCGCTGAGGCAGCGCAGCGCCACCCAGACGTGGGGGAGATGGTGCAGCACAGGGTAGAGCAGCAGCGCGCGCAGGAGCGGCGACGCGTGCTGAACTTTGACAGCTACTCTCGCCACATCTGGAAGGTGATCAACGTGTCGTGTGGGGGGATGAGCGACAATAGGCAGTGTGAGATGGCGCTGAGGGTGATCGAGCAGATCGAGCGGGCGGTGGACAATATTGTTCGGCATTGCGGGGAGCACGCGAGGCCGCAGACGCGGTGGAATGGACTGTCTGTGTTGCGCAAGATTGGGAAGACTTTGGCGTTTAGTTGCCATAATATGTTTCATCATGACGTGCAGGAGACATTTCAGTGGGATACGTTCTTGGAAGATGGGATGCTGGAGATTTTGGTGGCCATGAGCAGGGAGGAGAAGGCGGAAAGTCGGAGAGATGAGTGGCCAGAAGCGTTGTGGCCGAAGTTGGTGGAATTGGATGGCTTGCGCCAGCAGCACGGTATATTAATAAATATGGAGCAAGTTCTCAATGAGTTGAACCGGGTGGGCACCGAGGAAGAAATATTGGAGAATGGGGGTGATGATAATGACTCGCGGAGTACTGACTGATATACAACCTACTAGGGTCCGATGTTTCAAGTACTATAGAGGTGGATTATCAAGATATACTGGAAGACAGTGTAATCATAAAGCTATCATTAAGGATGCATCTTATAAGACAACATCCCCAGCGAAATGCGATCAATCTAGCTACTCGTCCTGACCAGCCACTCGTCTACCAATCCAACATAATCACCAGGGCGATATGGCTCCGTGAGCTCCCTCCACCAACTCCCCTTTCGATTCGACTCGACCGCCACATCATTCAGTAGAACATCAACATACGGCAAGCTATCAAACACCAAGTCGGGATATTTTCCGCCTGATCCACCCAGCTCTTTGGGCCGTCGTAGCCGCGTATATGCGCTGTGCAGCGCGGTGTTATACTCAACAACTTCATGATCCACATCACGGAGATGATTTACTTGATCCTCGAAGAAAGCGGTGATCCATAGCGCCTGGGCCTGAGCCACGATAAAAGCATGTAGACAGGAGTGCATCCCAATGAACGCAATATTGCGAGTTCGAAGGGAGTCCCTATCGCACGGGACAATGTGTCGGTAGAGCTCTGGAGCGGGTACGGTTTCCGACGTCTGGTTCTTTTGCCCAGTTGGGGGGGCATTGCGAGTTCTTTGAGATGACGAGAGGTAAGGAATCCTCTGGAGTATCTCATCGTGGGCCTTTGCATATTGTTTGTCACAGGTAGTAGAGGGGATGTCCACCGGGACTTCTGCCTTCCACCCCGTGCAGCACACAATCGCATCTGCATTTAGGGTCTCTTCGGTTTCACCTGCAATATGGACGCTGTTCGTGGAGACGTCTGTAACTCGGGCAATGTGAACATGGATCTTTCCCTCGCGAACGAGGTCAAACCAGCTGGTCTCATAATTATGAATACTCAGCGAGTTACCCATCCAAAAGGGCGTCGTCCACGGCTCCAGCTTCTGCACCTCTGGATTCCCACGATACCCGTTAATCGACTTGATATGCTTATCAAGACAGCTCCAAAACAACTGACATAACCAACTACCAACAAGCGTACGGTGGAGAAACTCACGGATCCAAGAAAACGCGCCCCTCTCCCCGAACAGCGTAGGATCAAACAGGGAAAACCCTCGCGTGGCGGATATCTTTGCCAAAGAGACCTTCCACGGCCCGATGAAGAACGATCTCGGCCAGACATAACTCGGTCCTCCACCGGAGGGTCGAATCACCATGTGGACCTGTGCGCCAGACTTGGCAGCCCTATAGCACACATCCCACGCAGACTTGTTCGCGCCGAGCACGACCACATTTTGACACTTTGCCAAGGTATGCGCTTGTTCCTTTAACTGCTTCGAATGCAGCATCAAGCCCGTGAAACGATCCGAGCCTGGCAGTTGAGGGATACTTGGTGTAGACGTCAGACCCGTAGCAATAACCAGCCTCCTCGCAATAATATCCTCCGCTTCCTTGGACCCGTCGACGCACTCAACACGCACAATCCACCAACGCTCATCGAGAGTCGCGCGCGCAACCCGCCGTCGCAACATCAAACATGGCGTAATACCAAAGTAGTCAGCTACATCACAGAAGTAGCTGTGAGCTACACTGCCAGGGATATGTCCAACACCAGCGACGCCGTATTTCTCCGGCACCAAGGGAAAGTCGCTCAGCTCGTACGAGCCAAATACATTGTTCGTGACAAGCCCTGGGTATAGCCTCTCACGGGCCCACGTTCCCCCGACCGAAGCGGCCTCGTCGACCACGAGGATATTCGCGGATGGGTCGGTCTGCAGGTAGGTTTTGGCCATTGTGAGGCCGTGGAGACCTGGTCTGGTTAGAAATGTGCCGGGTGGTTGTTGGATCCCTTGCATACCTGCTCCCACTATTAGCAAATCGACTTCCCGGGGTGCATATTTGACCATATTAGATGGATTTTGGGCTATACTTGTCGGACAGCCAATATTTCCGATCGCGAATATATTCCATTGTGTGGATGCGACGGCGATTTATCCAGTTATATAGCTCCATACCGGTACAAAGCGAACCATCGTGGCTGGCCATGAGTGGCCGATAGCAACATTCCGACGGATCTGTCTAACCATCGTGCGCTGCGAGAGGGATGAGATAGCCAATTGTGGGTTGTTCTCCAGGATATCTAGATAAAGGTCTATCAAAGAAGCGGGGAAGATCTCCACATTCGGAATAAGTCATTGCTGAATACCGATTCTGACGATCAGCCTTAGTGTATAATTCCGATCGCAAATCGGTATATAACTTCCACCCACCCACCCATGTTACCGTTTATACATTTTCCAGTTAGATAAAGTGCATTCAATATTATCCACCATGTCTGACTCCCACCCAAATGCCCAAAAACTGCTTAGCAGAGCACAAGAGTTCTTCAACGAGGTTCAAGACCTGTAAGTTCAAGCAAACGCCCACCCACCCCCTTACTCCAAACCAAACTAACAAACGATAGAACCCCCGGCCAAGACCTTGAAAAATTCCTTAATAAAAACTACGGCCCCGGCACGCCCTACTACAACGACTTCAGCCAATTAGCGAAACAAGGCCTCACCGAAGGCTGGGTCGCAAATGTCGAGCTCGACGGCCCCAAATACCGGCGCAGTCGCATCTTCGCGCCGTGCGAAGAGACGCGCTATTTCAGCATCACTGCCGTCTACATGGACAGCCAGGAGGTCTTCCGCGGACAGTACCACGCGCATCCCTACGGCGAGATCAACGTCGTGATCCCGCTGGATGAAACGGCTGAGATTATGGGCATGGCGGGGTGGATGGGCGCCGGGTGGACGTCGCCGGGGCCTGGGACGCATCATTATCCTGAGGTGAGGGGGGGTGCGCTTTTGGCGTTGTTCTTTTTGCCTGCTGGGAGGATCTCTTATAAGGCGACGCCGGGGATGCCGCAGCCTGCGTATGTTTGATATACTTCTATTTGGTGCATGGTATTTGGTTTCATTTTGAAGCCACCTGTATTTTATTTGACATGCGGGTATTTCTGATACCCCGCGTTTCGGTAATCTCCGGATACTTCGGCAGTTACATTGTGCATATACTATGTTCGATGTCGTTGCTATGGCTTTACGTTAGTTTAGTCTTGGACTGTATACTATAGGTGACCGATGTATACTATGCTTTACCAGTCCCAATCCTCTTCGATGTCAAGGAGAACGCAAAGCTGAGTTTAAAACAATAAATATACAACACACTTGCAACAACAGTACCGATAAGGTGAGTAAACCCCACTGACAATCAACTACTCATCCCCAACAAAATACTGCAAGCTATCAACAAGAAGGGTGACATCCTCCTTCAGCTCACCCCCCTTCCCAGCACTAACAACCTTAACAGAAACCGAATGCAGGCCCCAAAGATCCTCATCCAGCCCATCCAGCGTCAACAGGCTCTTAGTATCAGTATACTTCACCGTCTTTGACACAAAATTTTGCGACGGCCTCATCCCCAAGATCTCCAACTCACACGGCACAGTCTTCTTCTTCCCACCAGTTTTCTTCCCACTACACCCAATCTGCACGCTCTTCAGCGTGAACCTATCCGCCTTGGACTCGGGCGCGATCTTAATCCGGCCGGAGGATTCGCCCACAGCGCGCGGGCCCGAGAAGAGCAGTTTTTTGCTCTTTGCGTTTTCGTTGGACGCTTGGACGGCGTAGGTGCCGATTTGGAATTCGTCGCCGTAGGTGAGTTCGCGGAGGGGGTTGGGTGTTAGTTTGCCTTGGTTGAGGTTGTCGAACTGGGGTAGATGTTAGTGGGGTGGCCAACGTGTGGGATGATGGGCGTTGGTATTTACGTTGGTGGTGTAGTCTGTTTTGGCGTAGGCTGTTGTTGCTGCTAGAAGCAGGGAGAGGATGGATGTCTTCATTTTGAATATTTGATGTATTCAGTATGGATTCGATGGGATCAAAAAGTATGGTTGAATGACAGATATCTGGGGTTATACCCCTTATATAGTACGGAAATGCGTTCTACCCATAGCTGAAGCACTTCCATATCTAGGAGGCTGCCATTCAGCCCGGGACAATCTAGTCCTGAACTATTGATAGATTGCATACCATGCATTGTCCCGCTATGCAGGGGACTCCAAATTCGTGCATATCCAGCTGAACATTTCAAGCCACGCGGCGCAGTATCACAACTGTACCCCCATAATTGTGAAACTATCAAAGTTCAATAGTCTAATTCAGCCCACACCAGTGTCTCTGTGGCTGCCGTATCTGTGAGCTCAGCTGCGGTTGATCTGCAGGGGAGCTAAACATGCGGTCGATCGTGAAATCAACTTCGCGCCCTGTCTTATTGGTCTGAACCAGTCTGGATCGAGATTGAGGGGTCTATGCATGATGTGCCACAGGAAGATAATCAATTGGGAATGAGATGCGCCACTGGTGACGGACCTTCTTCACGAAATGTAGGATGTCAGCACTGGTTTGGGCGACCAACGATACATTCAATTTTGAGAGATCTTACTGATTCATCATTTAAGTGGTTAGCTGGAGAGATATATCAGACGCCAAAGTATAGTTCAGTAGCTGGATGTAGAGACTCGGAGCATAGACCAAGATTTGCTAGATAGCTGAAGCAATAGGAAAAGCCAAAGGTTGACCCACCACAGTTTACATACGCCATCTGTCATGTCTGGCATGGGCTGTCTAACCCAGAGAGTGGGTCCCACTGGGGTCAAAGTTCGCCGAGAGATCTATCTCGTCGTATACTCGGGTTTGTATACTCCCGTCCGTAATCTCGAGAAATCTTTGGGATTCGCGGACGGACCGTCTCATAGTCTTGTGGGGAGCTCACGATGTGGAAATTCTTTCTGGATGTTTATCTGGAATTTTCAATCTGCAAGCTGAAGCTCTATCCCGTGAGTTGACTCTGGATGCTAGCGCCCTTCGAAAAAAAAAAAAAAAAAAAACATTCCCTAGCGCCTTGCCCTATACATATTAGTTGAAAGAGACCGGATTATCCCAAACATTCCGAGTAGATAATTGAGAGAAACACAATAAGCGCAACAACTCTAGTCTATATCAAGACCACTGACCCAATATATACACTATAAGCCCTAGCAAGATCTTCGTCAGCGGGAGATAGCAGTAACCCCGATATTAACGCCGTGCTATGTTACTATCTCCTTCTTACCTCCGGTTAGCTTATATATACAAAAGATGGAGTCGCACCCATATCACAACCCCATAACAATAGGTTCCAGCAAAATGGCACCCCTCGTATGGTTCATAACAGGCGGCTCATCTGGTTTCGGATACTATCTCGCCCTGCATGCCCTAGCAGCAGGTCACCAGGTCATCGCCACAGCACGAAACGTCACAAAGTCCGCACAAACCGTCCAAGACATCGAGGCTAAAGGCGGGAAGGTCATCGAGCTGGACGTGACGAAGGGGGAAACTATTCGCGAGACAGTCCACCACGCAGAGAGCATCTATGGACACATCGATGTGCTGGTCAACAATGCAGGGTTCTCCGTGCTAGGGGCAGTAGAAGACATAACGTGAGTGGCATACTACCACCATCTTCACCACATGTCTAATGAAAACACATACAGTCCTGAGGAAGCTGTCTCTCAATTCGAAACCAACTTCTTCGGCCCCCTGCGGCTCATCCAGGCGGCGCTGCCATCTATGCGCGCCCGGGGCACAGGTACAATCGTCAACGTGTCGAGCGTGGCAGGACAAGACGCACTGCCCACATGCGGACTCTACGCAGCGAGCAAGTTTGCGCTGGAAGGGCTGTCGGAGACTCTTTCGCGCGAAGTCGCGCAGTTTGGGCTTAGTGTGCTGATCGTTGAGCCAGGCGCGTTCAAGACGAACTTCCTGGATGCGGCTAGGAAGACGGACGTCGGGCTGTCTGAGCCGTATCGTGGAGGCATTGTGGAGACTGTGCTTGGCAAGTTTGACCCGGCGAGGGGGTTGCCGAAGGGGGATCCGGTCAAGGGTGTGGCGAGGGTGTTTGGGGCTGTCACTGGGGAGGGGGTGGCGGGGGATCTGAAGGGCAGGATTCTTAGGTTGCCTCTGGGACCTGATTGCGTGGGCCGGATTGAGGGGAAGCTGAAGAGTGTTTCTGGTGATTTGGAGGCTGCGCGGGAGGTGGCGATGGGTACCGATTATGATAATCTGTGATAGATTGGATCTACCTATTATCATTCGATATTGGGTTATTGGTGATGAGGGAAGTATATAGACCTATATCTATAGAGGATGAGTTACCACTCACTAGATAGCTGTCAGATAATAGGATAGAGAAAAATCAATATGCGTGATACTATGTGAACTGAACATGTAGATGAAAGGTCTCTATCACTTTCTAAATTATACAGGTAAAATGGATATGTCTTATGTGATACCTTGTTAGATATCATGAATTATCTACTTCTAGATATCAGTTATACACTGTTGATATTAGTACTTGATAGGTTAGTTTATCATTAACAGTCCAATTTCTCTTAGTGATAATCTACTGTTATATGTATCAAAGGTTATGACAAGGTAAACTATCTATTGTATACCCACCTATATCCAATCCCAGTAAGACACGTATGAATATTGAGGCATAATTATTTACTATTCCACTTTTTCCTGGTTTGTCAAGTCTAGACCTGTAGAGTGTCATTATATTACTAATATAGCTGTGCAACAACATGATATATTCAAACTACTAATTATCATCTATCTACGGAGTAGCTAGGGTGGTCTACATACACTCTGCTTATGAATATACCATGATATACAGTGAAGAGAATGTGTGACAGGGTTATTAAGTATATACTAGTTAAAGTGAGCTCTGCATGACGTGCTACTAGCAACCAGATTCATGTCTACCTGGTACTTATCCTAGGTCACAGGAGCACTGTCATTGTTAATATCATCATCAATGTAAGATTGATCATCACCAGGTCTGGCTGCTTTGTGCCGAGGATGAGTTTTCAGATGGAGGGGTAGCTGCCTGGACAGCCAAACCTCCAAGCCTCCACTTGTCATTCTTTCAGAAGGCAGCCATAACAAAAGGGTTTCTTGTAGTCGATTATGTGACTAGATAGTCCTTCTTGTTAGGTGTCTTAATTGTTTTGTACACGTGGCTTCTGTCTTTTGCAAAGTGTTACGATTGGTATGGTTGTACGACTACTTTCTTCGAGCTGTACCCCAAATCAACCAAGACAGCAGAGTTCCTTGGTATATGGAAAGATAGTTATATGAGAGGCTAAAAAGAGGGAAGCCTTGAGGAAATGGAACAGGCTCGAAGGATGTTCAATCTAGAAACTACATAGAGCGAGGGGATGAGATATACGCTGTCGAGATGACCTCATGTAGTTGAAGAACTACTTCTACTGGTTAGACTACGAGATGGATGAGATGCAAGGCAAATGATGTTATTCAGAATAAGGTGTCCAAACTAGACGGTCTCAAACATAGACTATCCAAATGATGTGCACAATCCGAAACAAAGCCAAGTTGGACAAAAGTTGGAACGAAGGTGAAATAATAGAACAGCTACTCAAGAGTCCTCCTTACCCCTACAACCAGAAAGTTCCAAAGAGACAGGCTGAAAGGCAAAATAGAAGAAACAGCTACACTCAAGCGTTCTTCTCACCTTTACAACCAGTAAGTTCCTAAGAGGCAGCCAAATTAGCGAATCGTAAACAAAGCAACAGAGAAAATACATATCAAGCCAACAAGTTTTTGCACCCTGTTGCTCTTGAAGCATCGTTCGAGATAGCCAGCGGGAGACCGGAAGTTGAGCTGCCATTCGTAACCCTCAGGAACGGGATCCTCCTCGTGGCCTTCGTCGTAGGGGTAGTAAAAATTCCAGTCCCTCACATTCTGCTTATATTGCGTCTTCCGGACGTCACCGGGGGTGACGCAGAGTTTGATGGACGGGAAAAGTGCCCTGTTGGCGTTGCCGGCTGTAGCACCGCCGTACCCTTTGAGCTTGTAGTGGGTCCACTTACCATGTCTCTTCGCCTCACAGGTGGTCTTGACGGGACCATGGGGCAGGCGCCGGTGGCCACTATTGGTGATGCTGATCTGGTAGCGGTGGTTGTTTTCCTCATGGTAGCCACCATACTTCCAGGTATCGTCGTAGGACTTGCAGCTGTCCACGATCTTGGCGAAAGATTCAAGGCAATCTTCTTGGTCGTAGTGTTCGGCGCCGTTGCGGGTCGTGATGAGAAAGGTGTGCTCCTCGGGGGTGCCCCTTTCAAAGGTCCTCTGCTCCGTCCAGTCAATGCCGGACGGGGTGATTCCAGTGCAGAACGATAAAGCATTGTCGTGGAGGATTTGTCTGTCGGCGTATCGTCTGCTGGCGTCGAGGTCCGCCCGTTCGTTGGGGACAGTGCACTGGAAGTTATCCACGATGTGGCAGATGGGCTGGGGAAGGCCTAGCACGGCGGAGCGCGCCGCATAGATGGCTTCGAGGACGTAGGAGGCGATCGTGATGTGACCTTTCTCGTTGGGGTGGAAGTATTTGCCGAATCGATCGGGGAGGCCAAAACCGAAATTGATACCGTCGTCGCCGGGGCAGTCGGGCTTGATGTTGTCGCGGAGTCCCAGGCTATTCCCTGGGACGGACATGGTCGCGTTGCGTGCCAGTGGAGGCTCGTCGATTATGTTCTCGAGATCCCTCTTGGATGCGATGTCTTTTTCGAGATCTCTCTTGGTGAAGTGTTTGAAGAACTGCAGGTTGGGCTGGGCGGGGTCGGGGTATACGCCTGAGCTGCCCGGCTCGCAGAAGCGTCCTTTATAGTCACCCACGAATTTGTCCCAGTTAGCGGTGCGGAAATAGAAGCCGTGATCTTCCTGTCTGAACTGTTCCGCCAGATTTGTCAGTGCGTTGTTCACGTCGACGACGAGGTCGTTGAACTCCCTGCGGCGGCCGGTGGATAGTTTGAAGCCTTCCCTCCTCAACCCGCCAAACGTCCAGTCGTGGTATTTAGCGCAATCCTCGTTCTCTACGCTGAAGAACTGAGCGTATAGCACGAAAATGACAACTCCATCTGTATTCATCTTGGGCTCTAGTTCCTGGAGGAGCTCTTGGACGTTGGGCACGAGGACTCGGGTGATGCTGTCGCGCGCCTTGGAGATAATCTCGTGGCATCGGCCCTGAGTCAGTGGGAGCAAGATGCAGCGCGAAATGATACTGGACAGACACAGGTCATTTCCACCGGCAGTCAAGACAACCAGGTCCATGTTCTTATCGAGGTTGCGGATCTGCTCTTTGATGTCGGCGGTGCGCGCACCAGAGCATGCCTTGAACGAGAATGACTTAACTCCAGGGCCAATCATGCGGTTAAGAATGACGGGGTACGACTGATCATAACGAGAACATGCATGATCCTCGCGTTCGCCACGGTACAAGCTTCCGGCTCCAATGCCCGCGGTGTAACTATCGCCAACAGCAGCCCATTTCTTGACGCAGTCGAGATCGGTGACTCTTTGGTCCCTGGTTTGGATCAAGCTTGAGACAGTGTCTCCATGAATGAGCTTGGTTTCATTTATGGCAAAGCCCAAGAGAGGGTTCACCAAGAAGGCAAAGAGTAGAATGAAAAGAGTGAGAGGCGCCATGCTGGCAAGAGGTAGGTAGGTGCTTGGTAGGAGGATAGAAGGATGGGGAGCTGAGGGATAAATGCTGGATATCTGGGGGGAAGAAGGGGTTTATATAGACAAGAGAATCCAATTCTAGTAACTCTCGTAGAAGTAGCTATTGGTCAAAATATATGTTACTTCTGTGATATAGACAGTCATATCATGAGTAAAGGAATACTAACTTGATGAATATAAACTTCAGTGATCAGTAATAGTAATCTATAGTTGAATGAAATGTTTCTACATAGGGATTGATTCTCAGTGACATGTGCATATTAATTCTTTCAAGTTGTTAGTGATAACATGTTATCACTTGCAACAAGGACTATCCAATTATCAATTATTGTCTATGCCCTTGATATCAAACATTTTCCCTTCCTTGAAGAATAGAGTGAATCATCCACCTCCCATCTTTACCCCCGTCCTAAAGCCAAGGGAAATAGAAAGGCCACATGTCTTGTATTTGCAATCCACAGTGAAATGGGAGCAGTAGTATTTACTCAGATCTAATGGAACTACCACCTCCTTCTCTTGGCCATCCTAGCGGATGTAGTGTCCCCAGAGATCTACCATATGATAAAAGCAAGTGACTATCTATAAGTTATTGATGTACAGCGTGTAGCCACAGAAGGCCACTTTTCAAGTAGGACAGAGTGTTTTAGTAATCCTCTATTGCAATATGATATGATCTATATAGTTGAATACCCATAGGGCGCAAAAGGGTCATGATATCTCTTGTAGCCGAGTGATAATCCATTTCCGCATCCTATTTCCTGTCAGTCGAAATGACTATAAATTGGTGGACAAAAATCACCGCTCGACTACAATTAACATCATGACCCTTTTGGGCTTCGTGGGTAAACTTGTAACCTTATACTGCAAAACATGGTATAGTATAAGAACTATCTCGACGTGTCTTCTGACTACAGGGTGATGGAAGGGTATATTTATGAGAGACTATACTCGTTTATTCAACGTGGTTGGGATATTGAAGCAGCAGGCAGTAGAATATGAAATTCATTCGATTAAGCGACACCTGATAGGGCAACAACTGATATCTAGCAAAACTCATACGTACTGAAACTGGTACATATCAAAACTGATAGCTATCGAAATGAAATACCATCGCAAGTACGAGGCTGAAAATTGTTAATCCCCCGAGCAACTTCACGCAGGCTTGTCAATACTAGTACCAAGATCTCCCTGCGAGGGATAAGAAGGAAGATCATCCGGAACATCCTGCTTTTTCTTCCCCATCGCCTCTCCCAGAGAACCAATCAAAGTACCATCGTCCAGGTCAACCGCCCAAACCATGGTCCCGCCAAGACAGCGCTTATTGGCAAAGTCCAACTTTACCTTGAGTGACTCGGCGTCGTCCCAGCTCACCCACTGGTCGTTGTCCCAGGTCACTATCTTCACCGCAGCTTCCTTGTCGTACGTCACCTTGCCGCCTTTCTTGATGATGTCGTTGATTTCGTACCCGGCAAGAATACCCTCTTGGCCAGTGCAGCGACCTGGACGAGCTGGGTCCTTGAACGGACATCCGGATGCCATGCAGCCTGAATCGGCCATGGTGTATGACCGGCCGTAGAAACCGAGACCCATGACGACGCGGGCCGGATTGACGTTATTGCGCCAGAGGAGCTCTAAGCCCATGTTGATTTCGGTCAAGTTGGTGTGGGCTAGGGCGTAGGAGCCAATGGATGTCACATTTCTGTCCCACAGTCCGTCTAGCGCCGTGTTAGCTATCAGCAATAGAGCGGGTAGTGCAGAACTCACGGATGTCGTAGGTCATGACGTTGAACCAGTCTATATGCGGCTCGATGTTGGTCAGGTCGAAACCCCGAAGGTACCAGTAGCTAGCCGGCTGGGCAGTGTTAGTCTATGGCAGAAGTAGGCGTATAGGAAAAGGAAGATCCATACCAAGGTAATCGAAATACCATAGTGACGACCGGTCTGGTTCAGTCTCTCCCTGAGCCTCTTCATCAGCGTGACCATGTTCTTGTAGTCCTCTGGCTTTCCCCCGCGGTCATCAGCCACCGGGTACTCCCAGTCAAGATCCACGCCGTCAAAATTGTTATTGACGAGGAAAGTAACCAGAGACTCGAAGAAGATATCTTGGTGTTCAATGGACGCAGCCAGGTCCGAGAAGGTAGTCCGCGTCGGACCTGGGTCGTTCATTGCCCAGCCCCCGATAGCAATCCATACCTTGAGATCGCGCTGGCGGGTCTTCAGTTGGGTGACCGACTTGTACATAGTATCGGTTTGCTCCGTCATGGGGGCAATGTGGAAAGTCTTCGGATTGATGAGGGCAAATGCGAAGTTGATGTGGGTGTAGTAGCCCAGTGGAATGTTCATGGGCGTCATAGCTGTTCATGTCAGCTTGACGATCACGACGTGGAAGGGGTACTGGAAACTTACTTCCACAAGGTCGCTCCAGGTTCCACGCCTCGTAGTATCCAATGGTCTTGGCCATTGCGCTTGATCCGCCAGGGCACTCGGGAGACGTCACTGTAGCGCTTCCGCAGAAGTCGGCCGTGGTACCGCAGAAGCCAAACTTGCTGCAACAGACATTCAAAGGACATTTCGCAGAATCAGACCAATCTGTGCCCCATCCGGGATCACATTCGCTTTTGCGGTCACAGTTCGAGATGCAGCCTTTGCCACAGAAATCAGGTCCAAGGCCACAGACCCCTTTGCCAGTGGTTTTATCCCTGTGGTATGTTAGTTAGGGGTAGTGGTATGAGAAATAGAGGGAAATCACACGGAGCCACAGCATCCGACCTTGCATGGCTTGTCGGCGGTGCAGCCGTAGTCAGGATCCCCTGCCAGGAGGTGGAAGGTGAGGTTAGAGCCCTCCAATCCAACAACTGCCTGGAAGAGCAGAAAGATGATGGTGTAGGCTATAGCCACAAGGTGTGACTTGGCCATGATGGTGAGACTTGTTGAAACTTTGTGACCAATATGTAAAAGAGCAGTTGTCAATAAGACACGAAGTTAAAGATAGTGGGTTGTGGATGGTGAGAGACAAGAGATGGACGAGTGGGCAGAAAAGAGATATTTATACCCAGTGGTTTGAGAAGGTTAGTCTTGATATAATTCACTGTATGAAGCTTATCACTAAATCATACATACCAAGTACCAACACATGAGCCAAAGTGGCTGGTTTGATAGACTAGAGTTTAGATTAGTTCTATCACTTTGCCAGTGACAGGCTGCACTAGGTGTGTTCACAGACTCGTGTCTTTCGATATTAACATTTGTTCTAGTAGTATTATTCTACCAAATTGAACTAGTAGAGTCACAGCAGTTATAAGAGCCATATCAAGTGGTACTATATATATCAATTTCAGGTATGCTGCTAGACAGTACTATATTATTGGCACAGTCATGTACAGGACCAGCAGTGCCAAGAGATCCCATGGAATATCTAGATACAGAGGGGGAGATACTACTATATGTCATATCTACCTGTCCTCTTCCCACTGCAAGTCTGCAGTGGCTTTGATGCATCCATACCTAGAGATAACACAAGTGATTGGTTGTATAGGTTAGGCTACCATGTCTTTTATCCTAGTATGCAGGTTGGTCATGCAATCAGTCCTGAAGATATGTTTATATGACTGGTTCTGTTCCTGAAGATCAGGGAATGGATGGCGATGGGATCCAGCCAGTGACTCAAAACATGCCATGACATCAACATACTATGGCTCGTTGCATCTGGTCTGTAGGTGGCTTGGACCGGCCAGATCGCCCTATATAAAGGACTTCCCACTGCCACATAGTTGGTCTATTCCTCAACGTGTCCGATCCGTCTACCTCAACCATCTACTTCTTCTTACATCGCAACATCGAAGCATATTTACTTCCAATTCAAACAAGATGACTTTCCAGATGCTCTGGAAGATTGTCTTGCTTTTGCTCTTCACTCTGTCACTCTCTTGTGTTGCCAATGCTGGCAGCGCTGCTTGGGAGACTGCGAGATTCCCGAACGCCAAATGGGTTGGTATGGAGCATACCGAGAAGAACATGCGCTGGGATCGCAGAACCATCAAGTACTCCTTCTCGGACCCAGCCTCCAGGGAAACTCTGTCAACCTGGGTTCAAACGGCAATGGACCTCTGGTATGCCTCCGGTCTTCCGGAAACTTTCAAGGTGGAGGAAATCGACCGTCGCGACTGCCAGAGAGACGGGTTGAACTGTCTTATCATCACCCGATCCTTCATGGAGCTGTCCACCCCCATCGGCAAGAAGCCTCACCCGGATTTTCACTCTCTGGTTGCGCGGTGGACTACCGAGACGTCGGTGGGGATGTTGGATACGGGAGCGAACTTCGCCCACGAGCTCGGCCATGCGTTCGGGCTGTATCACGAGAGCCACAACCCCCACTTCTGGGCGGCCGGAGGCAACCTCTGGAATAATTATGAACTCAACTGCCCGAATTTCCAAGGTTATGACGAGTTGTCAGATGAGCTCAGCTTTGAGATGATGTGGGGCGAGCACGGAGCGTGCGAGGACGGCTGCACAGCGCGCCGACACAAGTTCCGTGCTGCCGAAGTCCTGCCCTGTCTGGACGACAACATCATCAAACCCGGCAGTGGGGTTACCACCGACCTTGATGTAGATTGGTCGTCCATTATGACAACCCCAAGCTACATTGGGAACGGGAGAAACCCTCTTGAAGACAACACGCATTACACCGTGGTTCGGAGCCTTGGAAACCGCAGAATTGACCCTACCTTTGCTCCCACCACTTTTGACGTCCAGGGCTTAATTACCATGTACGAGGAGCCATACCTGACCCCACGGCCCATCCTGCACAACGATCCTCGGTCAAGCGCTTACGGAATCTTTCAACGCTCGGCTCCGGGTTGTTGATAACTTTGGAGGTACGCACTATCTGTACTTGGATAGTCTGGGCTTGGATAGTTCGGGTTGTTCTGGAATGGTAGTTGATCGTTTGACCTGAAGATCCTGGGAAGAGAACGTGGCTTTGACTTTGATGCAACAAAGTGTCGTGGTAGTCGTTCGAGACATGAATCGACTAGGTTTATGTATGCAGTTCAGACAATCTACTTCGCGTCTTGTGTCAATTCTTATTTGTTGTAAACAATACTCTTCGGCTACAAAAAGTATCATGGCACCATTAGCTTTCTTGAGTAGTCTGATTCAGTATAGTCGTAGTCACTGCATTAGATGCTAGACAATATTTTGGGGACTTGATAGAACTAGTACCCCAACATATGACATTATCTATACACATGCCAGTGACAAAGAATAGTTTCCAAGTAGATCATACCCTGCTAATAGATGGATACTTTCGAGTGAATAGTGGGAGAGTAGAGTTCCTGGAAATATGACATCTGTCTGTTCAACCCAGTGTTCACCATGGCAGAATCTTCATGACCCCACAGCACTACGTGGCTGCTTGTATGTATTCATTGTTTAGATATCACTACTCACCGTCACTAGATTGCAATGTGGGTCTCGTTGTAGTACAGAAATCATGTGAAAAAGGGACCATGAAGCCATCACTTATTCATGATCTAGACTCTCGCAGTTCATAGCTAAGATGCAGTGATATCAACATTCATAGGAGCTTTCTATATACTACATATGTCTTCACTAAATAACTTCACTCACCATCTGTCTATCATTCTCACCTATTCCTAAGCAGAACTGCGCACTCTCTGTCTATAAATACCCCCTTCTTCTCCTTTGGATGTTGTTCTTTCTCTCATCCTCTTCCCATCCTCCTCCCATCCTCCCTCACCTTCTCTGAACACGACCATCCTGCCATCTGCCATCATGGCGCTTCTCCTTCTTTTCTTTCAGCTCCTTCTTGCTTTGTTGGTCTCCTCCCAGCATATTGTGTTGAGAGATGCCACCACCACCTGGGATAAAGCCCCTGGTGCTTCGACTCTCCCTTCTGGAACTGCCTCTGACTGTAACCACTGGTACACCATCAAGAAAGGTGATAGCTGCTACACCGTGGAAACCGCCTTTAACCTCAAACACGAGGACTTCATCCGCTGGAACGCGGCCGTCTCTGATGATTGTGTCACGAACTTCTGGCTTGGCTATGCGTACTGCGTGGGGGTTGGTCCCCGTGACAAACCTGTTGAACCGACTGCTGTCCCGCCTCCTCCCAGCGATGAACCCCCTAAGGATCCCTCTCCTCCCAGTGATGAACCTCCTAAAAATCCCTCCCCTCCTCCCACCGATACACCTCCCGAGAAGCCTCCTCCTAAGGCAACCGATGCACCTAAGCCCCCTCCTGAGACAACCGCTCCTCCGGGCACGAGTGTCCCTCCTGGTACCGGGGCTCCTCCCCCTGACAAACTCCCCGTTACGAGTGGCCCGTCGACCAACGGAAATTACTCCATCATCAATCCCATAACGACTTGGACGCCACCACCTCGGGCTAACACCACAACGACCGCCTCCTGGCCACCTACGAAGACGCAGCCCGGACAACCGGCAGACTGCAACAATTGGTACGAGGTCCGTCCGGGAGATAACTGTGACAGAATCTTGGTTCGTGCTGGCTCATGGGTGAGCTTAGAGCTGCTGTGAGTACCTTTCCTAGTCCTGGTCACCCTCACGAGTACTAAACTGATACTACAAACAGATTGCAGTGGAACCCCTCGCTCAAAGGTAACTGCAACAGCCCGTTTATTGACTGGTGGGTGTGTATTGGGGTCAAGCCGACAGAGACATTCACCTACATCTACCCTACAAACAACACGGCGCCCCCTCTGACTAAGTACACGCCGATGTTGCGGCCACCGATGACAATAACTCCATTCATGCCCTCTCCAACCCAGTCTGGCCTCGCAACCGACTGCCAGGAGTTCTACCACGCTACACAGGTAAGACCTCCGCCGTTGCAGTTCCAGATGTACACTAACATAGACTAGGGAGACACATGCTCGCAGATCCTCGACCTCTACGAGGGAATCGTCGACGACAAAAGATTCCACGAGATCAACCCAGCTCTTGGACCAGCACCAGAATGCACCGGTCTCAAACCCGACTACTATTACTGTGTCATGGCCTATCCGGATGAATATCCCCCGATGCCTCCGACAGTGACCACTGCGCCTACGCCCCTGCCCTCTGACACGGCCAAAAACTGCACACTATGGTACCAATCTGTCGGCCTCCAGAGATGCGAAGGCATCGTCCTCGACTTCGGCACCTTCACTGAAGAGCAGTTCATCGCGTGGAATCCATCCGCGGCAAGACGCTGCAACGGTCTTCCAGTTCGTCTCCCCCCCTCCCCCCTTTCACCAGACTCAAGTCCTAACTGTCAAATAGGAAGATACCTGGTACTGTGTCGCAGACGCCAACACCCCATCAAGTCGCACTGCACCCTACGACCCAGGCCCGACCGCAGGACACCACCAGCTCAACGTGGCGCCAAACTGCAACAATTGGTGGTTCGTCGGGCTCAGCGATTCGTGCAGAGTCATTGCCCTCCGAGCCGGCATCGCCGAGAGTGCCTTCTACGAGTGGAACCCAGATGTCTCGTCGGAGCGGCACTGCGACAACCTGATCCCTGGAAGCGAAGTCTGCGTGGGCGTTCCCTCAAACGGAACCATTCCTGTGCCAACCTCCAACGGAACCATCCCAGTGCCTACCACGCCCGGAAAGAAGCCGACCCTCACGCCGGGCAAGTCTTCCAGCTCTCGCGGGCCAACCAGCGGCTCCTTCAGTGTTCTCCCCACCACCCCGCTCCCCACGGAGCCTGACAACACCTTCAGCCTCTCAACGGGCTCCATCACCGAGACAGACACCATGACCACCGTGTCAGAGGGAGACCCCCGCGGCACCGCCTCCAACAGCGATCCCTGGCCGCCTGGCTCGGCGCCCTCTACCACCCGCCACACCCGCCCTGCGCCCATTCCTACCGGTAAACGCTGTGTTCTTAAGCATGGCAAGGAGGTCACGGCTAGCGAAGACGCGACTGGTCATGGCAAGTCGCCTGTTGGTAGGGAGACGGCTTCGGCTGACGACTGTGTTGAGACTACTGAGGCTACTGAAAGTTCTACTTTGATGGGTGGAGGATTTTTTTTTTACAGATTGGTACAGATGGATTGATTATCAATTTTTTTGATTTATTGACAGAATGGTAAAGATGGATGAATTATTGGTTATTTTGACAGGATGACACAGATGAATGGATTATCGAAGATTTTCTCCAGAATGTTACAGACGGAGAGAAATATTGGTTATCTTTTTCTACCGAATGGTACAGATGGATCTAGTTGGTTAGTTCGTTTAGTCCAGGTCAGGAATTAACATTGAATGTGTCGTTCTAATGAAGTATCTCCAAACTGTACCCACTCAAGACCTACACAGTATAACATACAGTAACACACGTAAACACCCTAAACCTGAATAAATAAACCTACCCCGACTTACGCCCACCCACCGCAAAGCGACACCTCCTCCTCACCCTCTTCCCAAATGTCCAAAACACAAAGGGCAGAGGCACGCACGCGAGGGCCAGAAACGCCGGCACAGTCGACGCCCATGTAACACCCAAACGCGCATACATAACAGGCGTAAAGAGGGGAAAGACAGCACCGAACAGCGAGCGCAGAAGGGCGTTGACTGCTATTGCGGAGGCGGCGTAGCGCGGGCCGTAGGTATCTATCAGGTAGGAGAGGATAGGCATGTAGACGGAGACGATGGCGAAGCCGAAGGGGAGGCCTGCTGCTGCTGTTACCATTGGGTTGTTTTCGGTGTTGTTGGCTGTAAAGGCGAACCAGAAGAGGGAGATGGGGAGGAGGATGCAGCCTGGGAAGGAGGGGGGGAGGCGGGTTTCTGGGGGGAGGGGGGTAGGTGAGGCGAGGGATCTGCGACGGTAGGAGTAGAAGGTTGGGATGGTGAGGGCTATGGAGATGATGTTGCCTATTAGGATTGCTAGGAATGGGAGGGAGTTCGAGTGGAAGACTATTGGGTAGGCTGCGAAGAAGAGGTACAGGATTCCGTAGATGATGGCTGAGTAGAGGGAGAGAAAGAGGACGATGGGTTCGTGGATGAGGAGGGAGAAGGGGCGGGCGAGGGCTGTTTGGAGTTTGCTTTTCAGGGATATAGTATTGTTATTGTTGTTTGTGGGGGAGAGAGGGGTGTAGTGTTGTCCTGTTAGGGCCGAGAGTCGCGCTGCGCGGGCGTGGAGGAGAACAGGTGCGTATGTCTCAGGGAGGCAGATAACGTTGGTGAAGAGGAGGATGCCCGCCGCGATGGCCAGGAGACCTTGGTCCCATCGCCAGCCGGCCGCCGAGGCGAGATAGCTGCCAATTATAGGGCCCAGAGCAGGGCCGATGAAGGCGGCGACAGCGTAGATGTTGCTTCCGAGGCCTGATGGATCAGCCTTTTACCATATAGTGGATAAGGAATGTAGACATACCCCGAACAATAGGCGGAAAAGTATCGGCAATGATACTCCCCGAGACAGCCATAGGTGACGATCCGAGGCTGCCCGCAAAGAAGCGCAGGATGACGAGCGTCTGGATGTTCTTCGCGCCAACCGAGCCAGTCGTGAAGATCGTCAAACCAAGCGCACTGAGTATAGAGATAGGTCGACGTCCGTACACCTCCGATAGTGGCGCCCACACCATCGGCCCGAGGGCAAACCCAAGTACCCACATCGAGATACCGAGCAGGGTCACCTCCTGGTTGGTGTGGAATTCCTCGCGGATCTGCTCCGTGCCGCCAGAGTAGGTCGACGACCCTAGCGCTACGGTCAGGGTGGCGATGGACGCCAGGCCGCAGATGGCCCAGCGCGGTCCCGTCCGGAATTCAAGCGGGTTGCGTGGGTCATTAGGAACCCAAGAAACCTGATAGGGATCGTCATCTGTGCCGGTGCCCGGGTATTGGTGGTGGAGGACGTCGTGGGTGACGGCGCCTTGGTCGAAGACCATGCGCCAGAGGGAGATGGTGGTCAGGGCCATGGAGTTTTCCCATTATGGCAAGAAAGGGGAGGAACCTAGCGGGGTGATTCCTGGGCCCAGCTGCATTTAAACATGTCGGATATTGAATACGGCCAGCTGCAGTGTTTGTTCTGGTGGAACCGGTACATGTGTTGTGAACCCCTTGCGCTGGGATCAGACATTCTGGCACGCTGTGTGACCTCCTTGCGTGCGCCTTGCGTGGATCGGCGGAATTGCCGATGGATTAATGAATTATGGTGTTATCTTCAAGAATCTAGGAGACTATCAGGACGGACAAGCATTGAAGACGAGAGGACTTCATGCGGGTAGTTAGGGCTACGGGCCGGATGATCTACATTCTGTGGTAAGCCATTGAATATGCGAACTCCAGAAGGCAATCCAACAAGAACGGGGTTAATTGTAAAGAAATAGAATAGAATTGGATCGTGGGCTGAGGAGATCGACAACAGCTCTCCGATCGTGTGCCAATGGAGTTTCTTTGTTTCTCTGTAGTCGATCAATATATCAATTGAGATAAGGGGCAGGATATCTTTGATTCAGTAGATCATAGGATCGTCCAAAAACAAGCCTTCCAATTTGAGTAAGAGCCCTGCAGACAATGCACCCTCTGATCTGCAGCTGACAAATGACACCATTAATTGAAAAGCATTTGACTGCATTAGATAGGCAAATGACAGCCCAACCGAGTTAGACGCGATCAATCTTAGGCGGGGTGAATGACGTGTCCAATTATCTAGTATATATACAGAAACATGTCAGTACGCTAGACTCATCCACCAGATAGAAATAAAATGCAGAATATGGGCCTGGACCTCCCCCAATCCGACCGCACGGTGCGCGTGCGCCTGGTGGACACCACCACCGTCATGACCGTCGACGCTCTCGCCTTCGTCGACCCCGTGCAAGAACACCACGAGCATCTTAACCTGACTGACGTCGCTTTTCTCATTGAGAATGACACCACCGGCCAGAAAGTCATGTTCGATCTGGGCACGCGCAAAGACTATTGGAATCTCCCGCCGGTAACCCTAAATCGAGGCGCTCACATCTTGTCAGGGCTGAAGATCAACCAAGATGTAACGGAGGTGTTAGAGGGGAATGGTGTTAAGCTCGACACCATCTGTATGGTATCCTGTCTCCTATTTGAACAACGCTAACCCGCGCAGCATCCATCATTTGGTCGCATTATCACTGGGATCATACCGGTAACCCGGCCCTCTTTCCTCCGTCAACCAGTCTCGTCGTCGGTCCGGGAGTCACGAAATCCCCGCTCTTGTTACCTGGGTATCCCGAAAACCCGAACTCTGTACTCTCAGCTGAGGCCTTTGCAGGCCGAGATGTCATTGAGGTCAACTTTGACACGACAGGACTGACAATCGGCGGATTTCGCGCGATGGACTTCTTCGGTGACGGCTCGTTCTATCTTCTTGGTATGGAATTCATCCCCATCATATCAAAAGGTAAAACTAAAAACTAAACATCTAGACACACCCGGCCACTGCCTCGGCCACATGTGCGCCCTAGCACGCACCACAAAAGACACCTTCGCCTTCCTAGGAGGCGACATCTGTCACTTCGTGGGGGACTTCAGGCCATCACCAGCAGTATCTCTCCCAGAGCACATCCCAGATGGAGCCCTCGACCACGATCCAGCCTATTTTCCCGCACCATGCCCCTGCAATCTCTTCACCGACCAGCATCCAATTGTGCCGACATCAAGTACAGACGCGAAAACGACCCCATTCTTCAAGGTATCCAGCCACGCGACAAGCGTCAACACCGACCCAGCCACAGCACAGCAGTCTGTGGATACGCTGCGCGCGTTCGACGCCTCGCCGTCTGTTCTGGTGTGTCTTGCTCACGATCCGGAACTGTTGCGGTTTCTACCGACGTTTAACGAGATGCCCTCGGCGGATATCAATGGTTGGAAGGAGAATGGTGTTAAGGAGAAAGTCCGCTGGGGCTGGCTGAATGAGTTGCCGCGGGGTGGGAGGCCGGGACGATCACCGTTGGTTGAGGGGTTGTGGCGGGATGGGCGGGTGTGGGAGGAGGGTAGGGCTGTATTGTGTGGGGAGGCAAAGGCTTAGGGTTTGGTTGGGTTATAGCTGTGAGGCTGTATACCTGGTGTCTACCAGACCAAGGGGTTCAGACGAGAGGTGCATTTTGTGGTATATGAACATATCCTACGTTACGATTGAATGTATCCCGCCTATATACTTCCCACGATGAGTATCAAGTCTACTCACGTGTATGAACATGCTACTGTCAACCCAGTGTGTATTGTTCAATATGTATGGAAGTTGAAATATAGACAAAATAGAGATGAAGTTGTTATCGATCTTGTCCTATCACTATGTAGGGCTATTGTATAAAGTATCCCTACAGATTGACATTGAGGCTATATACTATTAGCCACTGATAACAAAATCAACAAAGGAAATAAATCTCTTGAATATCACAAAATAAGCTGCTAGACAACAATTGATACTACGATTCGTGCATAGTATTGATGGGCAATATGCTGTGTTGCACAACTTGGATAACCTCTATAATGATAGCTTAGTAATATATCAAATGGTTATGCACTCTACTCTATAACTCGACAACATCCACGCAATTACATCAACTGCTTCTATATACCAATGATGAGAAGCTTATATAACAAATGTTTTCTGCTTAAACCCCCAAATCTGTTTGAGACAGTAGCCTACCCCAACGCGACAGCGGTATTCCCCGCCAACACGCAATCGCCGCTTTGATGTCGTGATCACCCACCATATCGCACCTCATTCCAGGCCCTGTTTCAGCCAACTGGAAGACACTTCAGGAAGTCTGCACGAGCGATCTCTCAGTTAGCTGCATCCTAGTCCTCCGCTAATTTGTACAAAGCTTACTATCTCTACTGGGATCGAATCATGTCGCGAGCTGCCGACACTGTCGAGCTCAATGCTATTCGCTTTCTGCCGCGCGACCCTCCACGTGGAGAGGTTGAGCGAGTCTGGACAAAACCTATAAAGATGGAGGCCCCCGGAGCGCGATTGTGCGGCGCAACAAGACCATTGCATTTCCATCATGTCGGGGGATACCAAAGAAAACGACCAGGTCGCTGTGTCGTCCGTGCCGCCCGAGGGGCTGTCCGATCGGGATGACAACTATGCCATCTACAAGGAGAGTCATGGGCTAGACTATACGACCGAGGAGGGGAAGAAAGTTCTCAGGAAGATCGACTTCCGACTGGTGCCGTTGCTGTTCGTCATCTACATGCTTCAATATCTGGACAAAAACAGCATCAACTTCGCGTCGGTGTATGGGCTGAAAAAGGGCACGAATCTACACGGACAGGACTACTCATGGCTTGGTACGCTTTCAATCATGGCACGCTCGCAGTGCTAACATCCCCAGGCTCTATCTTCTACATCGGGTATCTGATCGCACAATGGCCGGCGGGGTTTGCGCTGCAGAAACTACCGATGGGGAAATTCCTCTCCATCACAACGATCAGTACGGTCTTCTCTTCGTTGTGCTGTCCTGTCGCTAATATAAGCAGTGTGGGGCGCTCTGCTGATGACCACCCCGGCATGCCACAATTTCGCCGGCATCGCCGCCAACCGCTTTCTCCTCGGCTTCATCGAAGCGGCCGTCAACCCGGGGTTCGTCCTGATGATGAGCATGTGGTACACGACGAGGGAGCAGCCTCTCCGCCTGGAGGCATGGTACTGCACGAACGGGATCGCGACGATGTTCGGGGGGTGAGTTTCCTGTTATCCCTCTATAACCCCATACTAATAATCCAGGCTGATCGGCTACGCCGTGGGCCACATCACGACTGGCCTCCCGCGGTGGATGTACGTCTTCTTCATTTTCGGGGCGTTCTCAATAACCACCGGCATCGTTGCCCTTCTCCTCCTCCCCGACCTGCCCTCAACCGCAAAGTTCCTCACCGAGAGGGAGCGCGCCATCGCAGTAGACCGCGTGGCAGTTAACCGCCAGGGCGTCAAAAACCACCACTTCAAGTGGTACCAGGTGTGGCAGGCGGCGGAAGACCCCAAGACATGGCTTCTCTTCATCATGGCCGTCGGAGCGCAGGTTCCCAACTCAGCACTAACAAGCGTACGCTACACCACCCCTCCCCATTCATTCCCGCACTAACAACAACAGTTCGCATCCATCATCGTCGGCTCCTTCGGCTTCGACACCCTCGGCACCCAATACATGCAGATCCCCGGCGGCGCCGTGCAATTCCTCGCGCTGATAATTGGCGGATTCGTCGCCACAAAGTACGACGGCCGCTTCCACTCGCGCAGCGCATGCATGATCGTCGCCAACACGATCTGCATCCTTGGGTCCGCGCTGCTGGTCGGCCTCCCCAACAACAACAAATGGGGGCGCTTAGTCGCGCTCTGGCTGTGCTATTTCCAGGGTCTGGGGTTCAGCATGAGTTTGACGATGGTGAGCTCTAATGTCGCGGGGTACACCAAGAAGCAGATTACTGGGGCGGTTTTGTTCACTGGGTACTGCGTGGGGAATATTATTGGGCCGCAGACTTTTAAGGATAGTGAGGCGCCGGGGTATCATAGTGCCTATATTGCGTGAGTACCTTTCTTATGTCTTCTTGCCGTCTGGTATTTTGGAGTTGACTAACAGGGATGCAGCATGCTGGTCGGATACTCCATCAAACTAGTCTCCATCGTCGCTCTATACCTCTACATGTATTTCGAGAACAAGAAGCGCGATCGAGCTGCCATGGAGGGGCTGAATAGTACGGAAGAGGGAATTGAGAATGGAATGCTGGTATGTTTTCTATCCTATTGGTGGGTTTTACTTTCATATGGAAAGGATGCTGATTTTGACAGGACCAAACGGAGATTGATAATAAGGGGTTTAGGTACTTTTTATAGTTTGGTTTATTTAGCAGATGTTTAGGGCATAGAATGACATTACTTCATTTTCAGATCATCAGTATGATACTTGATTTAGAACTTCTTGATCCGCAATGTACAAATAATGCTGGCATACCACTACACATGCGGCAGCTAATAAACCCCTACGAAGTACCACACAAGTAGACAATAAACAATTAGTCTATATTCATGCTACCTAATATCAACACATACGATAAAAAGAAAGATAGACAAAGATATTTTTACCAACGCCGCACTCCTCATAAATGCACTCCACCACGCTAATCATCCCTCTTCCGCTTGAACCGCGGCCCCTGCTTAGCCTGGCTGCCGTAGTTGCGTCGGCCCATCGTCTTCTCTGACCGCCCGCTGGCGTTGACGGTGATGTCTACGCGGGGGGGCGTGGGGAATCCGAAACCCTTGGCGACCTTGACGAGGTCGAGCTTGTTGACGTCGAAGATGGAGCGGAGGGAGTGCGAGGCGTAGGCGTGGAGGTAGGCGCGGTAGCCTTCTTTGGCGGACTGATTGCTGTTAGTGGGGATTGATGGGTTTATGGATGGGGGTGAAATACCTGGTGGAGATAGTAGTTTTGGCCGATCAGCTTCTCCAGTTGGGATTGGATGTTGATGATTTTCTTGGCGGGGAACTCGAATTCAACGACGGGCTGTAATTGTTAGTACGTGGGTAGAATAAATGAAAAGGTAGATAGACATACCACTCGCGCCTCCTTCAGCGCCTTGAGGAATCCAACCTCCGACGGCTGCAGGAACATCAGCGTGCGGCCGATCTTGCCCTTAGAGCCACGCGCCGTCCGACCGACACGGTGAATGTAAGATCTAGGATCATCCGGCGGGTCGAACTGCACGATGTAGTCGACAGCGGGAATATCCAAGCCACGCGCGGCGACATCCGTACAGATGAGGATACCCTGGGAGGAGTTGCAGAATTCAAAGAAGGTGTTGGTGCGCTTCTGCTGTTTCATCTTGCCGTGCAGGGCCAGCACGGGCAGGTCGATGTAGTTCAGCAGCTCCGAGTAGTATTTGACGGAGTTACAGCTGGAGAAGAAGACGATGAGCTTCTTCTTGAGGTTCTTCTTCAGGAAGGTGAACAGGAGCAGGAAACGCTTGTCCGCTTCGCAGAGAATGTAGCCTTGCTCGACGCCTTCCACCGTGCTGTGCTCCTTGCGGTGGTCCACGTTGATGTACAGGGGTCCGGGCTTGAGCGAGATGCGCGCAAGATCTTCGACCTGTTATTGTAAGGTCAGCCAGGGAAAAAATAAAAACAATAGAATCTAAGAAAAAGGTAAAACCCACCTTAGTAGTCTGGGTGGCAGAAAACAGCAAAGTCTGACGCTCCTCAGACGGCAAGATGCGCACAATCTGTCGCAGTTCCTCCTCGAAACCAACATCCAGACAACGGTCGGCCTCGTCCAGCACCAGCGTCTTGCAGTTCTTGAAGATGAATCCCTGCGTGTTCTGCAGATGATCCAGCAAGCGACCGGGCGTCGCGATCAGCAGGTTGACACCCTTGTTCAGCTTCTCCGCTTCCGCGCGGCGGTTGGCGCCTCCGATGACGATACCGTACGTCTGCGAATGGTGCTGGAGGAGCTCACGGGCGACACCGAAGATCTGCAGCGCCAGCTCGCGCGTGGGGGAGATGATGATGACACCCGTGCCGTTGCGGGGCTTGAAACGCAGCGCGCTCAACATTTCGATCGCGGGAATCAAGAACGCCAGGGTCTTTCCGGAACCGGTCTTGGCAGCACCGAGGATATCGCGACCAGCCATGGTCGGGGGGATCGTGCGCTGTTGGATCTCGGTCATCGTTTCGAATCCCATCTCCGCGATGGCCTTCATCGTCGGCTCGGTCAGGTTCAGCTCGGTGAATTTGACGGGGTTGGCATCGGTCGGGAGGGAGATTCCGTTGGCAGAGGGGAGGGCAGGAGTCGATGACGACTCGGACTCGTCCTCATTGTCGCTGCCCTCCGATTGCTCAGAGGCAGACTCCTGGGGAGCAACCGTGGGCTCATCTTCGGAGACAGCCCGCTCGGTCCTCTGCTTCTTGGTCTTCTTGGTGTCTACCGGGGCTTCGACGTCTTCGACGGGGGCAGGTGCAGACTTCACTTTGTCGGCAGTCTTATGCGACCGCCGGCGCTTCTGATCTTTCGCGGAAGCCATAATGTTCGGTGTGGATAGAGATGTATGGTGAACCGGCACGTCTGCGTTGATTTTTTGATCGGCGCAGAAAAAAAAAGTTGATGGCGGAGAGGGGGATCATTGTTGTTCCGGAGGCGGTCTAGCGGAGTATCCACCAATAGGAGTCGACTCCACTCTTATGTCAGCTATGCTATGCTGGGCAGTGGGTCTAGCCCCATCGGGCTTTTATCCTTTATTCGCCTGGCATTCAAGGCATCAACATCAACACACATCGTGACTGAGGCATCAATTTCATTCAATTCATCGTCTTTTAAATGTGGTAACTTGTACTTTCGACATGTCTATCTGATGTAGACGACAGATACATGATGCAATACAATAACCGGAAATCATCGCTAAATGCACTTATCAAAGAATGAACAACCTATCCAGTCTGCTTTCCCTGCACTAATGAACCAAATTTCCTCGCTGGCACCCTCAGCTTAAACATGTAATCTATCTCAACACTGCTCCGCCCTTTCATCTCTGGGACACCCCACCACGTTCCCGCCAGGGCCAGGACACAGAGTCCAAAATACACAAAGCCCAGCTTGGCGCGTAGGTCCGCCGCGTCGCGATTGTACAGATATGGCAACACCAGGCTGAATACGATGCCGACGACGCTGCGCGTGACGATGGATACTCCCATACTTTTGGCTCGCAAACGCAGTGATGACACTTCGCTGATGACGGTGTATGAAGCGGGCCAGGCGCCGACGCTGCAGACGACGATGATGACCATCAGGCTTGCCGCGGTGTACCTGTTGATGTTAGACACAGAAAGTCATACAAGGAAGATAGACAACATACCATGGGACGAAGTCGCCCGACCAGCAACCTACTATTCCAACCGCTAGCCACAACACGGTGGTAATGGCGATAGAGGTCAGAATGAGAGTTCGACGCCCCACCTGACTGCTCACCCATACACCGAGGGCATTAGCCACCAATGCAAGGGCAATACCCAGCACCAGCATGATGAGGCTCTCTTTGGCCTTCATGCCAACCATTTGCAGAAAGTAGCTACTATCCGATAGCAAATTAAGCCCGAACAGCGTGGGCACCATTGAGGCAAAGATGACGATCAGAGTCCGCCGTCGGTTGCTTTCGCGGAAACAGTCGCCGTAAGAGGACCGCTCTTCCCGATCCTCCTGCGACACATGGTGCTGCAGGTTCTTGAAGAGCTGGTCGCAGTCGGTTGATTCCGTGTACAACTTCCGAAGGGAGCAGAGTGTGCCGATTAAATCTTGCTGGCGCAGGAGATGCACGGGGCTCTCGGGGATGAGCAGTGCCACGATAATGGGCACAGCGGAAAACGGCCACATTGAGTGAAATGCGACGACATATGCGCTGCGGGACGTCTTTGCGGAGCCCAGGAACACCACCACAGCCCCTATCAATTGTCCGATTAAAGCGAGGGTAGGGATGAGCGCCATGGCTGGCGCGCGCATGGCGGTGGGGACCGCCTCAGACATGTATGTCTGAGCGGTTGTTTGTGCGAGGCCCAGCGCAAATCCTTGTACGATCTCAGCGAGCAGGAACACGCTGCGTCGGGTGTCAATGTCTGCAGAAAGCGGCGAGAGACAGGCGATGGCGACAGCGACCGCAGACAATACGCTGCCAATGGCGAACGGCCATCGGCGCCCGAATCGATCCTGCGCCCAGCCAGCCATGAGCGCGCCCGCGATGTTCCCAACGCACGGCAGGGCCGACCAGAGAGAAAGCCACATCGAAGGGATGATATGTCGGTTGTCATAGCGTTCGCCGAAGTCCTTCTGGAACTGGGGCACGGACGGGACGGTGGTGACGATAACGGAGTCGTATCCACCTAGCAGGAACACGGATGCTAACCCCACCGTGGCCCACGCGACCTTGGGGTGTTGTCTGATTGTAGGCAGCAGAGCTTGGGGAGTGCTTCTCGATGAGAGTAAACTGTCTGTCTCAGAGCGGCGAAGCGACGTATTCGACCCGTGGCTGCTATGATTCGGCCGCTGGCCCGGGCTCAAGTGTCGAAACTCCATTGCACAAAAGTGATATAAATTTTTCCTCCATTTTCAGGATTCAGGGAATCATACCCAAGATAAACCCGTTGGCAGTCTGCCCTACGAGCGGGCGGGAGCAATTATAGAAATGGGGGCCATAGACGGGGCATCCATAGTTGGCGCGTGCGTTGGATCGCCAAGTGGCCCTCGGGTATGGCTGTATACTCTGCAGCTAAATCACGCACAGCCCGCTTTTTAATACGATCCCTCGGGCTCAGCCTCGTCCTTATAAGCTGGGCGTCTGTCCCGCCTGCAGGGTGGTTACATTTCTCTATCTCAGTGGTCAATTCATAGCTACCCCTGAGGATGTTGAAGAACTAGCTTAGGGGCCGTTTGAAATCACACCACTTGATGATGATTATAGATTGTCGGGCGAGATAATTGGCCGTGTCCATGTCGTCTCGAGATCAAGACTGTCTTCCGATGTAACGGAGATGCAACTTAGCTGGAAGAGGCATAGTAATGTCTATTTATTCGCCAGAAAGTTGGACTTCAGATCTAGTCTTTCGCTAAGAGATCTACCGTCTTTCGCTAACTGTCAGTAAGTTGCACCAACCACCTGCGACTTATTCCTCGTTCCATCAGCATCTTACAGAGCACTGAGATATTTGCTTACTAGTTTCGAATAGTCCAGCAAAACCATTTGTCTATCAAGACATTACTCCTGCAGACAGCCAAACCTCTGATTGGCGCTGTTTCTTGACATAGCAATTGTTGACAGCTGGTCAATTGATTGTTCTGAAATACGATGTCGATCTGGATACAATGCATTCACGCGAGATATTATGTCAGATGAGATCGTGTCGGCGGAGTCCTAATACGAGTGCTAAGCACTTGTGTTTCGCAGATTCAAACTCTGCTATGGAGTGTTTTGTTCCTTCAGGAATTTGTCTTCCGTCTCACATATGGAAGGACCGATTACACGGTTAAAAAGATGCTCAAATCAATGATCTCAAAGCTACGAAAAAGGTTACAAAGGTTTGCAAGATTGCCAGAAATTCGAAAATACATGTAGTGTGGGGAAAGCTCTGCAAGCTCTGCAAGTCAGCTAACATGCTGAGCGATTGCAATTCCACATGGATTATTGCAGTCTGTTCTACTAAAAAAAAGTCTTTTGCAGCTACTTGGGTCTTTCAATTTGTCAAAATACGATCGTCCAACATAGATTGTTGATGGTTGAACGGCACATTCAACCCTAGTGTCATCCAGATATAGCACCCAAAGACCCGTGGAATGATATGGGTAAGGTAACTTCGCACACAGATTCTTTGATCCCCTGTGAAGACTTGTATATGAGCAATCATCATTCAATGGTTTGGACGACACGGACTTTTCACACCAGTCCGCAAGGTTCTCAAGCAACCTTGGCGAGCGGCAGAGTTTTGGCATTGAAGCCCACGATAATAGATATCGACTGATATTGCCGCACATTTACGAACAACGCAATTGGCCGAACGGCCTCAAGCCTCGAAATTCGAATAAATCCATCTCCATGCATGCAAATCGCAATCAAAATTTAAAATGGAATCCTGTCCTATTCGGGGAATTTATAAGAAAAGCTGGAGCGCCGTGAGAACCTTGAGGGTGCCAAGTCTCCCGCTCTGCTTGGCATCAACGGGCTTTTTGCACATCGAAAGCATTTGAATGATGAGACTGGACGAGGGCTGCCAGTATAAAGATGGTAGTACCCTCTCAGCTGAAAATTGAGAAATCCAAAAGCATACCCTCTATCTATCCTTCAAGATCTCTCTCGCAAACAACACCATGAAGTACTCAACTCTTCTCATGATAGGGCTGGCCTCCATCGCCCTGGCTCAAGAAGAGCCCGGACCATCGCCCACTGCCTCTGTTGGCTGCGAACCCCACGGTGACCACTGGTGCGTTTATTCTACCTATACTTCGTCATAATGCTAACCAGCTAGGCACTGCGACGGCCCAGCAGAAACACCCACCTCCACCGAAGAAGAAGAAAGCAGCAATGTCACTCCCTCTGTACCAAGCCCCAGCGAGTCTACTGGCTGTGAACCTCATGGCGACCACTGGCACTGTGACGGGCCCGCGTCGACTGATGTATCCGCTACATCTAGCGTCTCAGGCGATGCCACCGGCTCTGCTTCGCCGACGATGCCTAGTCCTAGCCAATCGGTGGGCTGTGAACCGCACGGGGACCACTGGCATTGCGATGGGCCGGCTGAGACAGGCTCGGCTGGTGCTGAGGAGGGGAGTGCGGCAGCAAACGGGGTTAGTCTTTCTGCTGTTGCTGCGATGGCGATTGGTGTTGCTGCTGTATATATTTGATACTTTTGATGGATTGATAATGGGGCTTGTGGATGGGGATATTTGGTGTTGTCTTTGATACCATGAATTATTGATGTTGACTACTTCCAAACCATCTACATAAATTTGAATGTATCTATGACAGAACCCTAAGCAACATCCAGTCCATGCACGACATACTCCTCCCCACAAACAACAACCGTCTGCCCCTGTTTCCACTCCCTCTGATCCTCAACACCGACATCCCTCATCGACGGTAGACTCCCACCATCGGGCCCAAAGACATACTTGTCCCGCCACCCAGACAAAACCCCCCACTCCTCCCGCCGAGCACTAACCTCTCCTCCGCGCTGCACATGACGACCCTCACCCTCAACAGTCTGCGTCTGTCTCAAAGCAAGGTACACCCCACCAGCCCTCCCCAGAAACGTCCTCACCAGCTCACCTCCTACAATCTTCTTCCTCCCCTCCAACACCCACGACACGCAGTGCCCCTCTCCTTCCGCGCCAACAGGTGGCACCAGCGTACGCCACACCTCCTCGTACGCACAAACCGGTGCCCCTGGAACATCGGCACGCGGCATCTCCCCGACTTCCAGGTCGTCTCCGTTTGGAAGTGTTGAGAACGTCCCACAGTCTGCTGTTGAGAAGGCGCCGTGGGAGTCAAGGGCGTGTGTGAACCGCACTACGCCTGTTGTTTGTTAGTGTCATATCTCTTCCTCAACAATTACCTACTGAGTGTATATTGACAAACACACACATAGGTATATTATCTAGAGACAAACACTACTTACTAGAATCATTCTCATCAACCAATCTCTCCCCAGCTATCGCCCAATCTAAACCACCAGTAGCCTTGTCAACGCGCAAGTCCACATACCACCCATTGACGGACAGGACAAGGGTATCAGTTGGTTCGGAAGGTGAGGACGGGGGCCAACTGATGGAGATGCGGGTGGAGAGATTTGTGTTTGCCATTTTTTGTTGTTTGTCTTAATATCTGCTTTCTTTATCTCCTGTGTTTGTTGGAATATGGACAAACGGGACTGTGGGGTTCCAATGGGAACTTGGCGGTTCCCCGCATGGCTAGTAGGAATAGGAGTACGTCATAGGCTGAGGACTGCATGGCGGCATACCCTATCCAAATCTATAGCTTTCGAAGGGGTCATGGAGCCATGGGTGATGCAAGGAGTGAATTCATGGAGGTTTGAAATGTTGAGTTGTGAGACATCCAAATGGGCAGTGTCAGGTGACTTGCAGTGTTGTTCCATATAAAATTGTTGTTTTGACTCTTCATGTTTTTTTTGCAATCGTTTTCGACCTTTCCTAGCTTCGACCTCATCAGTATTATCATTGATCTGCCTGTCTCCACCGGTCATTCCACAGCAAACGCGTAGTCGGGCGGGACGTGTCTTTGGTGGGGACTATAATACAACCCCACATCCATTCTCCAGCCATCCTCTATTCTGTTACCTCTACCATCTCATAAGGCCAAGGCTAGTCTGCTGGACCAGACAGCGGATATTGTTCCTTTAGCCTTTCATCGCCAATATGCTACCTGACTTCTTGGGGAGTAGCTACGCCCGCTACAGATCAGATACCAATAAGTTTGCAACGTGGCTCCTGGAGACCGCCAGCCAATGTGGCTATCAACCACCTGCCCTCTCTGCCACCGTTCCTACCACGAGAAAGGGTAAACGCAACAACAAAAACCATGGCTCAGATGCAGACCCAATCCAATACAGTGCAACTACCAAAGACCTGCAAAAGCTCGCCGAGGTGGTCGCCGGTTCTGCTCTCACGGTACCCCAGTCAGTTCTCGCCATCGCCAGACGTGCCATCAAATTGAGAACAGCGGTCACTTCCTGGTTCTTGGGCCAGGGCGACTCCATGAACAACAAGCGTCATGCTCATTTCATCACGGCGCTGGAGCAAATATGCGAGACTCTAGAATGGAAGACCAACCAACCCCCGAAGCCAGACGCGAAGCAGCCACCACCGACTTCGGAGGCTCAGGGTGACGATGCCGTTGCTGACAGCTTTCTAAACAAATTTGCTGTTCTGACGGTGGAGGAACCCCAGGATACGGCGCCATCTCAACCGACCCCCGCCGAATCGAAAAAGATCGTCAAGGTGACGGTTGTGGAGGAGGACGACAATAAGGAAGAAGACGCACATCTTGGTCCGTTGTTCTTCAAGACCCTCTGCTTACTTCAGGACTTGAGCAATATCCGAAAATTCCTTTCCATCACCTGGTCGGAGTATCGAGATAAGAAGATCGATCTTATGAATGCCGCCGTAGTGACTGACAATGCTTTGCAACTTGCCCAGCAACTTATACAGGAGGTGGAGGCGGAGTGGTACAATTCCCTTTCGGGGCTTTTGGAAGGAAAGGATACTGTGCAGGATATTGTCTAAAATATCGCTGTGTGGAACCACGGCATTTCTCCAGCTCCATCCACCGAAATTGGCCTGCCATACAACAAGAACATGGCCGATATAGCCGACTGGTGCTATATACCAACGAAGATCTTACTTGACTCCTTCGCAGACGTCCTTCAGGACAATCATCTGCCAGTCTTTAAAAAAGGCTACTTCGGCACCTATAATCCGAAAGCGAACAGAGAGCGGATGTCTCTGGGTCAGAAATTCAACGAAGACAAAATCATCCTTCTTTCGATTTTGCCCGAGTTTTGCATGCTTGATGCATTCAAAATCCAAGTGCCTACTGAGGACGCGATCACTAGAGGCCTTGCTGAGTTTGCCAAGACCAAGAAGGTTACTATGTGGCTTTGCTTCGTCTCCCAGATCTTTCTCGACGTTCATCATACCATGCGACACAGCACCTTGGGTGCATTTGGAGACCTCCGAATGTCTGGGATTCGCATCCAGAAGACTATCGATGACTATCTACAACTGTCGAAAACACACCCGCAGCCCAAATTTTGGCCAAAAGAGGGTGACGAGGAGATCCGAAGTATAAGGTCAACCATCCAGTCATGGATCATACAAGATCTGTTCCTAGATCTTCGAGTCCAGTCTAAACTCACCCGCGTTGGCCCCCCGCCCGAGAAGCATGCACTCTTCTCGCAGCACGCTATCCTCTGCGGCTTGATCCTGTTCAATCTTAATACCCGAATGCAATCCGTTGGCCAGCAGCTCGTCACCCAATGGTACGACGTCCAACAGCTGGCCTTCTTGCACAACCTGGTCCTGAATTCCCCAGCGCACAAAGACCTGAGATGGCCTGACATGGATGCTTTCATCAAGATCCATGGCGAGTCTCATATTTTCATTGGTTCGCGGCCAAAGAACGCCGATGAATCGCTGACCAGGCTTGAGCTGGCCACAGGCATCTCATCCGCTGTCAATTTTGCGCGTGACTCCCGGTGCAAACGATTTCAATTCCACAAGCCTGACGGCAAGAATGCTCGCGTACTCAAGCCCACCACTGCAGTCGCGAACCTGTTCTTCGCACAGTACGTTGGTGATCCCGAGGAAGATGGCGGGATTGCAAACATCGACAGGATCCTGGACGAGGTTGTACGAAAATCGAAGCTCGAACCGTCCAGCAAGGACCTTCAGCGAGCCAATCCGGAGACCATCATCACCCGAACGTGGTCCAAGACCCACAACATCGACATACTGCACCTTCTCGCCTTCCTGAAGACCAAGCTATTCGAAGAGGAGCCCATCATCCTGTACAACTACTTCGGCATGCACAAACGCTCCGTCGAGCTACTCCGACTGATCCGCGACAAAGAGCACCAGAAGTTCGTCCAATATTTCACGTCGGCATACATGCCCGACGACTCCTTCATCTCAAACATCGTCATCCTCATCCATCATGTCGCGCGAGGCTCGGCCCAAAACGCACGTGACATGGGACTAGCATCTACCGGAGTTCAACTGATGAGTCGGATTGTCACGAGCGCTGGCGACGTGATGCGGGAATACTTGAGGAAGAATGGAGACGTGGCGTGCAAAGAGCTGAGAGTGTTCTGCAAGAACAAGACCCCAATCCAAGATGATGCTGCCTATGATACGAGCGAATCGGACGACCTGGTGTTTTCCTGGCTCAGCCTTGAGGACGTCCTGGGTCCCAAGGGTGTGGCCTCGCTCCAGACCGGGATTCCGATAGGCTTATAGACCTGGTGCTGTCTTGATGGTAATACCTGTTCGAATATACGAAAACTCTGCTTCATGTGTTATGTCTTAGGATTTCATGGTCTAGTCAACCCAATGCAACAAGATCGGATCAGTTTGTTTCCGAGTACCATAAGCAATACAGTCATGGTCGAACATCGTAGGACATACTGCATATCATGGTAACAAGGCTGAGCTTAGGTATGTTCGGTATTCAAGTCGTGTGCATACTCAAAGGGTCGGACTCAAAGACCACCACCTACCTAGTATAGAGTACTCCCAGAATAAGTAGGAAGGTTCATCTACAGCCCTCAAGTTACTCCTCTGGACTAACAGATAATTGCACAAGTATCCAAATATCACCTAATATAATGATGTACACTAAAACATCATACTTCATAATATTGAGGTAAGATCACCTACGGTAGCCACGCTTACTTGAGATATCTACAAGTTGACACCAGCTCCTTCCACTCAAATAAAATATACCGACCTCCGCCCCTTCCAGTCGAAGAAGAAGCCTACATGGGTACCTACCACCTAGATGGCATTCCAGACCCCAGAACAACCCACCACTTCCAACTATCCCCGCCCATATACATACACTACACAGCAATACTCTTTAATCATCATATCTTACAAGCTTCCGAAATCCATTACGCAATGACTATTAGATTTGTGCCCCACCCCGCGCCGGAGGTAGAGCCTGAAGAGAGCTATTCCCCCGATGTGGTGAAGGACGAAGAGAGATATACCCCCGACGTGGTAGACGACGAAGAGGAATATACCCCCGACGTGTCAGAGGACGAAGAGAGTCATACCCCCGAAGAGCATGAGGAGATATGTCCCCCCGACGTGCTCCTTATCAGCAAGGACGGTGGATCTCAGGAGGTGCACAGCGGTCTCCTTGCCGAGTACTCTAAATATCTCAGGCGATGTTTCGAATTCAGTGTAAGCAACCCCCCAGGCACAGCCCACCTCATCACTAATGCCTCAATCCTGAAGGACAATGGCCCCTGGCGTGTCAAAACCAACTTCAGCCTACGCAGCATCAAGTACCTGGTCGAGTTCCTCTACACTGGAGAAGTCCAACTCCCGAGATACCAGCCCCCGGGACTCTTCTTTCCTTATGGCCGTCAATACAGCTCGTTATACGACCAAAGGCAGCGAAGGGAAGAGCACGCATTCAATATATTCAGCATACTCGTTGAAGTGCACAACCTCGCGCTCTGCTACCACGTTGACCAGCTCCGGATAGCGGCGGAAGAGCGGATCACCAGAGTCCTGGCAGACTGTACGGGCAAGATGGACTTGTTTCGCGGGGCGGCATGCATTTTGGAAAACGGGATAGACGAGACGAACAAGGCTCTCGCAACGGTCCATGTGATTAAGATGCTGCATTTGTACTCTTCCAACAAACGTTTCCCGCACTTTATGTGGACCCGGGCATGGTGCACCGCGCTCAAGAGGATGCCGCGGGAAGCCGCGCAAGAATATTATAACTTGCTTGCGGGCTATATCCGTCTTAATGATAGTGAGCCCGCTAAGGAGGCGATGGAAAGCTTGCCAATGCATTACAATTGGGTGATGTCTTTTAGGAGTCATCAAAGTTTGTGAGCTATCTTTATGGTGCTAGAAGGCTATTGCCAGTGGATGGTATCACTATGGTGTATTTGTATTATTCCTGTGGTTTGCATTTTTGAATCAAATGTTTTGTGTTTGACTCGAGCTGGTTATTCTAGTCTAGTAGTCCCATAAAAACAGCAACTATGTTATCATACAAATAGTCACGACGAACGTAATTCAAAACTACCAGCTTGGCAAGCAATGAGATGATTAGTGAGATGAGCGGGAATGGCTTCTAAAGGACAATTTAGGCGAAGAATAGATATCACGGTAGGCGTAGAGGCTCCGGGCTCATAACCTGTGGAAGAACCAATGAAAACATTCCAGATAGTGATCTTGATGACTTGAAACGTCGAAGATGTTGCGAAAGTGATGCAAGATTAAAACACAAAAGGTGTGGGGAAAGGGCTCTGCAAGTCAGCTGATATATATCAACATCACCAGGAAGAATCCGCCAGACTGCAGGCCTGATGACCGAAGTAGCATAAGAGCCGTGCTAACGCCAGGAAACGATAGGATCACCTCCCCACAGCATGTCCTTCAACCCATGTATCGACTGGTGGTCGCTTCACGCCACGACAGCCGATCTGCAGCGGGCGGTCTCATTCCCGGACGAGGCTGTCAACCCGCCGCGGTCGTGCTAGTAGAGGGAGACTTTGCCAGCGTGTTCAACAGGAAAGACAACATTTGCGACGTGATTGTCACACTGTTCTTCCTCAACACTGTGCGTAATATTTACAGCTATCTAGGCAAGCCATCCACTGCTACAGCGCGACAGCGTGAGGTTGAACCTGAGCCCGTTGCTATACAGCAGTGGGCCGCTCCTGCAGCTATCGCTCGAAGAGGATATTGCCCTGGCAGATACAGTGGGGCACCGTTTCGAAATAAAAGGAAGTCAGAGCGGGGTGGATTCTCTGGGCATTGTTTTGTTCGAGGGAAAAGACGTGGCGTGGCATGGGCATGGCGTATGGTCGGAATGCACGGGAGGCTGAGCACGAACGCGTCTATTGCGCAAACGTGGCAGGCTGTAGTAGTTTGATTGAGCATGGCCTATCAATATCCTTGTTTTATTTCTCGGGGTCGTCTTGCATTTGATTGTTGCACGGATCGCTGGTATCGCACTTGTTCTGCGCTCCCTGTCCGTTCTGTCGGGATCCTTGCATTATATCACACAAGAATGTTTATATTTTTTGTCAGGGGGATTCTCCAGACACGCTCGCCCTTTTCTTGCTGTCTGGATTGCTGTTCTTCTTACAATTAACATTCGAAGCACATCCGACACAGGAGGAATTGGTAGAAAGAACTACAGCAAGGATACACCATGGCAGACACAGATCCCAAAACACTCAAAGAAAACCCCCCCATCGCCATCTCCCTCGACGATGAACTCAGCGACGCAGCATTACTCCGAAAGATTGACTGGCGCATTCTCCCCATCATGTTCCTGACGTATTTTCTCCAATTCCTCGACAAAGTCTCCCTCAATGTACGTACCCGATATATCCAGCCATTCAGCTGCTAACGAAAACAGTACGCAAATGTAATGGGTCTCCAAGTGGACCTCAAAATGCATGGGAACAACTTTGCCTGGCTGGCGACGGCGTTTTTTATTGCGTATGCCGTGGCGGAGATTCCTCAGGGTGCGTCCTTTACTGTGTGTATACGATGCGTTGCTAAAGATAATGTAGGAATCCTCCTGCAACGATTCCCCGTGACGAAAGTCCTCGGGGTGAATATCCTCTGTTGGGGCGTGTTGCTCTCCTGCTCGGCCGCAGCGACCAACTATGCTGGAATGATGGCTTTGCGTGTTCTGCTAGGGGTGATGGAGGCTGTTATTGGTAGGTTCTCCTCCTCTTTTTCTTTTTCATATTATCATATGTATGGAAGATAACAGTAAAGTAGCACCCGCTCTCACAATCTACACCGCAATGTGGTACACCCGAGAAGAGTCCACCCCGCGGTACGGCTTCTGGTACTGTGGACTAGGCGCCGGCCAAATCATCGGCGGACTGATCTCGTTCGCCGCGCAACGCGCCACGCCGTCCGGGTCAGGGCTGCACGGATGGCGGGCGATGTTCGTCGCGATCGGAGTAGTGAACGTTGCGATCGCGGGGCTCGTCCTGTTCGTGCTGCCGTCCTCGCCGGACACAGCGGGGTTTCTGAGCGAGGCGGAGCGGGCGCGGATCGCGCAGCGGCTGAGTGAGGACGAGGCTGGGAGGGTCGGGGTGGGGCGGAAGCAGAGCGGGTGGAGATCGCTGGCTGGAGCCTTGTGCGATGCGCAGACGTGGCTCCTGGCGCTGTTGACGGTACTGGTGTGTGTGCCTAGCGGGGTGATTACGACGTTCTCGGCGGTGCTGATCAAGGGGTTTGGGTATACGAGTGAGGAGAGCGCGCTGCTGAATATGCCGAGTGGGGTGGTTAGTATCGCCGCGACGATGGTGTCGACGTGGGCGATTGCGCGTCGGTATTCGCGGTGGTTGGCGATTGATCTGCTGCTCGTGCCGACGCTGGTTGGGTCGTGTCTGATGAGTTTCTTGCCCGCGTCGAACCAGGGGGGGTGTCTGGTAGGGATTTATCTGGTGAATTCGACGGTGGCGCCGTTGGCGTTGATCTTTGCGTGGACGGGGGCGAACTATAAGGACTATACTATGCGGGTATTTCATTCTGCTGCTGTGCTGTGCTGGGTGAAGCATGCTAACATGATCAGGTCTCCGGATGTTCATTGATATCTGCTGCGTTTAGTATCGCCAATATCATCGGTCCGCAGACGTTCCAAGCGGCCGACGCACCAGAGTATGTACTCTGTAAAAACCACTAACGTGAACTTCAAGACTAACTATACAGATACCTCCCTGCAAAACTCACCCTCGTGGCTGTCAACGCCGCGGGAATTGTCGTTTCTACTGCCCTGCGAGTGTTGTATGGAGTGCGCAACGCGCGGGCCAGCAGGATGGGGTTGCCAGCGATGGGTCGCATCGAGGGGAAATTACAGCCTGATGGGCTTGATCAGGCTGGGTTTCGCTACGTTTATTAAATACGCACTTGTAATTGTGGCTGTAGGGGATGTTCTTACTTTGATATACAATTTAATCAATCATACGACCCTAGTATGTCTCATTCACAGTTGTCTACGTATCAGTCGATGACCCCGCCTCGCACAGCCTTCTATATAGCCTGAATTATATACAAGAAAGTTTAAGTCTAACAGTCAGCAATTAAGCTCGCACCTCTGTCCCCAATCTCAACATCCTCTATCACCTCTACACCACCATCCATCTTTACAGAATGGACCCCGTCCTCATTATCGGCGGCGGACTAGTGGGCCTAACCCTAGCCCAAGCCCTAAAAAAGGTTGACCTCTCCTCCTCGTCCTCCCTCAAAGCCTATAACACATCTAATGTTAATTTACAACAGAAAGACATCCCCTTCGAAGTCTACGAGCGCGACGCCTCCCCGGCAGCCCGCGATCAAGGCTGGGCCATAACACTGCATTGGGGCCTAGACCCCCTACGCAAGACAATCCCATCCGAGATCCTATCGCTCATCGAAGCAGAGCAGGTCGACCCCGACGTCGCGAAAAACGACAATGGCAATTTCCTATTTCTGGACCTTGCGACGGGGGAAGCCAAGTTCAAGGTCCCGCCCACGCATCGGTGGCGTGTGAACAGGGACGGCATGAGGCGGGCTTTGTTGACCGGGCTGGAAGAGCGGGTACACTGGGGGAAGCGGTTGGTGGGGGTGGAGGAGTCGGGGTCAGCCGTCACGGTGAGGTTTGAGGATGGGACGCACGCGTCGGGGAAGATGGTGATTGGGGCGGAGGGGAGTCGCTCGGAGGTGAGACGGGCGCTGTGTCCGGGGGGGTATCGCAATGAGCCGCTGGAGGCTGTGCGGTTCGTAGGCGTCGCGGTCGATATGGCTCCGGAGGCGATCGCGCCGCTGCGGGCGCTGGATCCGCTGCTGTTCCAGGGGTGTCATCCGCTGACGGGGACGTTCATGTGGTTTTCTGTGCTGGAGACGCCCGTGCGGAATGGGACTCTCGGGACGGCGGGGGAGAAGTTTCGCGCGCAGATATGCCTGTCTTGGAGGGCGAGGTCGGTGGAGGATGAGGTTGAGGGGACGAGTGAGGGACGGTTGGCGGGTATGAAGAGAAGGGCGGAGGGGTTTGCGCCTTGTTTTTATGATGCTGTGCAGGGGATTCCTGAGGGGACGCCGGTTACGGAGGTGAAGCTGGCGGATTGGGAGTGTTTGGAGTGGGATAATAAGGGACGCATGACGTTGGTGGGGGATGCTGCGCATGCGATGACCATGTGTATGTTTCTTTCCTTCTTTTCTTTTTATAGGGTGGTGCTAACCTGACAGGGATTTAGACCGCGGCGAAGCAGGCAACCATGGCCTGCTAGATGCATACTGGCTAGCTAAAGCCATCGACAAGGTGTATCGGGGAGAGGACTCAAAAACTGCCCTAGACGTGTATGAGGGAGAGATGCGCGAGCGAGCACAACGGGCTGTTAAGCTGAGTCGACAGGCCTGTTATGATGCACATGAGTGGGAGCAGCTGAACGAGCACTCTCCTGTTTTACAGAAACGTTCACTCATCTAATTGTTACCATTGAGTGAGGGAATGTATAGGTGGGAGTGAAGTATGGACACCGGATTAGGGCTTGCATGTCATGTGTTCCAGCGAGGTGCGTCTATTAGAAAGTGATTATGACTTGGTTTAAGCTCGGTCTAAAGTGTACTGCAAACCACTACAAATATACTATCATCTTGATTTACCAAGCAGTCTTTCCTAGAATACAGTCACCCAAGGTCATAACCAAATATCTTTCTTGCCCAGTGGACACCATCGCATAGGTTACGGCTATTCTTTAGAACAGCCAGTCTGCCAGTGAGATGATACGAATAGTAATAATAGAGCGCGTTGGGCGGTTCGAGTCTGCAGCCTGCGGTCAACCTTACTTGGGGCTGTACTAGAGTGCATGGCAAGGCGAGGTTGGCCGAGAGGGTGGAGACCATCGACTCTGTCTTGATTTTTTCGGGAAACTGTTGCCTGGTACGGTGCCAAGTGGCGCGACTATGAGTCCACTCCTCAACGTGAGATTAGTCGTTCTTTGTGCATAATATGTTGTGCGACTTCAATATGCAAGACAGTTCATAGTCGAGCATTACCAGCTTGGTACCAGCTCTTTCCAAGGTGATTATTATTTCTTATACTTGGCAAAATGGAATACGCCAGACTACACGACGTCATATTCAGCTGTCTGCGCAAGAATACGCATCTTGATACAGGCTGCCTGTCTATAGTGAGGCCATCATGCGAGGCAAACAGCCCACTATCAGACATATCATATTGCTGCTTCGACGAGCGTAGTCAAGACACAATTATGAGCTAGCTGTTCACCGCATACTAATACTCCATACCCCCTATCTTCTTCCCGCATCAACTTTGACGGAAAAAGAGGTCAAAGCAAAATGACAGATGAAGAACAAACACCAGTTGAAAGGCAAATTGTACTCTGCTTCGACGGCACGGGCAATACCTTCCGCACCGACGGCACCGAGACTAATATTCTCCGAATATGCCGCATGCTAGAGCGGACCGACGAGCAGTGCATGTCCCCGTCCAGTTCATTCATCAGCTAATACTGACCCCATCCTACCAACAGTGTGTTACTATCAGCGTATTTCCCACCCGCCCCTCTACCAAGCCTATGTATATCGAACTAACCCCCACAGCCGGCATCGGCACCCAGATAACGCCCGGCTCCCTAGCAAGCACGACCATCCGCCGCACTGGGCGTCTGGCGGGCTCATCCCACGCAGTGGATCTCGCCCTGGGACGAACATTCCACCAACACGTACTAGGCGGGTACCGCTTCCTCATGCGCCACTACCGGGCATCGACACAAATCTACGTATTCGGCTTCAGTAGAGGGGCATTCACAGCACGGTTCCTGGTCGAGATGGTCGACTTCGTGGGGCTGCTCGGCCCCGACAACGAGGAGATGCTCCCGCTAATATGGAAGGCGTTCATGACGTGGAAGACACGCGGGTGCGACGCAGAGGCCAAGCGACGCGCGCTACACTTTGTGACCGAGACGCGCGAGACGCTGTGTCGGCCGACGAGCCAGCCCGTGCGCTTCCTGGGTGTCTTCGACACCGTAAACAGCATTGCTGATTTCCGGGTCGATTTGCAGATTATTTCGATGGCGCAGGTCACGCGCCATGCTGTTAGTGTTGATGAGAGGAGGGTGAAGTTTCGTCCTGTGCTGTTGAAGCCCATGGGGACGAGGTGTCCTTGTGCGGGTCCGCTGGGGGGGTTGGGGCCAGAGCGCACGGCGTCGAGCTTGCTGGCTGCTTGGAAGAGGAAGAGTCGGGGGGATGCTGCGGAGAGGCTGAATACGGCTGTGCTGGGGAGTGCGGAGGAGCAGGATGTGCAGGAGGTGTGGTTTCCTGGGGGGCATGCAGATATTGGCGGCGGGTGTCAGCGGTCGGACGAGCGTGAGAAACACCAGTTGAGTCATGCGCCGCTTGTGTGGATGGTGCAGGAGGCGAGTCGGGCTGGGTTGAGGTTTGATAAGGCAAAGCTGCGCCGGTTTGGCTGTGCCGAGGTGGCGGTTGGTGATGATGGTGGTGGTGGTGGTGGTAGGCAAGGTGTGGATGAGAGCGTGGAATTCCATACGGCGCTGGAGGAGTCGAGCACCCGCGGAACACTCCACGATCTCTTGTCGTTTGGGCACGGGCTGTCTCGCGCTTCTGTGCTTGCGTGGAGGGCGATGGAGTACTTCCCTGTCAGGCGGATTGACCTGCTGCCGCAGGGGAGGTGGAAGGTAGCACGGTGGCCGCCTCCCAGGGGCGCGGCTCGGGGCGTTCCCGATGACGCCATGATACATGTATCTGTTATTCGCAGGATGAAGGCAGATCCGGGATACCGTCCGCAGAACCTACTGGGCAGGAGAGACGACTGTACGGGGAGCTTTGACGCTACAGAATGGCAGATTCATGCTAGCAAGGGGGATGCAGTGCGGGAAACATGGACGAAGATGCATTAAGTTGGGGATAAGTAGGAGTTTGTATATACAATAAGATTGATCATGTCGACCTATGAGAGCGTCATATTTGTTGAGAAGGACTTTGTCTGTCAGATCAGATTCTGTTTACTGTTCGCCACAATCGGCTATCCTGTGGCCATTTTCTGACAGCTGTGTCTGTCCCTTATCGACTGGAGACAGTGGTGTCAATAGGACAGTAGGTGTGTCGAGACCGTCCTAGGGCTTGTATGTCCCGTGACCCTGTCAATTGGTGTCATTATAGATGCGATCAGTTCATCCAGGCTAGATATATCATGGATTACTGGGATAACGCCGTATGACTATAGAAACCTATTCACTGGCACGCTGGACTGGAGGAGTTCGAGCTCAGTCTGCGACTTCCTAGAGTGGTCAGTCTGTGATGTGGATCGCTCTGGCATTGTCTTGCGCCCCGGATATAAGTATTTATCTAGCAGCATCTGGCAGAGAGATAAACCTCTCCCTTCCTTGTCTTCCCCCTACGTATAGAGACGCGACTTGTTTTCTGCTGTAGACCCAAGCCGGCTGAAGAGCTTGATATAGTCGGAAATCTTATTGCCGTCGGAATATTCATTCTATAAAGCCAGGGATCCTGGAGTATGGTTTTACATGGTCGAGTACTGTATTGATGCTGTCATATTGACAGTAGTATCAGTTGAGACTAGGCTTTTGCTTTTTTGATTTCCAGAAATTACAAAGTGAGTGTTGCACAAATAACGGGCTTGCTCAAATATAGGCAATGATTAGGGTTGATGAGTGAATGTCGAATTAGAGCAGTTTTGGGGCTACATTAGAACCTGCCTGACATTACTTACATACCTAGGTCGTGAATAAGCAGATCTACTGGCTTCTATAATCAGACTCTAATAAAGTCGGTGAGTGGTCTGATCTATCACTTCCTTGCTGACAAGACTGACCTACCACATGCCTACAAACGACCCCTTCGCACTAATCCCTATTCGATGCAATCTCCACGTATCCATTGCAATAACCCAACTCTCCATCCTTTCCCCCGCTCATCAACATGGATTTCAGTCTTTACTGTAATCTGTGTGGATGCGCCCTTTCCAAATATGACAGTCAGAACCGGTACTCCCATTCGTGGCTGAAGCACTTTCGCGCCAGTAGGTAAATCTCTAGCATCAGCCACACCGATTAACCTGACCATTCCAGTCTACTCCAGCCCCGCTGGAATATCCGTCTCCGGCGTTGGCCTGTACGACGAGGGCGTCACCAGTCGGTGCATTGCGCCCCCGCAATACACCGCGCGATGGAACGATCCCGGGTACACGTTTCCGCAAGACGACGAGATAGGCGTCCTGGACCGTAAGCCGGTAAACGGCCGGTATGGATTCGTCTTCCATGAAGCCTGTTGGTCTCTGCTGGAACACAGTTACGATCCAGAGCAGGTCCCTATTGCCCGGTTGTATGAGGTCTGTCGCTCACTGCCACTCCGCATGTTGGTGCGCGGTGTTGCTTGGGGCTACACTTTTGGAGGTGTTTGGTGTCTCGACTACTATGGCTTTGACCCTAGGGAAGATGGGTTTCCTTGTCACTCTCTGAACACGAAAGATGGGCCGCTCCCATGGACTAGAAACCCCTGTGTCGTACCGGAAATCATATCTTTGCTTGAAGGGACGCCTGAAGGTCCGCTTCCACGTCGAACATGCCACTCGTGTCCGGCCAGCGGCAACGGTGATGTGTTCAGTAGTGTTCCGCAAGAGATTCGCGATACCGTCGCTGCCCTCCTTTCGACAGCCGATATCTGCCGTCTCCGTCTTGCATCGAGAACCTTTGTCTCTACCTTTTCCAGCCAGCATTTCTGGCGTTCGAGGTTCCAGCCGGGCGGTGAGAGGTCGTGGCTGGGTGAGATTCAGGGTTTACCGGCGTTTAGCAACTGGTGTTGGCTGTATGATCGCACCAAACGTGAGCTTCTTCCGCCTGAGCTTCTGAACCGGCAAAGAGTGAATGGTCTGATTCTCCAGATCCACCAAATCCTCAATCTCAGATCGAGTGAAGTGTCTGTCCATTGCTCCCAAGCCACTCAAATGCCAGTCACGCCGTGGCGAGAGGTATCCGCCGATCTCAGACCACGCTCTGACAATAGATTTTTTGATGAAATCGCCTGGTTCAACTTCGATCAAGGCTGCCGCTTGCTCCACACACAGACCATCAACATCCCCGAACGTCTTGCCCAAGTCTCATTTTCGCTTTTAGATCTTAACGGAAAAAAGTACGTCACAGGCATGAGAGTCACCGCCGATGACGGCACCACCCTATCTATTGGCTACAGTGCAGACAAAGCTTGGTTTCCTGAGCCCGTTACCAACCTCAACGGTTTCAAACTAGCCATTGGATCCCGCGGCGTACAAGGCATACAGGTGATGCACGGCGACGGACGCGCATCGCAGTGGTTCGGCTCTCCCGAGATAGCACCGCACACACAGCGGCTAGTATGCTCAAAAGGGATTGCAGCCCTCGAAGCCGGCTTCGACGTAAGTTCCATTCACCTTCCCCCCGACTCACACTAATCGACACGCCCAGGGTTTCAAAATGGTCCGTCTATCCGTCCAAGAAGCAGCACAGCCGGATCCCGTCGAGCCAAATCATGAAAAGTCCCTCCTCCACACCGCACTATGGTACCCCGACCTTCCACAACGTGGACTTCCCTTGAGCGATGCCCAGAACAGCACGCCGCGGCCAGACTACGTACCGCTACTATGGACCCACTTCGGCGGACCTGCTGGGATATACCTCCGGCGGGTGTGTGGGATCTTGGTAAAGGTTGTCGAAAGCGACCTGACGATCAGACATATCCAGGTGCTTTTCGAAACAAAGGTTCCTGATACGTGCAGCCGAGCCATAACCGCGGCCCTGCCTCGGGATGAAGATATCAAGGTAATCAATTTTCCGATCGACGGCCCCGGTGGAGAAATCATAGAAAGAGTCAGGACTTCAGAGGCGGAAGACTCTTGCATGGGTGGGTTTAAAGTGAGTATATATATATATCTGTTTGCTGTGCATTCGAGCCATATCTGATACAGCACAGATAACCACAAACTGGGGACGGAGTTGCCAGTTCGGCTTCGTGGAGGATGACGCACTCTACTGTGAGGCGTTGGAAATTCCTGTCGGCAATACAATCACGGGTTTCTACGTTGGACATGTACGTATGTTGGATTTGGGTGTTCAGGCAAAATTGCTAATTGTAGTAGTATTTTGGGAACGGCCTAACCGGAATCGGGGTGCTGTCTGAATTGGTTGATAGAAACTGAGTGTACTTGGGTAACACTGCTTGGCTTTTGAATCCAGTTCAAACCACGGGTTATATCTAGGCATCATGACTACGATTCCTGGGCCGTGCAGATAAGACCAGAGGGACTTCGAGAGAGCCAGTGGAAAGGGTACGAAGAACATAGATGTCAACGTGGATAGAAAATGCCATCCAGTACAGTAGAGGAATGACATGTCTCACCAGACAGGTTGTATACTCTTGTAGGTTTATTCAAGAGAAGTCACTACACACGGCTGACCCCTACGCTAATACTAAATCAAGGTCAAAAAGAAAATTTTATTACCCATAAATCAAATGATATTATACAACGCTAGAAAAACCCAATATACGTCTCGTCGTGCCAAAACTACCAATCCCACCGCATAACTCAACGGCGGCGGTCGATAGCGGCTTCATGGGCCCGGATGGTATCCAGGGGACGCTCAAAGCGATATCTCGTAGGGTTGGCCAGATCGGGTTCCGCTGGAGGAGATCGTTAGCACAAGTGTTATACTATCGCAGTGGACAGACAGTAAACTTACTGATGACGTTTCCTTCTCTGTCGCGATGTTGTACCCCGCGCAACGACATGCCGGTCATCGAGTCTCCGGAGCTGAGGCTGGCCACTGTTATCGTTAGTAATTGATACTGTTTATTGACTTGCGGGGTAGGGTACGAACTGGGCTGGGCTTCGTTCAGGGCCGAGTTGGGGTCGGCTTGCTTGGAGAGAGATGTCTTATAGGCGTGGCCGTTGGGGCTGTCGTAGGATCCAATGGATCCGCTGCGGTCACTGGAGGTACGAGAGGTAGGCATGATGTATGTGGGGAGACTTCAAAAGACTCAGAGTCCAAAATTGTATAGATCTGATAAAAATCTAGATATTGAGTGAGGAGAATATTTTGTAAAATCCAGGGAAGAACCTGGGAAACGCCCGGCTTAAATCCTCGACCAGGACCTCGTTTTTTTTTAGAACCCCGATCACGCAAACACAACCAATGATGAGAAGCCATTCCTGCCACTGCACTATCCCGGCTTTGTGACGCGGCCGCCCATGGAACCCATGACGTTAGAAATCCACCGTCAGCATACCTCCTGACTTCCATTGGCTTCGAGTAAGCCAAGCTTCTGCTAACTCAGCAAACCCAGAGCTTGGCGACGCTCTCTGTCCAATCAACCCGACACAGACACGCACCACGGAGGTGAAACAAAGGCCGAGTGGCAATCTGTTCGGACGCCCGCATCAGGCACCACCATTCTAGAGTCTGGTCTGGACACTTTCCTGTTCCTAGGCCGTCCGGGGATATAACCCGCATAGAGTATCATTTTGGACTGCCTCCGCTTTGGGTCCAGATCGGCCTGGGCTCAGCCCCCAGGAACACTTGAACATTTCTGCCCCCCAGATGCAGCCTTACGCCAACCGCATCGAGCAGCCAAGTGTTAAAATGCGGGTTGTTGGCAACCCAGGGCGACCGCTTTGTCACCCTCCACACGGGCCATTCCGTTCTCCTGACAGTCATGGGTGTGGCATGGTACGCATTAGCTGATATCATCCGGGCCACATTTAATGTAACCCCAACAGCGATCGGAATTTCATAAGTAATCTCACCCGAAAGGAGAGCCTGGATTGTGCGATGGTCGTGCCCCCGATGCGGACTTCACATGTCGCGGAATGATGACTCAGACGTAGATCTTGTTTCAGATTGGCTGTTCCTGGGGCACCGTGACATCATTCTGGAACGGGCGTTGCCCAATCTGTGCTTTGGATTGTTCTGTTTCGGCTTCGATAAACAAACAGGTGATGTCAATGTGGAGTGTCATGCTTCGGCCGAATTGGATTGTATTGGCCAAATGCATGCTGTACCTGATCTTCAGTCTGTGCTGCTGCAGGATGAGGGTCCAACATAAGATTTTCGCTGTGTAGTGATGGCACTGGCTACTCCGTATATTAGCGACGAAATGCCCAGACATAGACACGGTTGAAGCCAGGGGTAAACGTGTGGTACAAGTCGGACCCGGAAAGGGCCAGCATCTGTCCTCAATTGGGAGTATCTTTGTCGTCCGCTATGGACGAGACCAAAGCGTCCATGGCTGCTTTCCATGTGACACCGATTCCTTCGCTATTGCAATCTCTTGCGTTCACTGGGGGATCGAGTACCACGCCCGTTGGAGATAATGCCAAGTCAATGAGGTGGAATCTTCCTTGGCTGTGACCGATATCCGGCGCACTCATCCCGACATAACTCAGCCACCGTTATTTATCCGTATCCATGTCCAACGGGAACAGACTATCGCTATTATTATAAGCAAGGATATTCTGTAGACTTTATAGTATTAGAAAAATGCGGAATGAGATTGATGACGATCCTTGAAGATAGAAAGGTGTGGTGTAAGATGGAAGGTTGACACCTGCAGGGTCTGTACTAAAAATATCGACACGCTATCTCATGTCTCACCAGTCCCTGTTGATATTTCCGTCCAATCCCTGGGATATAATATGCTCCAGTCCAACGGAATATATGACAAGATCTATTTTGGTATATATCTGTGGACTTATTTGTCGCATTGGACCACATGCAAATACTATATTCTACTTTGCTCTATTCTTGTGCCAATATTTAGCCTCGACCAACAACAGTCAACATTTTCTCTATATTCCATCAACTTCACCTTTATGGAGTTGTGGGATAACACAATCAACTAACATATCAGCCCACGCAGATTATTTTTTTTGACTCTTCATGTTTCCTTAAGTATTCCCAACTATTTCAATTATTCACAACCTTTTCATAGTATTGAGGATCATCAAATTCGGCAATAGTCTGACTTTTTTCAACTCTTCTCCAAACTTCTGCCCCACTTGATTGTTCAGGTTCCTCGATCTTTACTCCCAATACCGTTTGACAGACTCTATTGAAACCAAGCGATATGACACTTCTCATTAACATGACCAGTGCTCTCTGGCTGTCTTGAATACCTCATCTACAACGACCAGGTAGATAAGCCACAAAAAAGGATGGATGTGGGGGGATAAGAACAATATAATTGACGGCCTCCGCCTGGTGCGTAACACCTTTTCACCAAGCAACGGTCTATCATCACCTTCTTACAAGGTCGTCTTGGCGAATTCCGAGAACTGAACCCTGCCCAGTCCAGTATGTTCGTTGATGCTACAAATCTCAGGTCTGTGGGAATAGGAGACGGAACCGCGTCTGGAAAGGCTGGAAAACAATGACATTCAGACTATGGAAAAGCGTGCAGAATGGTTAAAAATACAAATAGTCAAACTGTGTGGGTAAAGGTCTCTGCAGGTCAGCTGACATGCCCACCGATTGCAGTCACTTCCACAAGGTTGAGCTGTCCATTGGGCTTAACATAGTATGATACTAGGGACAATTATCCATGGTAGACACATGAATAGTATTGAATAGTGAGACGTGTAACAAGGCAACTTTGGTGTTCTCCCACATAGATTATGATTTTGGCTCTTTGGCAATCTTGCAACTATTCGCAACTCTCCATAATCATCATATCGTCATCCTTCTGGCTCTTTTCACCGGTTCTTCCACTATTGTTAATTTTTACCACTACCCAAACTATGCTATTGACCTTATTCGCCTGTCTTCTTCATGTTCGTTGGGCTCTAATTCCAGGATGAAAGTCTTCATGGGCTTCGAATCTTGCAAACGTTGTGCTACCTATGACACTATAAGCTTATTGGTACTTGATTATTTCCCGTTTCTCAATGTATCTGTCCCTTTGAAACATTGAATTTTGGTCAGGGGCTTATGTCTACCAATTTTTAGGATTCTAGCCGACTGTTTCTTCACTGCGCAGTCACGCGGAGAGACATAAAAGATAACATTTGGGCCTGCTGGCTAGGCTACGAGGCAGTAATCATATTGTGAATATTGATTTACTACGGTATCCAAAAATTTACTTTACAGTCGTGTATATTGAACTCGGAGTCTTTTTGTAGAATTTAGATCTAGGTGTGTCTGTGTTCCAATGGCAGTTGTGCTACCAAACCAGTGATTTGACCTATCTCAGACACTGGAGCGAGATACCAGAAGGCATCTTGGTCGGGCCTGATATGACTGATATCCAAGCATTCAATATCCGCCATAGTATCAATCATATTTCGGGTGCTTGGATAATAATTCATCTCCTCGTAATTACGAGAGTGTTAGATATCACAATCCCTTTAGATATCAATATACTACTAAACTACAGCTCATATTTCAGGGGTTACAGTAGATCAGGGGCGAGTAAGACCATATATCATTACACTGAGCCATGGCAAGTGTTGAGAAAGTAACTGTGACGAGAATTTCTTCCGTCGGGTCTCTATATGTGCTATGTTGGAAAAAGCCAGGGAGGATAAACAACAAACAAATAATATAGTCAACTCTGGGTCAAAAATAATATAGTTATAGAAGCAGTGACTAGCAACCGGCCAAACAGTCAACTGGCCTGCGTCGTTTGTAGTCCTTTCCCACACATTTGATCATCTTGTATGTTCATCAATTCAAGCAACCATCAAGCAAGCTTTTCTATAGCTCTGGATATTATCAGAGTCCATCATTAGGACGCGTTTACTTCCCCTAATCCCATAAGAGTGGGCTTAGTGATGATCATAGAATTGATATCTCCCGAATATATAAAGTTAGAGAGACTCTAGTTTGTGGAGCAGCTAGTCAGCTGATGCTCATTAGACTTTTATATACGCAGTAGTTCGAGATACCACACAAGCCCATGTGTGTTTAGTTTACGGCGAAGGAATTAATTATCGATTGCTATGCTTGAACTTGCTGTATTTTATCCGTTCAAGACATCTATCTCGCTGAGCATGCTTGATTGCTTATGATCCTGGCTTCTAAGTCTAAAGCGACAGCAGCTTAGTTGCTACTAGGCAATAGATGCTGTATATGAATATCCAAAGTCAAAAGCGTGTTCATAATAAACACAAGCAATTGATATTGACATGAACAGGACCCAGCATAGAAAAAAGTACGAGTACTATTTGATAGCAATCAAACAGTAAATAAGCAGAGGTAATCATTGGAACACTGCTGCTAGTCGAGACAGATCATATTCGCATATACGACAGTTTAGTCATAGAAAGTCAGAAAGCTCAGCTGCCCAGGCAAATAGTGCCTTTAGTTTAGAGATCAGCACCAAGAACTCTGGAACTATCAGGAACGCCCACAGGCTTATTGACAAACATTCCTAAGCCCAAGTTCTCTGTCTAAAAAAAGGATTCGCCCTAAGTTCAAGGTGTAGACAGAATCACCGCGTGGGAAGTATTGCAGTGACTTTTCTCGCCTTGTCATTCCCAATCTGCCATGCTGCTTGTAAAGATTTACCGAGCCGGGGCTAATCAGCACTATTCCAAAACAGGACTCCATTCACATGGTTAATTGTATGGAGTGGCGAGAGTACCATAAGCAATCTACTCGAGATACCACTTCAGCCCATCTGTGTTGAGTTATGGCGAAGGAATCTGATATCGACATTCCCAAGGATCCGTCCTTTCTGGTCCGATCAGCGGGCCTTTCCGGATTTGGGGGCGTAAGAACTATTTATACGGAGTAATCCAAACAAATTCTCGTGGCTATTCTTCTTGGCTGCCTTGTTTGATAATCCTTACGAAGTAAATCCCGGGATTTTATTGGATGGAAGAGACTGAACAGTGTTATTATTACGTTTCGACTAATTGTTAGACTTACAATATGACTTGTCTAATCCTACGATTATAGGCGTCAGCCTCTGTTCTGGGGAGATAATCGGGTATCATTACCCCGAAGGGTGGTTTTTATATGAGCAAACATTTCAAAAACAAGCAGCTAGTCGTCCTTTTCATTGGGGACTGGCAACTGCTTATCCAGATTGATATCTTTGCATTGCCCCACTGTCCAATTGAGCGGTCAATCGGTTATTGCGGCGACTATGCCGCATCTCGACGTCCCCGAGTTATCCACAATAATGCCATTTCATGATGGACCATCCCTCCACCACAACACCGTTTCTCACCCTCCTTCCAAAATGAAACCAAATCCCGCATGATGTAACACCTGAATCATGGTCGCAGACGCCAAACTCGCCCACTACCCCACGCGATAAGCTAAACAAAAGTACCTGTGGCAGCCAAAGTTAGCCCACCGTTAAACATGTAGACTGCGGCAACGTGATCCCCGAGAACCCTACCTAGTACCGTACCCCTCCTCCTCAAAAGAGTCGGTCGCAGCCACCGGTACTTTTCTAGCCATCAGCTAGTCCTGATCGCTATGCAATCGCCATGGAGAATCCCCCCCCGTCTACTCCATAGTGTCTTACTATCCTACTATCCGTGTCGAGGGCCGACCGGGGAGGATATCCGTCGCAATACCGGATGGGGTAAAAGCGCTCCGCGGGATTCGCGCTGGCGGGTTTAACCGTTTGATTCTACGGGATCCGAGTAAACCCCGCGATGGTAGGACTAGGCAATAGGTACTCTCTGTCCCTTAGCGAATAAAGGATCCTACGAGTCAGTTGACGGTTTTTCCTTGTCCATAAAAATAACAATCCACGAGAAAGAGGGGTCGGAACATCCCCACCGCCACATGGCCGGCTGTCTGCCAGGAAGTTAACTTAGTTGGTAGCATGGGAAGGGGAAGCGGCACGATCGGCGCCGGTTGAAAACTGGATCATGCGATGATCATGCCATTTAGGGAATGACGGACACACATGGCCGATCGATGTACCATTCTCGAAGTCTCTTTCCTGGCTTGTCTGGGTGACAGAGAAAAAAAAAGGTTGGAACGACGGATGGGTGGTGCCCCGATGAACCGCCCGCCGGGGGGTGGGGAATACCCTAGTGGATTTCCAGACATCAGGGAGGGGAAAGGGAATAATACAGGGCATTGTCCAATAACTATACAATTCTCACCCGTGGCATTCCAGATCTAACAGATGGGAAAGAAATTGTTAATGCATGGTTGCATTTAAAGTCAGAAGAAATGCAGCAGCCAGAATTGACCTGTCAGACTGGCCTCCCCTTCTCCCGTGACGGAAGACGCCACCACTTAACCTGATGAAGACGAGCTGTCGGGGTTTTCATGTCAACACTAGCCGTCAGGTTAGTCTAGGACAGTCTCCTCCCTGGACTCTGTCCGTGGAGTCAACCGGACAGCTCCCATTTCTTCCCTTTTCCCCCAGCCAGCCAAACAAAGCACCCCAGGGGCAACCGAGGCACCATCCGGGGTCCACAACCCGTCACTAATCGCGACTAAAGCCAGCACTAAAGGTGCCACAACCTCCACTCGGGGTCAGGCCGCCCCTGTTCCTTTTGTCAACTAGCCTATGATCGACGGCGCGGCATTGGGGCAGCTGCGTCCGCCGTAGCGAATCGTTGGCCGGATGGATGTTGACAGCGCACGAGTAGCCCGGTCGGATTGCCCGTTATTAAGGGAATCTCCAAGCCCGGTCCGGCGTCTTGTAGGATTTTTCTTTGTCCCTTTTCTGATCCTTTCCCACCTTTCTCCTCTTGGGTGGTTATTCTTCTTTTGACGCGTTGTTGAACCGACCGATCGTTGTGCTCATTTCTACGGCCCGTGGTTTGTGATTTCGGGACGCGGGGGATATAATACTCGTAATAATCTTGCCCGAATCGATATATATACGGAACGAGAAGCAGAGATTCGTGCGACCCACCATCATAATGTCCGCCGAGAGCCAGCCCCAAAGCCAGGCGCAACCGCAGCACCTGGAACCGGAGCCCCAGCATCTGGAGCCCCAGCAGCGCAGCCCGGCCATCATCGAGCCTGATGTCGGTCTCCGTTTCGAATCCTCGACATCCCCATGCTGACTGCAATAGGACAACCAAAGCGATAACGATTCCACCTTTGCCGGCTCGCAAGTACCCTAATTTGCACCGCCATCGTCCGCTGTCGCTAACCGGAACCGCAGAATCGGCGACGCCAGTTACACCACGAGTATCACCTCCAGCGCGTTCAACTATCAGTAGGTCAAGCACGATCGGACCCTGTGGTCCACAATACTGACCGACCGTGTAGATATGAGGTAAATGCTTCGAACGAGCGATAACGCGACCGCACCGAATCAATCTAACCAACCCGCGCAGAACGGCCGCAGATACCACTCGTACCATGAGGGAGAATACATGCTGGTAGGCAGGATTTTGCTCACATCCCGACGACTCGTTCTGACATCTTCCAGCCCAACGACGAGCAGGAGCAGGACCGCATGGATCTGGTGGGTTTGACCGCAAAATGCGACCGCGACGACGACGGATATTGACTCCAGCAGAGCCACCACATCTACCGTATGCTGCTGAACGGCGAGCTGACCCGTGCGCCCGTCAAGAACCCCGGTCGTGTGCTGGACATCGGTACGGGGACGGGTATCTGGGCGATCGACTATGCCGAGTGAGTTGTCTGACTGGTTGTCAAGGGAGAAGGGACTAACATGGTGTATAGCGAGCACCCCGAAGCGGAAGTCATCGGTATGGATGGAAGACACTATTTTGACGTTCTAACTAACCCACCCAGGAAATGACCTCTCCCCGATCCAGCCCTCTTGGTACAGTCACTTTACAACACAATAGACAAAGTCAAATCTAACAGATGAAGGATCCCCCCCAACTGCCGCTTCGAAGTCGACGACTACGAAGCCCCCTGGTCCTACAGCCAACCGTTCGACTACATCCACGGCCGCGAGCTGGAAGGGTTCGTCCGCGACTACGACCGCCTGTTCACGCAGGCTCTGGCCAACCTGAAGCCCAACGGATGGTTCGAGGTCGCCTCCATCGAAGTCAACTCGACCTCCGACGACGGCACCCACCACAAGGCCAAGAACCTGATGGAAGCGGTCGAGAACATGCACGTTGCGTCGAACGAGTTCGGCAAGAGCATGACGAGCGTGAATACTTGGAAGAGCCGCATGGAGAAGGCTGGGTTTGCCAATGTGCACGAGGATATTTACAAGGTATCTCCTCTCTCTTTCCTCTTCATTTGCCTTCTAGTCGATGGAGAATGCTAAAACCATGATAGCTCCCCCAATCCCCCTGGCCCAAAGACCCCAAGCTGAAGGAAATCGGCCGCTACCACCAAGTCAACATGTTCGAGGCGATGGGCCCCTACACGTACGCGCTGTTCACGCGCATGCTGGGCTGGCCGCGCGAGCGCATCGAAGCCCTCGTCGTTGGGTCCAAGAATGAGCTCAAGGATCTGTCGATTCACTTGTACACCCGGGTGCATGTTGTTTATGGTCAGCGTGTGGCTGCTTAGGGGCTTGGTTGGCTTGTTTTGCGCTGAGCGTTAGTATTCTATGTCTGGTTTACTTGTCTACCTGTCTCTGTCTATCTAGCTGTCTACCTAGCTGTCTATCTACTAGTATATATTATGGTCCGTTGGTAGTATTAATTGTTATCTCTTTATATGTCTATCTTAGTAGACTCGCCCACTACCATAGTATCGTGAGACCTGTCTTATCCAGATGCCATGATATGCCACCATTCTATTCCCCACTACTCCACGGCAACACCTACACATCGGACGTACAATATCATTGATAGAACCAAGTCACAGTCCACAGCTTATGTAACTACCACAAAATAATGTCACGTTACACCCCAGCCCTAACACCCCCTCATCTGTCTTATCCAACACCCTCGAAAGTACGGAGTACACGATGAGAAATGCCAAGCTAAGAGTGTAGCACGCCAAGCAGCAATTGACTCAGCCTGGATGTGTTCAAAATCCCTTCCCAGATCTATTCATACGTATATACCTACTAGTACTTATGGTGGTTACGCGACTGACCAGTCCATTTGGAAATCAGCAAACATTCTGTTCGCTTGGTGGAATAGAGAGAGAGAGAGAGAGAGAGAGTTGCATTATCCTCGAGTATATCACCGTTTCCGGGATCCTTCCGAGTCGCCGGTGGCCGAAGGCCCCGGGTTCCAAGCTGAGGGACACCAAATTATATATCTCACATGATTTTCCGCCAAGCATGAGGCTATTCCCGCTTTTCCTCGCCAGTTGCCAAAACCTTCCTGGCTTTCCTCTGTTAAAGCCCTCGTAATCCTGTCGGTTGCCAAAACCTTCCCGGCCCCTCTGTACTTTCACCAGTTGCTAGCGTCTGCGCCTGGTCTCCTGTAGTCCCCTTGTGGTCCCGCTCGTTGGTGTCCCCTCGCCATCCGGGTCGGTCAGCTCGCACCGTCATTGTCGTCATGGGATTGCGTCGTCTTTGGAAACATGATATAGGGGTGAGAGAGCGGTGATACTTGGTGGAATAGGTGGGTTTAATAGGGGAATTGGAGGGGTATTCTGGAGGGGGTGGATTGTTGTTCATGATATTTGTGTTACTGTTGCGGGTGTTCTTTTGGACTGGATTGTTTGGGTGGATTATTTACTTATTAGGAATGTATTTATTCCTTTGGTTGTAGGCTGTGTGGTTGTGGCAATCGTGTTAGGGGTGTCTAGCGTTGATGCCCTAACTATATGTAGTATATGCTACTTTGTTTGCTGGGTAGAAGTCATCTTGGCTTTGATTCTATTTACAGACTAGTCCAAGTAAAGCCTTGCTTAATTGAGTGAGGCAATGGTGTTACCCACGGAGAGTGTAGTATGCCCGTGATGGAAGCGGAACCGGAGAAGTCCGTCAGGTTACCAGAGTCATTCAAGACACGACGATATTAATTATTATTGGCTATATTAATACAAGCCTTGCTCAAGTCAAGCAAAGTAATGCAATCCGAATAGCGAGGGTTATAGCCAAAACACAGTCCCTTCATCTCAAACAGTATAGCCAATTATCTGTACTCAATCATGTATAAAGAGTCAAGTTCCCAGGAGCATCAAGATCCCCACAAGCGGCCCCAAAATCCCCATACTGCACACCCCTCTCATCCACAAAACGCAGAAACTCCCCAGCGGAACAGCTCTCGCCCGGCCCATCCCGACACTCCGTCAGCGGCTGCGGCGACGAGTTGACCAGCACACGGTAGTACTCTCCGTGGTTGTATCCGTCCGCGCTGCACTCCATCTTTTCGATAGCGATGTTAGTCAGGAAGGGCAGGATCTCGCTGCTCTTCCACGCGCGGTGGTAGTTAATGCGGTCGGTGGGCATCGTGGCGTTGACGTTGTTCGCGCCGGAAAATTCGCTGTTATTGTAGAGGCCCAGCGCGGTGGCGATAACGGGGGGCACCTCGCGGTGGGTGAAAGACACGTACAGGTCCTGGGCGGAGGACCCGTCGGCGAGGGCGTCGGTGGCTGCCCTCACCCAGGGGTATCCGAGACGGGGGGAAAGAGGCCGCCCGTAGCCTGTGTTGTGGAAGTACATGAGGTCGTTGCCGTACTCGAAGGACAGCCACTCGTTGGCTGTGAAGAGATCCAGCGAGCAGAAGGGCGATTCGCCGCGGATGACGGTCTCGTAGCCGCAGAGCTCGAACATGCCGACGATGTCGGTTAGCGTGAAGTTGAAGGACGGGGCGAGGTTGCTTAGACGCTCGATGATGGGTTTGGTGTAGATTTTTTGGTATTCCTGTGCCTATGTTAGCGATGGTTCTTGTAGTCGATACTATGTGGTGATGAAGAGAAACATACTTTCGATTGGTCGGCTCCGTAGGCGGGACTATACGCAGGACAAGCCTTATACGGAGTCAACGAGTTGGCCCCCGTGTTCTCCTCCTCAGGGACAGCCTCGAGATTGATTTCATCGCGGTGTTTATTAGTGAAGCCGAGAATGAACCCGTCTGCAGATCTGACAGTGCGATCAGCCGACGAAGCCCAGACCTTAGCGGGAGGCTTCAGATCAGCGTAGCGCTCCTGCACCTCTACACCCAGCGTCATGGCTTCTTGAGTGCCGACGCGGGTAATCTCCTCCATGTGCGTCTCTTCGTTTGGAGGTGTCCAGTCGGTGAGGAAGCTCAGACTGCCTGCTGCGCTCCAGTCCTGTGCGCTGTGGGCGAGCTTCTCGACAAAGGGCTCGATGTACGTATCGTAGTCGAAGTCATTGCCGTAGATGGCGGCGTGGCGTACCAGGTACGCCGCTTTGGTGGCGTTGCAGCCGGCGGGGGGTTCGGTGTCCAGGGGAGGGTTGTGTGGCTTCCAGGTGGGTGCTATACCTGCCAGGTGGTGGAGAGGGTTGAATGATGCCGCGTTGGTGGCCAGCGCGAAGCTACTGAGAAGGAGGCTGGAACGCATAATGAACGAGCGTATACCTTATCAGGTGGGAACTTAACGACAGACTTGAAGGAATTAGGATGGAATTCTAATCGAACAGCGCTAGGACGACTTATAACTTACACGCTTGTGGATGTGGAGTCCGACTATTTTTGTCATCTAACCCCATATTGGCTTGACAGAGGCTAGCTGATCGATTCTCGCACTGGTATGACCGCTAAGCATTCGCCTTCCATTCCACTGTGGATCTCTGGAGCAATAGTCTGGACTAATTTGACTGCATTGACAGCAGACAGCATCAAGCTTGCGGGGTGCGTGCGGTTTACGTCACTCTAATATGACAGTGCCTCGACCTACGATATTCCGAATGAGGCCCATGTTTTATCTAGCTTCACCCGTCAACACTTCATATCATCACGACTGTCGGAGTACACAGGAGGCATGGTGGGCAAGGGGCGGGTGGATTGTGATGTGCTCGAATGACCGCAATCATTGGTGATTCTAGAACTGTGGGTCGCGGATCCCAATCATATTCCTTCATTCTTATTAGACAGTGGGAAGTATGGAGTAGAGGAGTATTTCCAAGAGGCCAATAGGACTGTATGGTCTGACAGAAAATCAAGCTTTTGAGCACTTTGTGGGTATCGTGGTTGTGTGATTGATAGATTGCACTATGGTTGATATGGATCCATATCAGTTATTCGAGCCTGTTCGAACGGGTTGGTTAGCATGGATCTCAACAGGTAGGTGTGCAAAGACATTTTAGAACAGATTACAGGATGCTAGTGATATCCAGTACAGTTATGAAGTAGAGAGAATAGTGACAATATCTAGTAATACTTGAACCTAGACATGATTAGAGGCTAGTATATTTCTCTTATCATCTATCAAGCCCAAAAGTTATATAAAATGATAGTATATTACACTTTAATGAATACAAGGAGTCTTTAAGTTAATGAGTGAATTCACTCAAGATAGCCAAAGTCTTACTTCTTAGCTATACCTAGCTTGACAAGTCAAGGACCTAGAGTCACTGGAGATCGCGAATTCTTACTTCTCAGTAACACCTAGCCTGACATGTCGACGTGTAATATCACTGGAAACTATCTTAACAAAGTCTAGTAGTGATTCATAGATAGTATATAGAAACCAGCCTGGATAGTATAGATCCTAGTCACCATTCTGAAAATCGAGTGACTGATCCCTCGTGAGCACTCCAGCGGAAACCTGAGGAAACTCACATATACCCGAATAGGAAATGCAGTTGCAGACGCTGAAATTGCATCCAGACTTTCTTCTCTCACGCAGTCACTGGACTTCTCTTCTGCTGAACTATTTAGTCCCCCTTCTCCCCCCTCTTCTCTTCCTCTTCTTCCTCTCCTCTTCTTCTTCCTCACCCATCTCTCTCTCTCCATCTTTCTCTTCTTTTCATCCTACTTCCATCTCCACCCTACTTCCATCAATCTCTACTACACTTGATACATCCTTGACTCCCCACTGAGCAATGAAGCTCCCCATCTTCCTCTTTCTGGCCCTGCTGGTCACCCTGGTGACTGCAGTTGGCGTTCCCCAGCCTGATGGCAACGATGTGATCAACCCTGAAGGTCAGTATCCCCCTCCCTCCCTCCTTCTCACAGTCTCACCTAACAACCCCAGTCACCGACAACACTTCTATTCTGGCCCATGATGATACCATCATCCAGGACGACGGAGAAGACGTCTCTGAGCTCGACGACGCTGACGAAGCCACTGTCTACAATCTCTTGGGCCAGGACGCCGTCGACAACATGGTTCATCCCGCCTCCGAGCCTGTCAACCCGAAGCGCGACCCCCAGTGCCCTCGCCGCTGCCGCATTGACGACAGAGGCTGCTGCCACACTGACATGTGCTGGCGTGGTTACTGCAGCGGCCCTGGCAAGCTTCCTATGACCCAAGACGTGAAGCGTGACGTCGAGAAGCGCGATCCCCGTTGCCGCCGCGCCTGTTCCAACGATTCCGGCTGTTGCCACTCCGATACCTGTTCTGCTGGCGTCTGCCTCGGACCTGGTCGCTGGCCTCTTGCGGAAGACGTCGAGTCTGTCATCGAGAAGCGTGATTCCGAGTCCGCCATTGAGAAGCGTGATCCCCGTTGCCGTCGTGCCTGTTCGAACAGCGCCGGCTGCTGCCACACTGATACTTGTTCGGCTGGTGTCTGCCTTGGACCCGGCAAGTGGCCTCGTGCTTGGATGCTGCAGGAGCAGTAATTCATTAGGTATCTTTTTCCGCCTGCCCCATGGGTGTTGGTCGTGATACTCTTGTACGCAGGACGTAGTTTACCATGTGGACTGCAATCTGTTGTTTCTGTAGCTAGTGTTCAACACAGCTAATTGCATTGACCACTGGTCATTCATTCTGTACTCTGTTCAAACTTCTACTATTCCTTCGTAGAATTCAATCGTAATAAAAACCTCACCAACATTCCAGAAACTCATAAGCTTCATCCTCCAAAAAACCACCTCCACACAAACGCCATCACCACACTCTCATTCCCCGTCCACCACACCCATCCCTCCCCATCATCCACTCCCCCACTCATCTCGGCCCCCCGCTTTATAACACACTCCTTTTGTCTAAGCCCTCCCATCAGTACTTGTCAAAGCAAAACGAAGAAAAGATAAGAAGACACAAACAGGATGACAAGCCGTGCAAGGAAACCCGCAATTATTCCAAAGCCGCGAGCAGGGCGTATGGCACCGTAGATCCTACCCAACTTAGCCGTGTCTTGGACTATGTTAAGACCCTTGTGAGATGCATACCTGCTGATTAGATTCCACCGCGTCAGGTAAAGCAGCTGAGAGCGCCGGGGGGAGCAGGAGGAGACTACTGATGAGTGTTGCTGATTTCATGGGGTTGTTGTTATAGATCTAACATTCTTGGGTTGTGTTTTGTGGAGGGTCGGATGTTGTGGTGTATATTCAATGTTTATATAGTAGGTTGAGGGTTTGTTGCACGAACGCCTTGTTTGGGTGTTGTGTAGCCTGGGGGTTTGGGCAGGGCGGGGGATGGAGATCATCAACGCGTGTGTGGATAGATGTACGGGTGATGTTTGCACTGATGAGATGGCAGTCTTAGCTTTCTAATGGGTAGATTTTAGGTAATATAGGACACATGGTTAAGGACCATATAAGTAAAATGCTGCTTTTATCTAGCTATCATTCCGAGACACAAGAACAAGCTGACTATCTGTATCACTACGGGGATATACAGAAGTGTAGCGTTGTCATGAGACTACAGTCTACTTCACATGCATGACTGGGCTAATTTAACTAACAATTTGACAGCTGACTGCGTGAACAAACTAATCATTTATAACCCACTTCATGACTTCGTTAGCCTCCCCTGACCATCTTGGTCACTCCCAGAACCAGTCCACACAACGTCTTCGACAGTGCAGAACCACTGCTGAACACAACCAACATAAGAGCATATTCGCCTTCGTCCCAGACAAAAATCAATAGAAATTGTGTTTCTTCGTCATACCAACCATCCTTCAGTGTCCGCTAGCCTACCTCCCCCACATAGTCTCTTCCTACTCTATCAATGGTCATCATTCTCCCGGCAAGTGCCCCGGCGCTGGTAGGGTTAGCTATCGTCATTACACTTGACATCCAACAATTCAAGATAACGTACTTCTCCCCGACGACGGTGGCAGTATCGACATCGCCTATGATCCCTATCATCCCTATCTCGACAATCACGGTCACTGCTACAGTGGTCACCGCAGCGGGCATACTAAATAGAAGCGTGCGCGTATCAGCAAGAGTATTTGTTCCCTTTAGTTAAAAAGCAACGTACCTCCAACCCTTCAACGGCAACAGGTTCCGCCACGTTGTCGGTACCTTCCGCGGCGGGCACGGCCATGGCCAGGCCGAGGATGGATGCGTATACGAGGTAGGTGAGCTTCATCTGTGGTCTTGTTAGTCAAGCGGTATTGAAGGGCGGAATAGTCTTACCTTGGATGGCTGCGTCGATGTTGGTTTTGCTTTTTGGTTGGCAGATGTTGTGTCTCTGTGGTTCTGTCGCTGATGATGTGCTCAACATAGCAGTTAAAGACACCTATTTATACCTTTCGTCAAGGCTATGCTACATGCCATAACACACATCCGCAAGCGGGGTCATGATTACCAACCGACTACACGACATAACCTCGAGTTGACCCTATCTGCGAGGTAGACATGGGTAAGTAGGTAGCACTCGGGGTATATGGCCACACTATTCCTCCGCAACACGAGCGAAACCAACTGCATCGTGTTGCATTGAGTAACTTGACTTCCCCTCCGAGGGTCGAATATCGGGTCCGAGAGTAATCACAGAAGTCCTGATCCGCGCTGCCGCTGCTTTCCCCGCATATTCTATCCACGGGGTGGGCTTTTGTGTAACTGTGTTGGCTTGGACGGGCCATACCAAGCCATCCGATTGATGCCAAGCCTGCGGAGAGAGGGCTTGAGCTTGAGATGAAGCATTGCCAAGACTGGTGGGTTTGTATTGGCTAGACAACAACTTATTCTAGTATTTTCTATGTCCACTACTTGTGGCGCGGCAAAAGGTTGGTACATCATTGAGATTCTGGGTTGTGCCATCGAAACTGGTCCTAGAGGTGAAACGCGAACTGAAAGTCCACCGCCAACGTATATCATGCAACAGACCATGGAAAGCACCCAGCGGAGGTTAAACAAAAAGCATAACTTCAACATCTTCACTCCCGGGGTAAATAGCTTTAAGACGAAATGCGGCTCGTTGCAACCAAGTGTCAGATCCGGTAGTTTCAAACGGAGTGTAGCCACCTAGGAATGGTCATTTTCTCAAGACACGGACCCCAAATCCAGTCATATCAGACACCATATAGGAGGATTATTGAGAAAAAGGTATTTTGGAAAAGGCCATCGGTATATTCAGTGACAGCTGTAAATGGAACACCCCTCTCTCAAGTTTTGACTGTGCTAAGACCTGCAGAGGATTTGCAGTCAACTCTGGATAATTCGACACTGGGTAATCCGCCAGTCGCTGTCATGGGGGCCTTTCGACATATATCAGCCGGGGGATCTGAAATATTCGGTCATCTTATGTCAAATTGTTCCGAAGTTAACACGTGGTAGCAGATAGAGCAATGAGACTAACTTGTGGAGATGATTAGTATGTGATGCTAAAGTATGATTTAGTCCAGGTGACTGCTGGATACTACATGTCAGAAGATCTGATATGCACCACTGACTGGACATTCAATATCCTCAAGATCAAAGACAGACACAATTTAATGATACCCTATTGCTTAAGAAAAGGACATTGCTTTTGTTGAGCACGATGACCTGATCGCAAGTAAGCGGCCAACAAGGATCGGGTGGGATAACATAAGCCCTATTAGTGAACTGAAGAAGCAAGGATATTCAATCCTTTCACGACATTGACGTAGATTTTATTCTGTAGAATTATTGAGGGATGGAGAATAATTTTCAATTTGGAACTAATGACTTGCGGTAATTGAAAGAGGTGTTCTTGGTCGAACTGCTATCAATTGGAGTGTTCTTCTCCTCGTAATGCAGGGGAGATTTTCTTCTACAATAACTTTGCACAATAAGTTCTGACTGCCCGATAGAATTGACACAGAATAACTACCAGCAACAATACTATTCGTGGATAGAGAATAAATAATGATCGACACTTGGGGTCTTGACAGTCAAACTCTTCGGCACCCGCAAGGTCCCTTCTCCAAGGTCCCCGAGATGCTGTATATAAGTTAATAAACCATGCAAAATGCCAATACAAAAACTAATTAACCAGAAAAATAACAATGGCCCGGCTCCTGACCCTCGGACTGGCGCTCCTATCCGCAGCCAACGCAAATTCTGCGCCACGCCTGCACGACTTCGACGCCCTGGGCGCCTGGTTCGATGGCGTCAACGCGATCAACGCCACCAGCTCGACAAACCCTAGCGCAAAGAACACGTCTATCGCAATTGTTGGAGGCGGTATCTCAGGCCTCGCGACGGCGTTGATGCTCGACAGTGTGGGCGTACATAACTGGGAAATCATCGAAGCGAGCGATCGCGTTGGCGGACGTTTCCGCACGAAATATGTCGGCGACACGGATGAGTGGGCGGAGATGGGCCCTATGCGACTCCCTGTCAGGGCGCACTACAAGGATGGCGAGACGGTCGAGTATTCAGATCACGCTATGGTGTTCCAGCTGGCCGATTTGCTGAACGACATGAACGACAACCAGAGCGAGTGGAAGATCGACTTCATTCCCTGGATCCAGCACCACCCTAATGAGCTATATGCGCTTGACACTCACCGACTACCCGATGGTAGTATCGCCCGGCGAAAGGATGTCCTGGCGGATTCGGATCTGGAGATATCCAATGCGCCAGGCAGCGCCGCATACACGCACGCCTCGGACCAAATGGACGATATGCTCATGCGGAAAGAGAAATTAAAGGCGATGCAGCGTGATATCTGGCGCATGCATCGTCAGGCTATGGACGATGGTCTCGACGACTGGAGCGAGCAGGCGATACTGCGGCATAAGTTTGGCGCAAATGAAAATGTCACCGACGCCATTTGGACGGCTAGCGACTACGATGCGTTGTGGGATGAACTCCACCATAACTCGAACCTCGAACTAGACGGGAGCCCTGATTCTCTCGGTGAGACGGAGTGGACATGCATTGATCACGGGTTCAGCCGTCTGTCGGATGCGTTCCTCCCTCACGTTCGCGATCGCCTCACTCTCAACCGCAAGGTCAGGAAAGTGGAAAGCGTGTCGGGTCCGTCTGGAACGACGAAAACGCGTCTTTCCTGGTACCCTAGTGTCTCCAACCGGACCTTTGAGTCCAAAGAATATGACTACACCTTCCTGGCCCTTCCTTTCACGATGACCCGCTTCATGGACCTGCCGAAATTCTCATCCGTCCTAGACCGCGCGACCAGCGAAGCCGGCCTTCGCTTCAAGTCCGCCTGCAAAGTCGCCGTCCTGTTCTCCGAGCGGTTCTGGGAGAAAGGGCCCAATCCCATTTTCGGGGGCTACAGCAAGCCGGATAGCGACCCAGTCGGAGCTTTGTATTATCCCGTCTACGGGCTCAACGAGTCTCGGCCCGGAATCATCATGCACTACCGTGGTGGGGACTGGAGCGACCGTTTTGTGAGCTTCTCCGACGAAGAGCACGTCCAGACCGTCTTGGATTCGATTGCCTCGCTTCACGGGGAGCATATCCGAGACCTGTATACGGGTGACTATGAGCGATTGTGCTGGTTACAGGACGAGCATACCGCTACCGCGTGGTGCCGGCCTGATGTCGAACAGCATAAGCTGTATATCCCAGCGTACCATCGCACCGAGCACAATACGATTTTTATCGGCGAGCATACCGCGCCGACCCATGCCTGGGTCAGCTCGTCTTTACACTCTGCTGTGCGTGGATCGGTGCAGTTACTGTTGGATGTGGGATTGATCGACGAAGCAAAGGAGCTGAACAAGAGGTGGATGGGACGGTGGATTCAATAGATAGGCCTGCAGACAGGTATAGAAATTGATATAGATGTGTATATATATCTCTGGCATGTTTTAAATAGTAAGATTAGCATTGTATCTTCTCATCTTCGACTCTTTGGTTCTTTTTTCCCGCCTCCTGTAAAACGTGAGGCCACACGGTCCTGTCTTGGGGGTTTTGTCCGTACCGTGGAATATCGGTCGAGCATGACCATGGCAAAGTGAAGTGTCAGATATGTTGTAAGATTCGAGTAAAGTATGCATTTTCCACGATTCTGCATGGACTTGCTCAAGCGTCGCTTGATTACAACTCCTACAGCCCTTCTGAATGGCTGTCATTATCCCGTTTGCAGGCTGGCGAAGGGAAGGGCTTTATGTCCATGGCAAAGATACATTAAGAAAGTCGTTGCAGCAGGTGGACTCTGTTCTAGATAGGACTATTGTTTTGTAAAGAGAGATATGAGGGAGCAATGTAATCACTAGGAGAGACGAGAGCCAGAAGTCTCGTGATCCAGGCAGTCCTTGACCTACTCAATCTCTCTTCCTATCCAGTACTCCTAACCTCATGACAGCAACTCACTCTCCACAACACTCTGCATCATCAGCATTTCTCTCCTACACTTATCCCCGTCAATATGCTGGTGTGTGAAAACTGCGGTTATGAGTCCTACAACATCCTTGACCTAGTCTATCATCTAAATCATCATGGGCACCGGATAGAATGTGAAACCTGCGGTAATGAATTCTACAACACCAATGAGCTGGTCGAACATCTGCATGACTACGCACACTGGATAGAATGTGAAACCTGCGGTGATATGTTCTACAAAACTGACGACATTATCGAGCATTTTGACCACTATGGGCACTGGATAATATGTGAAACCTGTGGTAATAAATCCTACAACAGCGACCAACTAATCAGGCATCTAAACGACTATGGGCACTGGATAAAATGTGAAACCTGTGGTGATGAGTTCTACAACAGTGACCACCTGGTCGAGCATCTGCACCACTACAAGCATTGGATAAAATGTGAGACTTGCAAACAGGATTTTCGTACTCAACGTGCTTGCAACCGGCACATGAATGACCAGGGCCACTGGGTACCTAAAATTCCATGCGAAACATGTGGCTTAAAGTTCCATACCCAGAGTGCAGTCCAACAGCATATGACAGAAAATATTCACTACGAAAGCTACTGTCCAACTTGTGATAGACACTTCCAGAACGAGAATAATCTGCGTATGGTAAGGTCTCTCCATATTGTCGATGGCGCTCATACAAATGAGATTGTTGATAATCAATGTCTAACATCTTCTTTCGTAGCATCTCAATTCCAAGGCCCATCTTGGTATCAGCGTAACCTGTCCTTTCTGTCGATCAAGATATACAACGGCAGGTGGAGTCGTCCACCACCTCGAGAGAGGATGCTGCCAATATGCTCCCCAACTGAACCGCGAGACGATCCACCGATTGATTAGAGAGCGAGACAGAGACAGTCTAATAGCCACCAAACAATCTGCGTGGAGCGACGAAGATAATGGGACTTACTCTGCTACCGGGAAAGCCTGGGATGATGTTTACTGGGAATGCCATATATGCCACAAAAAGTTCAACAGCAATGCCTTTCTCAACACACATCTAAATTCCCCAGTGCACAAGCAAAAGATATATCACTGTCCGAACAAAGAAGGCGGTTGTCACAAACATTTCAATATTCTAGCTGGGCTCCTCAATCATTTGGAAAACGGGTCTTGTGGCTACCCACGATTCGAAAGTTTCCAGAAGCAGCTGCGGAATGTGCTTACAGGCCAGGGTGCAATATATATCAGATAGATGGGTTATTGTTTCTGCTTAGCGTGAACTAATGAGGTATGGTTTATGGTGACGTTTATGATGGCCGCGTCAATTTCAAATAGTATAATTGCTAGCTTAACCGACAGCATTACAGGAGAATAAGGCTGATGTGTCGAAGTGTGGCTTGAATGTGAGAATCTGATCGTCGTTTTCAAGATGTATCAAGCGACATGCATGTGTATGATCCATCCCTTCGCGAAGGGGTGGTGGATTATTTCTAATAGCTTCTGATCCCAACACATCCATTTCAACACGAGAAAATTGTAAAGATAGTTCCCCTCATTCTATCACGTTCGACGCCCTGGGGCATTCATTCCTAATGCCGCCAAGGAGAGACTCCACCATGCAGTTACAGGGCAGTGGAGATTATGTGGTAAAATTAGAAGAGCAATAGAACTATTCTACCCGACAAATGATCTACTCATTCAGTTCATAATCGACCCATCTATACGCGGTATGTCTATACACCCCTATACACAAAGCAACCACATATGTACAAAACCATAAAGCAACTCAACTAACTAACAACAACCAGCTCCTCCTCCGCCCTCCGCGTCCACTCCATCCAACTTCCATCATACAGCCTCCTCTGCGGCCCATACCCAATCAACCCCATGGCCAAATCCAGCGCCGCAGCAGTAACGCCCGAATTACACGTCAAAACAGCAGCCCTATCGCCCCTCACACCCGCATTGTCAAACACGCGCCTCAGCTCCTCCACCGACAGAAACCCCTTCTCTTCATCCAACATCGCCGCCAGCGGCACATTCACAGCCCCAGGGATATGTCCGGACCTCAACTCAAGCGACATCTCTTCCTGCGTCCCCGCAAACCGCCCCGGTATCCGGGCATCAATAATCTGATACGGCTCGCTGGGGGAACGCACAGCCTCCCGCAGCTCATCATACCCGATAACATCCGTCGCGACAGGCTCACACACGGCATACGGCTGCGGAGCCGCATCCGCAGCCGGCCGATCAGGGAAAGAGACCACCTCGCCTGTGGCGACGGGATAACCTTCCTTTGCGTAGGCGCGGAAGTTATTCAGGACGTGGACATCACGATGCCCAAAGAACCGACATGTCCACGCGACCCGCGGCGCAGAGTACATGCCTACGTCGACGGTGTCATACACGACGAGGACGTCATCGCGCTGGACGCCCATGGCTGACATCGCTGCTGCGAAGTCCGCGGCGCTAGGCAGCATTTGCGTGATTGGGTGGGATTTGTCTCTGATTTCATCCATATTGAAGAATCTGTTCTTTGTTAGATTTATACAGAGTTGTGGTAGGGGCGTTATTGAGAGAAGAGGGGTACATGGAGCCCGGGATGTGCTGCGCGGTGAATTCCCCGCGGCGGGTGCCGGCGCCCGCTGCTACGGGGACGATGCGCCGGGGGGTTGATTTGATTGCGGCATTGAGCTCGGAGGGGGAGACTAGTATGGATGTAAAGGGGTTGGATGACTCCATTTTGTGCGATTGTCTCAATAGTTGTTGACACGATTGAGGGGAAATGGTGTTGATGGGGTCTTGTTTGATTGTGGTGGAGACGAACAGCATATCGTTTCAACTTATGCACTTATGCTTGGTTATGTAATATGGTATATTTATGCAGTTATCCACCCTGTTTTTGTATAGTGAGTGTATGGAATCAATGTCGTTTTGATTCCAATATGACTACTTAGAAGATAGAATATTGCACTTTCTTCTCATTCAGTTTCATGGGAAAATCCCTTACACCACGCAGCCAGTGCGTCGAAAAAAGGCACTCCTCGCTTACCAGGCCTCTTGCAGTATTCCTCAATTGCACGCTCTCGGTCCTGAAAGGTAGAGCCAGTCGCACACAAAACCTTCACCAGGTCCACCGGGCACAAATACGCAGGCTGACGCGCATCTTCAGCCAGCGAGGCGCTGCCCTGCATGGCACACGCATAATACACGCAATGGTCGATTCCAAAACAGTGGCCCAGTTCGTGGCTGACTGTCCGACACATCCGCGCGAGCCACAGACCTAGAGGCGCCTTTTCTTCAGGAGAAGCAGGTGATAAGCTGGATATATCCACAATGTCCTTCAGCAGCCGGTCGTCGCGCGATGGGGGTTGCTTTATCTGTGCGGCCTTCTTCCGAGCCGGCTTCTGCGAAGAGCAGCACTCCTGCACATACCGCTGGCAATGAGAAGCCGGCCAAGCGTGTTCCCGCTCGGCAGAATGAAGGATATCAAGGTCTGGACGATAGCGGGCGCTGGAAACGACGGCGACGCGACTCCCTCCGTATGCGCGCCCGCAAACAAATTCGTCGTCGTCGTCTTCGAAGAGGTCATGATCAACTAGCATGCACAGGGCGTATGCGTCCTTGGGCAGAATGCTGATTGCTGCGTCAAGGAGGTCGTCGAGGTTGAGCTGGTGGGAATATGTCCGGTCTGGACACGGGCGTGTGCGGATGCCGATGCATTCTTTTGGTGTTTCTAGCCCCACGTGTGATGGGGTCTTCTTTCCTGGTTTTTGGTCCGCCTCCCAGGGAACGAAGCGTAGTCTGTGGTTTGGGAGCAGCTTGACGGGTAGACCGTGGTAAAATGCCGCTATGTAGTCTTTGATTTCCTCTGGGTTAGGGGGCGTCAAGGAAGCCGCGGAGCAGGACTTCTGTGGACGCGTCCATTTTCGCCATGGTCCAACACTATCGTCAATCTGCGGCGGTGCAACTATATAAACGGTCCGCTTCGCACGCGTGATCTTGTTGCGATCTTCCTCGTCGACCCACTCCTGAAAGCTCTGTGGTGGGTAGTCTGGATCTAGGGCGAGATCGTCCTCTGGGAGGACCAGGGGTGCTGGAAAATTGACTTCATATAATTCTGGAATTGTATCAATGGTTGGTTTGAACTTTGAAGCTGAACCGTGGTTTGTGGCTGCTATCCGCTCTTCCAGGGTGGGTTGTTTATATCCGGCCGCTTTCGCGTGTGCAGAGACGCTGGAACATATGGACGGGTGGAGACACCGAGTTGATGAATGAGACATGTCCACGGTTCAGATCTTCCGACGAAAACGCTCACTCAATGAATTGATATTTTCTCTCATACAGACGTGTCCATTTCAATCACCAACTTCGAGACAAGAAGGCTATGCTTACATCAGCGCATCATGTATTGGTGAAACCACGTGGATTTGTCTCAGCCCTAAATGTACAAAAATCATTCTGTCGATATATCAAGATCTCTACTTCTGTCAAGTTGCATGATGCTTCTAGTTGTACATGGAGTTATTCTGGTCTAGAAGCAACATTTTTATAGCATACTCGATTTCATCAGCCATGGTAGAACATGGCAATGAGTCGGTTTTTCGGCACGATCCTACAGTGCCCGATGCAACTATTTTAGTCTGTAATGACTAGGCGATACAGTCTTGAGTGTTTGTTACGGCTAACCTTTCTATAGATACTCCTCACCAGATTATCATCTGGAGAATATTCATAATGAGGTTAACCTCCTGATATCAAGTGCCGCTATCACAGACTTATTTGAGAAATCATGCTAAGATTTCCAGGCCAGTATAGCTGATATAAATAGAACTACTCGACTATCAAGTCTTTGTATATCATCGCTACAGGGCGTTAGATTCAAATGCATACGTGACATGGCATGCGTATCTATCCGGACTCACTTACCAGGACAAGACTAATGCGATTGCCATTATCCAGGACGTGACCAATGATTATGAGTGACATAATACCAAAAGTAACTAATCGTTTTAATCCACAGAACAAGCTCCTTAATCAGCAATTTCCCCGCTTGTTCTATTACGCCGAGTCCGATGTTTGACTTTGTGGGAAAAACTACCACTCGGCTACAAAAGATATCTAGACACTTTCGAGCACTTGTGGATCACTTTTATACACTGTCTGATTTCCAACAGACTTCAATGACAGTTTTGGTGTTCTTGGTGTTGACCGGGACAAGTAATCGTGGTGTTTAGTTTGGCATTTTGATACTTATTGTGGCGAACAGCTCATAGCTATCGATTGATCAGCCCTACAGAATATAAGTTGACTCACTGTGCTATTGTCTTCCATCCTTCTCAGACAGGAGTTGGGCCCGCAATAAGAATGACGGATGAAAAACAAGCCCAATCTGAAATCTCGCCGGAAGTTGAGGATGGCTCGAGATCTCCACCGCACGAAGAAGAAGTATATTCAATCTATCACGGCAGATCCAAAATTCTCATCGTCGTGGCTGCGTCCGTCGCTAGTCTTTTTTCCCCACTCTCAGCCAATATCTATCTTCCTGCGCTAGATACCATCGCCGATCAATTGCATGTAAGCAATACGCTGATCAATCTGACAGTCACGACGTATATGGTATGGATATCTGAGCCATCAATGAAGCTAGCATCTAGCTGAGAAGAATAAAGATGATCAAACTAACCCACTACCGAGGTAGCTCTTCCAAGGTCTAGCCCCAGCCATCTTCGCAGGCTTCGCAGACAGCGCTGGTCGACGACCAGCATACATCGTGTGCTTTATCGCCTACATCGCAGCCAATATAGGCCTAGCCACTCAACGCCATTACGCCGCCCTCATGGTCCTCCGCTGTCTCCAGAGCACAGGAAGCAGCAGCACCATCGCGCTAGCCAACGCAATCGTAGCAGACGTTGTAACTACCGCCGAACGCGGCGTGTACATCGGATACGCCTCGGCGGGGGGTGTCGTCGGCCTCTCTGTCGGCCCTATAATCGGCGGACTACTGACGCAGTTTCTGGGCTGGCCGTCCATATTCTGGTTTCTAACCATCCTAGCCGGCGCATTCTTCATTCCCTTGTTACTGTTTCTGCCCGAGACAGCCCGCAAAATCGTAGGAAATGGCTCTCAACCTCCCCCACTCTGGAACATGTCGCCCCTGCAACTTATGCAGCAACGGCGCTCTTCCAACGCAGCACCGCCGGTGAAAACACGCATCCACTTCCCGAACCCGCTCAAAACACTAGTCATCATCTGCGACAAGGAAGTCTTTCTCATCCTTCTCTGCAACAGCCTCGTCTACAGCAGCTACTCCGCCGTCATGACAAGCGTAACATCCCAGCTCAAGCACCTGTACAAATTCAATGACGTCCAAATTGGTCTCTGCTTCATCCCAGCCGGTGCAGGCAGCCTCCTAGCGGCATACACCCAAGGCCGCATAGCAGACTGGAACTACCGGCGACACGCGCGACATCTAGGAGTCGCAGTCTCCAAAACGCACCGACAAGATCTCAGCGAATTCCCGATCGAGCAAGCCCGCTGCGAAGTCATATACCCGCTCGTTGTCGTCCTAGGACTAGGCCTAATCGCATACGGCTGGGTTCTCCACTATGGGACGAATCTCGCAGGCCCGCTCGTTCTACTCCTGCTTGTTGGGTATACCGCTTCGGCGACGTTTAATATCATGAGTGTTCTCATGGTTGATATTTATACGGATAGTCCCGCTATGGCTACGGCTGCTATGAATCTGACGAGGTGTTGGTTGGGGGCTGGTGCGTCTGCTGTTATCCTGCCTATGATTGAGGGTATGGGGCGCGGGTGGGCATTTACGTTGATTGGATTGTTGTGTTTTGTGTGTGTGCCTCTTCTTATGGTCGTGTCGAGGTTGGGACATGGGTGGCGGAGGGAGAAAGGAATTCGTGAGAGGAACCGAGGTGTCTGACCCAGACTGAAGGCCCTCAGGGCAAATAGGAAGCCTTCATATACATAACACATGGCAATAGTCGTGACAGTGTCGTTCTCTATTAGGGAAGCATCTTATTTCCATTTTATCTCGAATGCAATATTCGTCTTGTTCAGAGAAGAGTTGGGATAGGCGCCGACTGTGCGTCCGAAGACGAAAGACGAAGCTAGACACAAGGCAGTTATGATAATAACAAGAACTAAGAGGCAGATTTTGTATGGATGGACAATATTCAGAGAATAACAGTATTTTACTATTGGAACCAGGATAGCGGGATTGATAAATACAGGATATCAGCGAATTATCGCCACGGCCAACGAGTTAACAGACTACTCCGTACAGTCCGGTCAAAGTGTGCAAGATGTTAAGCACTACTCTATCTCATATCATCTGGTAAAGGGTATCTTCTTCTTCAAAAAGATTGACATGTTTCCCCTTCCACTGTCTAACAGTAGGTTATATCTCTAACACTTGCCGTGGTTGGGATCCGCCCTAGAACAAACATCAACTTTACTCCCCAAACAGCACCACTTATCCACGGGGTTCAAAAGGAAAGAAATGGAGAAAGAAAATAGTAAAAGACGTACCGCATATACCAGCTCCCCTTATCCTGCGCACCACCATGGTCACAATTGATCATCTCCTTGAGATACTTATTGCAATCAGAAGTAGAAAGCCTCGCTTTATTATTCCCCTTATTCTGCAGATAGAAATCAACGCGATTTCCACCCGACGGAAGATTCGCGCAGTGGAATTTGGTCTGCCCGGCTCGATAGTCACCCGCGCCGCCCCTGCTGTTGCACCATCTGCCTGCTTGGTCGATGGCTGCGTTGCGGCTGTCGCCCCATTTCTCGCCGCCGCCGTAACAGCCTGCTGTGGCGAGGCCGGCTGTGGCAAGGATGGTTATGAGGGAGGTGAGCTGCATGGTGGGGGTTGGTTTGAATGTGGGCTGTATGGAGGGTTTGATGATGTTTCTTGTAGTCTGTCTATCTCATCTTCGGGGTCCAACGGCCTATTTATAAGAATATGAAGGCATGCTGCAGATTGTAAGTACTATACATCTTCTCTTGCAGCTATGAAAGGGAACCCCTTTGCGAAGGCATTTCCCAGCAATGCCACAGTACTGTATACTACATACCTTAGCTTTCGAATAAGTCTACCGGGCATGAGATGCAGATAATTGGATAAGTTTCGGTGTAGGGCTATACTCAGCAAGTGTATTTCGGGTGCAGGATCGACAGCGGGGATCCATAGCGTGCAAACTCATATGACAAGCCAATGGCAGCGTCTGAGAATACGAAGATGACATTTGCGAGTCGAGATCCTCCCGCTCCTTGCTTCTTGCATACTTGGGGTGTCTTGCTTTGCTGTGAGAGTGGTCTTCTTGCTTGACCTGTATTTCTGATATGTGTTCAATGATAGGCACATGGACCAAGCACAATGTAACGGAAAATTGTGGCTTAAACTGATAGCAACTCGGGTCCAAAATATCTTTAAGTCTATTGCATATTGGTGATTTGATATCGAAAAACCAAGCGGATAAATCTCACAGGAAGTCATCTGCAGGAATGTGACTACGCGTGGGACAAGGCAGATTTAAGCTAGCCGGGATAGGATATATGGCGCGCCAAGGGGTAAGAAAGTATGAAAAACGCAAAATCCTGCATACAGTACCAAGGGACCAACCCGATAGGGTCAGCTCAATGTAAGATTCCTGCCTCTCCGTGTATAGTTGGGTATCTTGAGTAAGCTGAGGGACAAGCCTGCAGCAGTGTGGGATCGAGTATCTTGGCCCGAATACTTACCCTTTGTGTCCGCCAGGCACGTCGAATTTATGAGACGCCTGATGGAATCGTTAGTGGCAGAACGTAAGCCGGGGTTTTCTCTCGGAACGAAACCTGTGGACGTATGAGTTTCTTCGTTCTCTACCCGAAAATTCTCTTTAGTAGCATTTCGCAATTAGTTCTCGGTTGGAAGTTTTTTTTTGGCAATAGGAAGGATATCAATTGGTCATTTCCGCCATGATGGTTGCGCGATCTCACTTCGTCCACAATGCCCCTTGCAACTAGCGCAGACGGCGTTGTGAAATCCAGGCCTCTGTTAACCTTGCCTTTCAAGGTGGCCTAGCAATGTCAAACCAGAAACGCGACTTTGGTGGTATAACGAAACAAGATTCTATGGATTCAGAGATCCACCGCATGTGGGGGCGTTCCCAGTTTGCTCTACAACACATGGTCACAAGTACCCGGCGAGACTCCTTACCGAAACATGTGTCGGACACTCACAATCCACGGCTGCAATGGCGGAAGTAGACGACAGTTACGGGCAGAAAAGTTCAATCGCCATCTAACCTTACCATCTTCTTCACGGTTACTGGCCAACACCGATACCAGCGAACTGGTCGATGCGTCGTCTACTGAAAGTACCATCTTGTCTCCTGTCAAACAACGGCTGTACACAATGGAGGATTGTTGATCGAAGGACCTCCGTTCTTAGTCGGGGAGCGATGATGAGACATGATCAGATCACCGGGAGTACGGAGGTCAGTGTTTGATGCTAGCAGGCTTGTCTGTGTACGTGGAATTCAAAGAAGTACCCCGGAGCATGAGGAGAGAGCATGAATTCGTCTGGTCTCAAAGACGATGAGGATTTCGGAGGTATTCATGTTCCTGCGCTCAACGGAAGTACCTTTAAAGGGAATGAGAGATGGGAGGATTTCAGACAGGCGAGAACAATTAAGTCTTTGATTATATGATTCCAAACCCTCATCTCTAGAGAAAACATATAAAAGTATAGGATAGTCCAAGAGAACGACTATAGGTATATAACTAGGTAATAGTAGATTCAGAGTGATTTGGATGTATGTGGCTCTTCGAGAAAAGGAGACCATTACCCAAGTACCTACCATAACTTACAAGATCTACTCCCAGATTCTGTCACCTGAATTTCCAGTGATTGAGTGTATACATGACGACAGAGAGTATGTTGTCTAGGCCCTGTGTTTTCTTCTTCGTAGCTCATCTAAGCAATTTTTTCTTTCTCTTTTCTCTTCTCCAGCCTTACCCTGTCATTCTCACCGGGAACAACTGTACTCCATAGCACCTTCTCTCTGTGGTGTTTTCTTCTGACGCCTATCACAGACACCTTTTACACTACACGTCAATAATTAACCTTTCAATGGTTCATCAATCGTCTTATTCCGGTACCACTGTGGCCGCAGACGAATTCTGCGAGGATTTGAACATACCGTGTGAGAGACGTCAGGAGTTGCTATGTGAGCTGGGAAAGGCCCTTGGCGTTGACAAAGTCCCAGCGCCATTATGGGCATGTCTTCAATTGTGTGATCTCTAGGTCAGCTCGAAGTTAGTGACCCCATGTTTACGATGGACCGACTTAGCTTAGAGTCGCAGAAAATTCATCGACCAAAAAGTCGCTCTAATCTTGCCGTAGAATTGTTCTAGGCTGAGCCCTGTAATTCATTATATTAATTTAGTCAAAGGGGACCGCTCCCATTATATATATATTATATTCTCCCCACATCAAACATCATTTCCAATATTCTGCCAGCATCTCAGAAGGTAAGGGTTTATCCTTTATAATTAAAATAACCAAATTAATATACGTAATATCAAAAGATAATAAAGAAACTATTAGATATGCCCATGTACATAGCCCTAATGTACCATGGTACGAGGATTCGAACATTGCTAGAAAGAGCTCTCATATATTTTCTAAAATCCCCACATTAAACAACGAGTCGCCCGGATGGTCTAGTGGTATGGCAATCTTCTTCTGGTCATATCCGAACCTCCACTAATTTCCTCAATAGGTATGATTCTCGCTTTGGGTTACCACCTAATCTGCGAGAGGCCCCGCGTTCGAATCGCGGTTCGGGCCCATCTCCTCTTTTTTTTTTTCTTTCTTTTTTGTTCCTGTCTTTCTTTATTCTCGAGTCCTGCTCCTGATACTGCGATGGTTTTCTGGAGTAAATTTAATCGTCATCTTCTTTATTTTGATCTCTTTTCCATTATTTACTTTTCACATTTATTGACGTTACTATTCGTTTGTTGAGTGCTTTCTCTCTTTACCACAACAGTCCCAGCAACTTAGGTGTCAAATAGCCGCGAATCCATCCCATAGCGCCTCCGAAGTTGCAGACAATAGATTAACACTACGTATATGATATTGCATAGAGAGAAATAGTGCGAGATTTATTCTTTTGGTATCCTGCTATCTTATTTATCCCGCCTTCTAATTCCCCTACTTCTTTCTTTGAAATGTCTCGATCCTTTCCGTCGTATGTCAATATTTACAGCTCTAATACATACATACACAAGTCAAGTCCATACAGGAACAAGCAGTCATTCGTAGATGAGACGAGCTTCTTGATAAGTCAATCGCTACCCCTGCAAGCCATAGTCTAAACACTATGCAGCAGCTTGAGCATCATTCTCAGCCAACGCCTTCACCGACCTCTTCTCCTTCTCCGCGCCATTCCGCCGCTGCGCAACATCACACAGCTCCAGATCCCCACACTCGCAGTCCCCATCCCTCAACCACCGATACGTAATACTCCAGCGGTTCTCTCTCAGCCGAACAGTCCCATCAGACAGCGTGTCCGTCTTGCGCTTCTTAATCCCATGCGTCCAATGCAGCCGGGAGTCGCCCGCCACCTGCATCATACTCCGCGGCGTCAAATCAACCTCGACTCTGCGATCGCCGCGCCGGAACTGCATGAGCGCAGGGGCCCCCAGCGACAGCGCATACAGCTGGTCGTAGGGCCCGTGGGCGTCTACATGCGGCGGGATGCCCGCGCCGGGCGGGTAAAACTGCAGACAGACCTGGTCGGGCGGGCGGGATTCCGTCGGCGGAATGAGCGGGCGCAGCCAGTCCGGGAATTCCTTGTAGGGAATCTCCGGGTCGATGTCGAAGGTCTTGTAGTCGAAGGTGTAGCCGTAGTGGAGAGATAGACGGCCTGGGCGGTCGGCCCATTCCAGCCCCTTGAAGAGGGCGATTAGACGCTGCTCGTGCTCCGCCGACACGAAGTCATCTTGCCAGAAGAGACCCCGAGGCTCGATGGGCAGCTCGGTCAGTTGGGTTGGCGTTTCCGTCATGGCCGTCGCGGTGGTTGTGATGGTTGCACGTGACGGGTAGATTTTGCTTCGGCCATTTGGTCCACGGCTTGGAAACACTTAGACAGACATTGTGCTGCAATGTTTGCTTAGATGCCTAATGGTCTTTGACGTGAGAGCCTAGCTGCTCGAGAGCTGTACGCTCGAGAATCGACAAATACGAAGGAAATGAAAAGGAAAAAGCTTGAGATTAGTCATCTGTTGCCGCTTTAACAAAGTAGTGACAGCAACATATCTTACCCGCTACGCCACGATGCTTTTCATTTACCATACCACGTACAATGATAGCACCCTATACGTATCTCTATAATAGTACCATCCAGTACATACGACCATAGGGTGTGGAGAACAGGGCTTCCCGTCCGCTCAGCCGTACTTAAGCCACACGCCGGCCGGTTAGTAGTATGGTGGGTGACCACATGCGAATCCCGGCTGTTGTATGTTTTTGCTTATTTTTTTCATCTGCTTCTTCCTGTATGTTAGAAGCGCAAGAGTGGCATGGGTAAGTGTAACAGTAGCTGTTTCTTTATGCGCATGTGGTGGTTCTTCCATGCCCCCAAAAATCAAATAAAAAGTCGTTTCTCTGAATAAATAAGCCATTTGTGAATACCTAATAACACTCCATGTACTAATAATTGAAACCAAGTGAGATATATAGATTTATGATATCGATTAGCAGCACGCTTACTGATATTCAATGTATTTCTCATATCCTGCATCCCTCAGTTGCTCCCAATGCTGAAGAGAACGTAAGGCACCAAGTTTGCCTCAACACTTAGACACCGGAAACAGGGAAGTCATTAGAATGATTCAAAAGGCAAGCAATAAATTGAAGAAAGCAGTATTGTCTCACATTTTTTTGGTGGTTTTAAGCTACATGCTGCAATAAAAGCAACGGGATAACCATAATCAACTTGTTGATGATATCTGGTCTATAAAGTATAAAATCAACCATGTGTTAAGGAGAGATAGACACTAGTAGGGATCAGAGTCTGTCTTCTTTTGTCAGACAATTCGTTTGACGATGGCAGCTCCTGTCCTCTTCTTTCACCAATTCCCATTTCCTCCATTGCCCTGACCCTGGCCATTACCGTTGCCGTTACCATTGCCATTGCCGCCACCATTGCCCTCCTCCTCGCGCTTCCAGTTTCCCCGGTGATGGCCACCGTTGCCATTGCCATTGTTGCCGTGGCCGTTGTTGCCGTGGCCGTAGCCGTTGTTCGGGATATGGGGATCATCGCGAGCAAGCGGCTTGGTGAGGTGGTTCAAGGCGGGGTTGATGCTGTCCTCCTTGTCTTCGACGTCGCGCTTCCAGTTTCCCCGGTGATGGCCACCTTTGCCATTGCCGTTATTACCATGACCGTTGCCGTTACCATTGCCATTGCCGCCACCATTGCCGCCACCATTGCCCTCCTCCTCGCGCTTCCAGTTACCTCGGTGATGGCCACCGTTGCCATTGCCGTTGTTGCCGTGGCCGTTGTCGCCGTGGCCATTGTTGCCGTTGCCGTAGCCGTTGTTCGGGATATGGGGATCATCGCGAGCAAGCGGCTTGGTGAGATGGTTCAAGGCGGGGTTAATGCTGTCCTCCTTGTCTTCGACGTCGCGCTTCCAGTTTCCCCGGTGATGGCCACCTTTGCCATTGCCGTTATTACCATGACCGTAGCCGTTGTTGCCATTGCCGTAGCCGTTGTTGCCATTGTTGTAGCCGTTGTGCGGGATATGGGGATCGTCGCGAGCGAGCGGCTTGGTGAGGTGGTTCAGGGCGGGATTGATGCTGTCGTTTTGCTCTGGAGAAAGTTAGTCCCTTTTTTCGCCCAGGAGGGTTGAAAGTCAAGTACCGTTTTGCGTCGGAGCAGCAACGGCCAGAGCCACGAAGGGGAGGATGGTGGAGAGCTTCATGTTGAAGGTGGTTCAAGCGGGTAACTGGATGTTTCTTTGGTTGGTAGATGTTTGTAGGAAAAGATGGATGATTTGAACTGTGATGGAGAAGGACAACAGACGGGCTGATTGATCCCTTTTATATCTTTCTTGCTACACTAGAACTATGTCGTCGATGTACTCCGTACATCGCGTCTCATCTTCCAACTGCACCAACACAGTAAATCGCTCATACAAACACCCTTGAGCTCCTGAAAACGCGTGGCTCACATGTATAGCTTCGAAATAGAAGAAGGCAACCAACGACCCGTATAATGTAGAATGAATATGTTGGACTGCGCCACAATGATCGACTCTCATGAACTGCATTTCCATGGAGAGATCTCGATCAGAGCCACGCGTTACCCCCTGTGAGCTTATCTCCTTACACAGACATATGTTTACTTCCGGAACCCAGAATTGTTAAGATATGTTTATGGCTAAGTAGCAAACCTGTCTATTGTATATCGTGATGGGGTAATCTGGTAAGGACGAAGATTATCACAGCTACCCGTCGCGACGATCGATCGCGAGAATGCGTATCTGATCCGTTGGAAGCCCTAGTATCATAGGATAGACGCACTTGGGCCCCTTACAACGAGTTTGACAGGAATAATACGTCACCCAAGGAAATGAATATCAGAGCTTGCTTATCCTTAGTAGAGAAAAGGATCAAGCCTAGTGGGGTGACACTGCCCTTGCATTGCGGTATGCAAGGGCCATGCCTCTTACGTGTACTGCTGCTGGTTTACTTCAAACCGGGCTCCCCGCAATGCTGGGCCGCGAGGCCGTTGGAATTCCAAAACCATGTGCAGAAAAGTAGGTTCCTATTTGTTGAAGTGTCAGAAACGGGAAAAGAATGCCATTGTTGAGAATTGCCCCTCGCTGACGGAATTTTAGTGGCGTTTCGGAGGGGCTAGGGTTCCTAGCAGGCAACCCGTGTAGCCGGGTCTGAGGGCTGGGTCAGAGGTTTAGGATACGAAGCTCCTCTGAGATCGTTGGTTGAGTCCAGAGAGAAGGGATACTTGAGTCTCCTAGCAAGGGGGTTGTAAATTAGGAGGACTTATTTAGAGTTTTCGGGATAGCCGTTTGTGGAAGTTTAAGCTTATCGAGTTAGAATCAGATGATACATCACAGCATACCGTTAGATTTCAGATCTCGATGATCTATGGGATCTACCCAGCCCCTGAATGTGATGTCGTGCCAGAAACCCTATCCGAGCTGGACTGGGGGTGTCGAGCCCGAATATGAGGAGTATACAGAACATTTGTCAGTTGATCAGGGGGCTAACCCTACTAACACTGTACGGCATTTCCCTAAGCGGGTCCAAAAGACTTCAATACCAACGTAGGTTGAGCAAAAGAGGAGGAAACTTATCTGTTCTCACTACACTGGTATCTATCATATCCCGGGTGATATCCTTAAGGACGCTTATTTTCCGCACTGCTATAATTTAGTTGTTCATGGACTAACGTTCCGACAACTTACCCATACCCTGCCAAGTCCTTCAACAATATCCGATGTGGTGTAATGGTTAACATCGCCGTCTCTCACACGGCAGCTCGGGGTTCGATTCCCCGCATCGGAAGCATTTCTTTGCACCAAATGGGCTTGTGGTTTAGTGGTATAATACTCGCTTAGCATGTGAGTGGTCCGGGGTTCGATTCCCCGCGAGTCCATCTTTTTGTTTTTTTTTATTATCTTCTTCAAATACTGTCTGTCAGTTCATTCACTAGAATGCAGCAGTGAATATAGGTCTGTATTCTACCTTGAGATTGTTATTTCTTTCTCATAGTAGAGATATTACTTCTATAAAGTATGCATGGCGCCAGTAATCAAGCACGTCCGCCAATCATTCTGGTCATTGACCACCACATCAACGCGCACACTGCAGTGGGATAGGGCCAGGATTAACCAAGGACACCAATCATGCAGCGCCAGCTCAACTGGCGTGCCTCAAGGTAGACAAGCCTGTCGGCCTTGCTGCTAAGCCTCATGAATGATAAAGTCAACACTCGAACAGCTCCTAGCTCCTCTTGTATTCTGCGCTGTTCTCGAATACATCAGACCCACCACAATCGAAGTAAGTATGTCGACATTTGGGCGCATAACCAATGCTCTTGTTTCCGAAGTCAACGAAAACAACATATCGCTCGCCACGCTGAATTTCGATTTCTCTCTGCTGAAATTCGATGCGCCCAAGGAATTCCAGCCACTTGGCTCCGCGTTGTCGGGACGACGTCGTCGCGAGGCAGAGGAGGGTCTTCACTATCGGACCGCACGTCGTCTGGGCGTGCTCTTTGAAGACCTCATTCCGTCTACTCCCAAGCTGATCGAAGCGTTCGGCAAGCGGGTCTTCTTGCTCACGTCGCATTTTTGCTTTCCTGACAAGTTTACCAAATCCATGTTCTCGCTGGATCTGGCTGCCAGCGTCTACAAGAATCTCCCGGGTGCCTTGGTATCTATGACTATAATCTCCCAGCCCATGTATGCCTGTGCATGGATACCTTAGGATTGGCGCCAACCGCTTTGTCTCTACGATCTGCATCCAGCCTTTGCAACCATCGCGCGTATCCCAATATTCAGGTCACCTCAGCCAAAGGCCCTGACCCTACAAGAGGCATTCGCGTGCGTCGCGAAATTCGAATCCGGAACCATCAACCTCGAGCCGGAAGACTTGAGCACCGCACTCGCTCTATGCTCAGAAGACTCCATCTTCGTCGCTGCCGTCGTCCTCTCCGACCCCTTCGACACGCCCGCGCCCAACGACATACGAAGAATCGCAGGCAATATCGGACAACCCGGTCTCAGCATCCTCGTCGCCCCACAAGAACCCCAGATCCGCAAGCCGTCATTCGCCTTCAACGCGGTGGCGCACGAACCCTATGGTTTTCTCCGCGAGAACAATTTCTCTGGGACGTCGCTCCATCTCCCCTTCACTGAGTGGAGGTTCCCCCTCGAGGCAAGCACCGAACGAGCCATCGACCAAGACGTGATGGTCGTGGAGTCTGTCATCTCCGTCCTAGATCGGGGCAAGTGGGTCGCTGATCTAGACATCATGGGAATCGACTTTGAAGGTGTCTCACGCATCGTCAACATATGCAACAACAAAGACGAGCATGCCGGTATCAGCCACGACCCCAACTACGATTATTTTTCGGTGGACAATTGGGACGAGCTGGTGGATGCGCCTGAGGGAGTTGGCATCTTCCGCGCTCACAGCAACTGGGCGGCTCGTCTCGCTGCTGTGAGTATTATGTCGCAGAAGGGGCAAGGCCATAGTATTGGGGTGTTTGGGTCCAACCGTGTGTGTTTCAAGTGTTTGGAGGAGGAAACGGGCTTCGCTGAGCCGCATTTACTGGATCATGAGTCGCCTTTGCCGTCTTTTTGCATTGACTAGATGCTTTTAGGCGAACGGGTCTGGCATAAGTTATATTAGCCACCCCAAAAAAACATTCATTGTGGAATTCGGTCAAGCTTGATATGTCTGATATCCCGACAAGTTATTCAATCAAAAACGATGCAAAAATAAAAGAAAACATACAACAGCCGGGATTCGCATGTGGTCACCCACCATACTACTAACCGGCCGGCGTGTGGCTTAAGTACGGCTGAGCGGACGGGAAGCCCTGTTCTCCACACCCTATGGTCGTATGTACTAGTTTGTGCAGATCATTCAACCTATATAGCCAATAGTTGGGTAGAAAAGCTCCATCTGGTAATCACCACACCCACTCGGTACTTCATCCGTCAGCCCTGCATGTCATTTTGGGTGGTGGGACCAGCCACGCGTCAAATGTCCGGAAGCTACACATAGCCCAGGAAACTATTTTGAACATGCATACGTTTGGCTTTGACAATCTTTCCCATGACTTGGGTTTTACCAAGATTGCAAAACAAACTAGAAACACTGATCTGTAATATATATACCAAACACCTGTTCAACATATCTCCAGAAGCATCCCGCCCCTTATGTGTTTATAGAAGGTCTACCGAGTGACGCAATGAAGGGGTCGGTTTAGTCATGTACTAGGGTGATCTTATTGCTCCTGAATCAAATTCGGGGGTGGTAAGGAGTACTCCGTACGCGCATAAGCAATAATCCAAAGCAGGGACACAGCTCCGCTCCGCTGGTGGGTCTCATTCCAGGCCTGCTCTTCCGAGATTTTGCTAGGAAAAGAGAAGGGCTGGTATGGAATATACTCCACACAGTCACTCTAACTATAGGACTCTACGCATTTGCTTAGTGGAGCCTTGATACAACTCTATACAGTCGCTTAGTAGGACTACAAGTTCGCTTGGTGGGACCCTGATAGAACCGTATATGGAGAGAGAGAGAGAGAGAGAGAGAGAGAGATTAGTTGAGATTCAAAACTTTTTAGCAGAGCCAGTATGTCTAAAAAACGTAGGCAGAGCTGGTATAGAAGAGCCCATACCAGGCCTGTGTTTCTATGGAGCCCAAACTTCCAGTCACCCACACCTGCTGTGAGCCCGTCGACAGACATCGTGGAGGAATCATCGCTCAACAATCCTCATAATTCGCGACACAAAGTCATCGCCTTGTCGACTGCATCTTCCGCATGCACCAAACTCGTGTCCATGACTGGGACAGGGCTATCCTCCTCCCGCACAAGTAGCCCTATCTCAGTACAGCCGAGAATAATCAACTCGGCGCCTTGATCGACGAGAGAATAGATTACTTGTCGGAACATCTCCCGCGATTCTGGCAGTATAATGTTCTTCGTTAACTCGTCCATGATGACGCGCTCGAGACCCACACGTTGGTGTGCATCGGGGATGAGGACATCCAAGCCATATTTCGACCTCAGCGGTCCAATGATAAATTGTCCAGTCAAAGTGGTAGAGGAGCCGAGAAACCCGATCCGTTTATATCCCTCCTTGTTGATCCTCCGACCAAGCGAATCAGCCATGTGCAGCATGGGTATGTCGACGGGGAGTTTCTCGGCAGCGAACTGGTAGGTATTGCAGGCGACAAGGTAGAAGTCGGCACCAGCCGACTGCAGCGATGTGATGTACTTGTGGAATTGTTGGCGGATCTTGTCGACTTGGCCCGATAGTCTCCATTCTGTGATTTGATGTAGATCAGCCTGGATGACGATTATTTTGGGGCCCCGGAGACCGCCTAGACGGCCAGTAACTAATTCATTGATGACTTGATAGTAGGTGATTGTGCTTGGCCATGAGAGGCCACCGATAATACCGATTGTCTTCATGTTGGGCAAGATGGGATTTATTCGAAACGGTGTGATCGAGTATGAGTCTGAGAGAGAGCGATTGAAAACAATGATCAAGGAACTCGATCTTGGACATAACAGGCTTGCTTTATATTCACCGACCCCGGCAATATCAATGCTTCTCTGTCCCTGAGGTACGTAAGCTGCCCATCGCCCATTTGAATGAAGGCGACTCATCAATTATGCTTATGGTTATTTTGGTATTAGAGACAGTGTTTTAGGTAACTGAATTATTTAGTAATCTATTGTAGAATAGTATCTGTCCTCTAAATCGTGCAGCTATAATCATATGAGCTATCAATAATATAGGTATAATTATGATAGACCGTCCAAATTGATACTTTTTATATAGATTCCACTTATGCCATTGTTGAGACCATAGGGAGCGCCCTAAAAGCTGCGGCTTAGCTGCGCATAGCAGGTTTTACATAGGGGTGTCTGCAGATGTCAAGCAAGGAAGCTTGACATACATAATTGGCCCTTTTAGTCTAGTGGCATGGTTGGCATGGTATGCCATTTACTTGTCAACGTTAAATATTGATGAGGTTACATATATAGATTTTTCTGGGGACAATATTATTACTTTGTCATTTATTATTTCCTCGCAGGGCGGAAGGCTTTATATGACGACCCCCATAACATTACCTGTAGTTACTATTTTCGAATCCTTGCTATCACAGCCCCACAGATCATAATATCTCCTAAACCCTTGCCTGGGGGTAATTCTGACCCTTGTAAGGGGGGAATCACAAAAAGAGAAGAAAAAAAGTAAGATGAAAAGAAAAAAAAACAATCAAAATTCATGAAAGAGAAGGGAGAAAAAATAGCATGGACTTAGCAAGCTAGCGAGAATTCTAGGAAGCTATCATTTTTTCTAATATCACAGCTATGAGGACACGTGTAATATACTCCAGGTATTGATCCAATACATTGACTATCAGCCAAAGTGGACAATAACGAGCATTCAAGTTTACAGATGCTCTTTATCTGAGTGAACTAATAGATTCGGTTTCTTGTTCTACAGTTGTGTTTATAGATGTAGTCTGGCTTATGAAGATCATTGAAAGTATGACCAATTAGGGTGATGCATCGAAGCCCAGTACCGATCATAGGATAATTTTCTATACCATACATGAACCTATTTCTATACCGTACATGAGACCCATTTTACATGTATTCATTTTTCGCCCTTCATGAAGAATCCGAGACAGCAGCCGTGCTATACTGAGAGAATTTGCTCTTCTCACGCAGCTGTCTCCCATAACAATGAAAGACTGGTGGCACCAGACAGATGAAGGTAGAAAAGATGGCCAGAACAGAGACAGCCTTGTTAGCACCCAGGTCGTCAAACATCCTCGGGGCAAAGAGCGGGAAAAAGGCACCGAATGTCACGCGGAGAAATGACAAGGCGGCATTCGCGCTGGCCGCATGGTTCAAGTAAACGTCTGTCACATATGACGATAACACGGTAGAGAACTCGTTCAACCCGAATCCGACAAGGCATAATGCAAAGCTGGAAACCGCCCAGTGGACGGCCGGCACATCAGGTGGTATAGTCCACGCGAAAATCCACAGCCCGATAGCGAGTCCGGGTGCTGCGAACCACATCCCAAAAAGCTTGTGCTCAGGCGGCAGATTGTGCGTGCGTTTCTCAGCAATTGCCGTAGTCCGGTGGTCATAACAGCGGATAAGCAGATTCCCGACAAGTGCTATTACGATTGTTAGGAGAGGGAGGCTAGAACTTTGCTCAGAAAAGCCCATTTTACGATAAATGTCCGGCACCGTGTCCACGAAAAGATAGAACAATCCATTCGCGACTCCGCTGATGACACTCAGCGTGAACATAACCGGCTCTGAGAATAGTAGCTGGGCCGGTCGAAAAAGTGAGATCCTCGCAAAGGTTTTCAGATCCGGCACATGGTCAGGAATGAAAGGCTTGAAGTCCTGCCCTGTCTTCCTCTGAAGTCTCTCAGCGTGCTGACGGAGGAGGAGAGATGGCCGAGATTCTCTGATACATAGCATCATGACCGCGAGGAGTGCTGTTACCATGGCGGCTATGTAGAAAACCCATTCCCTGCAGCTAGTTATTAGCGGAGATCTCGCTGGTATCTTTCATGATCTGATATATGCACGTACCAACCGTACTCTGCTGCAACATATGCGCTATATACCGGTCCTAAACCAAGACCAGTACCCGTAGCGACAATGTACAGAAACACCATCCAAACGCGCGTTCGCGCCTTGAACATATCGGCAATACTCCCAGTGATGACCACGCTGGGGATGGCCGAAAGGACGCCCGTCATAAAGCGAGCTATACCGCTGGCGACGTGCGAATTCCCTACCCCAACGATAACACAGAAGACAGCATAGAGCAGAGAGCTAGCTATGTATAGCTTTTTTCTGCCAAACGCTTCGGAGTACGGCGGGAACACAATAATGCCAACACCTTGACCTAGCTGGTATCTAGAATACTCAATGAGTCGCCGAGGACGAGGTAGAGAATGTTTGTTTAATACTAACGATGACATATAAGCAAAGATCAACACCGTCATGCTTAGATCAGTTCCATGTTGGGAAGCTCTTGCAGCAGTAGCCTGTAGAAAGTCAATAGAAGTCGAGAATGACGTCCAGGTCACTTACTCCTGACGTGCTGATAGCCGTTCTATTTCGCGTTAACACCACATGTTAGACAATATTGTTATAAGAGAGACAAAGTGCACGCACGTGAAGGCCTCCAGAAGGAGGATCAATGTCATATCGTAACATTTGCGCGCGCCACTCCAATGCCACGGATGAAGCGCACTGCCGCTGGCCCATTGCACATGTTGTCCATCTTCTGTCTTTTCCAAGCCGAATTCGGCTAAGTTGACGGATACGGTCGGGGAGGGGGTGTGTTCCATAACTCAGTATATACTTTACAACATGGAAGGAGCCCGGAATTGAGTAGTCTGGTAGAAAATCTCCCTGGGCTTTTCAATGAGACAATCTCCGTAATGGACACTCAATTTATCCATTCAAGTTAGAAATTAATCATCAATTAAGCATAAACAACCCCTGAAAGCAACCTAGATTTCGTAAGGAATGAGCAAGGGGGTGACATTGTTTTCAAGGGTTTGATAACTTCAACAATGGCGAATGCAAACCACATCTGACGTTAGACACCACTAATGAAGGCTCTATACATAAAAGTAGATATGATAATGACATGTTCGAAGCGACATTCCGCGACGTTGCTAGGCACTTTAGAATCTATATCGAGTAAGTTCGCAAACTCATCCGTTGAATTTTGTGGGGGGATTACCCAAGAGATTGGACTCACTTCGTACCTCTTGTGTTCGTTCTGTTTATAGAAATATAGAGTCTAGCCATTGACTTTACTATTATGGCCCGAGAATATGCGTAGAAGATACTTGGCACCAGAAGAATTTCTCCTGAAGATCCCTAAGTAATCTCAAGTGCTTCAAACACCCCCAAGCAACTGAAAGTTGGTTAGCCCCAGTCATGACGAGGCATTGATAGGGTAAGGCTGGCTGGCTGATATTTCCTATCCAATTCACCTCCTCGCGTCCGTACACCAGCCATCTGGGTTGCTGAGATGATCCGCCACTGTCTGGCCGCGTCAGCTTGACTCACGCCCTCTTTTGCTAGCTGCAGCCGGTTACTATGGGCCTATGTAGCTCGGACTCCGCTGTATGAAATCAAGGCTTATTTATCGTCAAGAATATGGGTGGCTCCATGATCTGCGCCACCGCAGATCGCTAGACCTGCTTGGTATGCTTGATATGATGAAGTACGCCAAAATTTGGTCCCTAGTAAGGATCAATCACGCGAACTACCTGATCACCATTAGCTTGCACCCCAATGATGCCCTGTGTAGAATATAAAGACCTGTCATCTGGATTGTTACTACTAAATACTAGGTGGCCGTTAAGATATCACATCTTCTTAGACTTTCTGAACCAACAATAGTGGGACTCTACCTATCTTAGCGGCGTTTATTGTCCACCCGGTGATTTTCTAGAAAGCGCGAACCAGGGTTCTATTGTTTCCAGAGTCTATAGTTAGTGGGCATCCATCGTCCTGACTGAACCTGTCTACACATTCGGAGCTGCCCCTGTTTACGACTTATACAGTCCCTTGAGCCAAGCCGCGTAATTGTTGTTTTTAAGGGGCCTAACCATTGACTAAGGAATTCAATAGATATATACAAACACATTCAAGCTACACATACTATCAGATTGATCTATATTATGATATAGTTGTGATGGTATCATCAAGGTTCATGATAAATAAGTTATCTGAGCCCAAAGCAACATATTGCATGTCGTTACTCCGTAGAACAAACGTATTGAACCGCTTATATAGAACCATACAATACCATATTAGAAGACTATCATACAAGAAATAAATTCTATGTCAGTGTATCTGTGGACTGATTTACAAGGCATATTTGATAAAATATAAGTTGCATACAGCAGATTAAAACCAGGCAGCAGGTATTCCAGCAACCTCAAAACCCCGAAAAAAGGTGCTTTAAAAGAAGAATACCAAAATCAAAGTTCAGATAGTCTGAATAGTTTTCAAGGGGTGCTATGCTTTTACGTTGAATGAGGTGACGTGTTGGATGTCATTTCGTGATTTGAGCGCTTGGAGAGATTTGAGACAGGCTGAAAAGCTATTACACAGTCTTGCGTAAGGATTATAAATGTGCTGTGATCTACATACAAACTTTGAATCACCCCCTTGATTTTGACATATTGAATACTTAGATCTGTAACACTCCATTACCCAGTGCGGCTGTTGGAACTTGCCCCCATGCTACCCAATCTTCCTATCATTACTCGTACTCAGATGTTATGCTTAACCATACTTGGGCATATTAGTATGTCTCAGCCACTGCGCCACAATATCGGGCTGCATTTTGGTGGAGCTTAATATGACTGATGACTATCCCAACATTATGTGACTACGGTTGAATTAGTCACTGCCTTGTTCTACACATAGGCTGCAGCTGTGGCTTGACTTGACAAGATCTACCAAGAAGTCAAAAATGACCAGTAAAATCACATGGAAAGCGTCGGGGTGGGCTTAGTGATATGTCAAGAATGGCTAAGAGGAGTCAAAACAGGATGGGCCCAATATGGTCCTTGCCCTGAAACAAAGGTACATAACGGAGCCTACTGCAGGCGACTATAATTAGCCCTAAACCACTCCGTACAAAATAGTTGCGGGCTATGCATCATGGGAAGGCGTTATTAGTCTGAATATAGTCAATGCAGTTGTGCTCTACATATCACTATTGTACCTTGGACTAATTCATCTCTTAAATCTAGTCTCTTTATTTTTTTTCAGAACTACTCCGTATACTGCAGTTAGATTGTTGGAATATCAGTTATAATATACCTGACCAAAATGCTGATTTGATATCTTGGTGCAGTGGCCGAGATAAATCACTAGTTTCCTGTCGGATAGAATATTATGTAGGAAATATTTGAAAATGGAGAAAATCAAACTATTACCAGATGGACACACTGTTTTGAAGAATTGCGATTGCAAAGATTTAATATACTCTAGATTTTGGGGTTTAAACTTCTAGGAGAGTATTGCTTTACATCAGATCACTCCGTACGTCCTTATCATATACACAATAAAAACAATAACATATCTTTGTACACGACAGATACGTACTTAACTAACCTTTTTTTCTGGAACTAACCTAGTTCAATTGGCTGATGTATTATAATGATAGTAAGCCTGAAAGCCACAGCAATGAAGTCTCATATTCGGTGGTCGGAACATAGTTACAAAACTCCAACCTATATTATCTCAATTCGTCGCAACGGCCTAAAGCGTAGCCAACTTCAGGCTATATTGATCTAGTTGGGCATGTGATTTAAGTACTGCTGAGCAGATAGAAAGCTTTGTCCTTCACAGCCTGTAAGCATAAGCGAACAAACTACGTATATGAAAAAACCAGCGAAGTGGCTACGAACTGGCTAAGGAGAGGCTCAGTCACCTCCACTTCACCAAAAGGAGTCATTGCTAGGTCAATGATTAACATAACTTCATTAATGCAGTGCGCAACACCGGCCAAACATCAGAGCTCGCTGTACATGGCCGCCAGAGAATCAATGATTTCCTCCCGTCTTGCCGGGTCTATATCCGGGAAGGTATCCATGACATCTTCGTTCTGTTTCAAGAACGCCGCGAGGTCATCCGTCCCGTCACCAATAGATCTACGACCCATGCCTTCCTTCAAGCTTTCTACCAAATCACCGTTCCCGTGCAATAGCTCCCGTAAGCTGTTCTTCAGGATATCGCCGATAGCGACTTCGACGGGTAGGGTGAGCTCGCGAAGCACTTTCGTGTAGTAGGGGACCTCGGTGCCGTCCCATACGATAGATGTAGCGGCTGCGCCCAGAGACAGTTTTCCCTCCTTCAGGTGAGAGACCTGAGATTTGATGACGTCACCGAGGTTGGTTATGACCTTCTTTAGATCGAGGACTCCGTTCATAGGGAAGGTGTTGTCCCCCGGCTTGAGCGTGACGTCTGTAAGGCTGGCGTTCCCGACTAGGAGATCCCCGCTCTTGATATTCATGTGGAGGGTTCCCACTTCGAGTTCGAGTACCGATGGGTTGGGCAGCGTGATGTTTCCGACGAGGTTGGTGCCGTCTTCTTTTGGAGGGAGGAGCAATGTGGCGTCGGATATGGTGAGACCCTTGAATTTGTTCAAACCTGTGAGAATAGTCAGATGGGCGAACGCAGGCGTCGATAGCTTGGGGCAAGGTGGAGTTACCAGGAGTCACGATGGCCTTGTTCATGATGACATTCGACTTCAGCACCCCTAGATAGGCCGTCGTCGGGGCATAGAGCGACAACGACGTCTCCTCCTTGAACACGACCTGCCGGACAAATTCGATCCACGCCGTCGTATCTTGGATGGGTGTGAAACGGTCGCTGACTCCGAGCGTGTAGTTCCCCTTGATTGTCTGTCCCGGTAGATCAAGAGCGGCGTACGGCCTATCGTGGCCAAGATCCGGTTGGAAGAGGTCGAACGTCACTGCCTCGATGCGCACGGGCACGGCCACCTTCAAGTCTATGCTGGCTTTCATGGTCAATTGCACCGAATCTGGCTTTGGCTGTAGCACTGCTCCGTTCACGAGGAGTAGAGTCGATTTGTTAACAACCATCTGTGCGATCGCAGGGATAGCGATGAGAAAGCTACGGTGGTCAGTTCAGTCTAGTAGATTAATGCTGTGTCAAGAGATCACCCACAAAATTGGCAGGAAAATGGCCAAAAATATGATATTCCCCACGAGATAGATAAACCAAAACCGCTTCCAGTGATGGCGAAGCTTCTCGCCTCTCGTGGACACCTTGGACAGTGTCAACCCACCCGCAGACTCCAATTTCTCCAATTCCCGGGCATCATTCTCATCCAAGGCCACCGGCCCTCGATGGGTACCCAGTATGTATTTCCCCGGCGTATCCGACATTTTCTGCGGGACGGATGGTCGAATATTGACAGAAATGGAACAATTGACAGGAAATCGCTTCTTAAGTGGATTCGCGTCCCATATTGAGTGACATCGAACCCCTTAGTGCCATGAGGAGCACCGTCCACCACACCCCCACGGGGTAAACGACGATCAGCCCCAGAGATGAGGGGACCAAACTCAAAATAGGCCCTCAACCCTGTTCCAAGATCCGACCCGCCCCTTTTCGGCCCAAAATATGCATTCACCTTGATACCGCTCGTTTATAATGCCTGTGATTTGACCTCGCGGCGTTGTCGTAGTCTCTTTTGGACTGAGAGCCTCGGGACCCTGTCTTACGGTCACATACTGTCTACCCGGCATTTAGGCGTGATCGTCGAAGGATGTGCCGTCATAGACAGCCTGCTTTAGCGAATACTGCCAAGCGAGGGGTATGCCGCGATATGCGGTGTATACGGCTTCTCCATGATATTCCTTAATACTTCGGTGGCTGTCTCTACCAGCCATATGGTCGACAAAACAAAAGGCGCTCTACTGTAACCTTATCTAGAGCATGTATACAGGTCCATCAACCGATTTCAATATCATGGGAAGAAAAACCAAGCTATATCGATGTACTGAATAGCCCTTGAGGAAACAAAGACAGAGCTCTGTTCACGTGGACTCCTCCCATCGCTATTCGCTATCCAAAAACAGTCAACTTTGCGAACAAGATAAGCCCAACACCAACCAGAAAGCCAGCGGCACAGCTTCCAAGTTCTACAGTTGGGAACTATTGGGCACGGGGGCAATCCCGTCCGGGGTATATGCGGGGTTCGGCTGATTATCAGCGCCCCGTGTCCACAATCCGCTCGCCAACTCATGCGGGGAAACACGACTTGGCCAATTAGATTGGAAAGGTTGTAATGTGGGGAGCTGAAACCTCCAACCCCATATGGTACATAGGTATTGTTACTATTGTAAAGTCATCCCTAAAAGCGTAGAGTATACTGTACCTCAAGTACAGGGCGGGGCGAGCTTGGTCCATGGGATGCTATATTACCGGACGAGTTCTGTTTAGTACTGCAGGGGAGATTGTCAATATCTGCTAATTGTAGATCGTAGATATTGGTCCAATGGACATGACTCGATCCGGCATGGCATATTACAAAGAGAGTCAAAAGAGTAAAAGCCATCGGCATATCAAACCCGTCATATTCTCCATGGTCACACACAAGACTTCACATGTCCGATAAGCTCCACCATTCTCTTAACCGATCCCAGCGAGTTAATTCAATTATATTAATTATATCATAGGAAAGATCTTACATGGCCTGCGCTTGTCGCACTGGTCTCTGATTTGTCTAGGTTAAGGTTATGCTCTTGACAACGTGCGGGGGGCTGCAGTAGCCTGACCACAAAGAGACACAAGGCAAGCCACACTCGTCAGACTTGGCGGTGTTGAGACCGAGGTCGTTCATGTGGCGACAGATCACAGGTTTCGAGGGCTCGATGGTGAGATCGTTGATATGTCGTGTTATTTTACCGAAAATCCCGTTGCAGATAGGCTAATATTTCGAGTCGTTGTAGAACATTGTATGATAATTGGATTCCCTCAACGTCCGAGCACGTTACGCGATGCCAGTTGACTGATATAGAGTATATATACAATATTCGCATTAAGATCGGTTTCGGGTGTATGTGTCTGCATGAGGTGGTTCTTGTAACCACAACTATACTAATAATTCTCGAGGTCATTCACATGGTCTGGTGAATTTGATAGATATGCATGGGAGAGCTTATGTGAGCGTAGAAGCAACTGAATTTCTCTTCTATCCAACTCAGAGTAGATTATGTTTGTGTCTTAGAAGGACCTCCAATATGCATGCATAATATGTAAGCGCATACCGGCCAGATCTGACGATGAAGATCTCGACGAGATACAAGTAAACAATAGATTATGATGCACCTAGCCAGACAATCTCAAACTAGAGGCTAATGTGCGAATGTGCACAACTGGGATTAGCATTATTGGTGGATATTGTTAGACCCGTACATTGGATGATGTAAGGTGAGAGTGATTCGAGATTTAGTAGTGAATCACTTAAAATATGTACTCATTTCAAGACAAGAAATTGTCTCTCTCATGTCTAGGATAAATAAGGAGGGACGAATACTGGCACTGACTCAATTATTATAAGACTAGGCACCAGCTTTTTGTTTCTCTGACTTGATGTAGGAAGATTGAACTGTTGGCTTCAATAGGAATTATTTAACCGGGTCTATTGGCTCGTCATATGATACTGATACAAGTTTGACCTGGTGAAAACTCTAGAAACGCACAGATCCAAGTCTACAGTCCCAATAGGATGGAAATATCAGGCCTGTAAGAAGTTACAACATCTTGATTTGGTCTATGGACCGCGATCTTCTATCCAGTAGCAATCAAACATGCCCGACCAAAGCTGACAGCTCCTTGATATTTCTTCAAATCCAACCCCGACACTCATAGCCAGAAATAACCAGTATCTGGGCAAAAATTCCCTAACAGCCATTTTCAATCCATCGTAGAATGTGTCTCCACAAGAATGTCCCTCCACTAGATGTCCTCTCAAGGTCCACCCACGAGTCATACTCATTCAACACCAACATCAATATTCTGAATCTTCTCCTTAAGCCGCTCAATCCGCGCAGCCAGCTCACTCTCACCCGCACACTCTCCCCCCGCAATAATAGTAGCCGCAATAACAGACCTACCCAACCCACACGCCTCACCCAGCTCAGCCTTACCGGGGACGAAAACGCAAGCGATCTTCTTCATCTGGCAGAGCATAGGAAGATGCATGACGATTGCGATAGGGAAGGTATCAGCCGCTACGATCACAATCTGGGACAAGTTGCGCTCGACGGACTTGGTTGCTGGATTGTAATATTAATGTATTGTATTCGGTTAAAGGAGGGTGTAGGTAGTGGAGGGATGGCGTACTTTCGTTGACGCCTTTCTTGGCCTGCTGCGCTTGGATGGCTTGCTGGAGCACGTCGAGGATCTCCTCTGTGAGTGAGGGGTCCGCTGTGGGCGAGACTAGGGAATTACTCAATATGGTGAGCGAATATGGAGGGATGACTCACGGGTGGGAAGGGAAGCTGGATCCATGATCGTGGTGATGGATGGATGGATGGTGGCTGTCCTGTATGGGTTCACTGCGGGAAGGGCTCCTCTGAGTAGAGATTCACTGCCACCGGCGCTCGCCTGTAGAGGTTATCCTGGGGGTTGACTTCAGAGGATAGATGGAGAGATAGATGGGAACGTGTGTAAGGGTGTCAGCGAAAGTGAGAGCTGGACAGCATCAAACAACTTCCTTATGTAGGTATGGTCGGGCCGAGATGATTCCGGATTTGTCGAGTCAGGAAGCAGGCCGGACGTGTCTTTTGAGTGAATGAATTTGTTAAGGATGAAAGAAACCTGGACCGGTGTCTGGACTGTTGTCTTGTTATGCTGCATCCTGTATGGCTCCTGATGCATATCTCTCCGTTTAACTACTTCCCGGTATACATCATGCTTCGGGACGATCTCCCAGTAGGAGCACCGTCCATTAGGAAAACATTTATCAAACCTGCTATAGAACACATGGAGAAGTGATCTCTGGATGCCAGGGTAGAATTAATAGGCAAAGAAGACCCAGGTAGGCCATGCTCCCTCTTCTCAAACACCCGGGTTACTAAACTTAGACCTGTCTGACAAAAGAAAGCACTACAGGTTACACCATGTGCATGGTTTATGCAGGTACTATCATTGACGACTCGATACTCCAATGAGGGATGAAAAAAGAATGATTTAGTATTGACGATGTATCGCTTCAAGAGCTCGATATTCCTACCTAAGATTCTAGCAATAAGCAGCGAATTTGGATACCAAGTCAAGCGGCTCGGAGCACGTGTGTATTTGCATATATGCCCACATAGCCGGTCCCCATAGTCCGCCACCGAATTGCCGTGAATTATCTCCCTTGTTTCACTCCACCAATTCAGTGACAAGTGTTCATTGAAGATCGCAACACGTTCAGCTAGAGGCCTTCGAGCCGGAAGGAAGACTGTAAATCTTCTTGATATCGCGCAGGGTCGCCTCGAAATCGACATGAAGGTCCTTCAGCAGACCAACCTTCAGGTCAAAGACCCACCCGTGAACAATCGGATACTCATTCTCCTGATAACTCTGCTGAACAGCGGCCGTCTTGATGATATTCCGGCAGGACTCAATCACGTTCAGCTCCACCAGCCGGTTGAACCTCGCCGTGTCATCCGTGATCTGGTCGAGCTCCTGCTCGTGCAGACGGTACACGTCGCGGATGTTCCGGAGCCACGGGTTGAGGATGCCCAAGTCGGTGGGTGTCAGCGCGGCTTGAACCCCTCCGCAGTTGTAGTGGCCGCAGACGACGATGTGCTTGACGCGCAGGTGGCGCACGGCGTAGTTGATGACGGACATGACGTTGAGGTCGACCGTCGGGACGAGGTTGGCGATGTTGCGGTGGACGAAGACTTCGCCGGCGTCGAGGCCCATGATCTCGTTGGCGGGGACTCGGCTATCGCTGCAGCCGATGTATCTGCGTCTGTTAGTCTCGCGCCTCGACGGTTACCTGGGTTGAGCGTCTGGGAGTCAATACAGGTAATCAGGCTGCTGGCCCTCAGCGAGCTTGTCGAAGAAGGCCGGATCGGACTGCGTCTTCGTGGCGACCCATTTCCGGTTGTTCTCGAAGATCCGCTCGTGCGATTGCTGCAGGTACCGACGGACGGTCTGCTGGTCGGGGGACTGGGCCATGTCGTGGAAGGGGTTGGAACAGCAAGCTAGTCCGCGTTTTGAGATTCGAGGAGCAGGGACACCCTGGATGCGTCTAAGGAGAGTAGTACGGAGGTTGGGATGTTTGAAGAGGGGCAGCATTATGATAGCACCATCACTGGGCGGCTTCAGGCATCCCCCACCTGTCCGGTTGAGCACGCTGCAGTGATTTTAGCGTGGGATGTCCGGATCATGGGTAAATCCGGCCCGATATCGGCAAGTTTTATCATAGCCGCGGATAACGACAGATCATCAACTGTCTTGCCCTGTTGAACGGACGTGAGAAGACATCGAGAGAATAGCCATCATATCAGAGAGAATCCATTGGATATGGCTTCAAAATAAAAAGACGCTTCATGTGATGTTGGTTAGTGGTTAGTGTCTAGTCAGGTGACTGTTAGCTACAAACATGCCAAGAAACGAGGGCACCCGTCATCATATAACCGATGGAACACAGGTAAGCATCGAGAACCACGTGTAGGGAGCCAGAAGTCTGGCTGGGGAAAGTCTTTTCTTTTATAACTGTGACTGCTCGAAAGTGCTATGAGTAAGCTAAAACACTAGTTGGATTCCAGAGAGGAGTCAAGTCGGGATCTGGGTGGTAGCGGGGGCTGTTCCCAATACGTCTCCACATTTGCTCCCATACGCCGGCGTAAACAATTGAAATACGGTCATTTCAGACCCTTTGTATACGACGTTACCCCTGATATTTACTTTCTCCATTTCATCAGCTCTAGAACTCCTAATATAGAACAGACTTCTATGGACGGAATAGACAGTTCTACTCATGATTAGATACAGTGATGGTACACAGCAGCTAGAAACAAAACAAAGAAATCGGCAAGAAATCTATACCCAAATCACACTAACACCCTACCATGAACACCCACGTTAGTGACGCGATACCCTCTCCGGGAGGCACTGTCATAGACAACACCATGGACCTTCAAGCCGCGTTGGTCGATAGCGTCCACAACTTCCGGAATTTGGCCCACGGAGCGAATCTGCTCAACTACATTCCACTCGACCAGCCGGCGATCCTGCTCCTCCTCTGTTAAGCCTTGAAGGCTAGAGCTGTGCGCTGTTCGCAGGCCGTCAATTATGCTAAATATAGTTAGTAAGTACATCGCAAGACAGGATAAGACGTCAATGTCACCTTGTCCAGGGGTCTTTTAAACCGGGATTTTGTGCCGTCTTCACGATACCGCATCCGTAATGTCCGCAGATGACGATATGTGTGATCTAAAGATATTCAGCGCGTGTTCTTAAGGGTTTATAAGACCCAGAAAAGAATATTCGAGCATGCGTACACTGAGAGAACTGACTGCATAATGAACAGCTGTTGTGCAAGACAGATCATCTATCAATATGTTTCCTAGGTTCCTATGTTGGAATACATCATCCGGCGACACATCCAGCAGCGCAAGTTCTTCACAACTACTATCTGAGCAGCCGACCCAAAGGATTGGCTCCCTGGGTGGTGATAGCTTGGGTATGAAATCAGAATGCAGAGGCTCAAGACCGTATCGTCGGGAATGGTTGTCGTCCATGTCGCATGGAGGTCAACTTGTTCGGATAGATCCGGGAGGTAAGAATGTTGGAGTACCAGGTAACCTTGGAGAGTCGCAGCTTTCTGGCCGAAAACGGCGTCTTAAACTAGGAGAGGAAGAGCTCTCTCCTATAACGCGTAATTACGTCCCACTGCTTACTGAGACCAGAGAGGCATGACTCTGTTGCAGAGAATTACATAACTGGAATTTGAGCGTAGCAGAGCACGGCCCGATATACTGCTTCTTCATGAATACATGCGTTATTTCGACTATAGCGACAACACTGATACATCTCACCTGTATAGAATATTATTGATCCCCTCAAATTGAATAAATTACCGCAAGACAAGCAGATGGGTAGAAATTGAGCTGAATAGTACATTTTAGAGAATACAGCAGCAATGACCTGCGTCAATCCACTAGCTGGGTAAGCCGCATCCGACGTAAAGCATGACCCACTCTGAGAACCGGCCGAAAGTCGGAGCCGACACTAGACTACGCCTGGCGGTGCCAATTTCCAACCTCACTGGTTCTTCTCTCCACCTTTTCATCTAGACAACAGACGGTTGGCCTAGCGGTATTGCAGATTCACGCTTGTATTGCGTATACATTTACTGGTATGATATATGACTGCGTCATTGGTGTGGTCGTTGCCCTTGACAAGGATTGTATAAATGGTTTGGTCATGATAGATCTTTACCTTACTTCGCTGCACTGGCTTCTAGTTGAATAATCTTAGCTTTTAAAAATATAGGTTGATACAATGATCATAATGGGATTGCTAAGGTACCCTTCTCGCTAGGAGACATATAGCCCCGATGTATTCATTTAACTATTTTCTAAGTCCTTACTTTAGAATTTTTCCGACTAATTCTCCAATTCGTCTATCCAGCAGGCGACCGGTACAGCCGAGGAAGTTCAAATACCCCAAAACCGCTGTTGAATAGCAAATGAAAAACGGCACCCCACTCAGACAAGGTTAACCGCATCGCGACCCACAATATCGGGGAAGGCGAGCTCCACTCGTCGGATCCGACGCGGCCGAGAAAGCACCGGATATGGATATACAGCAGATATGTACATATGCATTGGTATATGTCTAATATTGTCTATTCACATGAGCTGTTTGCCACTAGGTTGGGTTGAAACACTACATCATTGATTAAGAAGCATTCGCAGTAGTCATGATGAGGGACTTACCATAAGCCATCGGAACTTGCCCCTTATCCCTCGGCCGGCTGATGATGTCGGACTGTTTGTGTGATGAAAGAGTTGTAGTGCGATTATTGCCTTCAATGGAGGATACGATGGGTGAACAATATGGAATGAATTGATATGCGCTAATCTGTGTTCTATCTCTATCGAATACCGGCCGAAAAGACTGAAACTGTAACTGAACTCGCTAGTTGTGGCGGATTATATGGGTATGAAGCGTAATAAGGGAGGCGTTTTCAAAAGTGCTCGAATGGCTGATTAGGGTCGCGAGTTTGCGGCAGTTGCTGGAGACCTTTCACTCGAGGGGAGCGGCATGTTGTTGATCTTTTGCAGAAGTTGACGGTGTTCTTTCTTTAGCTCTTCGAAGCTGTCGTCGAGTTGTTTGTGCCAGGGGTATAGGACGAAGACTTGAAAGCAGAGGGCGGATGAAGCTACCGCGAAATTGGTCAAGGAGACGCTGCGTGTGAAGATCATTTTGCTGGTCCTGTGATGGTATTAGCTAGGACATGACTATGTGTTTGCGGTTCTCTTACTCTGGGTAGAATGGATGATGAGAGGTGAATTAGAGAATTTTAATAGGATAGTTTGTAGTAGGAGAATTCAAACCAAAAACAGTGGGTGTATGATATATGTACATGTGAATTAGAAAGATAAGGCAAGTGACTAACTATTTATACCTACCATACATTCACTGCAGAGACCCACATATCAAGAAGGAGCTGACTAGTCTATGGCGACACCCCATGTGTCTTATAATAGTTAGCCGAAATTTAGTCCCTTCCGGTTTCCAGTTCTGTCTTGTGGATCCGACCCACGTTTTCGATTATATCATAAGGTACAACCATTCATCGAGTAGAAGGTTTCTGGCGGCTACCAATCTGATAGACATTGAAAGATGGAGTCATCATTTGCTGTCTGTTATAGAATTATTATGAGAACCAGTGGCTCCATACTATATTCCTTATCCATACACAGCAACGGCAATTGACTCCGTTCAAAGAGCTATTACGGGGATAAATCAATGACCGGAGTAGTTCTTGTCAAGCCTCAATGTATACCAGTTCGGTAACCAACTTGAAGCTTGTGCTGTTGAGAGCAGCAAATTATGACTCATTTGTACCGTTCATAAAGTTTGTATAATTAATAATACGCATAATCACTAGATCAAGTGAGAACTCGAATTAATTCCATTGAATTAGTTTGTGATCTTGAAGACAATCAACCCACAAGTAGGGGATGGACGAGGCGCGAATAGTTGCGAGAGCGTCACGGATAGTGAGGGATAGAGGCATATCGGAAGAAGCCGATGCCTGTGATTTTCATCTCAAATTACCGATCCACATATATCATTGATCATCTCCCCATCCGAGCCTTGTCCCATGTAGTTCCATTGACAATAATCCACTGTTGCTCCGGTGCAAGTGGACCATCGCCAGAAACACGAAGAAGGGCATGTGCTAGTACAGTGCCTGCAAGAAAGTCCGGTAAGGGGCTATCGAGAAGACATCATCTCCGATCTTGGTTTCTGCCGCTCGAGAATATCTAGTAAATTTGGAAGAAAGTTGTGTTGGCATGGTCGTATTTTCGAAGGGTTCGTCGGTGAACTCCACACCGTCGTCAAGCTTGATTATATGCGCAATCTCTGTATCAATCATGGATGTCGTCGATCTTGTTGCCCACGTGATTTGCATGATAGGCTTGTCATCGTGGATTTCACCAGCGGTAAATGTCATGAACTCGACTCCAGATTCGTCGTTGACGAGACCAGAAGGAGGGATGACAGAGCTAAGAATGGCTCCAAGTCGCATAGTTCCGTATTGGAAGTCGTAACATGGGCTACGGCTCGGCTCGGCTCGGCTGTCTCCATGCGGAGCGCACAAAGTGATCTAGGTCGACGCATTTCTTTCTCGAAGAGATGGGAACAGTTGCATCGAGCAACGGATCGAGGAAGCCCGTTACTATCGGTTTCGAAAAACTTTGAAGGTGCTTTGTGTTGGTGAAAGTTTAATAACAATTTGATGGGATACTGGCATATCGGCTGGGGCGTTTCTGTGACCCCGTTGGAGCTTATTTTGGGGCGAGTGTGGAGCCGTGGAAAAAGAGACACTGGGTAAGGGGCAGATGGAGAAGAGATGGAATGAAGGATAAGGACAGATGGGGAAAAGATTTTGTAGAGAGTGACTAAGTTCGTGGAGTAGGTGACAGCACTACGTAACTGAGACTTAGAAGGACAGGTTTAGGCAACTTGGAGGGCGTAAAGACTTTCAATATGCATTTCAAATGTTCAAGAATTCTACCCATAACACTATGACTGGAGAAAAAACTGTAGTGTGAATGGCTGATGTCGATGTACCCACTGTGGACAGGGACATTGCCTGGCTAACGATCCAAAATATAACTCCTATTGAGAATCATCGATGCAGTAATGCTGTAGAGAAATATCCACTAGACGCCTTCTTGGGAAAGAAAGTCTATCTCAGACCTACCGGATGGTTTGTTTCCACAGCCCTACGGCTCTGTAATCAACACATCCTGTTGGCGTATCGAAGGTTCCCCCGGCACCGTAGCTCTTGCCGTCCTTTTCCTTGCCTGCAAGCAACTTGTTAGCCTTCATCCAAAGGAAAGACGGATAGAGTGCTGGGCTCCAGATAAGAAAGTAAGCAAAGAAAGAGAGGGAACACGTACAGTTTCCGACAATCTTCATGAATTTCTCCACGCATTCCTCCTTGGACGGTTTGTATTCCTTGGGACCAAGACATCCACCCTGGCTATCACCCATATTGATAGAAAGGTTGATCTTGCTGTTGAGACTCGGCAATAAGGTCGTCAATTCCTTCACCTCCTTGCCGACCTTTCGACTGACGCCCTGGCCGCAAAAGTTCTCGGCGGCCTTTTTGTACTCGGATAGTTCTAATTGCACGTTGTCTGACAGGTCGGGACCGGCGTTCTCACACCACAAGTGATCATTGACTCGAATGGCGGACTCGTACTTGATGCCGTCGTGGACAATGCTGCCGCCCTTCTTCCATTCCTTTCCCTTGCGGCAGTCGTCAAGGGTCTTTTTCAAGTAGGTTTTGCATTTTCTGCGGGGCTGGCGGTTAGTCCAGATTGACTTTCGAACGCTCAGGTCGGGACTTACTCTTTATCAGGGAGCTTGGCGTCGCTCTTTTCCTTCTTGATGTTCAATTCTACCAAAGGGCCATAACTCTGTGCGTGAAGGAGGTACGGCCAATCGTCTTTCCTCTTGAGGCGACTCTCCACCTCCTCGCATAGATTGTAGATGTGATCCATGAACTCGCTGTTTTTAATGGCTCGGCGATCCTCCGAGTTGCATTTCACTTTGTCTTCTTCCTGGTCATCTGAATCCAGCTTACAGGTGCCCTCTTGGACCTCCAGCGCGATTTTCTCCAGGGATATGTCTGGGTTCTCGGTCCGCGCCTGCCGCTCCGCAACCATGAGGACGATAAGATTGGAGATGAAGGTGTTCAGAACGGGCGTAGGGTGAAAGACCTTCAATATTTCAACGGGTAGCCCCCTCTTATCAATGTCACTGAAGTTCCCTTCTTCGGGCTTATAATCGTCCAGATCATCGCTTGTCTTGATGCCTCGCTTCTTCCGCATCCCGAGCGCCCATTTCTTCAGGTCATCGATCGCAAATCGCATCTGGAACCACATTTGATTCCAGGCGTCGTCTTTGAAGTCAATCCACGGGCTCCGTTCTGTGACTCCCTCGTCGCAGAAACGCTGGAGCCAACCATCCGTGTACTTGTCGTAGTTCACAAACTTGCCTCCAGCCTCGTCAACCCAGCCAGTCAGCTTCTCGTTCAACGCGTTAACGATCTTATTGGTGCGCTCGCGCAGCTTCTGGTCTAGCCTGGTGCCCTTAAAATCGGGGACCAATGTCCAATCCACGTTGTTGCACTGCGTGGTGTCGGCGTTGAAGAATTTGCCATAGCCCGTGTAGTACATCTGGCCGTCGCGGGACAGGTGCTTCTTGCTTTCTTTTAAGAGGGCTTTGATGTTTTTTTCGAATTCTTTGCTTTCAAGCACCTTTTCGGCCTGCTTCAATGGCTTCTCGCAATCCTTCCAGAACATCGCACGATAAATGCAGGATTGGACGATTTCACTGAAGCCCAGGTCGTTGCCTGTTATATATTGTTAACTGGGAACTATCAAGCCAAGGGCATGGTGCAATTGAACATGCATGCATACCTCCTGCAGAAATGGTGATCAGATCATATTCGCCGTCTAGCTTCTTCGCCTGTTCGAGAATCTGCGGAGACTCGTCCCCCGAACAAGACAAATACGTAAATTCGTGGCCGTCGGAGCCTCCGAGTCGCCCGTCCTGATTGAGTAAACTCGGATAAGACTGATCGTAGCGGTAGCATTCTCCGGAACCAGCCTCAGAGCGCTGTTTTCCGGCGCCGATTCCCGCCGAGTACGAGTCACCGATGGCCGCGAGTCGCTTGATCTGGGGATAGTAGTCCTTGACCTCCAAGCGCGGAACAAGGGGGCTGGAATACGCCGCTGGTAGCAATGCCAGGAGCAAAGTAGAGAGAGTGGCGGACACAGAAGGCATGGCTGCGTTTGAATGGAGGGGGAAGAGTGGAATGGTCTGTCTTTCTACATATCTAGATGCACCTGGTTCCGTCGACTGGTCTTATACCCAAGACCGGTCTGCGCAGAGCGGCATCATTCCATGATACACCCCTTGTCAGTCTGCCTTGTAAACGGGGCTTTGAACTCAAAGTCTCAATTTCACCCGGTAAGGCCACCCGATAAGGCCACCCGGTACGGCCACCCATCTTGATGAGTCTAGTGTCTGGATTTCCCGATTGGGAATAGGTCTTGCCGGATTGTGCGCCAAGCCCGGGTGAGGGACGAGGCCAAGAGATCAGACAGTGGGGGCTGCTCATGGAGGATAGTCGTATAAATAGATTTTCGCTGCTAGGGCTGGCTCCTTGCGGGACTTGGCACCTGTCAACGTGGTTATTTCCCCTCTCTGAAGGACCTAATCGTCTCTTGGCCCGGGCTGTGCTGCAGCATCTGAGGTCTCGATGTTTGGCCTTCTTGGATATGAGGTTGATGTTGCATTGTGTTGATAGAGACACCAAGGAGGCTGTATATCAGCAAGGCAGATTTGAAGCACAAAAATAGATCTGGATGGCTTGTGTCAGAATGCATGGAGAGAAAAAAAAGCCGCATCGACTTCTATCGTCGGTGCTTTAAAAGACGCTGCGAAGCCTGCCCTTACACTGAGTCTAACAGCATCTCTCAATCCATTGCAATACTACACCCCAAGACCATCAAACGGTGCCAGTCCGACCATCCTGCGCCATGATGTTCCCCAAATTCCTCATTCTTCTTTTCTCCTTCCTTCTTTTTGGAAGCTCCCTAGCCCGGGTTGTGCCTGCTCAGAATCAGCACCAAGAGGAGTCAGGACGCGGCTTCATTCTCCCCCGCGATGACAAAGGTCCCGCTATCGAAGTCTTCCGGGACGAAAGCGTGCGGCCATCGGAAGAAGTTCGAAAGACGGCAAAGGCAATGGACACGTGGATGTGGAGCGCCTTGGCCAAATTCGACCACGAAGTCACCGACGAGCAAATGGTCCAAATCTCCGAGGACGCCTATGCATCAATGGTGGATAGGTGGGAGAAAGAGGATATCAAGGGTTATGGAAAACCAAAGGTCATGACAGCGTTACGTAAGGGAAATGAGGTCTATATTGCTTCGTCCGCCAAGGGAAAAAACTTCATTGTCTATCAGAAGCCTGATAAGAAGGAAAATGGCATACACGAACATGTGCCAAAGTCGCTCGCAGCTGCATTGACCGCCTGTTGGAATAACGCCGAGGGCGACAAGGAGCATCACACGAATGACGCCAACTGTGGCGAGATAATGACAGCCTGGGCCTACTTTGTTGAGAAGTCGGATGGAGATAACTCCGAGGACGTGAGTCTCAAAGGAGCGAAGACCGTCACCTGGGAGTTAGCATTACATAAGTACAAAAAAGATGGCCAAGATGTCGAAGAAAGAGTTGGCCAAATCAAGCCGCCCTGTGGCAATGACAATGACGGCAAATGGGGATGCCATAGCGTTGTTCAGGAGCTGGGCATTGAAGCCATTCCCCAGGAAACCAAGGGAAAGCCATACGACCCTCCAAAAGAGCTATATCAGCGAGAGCTATTTGGTGCGTGCAAGTTGAAGAAACAATCGAATTAGGAACGGACGACCAGGAAGAACACGTCAATAACCACGGAAGCTGCAGTCATAAGGTTTCTTTGTTTTCTTTTTGTTTTGCCGGAGTTGTACCTCAATTGCATGACCATCGCTATTCTTTTTGGCCATCTTCCTTATGATGTACTGTCAACAACGATGATTGTAATCAGTGACATCACCCCGATCAATATACCACAGAATAAAGTGAATGTACACGATAATTGTCAGAACTGTAGTGATCATGTGAAAGCCGCGCTGTGTGATCTAATGTATTATGAGCAGCAACCTGCAAATGTGTGATTGTCTCTTATATCATATGTCTCAAAAGAGCTATTAATATACAATCTTTCCTTCAGATCTTCCCTTCATATATAATGACCAACAGCTGGATCTGTTAACTCCCAACTGTAGCCGCCTGTCATGTTCATTGATTTTTATTTGATTTGAAACCTGGTTCTGAATAGATAGTCATTATCTTTGTCTGATTCTGAAGCCCCATCCTATGCAATTCGCATATAAGAAAGGTACCAGAGAGGAAAACCATTGGCAGCACTTTCTTGATTCTTGTTTAATCTTTTAGTTTTTCATGTCTTCTCAAGGGAAATACCCCTAGTTTATCATCATGGCTTTGGAAGCAAAATCGTGATATTCCGTAAGTATTCAATCAGAGCTGTCCAGGACCTTCACTTTTTTATTTCTTCCCGTACCTCCTTCTATAGGGGGCCTAGGGAACCTTAATACTGATATATATTGAAATTGTCATACATATACTCTTTTCTCTATAAAATTGGTACATACGACCATAGGGTGTGGAGAACAGGGCTTCCCGTCCGCTCAGCCGTACTCAAGCCATAACTATGAACGTGGCTAAAACATAATTGAGCCCTCAACAGCTCGCTGCTTTATGGGTGATGGCCGCTAAATCACCGGGTGAGTTTAGGTGAGTTGGGTGATGCTTTTCATAACTAGGATAAGCGGGGTGATTTGAGGGTGAGCTAGTGGGTGATTGTGTGAGTACAAAACCAAAGAGTTTCCTTATAGACATGAATAGGTCCAGGACCCCTTTTTAAAATGACCATAATCACTTTATTGAAAAAAAAGACATTGCTTGAGATATTTGGGGTAGACTTCATCAGAGCGCACGAAAGCTTAAGCCCAACCCAACAGTTCTAACTGTCCAATTTTCTCATAAATAGCAAAAGACAATGGCAAGTAGATATTAATCAAAATTACTTACAACCATACTTTTTGTGCTAACTGATGTATTAGTCTATTTATGGGACATCTTTATTTTAGTATATGATATAACCTCCCGCGCGACTGCATTGATCAAAGGTCTTCTAGGGGCCTTTAGAATAATCTATATACATGTGCTTAAGCTGGAATGTATGTCTTTTATCGAAATATTTTTCTGTCACTTATAAATGCTACTTAACAGTGGTTAATCAGAGGTCCTAGAATGGCACGGCATCCCACTTGTGCGACTGCAGATTGATTCGGATGTCCTATTCTATGACATGGGTCTTTTGCTCTGGACCCAATGGTGTAGGACTTGCTCATCATTCGTGATGAAAGACTTGATTTGTATGATTGGGTGATCAGATACTGCAGAAACACTCTCTGAAATCTTTTTTCCCCAGTTTAATTTTTGCTGTTTTCGCACTTGTGCTGATTAGCACAATATACTAGGTCTGGACTGTAGAGTCGATGAAAAGAATTCTCAATGAATCTCTGCTATCCATTCCCAGCATCCTGACGTCCGGTGGTGGTGGCTTGGTGGTGGCTTTGCCGGTAGTTATAGAGATGTTGTATTTGGCGAAAAACTACGGGAATCAAGTGGTGTTCGGAGGCCTCTTTTACGGGAGCTAAGACGTCTTACTATAGCGTGTCTATTAGCCTGATACCATCGACCAACCAAAAACAACAGTCCGGCCGAGGCTTGTCGAGGATACTGGGTCCAAGTGCGGATGTGCTGCTCAGTCCTCGGTGAAATTTTATTATACTTTGCCTGGGAAAGCCGGCTAAGTTGGGTGGAGTTTCAGGGAAGTAGCTTTAACTGGGAGTAGTTGATAAATATCGATCAGCAATAGATTAATTACCATTTGTGCGAAACTGTCCTCCAGTCAACAATGGACTGACTGAGAAGAAGGTCAAGCCCCGCATTTCTCAAACGCAGCAGATCGCAGGGAACTTCGGGGAACGTGGTAAACGTGCCTGACCCATAGACACTAATCCCATTGCGGGGTTAAATCAAGCCAGGTAGCCCTTGACCGGTGGTTTTGGATCACAAGACTGGGGATTGAACACTTGAATGATGGATCCAAAGTTGTAGGAATAAGGCTCCCGGGAGGTGGCTATTCGGTCCCAAGACCCAAGACCCTCCTTTATAGATTTTTATCATGCCGCTTTGTACGCCACTTGCGATTCTATCGGCAATCTTATTTTCTAACAATAAAAAAAATATGTGTATAATAACAAATTGGGTGGGAAATGGGGAATAAGTAGCCTCACAGTATTTCAATTGCGCCAAAGTATACGTGGGGATTGAATTACGCAAGATCAGGGGGAGATATTAGGAGGGCAAAAAGAAAGCAAAAAGAGAAAAACAGCTCTGGTGAATAATGTGAAATATCAACTGTTGCCTCACTGCAGCACAGAAGAATAAAACCTATGGAACGAGGCTCAAGGGGATCTGACATTTCCAGGTGCGTTAAGTTCAATCTAACATCCATAGGCAAGCACGTCATTCCCTTTCAGATGGGCAAGTGTCAAAAACCATAGCCACAAGACATGGAGATGACTTGTTCGTGAATGAATGTCAGTCCATCTGTGCTAAGGACGAGAATATCTACAGTGTGTCCCAAGGGCTGACGGGATATGCACTGTTTCTCACGACGCCCGACTCGGCGAGGCAAGCAAGGGGTTTAGATCACGCTGGATGACCAAAGGGCGAGGAAGTTCGAGGATTATTCACATCCTCAATAGATTTTGTACTAATAATTACTAGATAGACATGGCTAATGATTTTATGTCAAAACAGTCCAAACCACCTCAACGTCTCCTGCACCTGTGTCGGCACAACATGCCCCACCCCTTCAGCCAAATACGACTCAAACTGGGTTCCGTCACCGTAAATAGACCGCGTATACCCATCCGACGGATCATCCTTCCGTTTTTGAGTTAATTGAACCTCAAAAACAGTCGTCCACTGCTTAATCTCCTCCTGCAAGTTCTGGGGGTCAAGAACCTGGTCAGCAGTGCCATGCCAGATCTGCACAGGCGGATAACTCCCATTATACCCCGGCCACGCGCTTCTAACTTCAGTAGCCCACTCCACACCGCTCTTCCTAACCTCCCCTTTTGAGCAGGCCGGATCAGACGTAAATGGCGACGACCCGGGGCTCCCTCGTAAACACCCATAGGGGAGTCCGCTATACGCTGAAACAGCGGAAAAAACATCCGGATAAGCAGCCGCCAGAACCTGCGACATCATTGCTCCAGAGGAGGAACCTATTGCAAACACTTTTGACGGATCCGCGTTATACTTGGCAATTGCATATTTCACCATACTCACAATAGACAACGAGTCACTTCCCTTGTTATGCGTGAGTGATTTGTTCGTTGCGACGTCCCAGCAGTGAGAGTCTTTCTGGGTATCGGGGTATATGATGATGAAGCCATGTTTGTCGGATGCCGGGGGGAGGTCTTTAACTTCAAGGTAGTATGTTAGGGCGGGTTCGAGGCAGCCGTGGAGCTATCATATGTGCACTTAGTTTTGTCTACCCATCAAGTACCTAAATAGAGACGGAGGGGGAGGGGGTGTGGAAATTACAGCAACGATAACAGCTGGATTTGGTGCCAGCTGGTCAGGAACATATATCAACATTTGATTGTTTCCGGGGTTGTCACCGAAGTCTGGGACCGGGCGGAGGGTGGCGGCGAAGACCGTTGCTGTTATAAAGGCCGGATTGGCCAGGAGGAGAGTAGAGATCTTCATTATCAATTCAATCTATCAATTCTTTTGATCTATTGATCTATGTGAGTGTTTGGTGTAGAATAATGTAGGGTAGTTGTGCCGGTATATATAGTTTCAGCCTTGGTGTTTCAAGATCTGCGACAAATCCCGAACCGAGGAGGTATTCATGTACCGTTCATGATTTTCAGGAGTAATTGCATTGCTTAAATCAACACGGATGCTGTTGACCTCCACATTTGCCGTTATGTATCATTCCAACTGTGGTCATCGCCCGCTTCTTCAGGGTAGCATGGTGGCGTTGGCAGCGGTAATTGATAATGTATCCAGCGTGGGGTTCCGCAAAGTATATGACTCGCCGAGGGGTAATTCAAAAACCGCTAGAGTCTAATGAATTAGAGATGGTCATTGGAGAAGAGGAAGTCAAGCGAAAGTAAAGAATGCTGTGAGAAGTATACCAAGGCCATCACTATCCCCTTGTCATACTCTTCAGGTATTGAATTTTGCTGGTGGTGACAATAGAGCCTGTTGAGGTGAGGATCTGTTTCAGTCCAAAATCTGGGGTATTGATAAGAGTGGATACCTCGAAACCCAATCCCCACACTATCCAACGCCCAACCACGGAGATTCGAGTAATACGAAATACCACGCCAGTCGTCGGCGCACTAACTCCGATATTAGTCAGTCAGTTAGGCACTAACAGCAGCTAGACTGTACGGCTCTTGAGATAGTGTAGACCTAGCCCCATGTATTGTCGCCTTCGTCCTTCGGTGTTATTCGTCGCTCGGTCGTTCATTTTTACGCGAAACCTCGGTTAACGGTAATGGTAACATCACCGATATTGTCGTGATTGCAATTGAATCCTTTGAAGCCTAATTGAGGTAGATACCTACGCACAAGAGGGCGGATGGTTGGGATAGAGGCACATATCACGGCGAGATTAATCTCGACGAGGACCCAGAGCCAGAGTTGATACGCATCCCCTGTAAATGAAAAATGTAGTCAGTCTCGGGATTATCCCTTGTCAAAAATCAGTGGAAATTTACATGTTATGTCATAAGAGACATTGTATATTCGATTAGCATAGTATAAGCGAACTGCTGACGCAGCGCATGCCCTTGTCAAATTAAGTATAAGTCCAAAGCAGGGATGTAGAGGACGGATTCCATACACTATACCCAGACTCATTAGGCCAATAAACACTAGCCTTTCTCTGATTGGGAATTGAATTTTCCAGAGTATTGATACTGTGAGGATTAAGATGATTATATAAAAAATAAGGTTTGTTTTTGTGAAGGCGAGAGTGCGAGCTTGTTCGTCAGAACATTCCGCAATTGAGTAAGGTGAGGTGTCCCAATAGGCGCGAAGAGGTCTGCAAACCACAAGCATTGCAATAAGAAATGCTTAAAAATATGTCGGCTTGTTAATAGAGGTCATGCTCTGTAAGGGCTAGGACAGGAACATACATAGGCCCCAGCTAAGTATCAACGAAATAATCCCCCAGCTCAGGTACCTCAATGTGGGCACTGTCAAGAATCAGAGGTAAGAGATAAGAAGAGAAACTTTAACAAGCGCCATGATAATCACGAGGAGAAGTTGATTGAAATAGCTTGTCTGTTCAGAGCACAGAGTTCACACGCCCCTTAGTCTTTTGCCTTTCCTCGGACAAGTTATATAAAAAGAGAAGAGATTCGCATGTACCATTAATGAAGGTTTCAATCATTCTGGTTTACGGTCCCAGACATGATAACCTGGCCATGTGAGTTAGATAATCAACTATTTGAACTTTTTGTGTGCTTAATAAGAGTAGGGCCTTGTTACCCCATCCATATTTAGTTCCTAAATTTGGAGTCACGGTGGAGCGAATAATAAAGAGCTAGTGATAAGTAGATCAGCACATAAATGGCATATTATCACTGTACAAAAGAGAACAAGGACACAAAGAAAGAGAATAAAAGGCGCGAAGTATCCTACAACAGCAGCAATCATAATCCAGTCATCCCACCTGGCAGATCTCTTCATTTGCAGACAAACCCAGAGTCGTAGACCCACTAAGATGGAGCTGCAGACCAGAAGAGTAACACTAACAATAAGCAGCTGAGGGCCTTGGTAACTTGGATTCATATAGTTTGGCTTTGGCCATGAGGCGATCACCTCGGGGGGAGGTGTTCTCATTGTAAGGTGCCTAAAAAGGGCAGTAATAATTTCACCAGTTGCCTTCATATAGAAGGAAGAATTGCAATTATCCAAAAACACACTGTTAAAAGGCAAGCATTGGTTGTGTCAGGCGTGGAGAGGGTTGCCCTGAGAAATAAAAAATCCAGTGCGGTTCTGCGGCTTTTGTCGTTTGAGACCTGCATCCCGCGAATAGAAAGATGCGGGGAGGTACTCTATTTGACGCCATGTCCCTTGGCCGACGATGTCACTGGCATCTGCATCCAGTTCATCCTACAATACATCCATTTTTGGCCTTCAAAATGCTCTGTCACATCTTGGTTTTCATTTTGGGGTAGCCCTTATCCAAAGAGTTGCGGTGTCCGAAGCTCCACCTCGCTGGAATTATAGTCTATACAACGCGAATGCGATGATAATCTCCAGTCTCCCCGATTTGCCTCGGGGAGCTCTCCATATATGATATCAAATATGTTGCACCCTTATCCACCTTCCATGGTAGTTCTAATGCTTCTGTTGTTGTTATACCTGGGGCTGGATTCCCAGTCTGCGCATTTAGGGCGATTTCAACTGCCCCTTTCCGGCAATAAACCTCATGTTCATACCCCAACCGCGCAACGACCATGGCCTCAAAGAAATATCTTGTAGCGAACAAGGGCACAAGAAAGAGATTTCCGGATTGAGCCAGCTTTTTCAGTGACCCGTCCTCTGCCACAGAAGGATCTTCATTCAAATCAATAAAATTCCCAAGTAGATCGTCAATTTCGTCCTTGCGGCAATTTTCAAGATCTGCACCGTCGTTCATAAACGTTATGTCAAACTTATTCATCATGATACCATCAATGTCACCGTCAACCGACCAGATGAGGCTGAACTGTAAAAGAAAGCACTCTATGTCAATATAGCATCTACCTTCTGACGCCTTATCATGTCTGGAAAACATCTTCATCCCATTCCCTAGTGAGTCATCTGAGACATTCACTATGACAGCAAAGGGGGAAGGAGGCCCGGAGGTAGGCATACTCGCAGGGAAGGCTACCTCTCCATCGAAGGATGCCCATGACCAACTAGGGGCATAGAATTTGGGGCTCTGGAGAGCTGTAGGCAGCCGAGCCTCATTATAGATCCGCTGCCAGGCGAGATCATATACCAAGGAGCTGGTCCACATTCCAGCGATGTATTGGTCCGAAGTCCGTTGAGTCAAGATTTCACTCTTGGCTACACCGAAAAAGGCAATCAGTTTGTCCTTTGCGTATGTCATCTGACATTTGGAATATTCTTCGATCAAACGGCATCTCCACTCGAAAATTTTGATCTCATTTGGGGAAGGCAAGGTCATGGTGGTAGCAGCACCTAGGTTAGGGTTACTGCTCTGGATTGAGATCGAACATGACAATTCTCGTAGGCCTCTCAACATTGCGGATTTACAATTTGAGCCTGCCATAAGCGGAAAGGGAACCCCGTCGGGGAGAATTTCTAAGGCTTCTGCTTCGCAGCACTCCCACCCTACCTGAGATGACCCGAAATGAAGCACTCGACAAGCCAGAAACCTTTCTTGGAAGACCCATGCCCGCTTATGTAGAGGAGCATCTGTTATTTCTTTATTCCAGAGATCACAGTCGACCACATAAACATCCTGCGACCTGCCGTTCACATTGACCTTGATCTGCGGCGGGCAGGTAGCGGCCCAGCTCCTAGATCGATAGAAGAGCGACTCGGTTCCATCAGATGCAAATGTAGCTGATACATTCAGAAAAGAATGGGCATAAACTCTGTGCATGGTGAGAGCCTCGTTTTCCCAGTCAGACAGATCATCTTCGTCTTGCAGGATACACATAGAGTCAATCCATATATATTTGATGCGCAAGTTACATGCAAGCTCCATTGTTTCTTGAAAGCTCTGAGGGAGTCGTTGAGTATCTATTGCACGCTGAAATTGTGCAAGCGTTGACGACTTGAGCATGGGATATTGGCCCGGATGGGCAGGCCAACGATGGCTGAGTGTCATATACCGTCCCTTTAATGATTTGCCTCCGGTAATTATCAGCTTTGCCTTTATACCACTGTCGCCCCTCACTATTTGGATCAAACGTGTTGGGAACCATAATGCTGAGTGTGTCTGTTTACATCTCAGGTGAGTCTTGCTGCACTGGTCTATCCATGACTTGATAAGACCTAGAGTCCCAGGGATCGGGTCTGGCTCTGGTAGTTCAGTGAAGAGAGATGAGGATAGATCTGTATTAATCAGTCGTTATCAAATATTAGCGATATAAAATTTTCGGGCATAAATATAATCATAAGGCTAAATACCTTGACGAAACACAAAACCCAGTAATACCTGGTATGTATCTTGAGTACCCTCCGGCGCGACACTGACCTCACATGGTAGTAAGGGCTGGCCCTGGTGATGAATTTCAGAGAAACCAAATTGTGCAGACATAGAGAATTCGACATTAATCGGTGATCCACGCCATTTTTTGAGTAATTGTTGGTGGTAAAGCCCCATCCAGGAGACAAGTCCGTGACAAATCCAGCAGCCCGATCGAAGTGTTCTTGGATATGGAGGAATTTTAGACTTCACTGTTTGGAGCCATAAATTACTATGAAGACTTTGCACGGCAGAGATGCACGGCTCGCAGATTTTCATCTTAGAATGACACAAAAAATGATTGCGAATTTTGAGTGGGGGAGTGGTAGAGTGGTCATCTGTCCAATGCTTGTGGTCTGAGCTAGTTACAGAGACGTTGCTTAGGTAACCGACACACATGAATCGCAAGTTTGCATGACTATCTGCTGGTCTTAAGCAACCGTTCAGTTTATATTTCACAGATAATAAACTATATTTCCTAATACAAGCCGGAAGTTCCAACCCGCTCACCATGTCTGATATCTGTATAGTAGCCAATAAATCGTTGATAGTTATAGTAATCCTAGTAAAATCGGTAGTAGTAACTTATCTAAGCTCTGGAGTATCTTTTCAATAGTCTACAGCAACTGCATCAGAAAAGTAAAACGCAATCGAGAGAGGAAAAAAACTGGTGATTTGAAAACAGCATAGAATATACCGTAGATCTGAGAGTGGAGTCTGAATAAGTATATTATAAACTATTGTTGAAAGCTGAGAGAGATGGAGAGAGCAACTTCATGTATACTGCGCTTCTGCTACTAAATCAATTTTCTCTAAATGGCTACTTGAAGAATTACTATTCAATAATATGGGCCTAGGAAGATATTTTATAGAGCTATATCCAGGTCTAGAACAATTAATAGTAAATTACGAATCTTCTATAGTAGTAAAAAGGGCATTTATTTCTTATCCTTTAGTATCTACATATAACTCGGTCAAGCGATTAATTAACACTCCCATTATATAGTATTCTGTTTTAATGCATTTTCATATGTCTTATCGGATGAAACTTTTTGTGGTTACACTATATAAAGCTACTGAGGTAATACTGGTAACTTAGATTCAGTCAATCGAAAGAAGGGCACTTATGTATATATGGTATGCCGAAGTGCCATTATATATCTGCTAGTAGGATTTTATAATCTTTATCTCTGGGGTCGGGCATACCCTTAGTATTAGGTAGCTCCTGCTCCTATGAATGTATACCCCAGAGAAATAGTTATATATCTGTATCATCTATTACCTAGTGGCCGCACCGTTCGGATCCCCGAATCCGCTGCGGATTCTGACCCCCTGCCACCGAACCCGAATCGTTGCGGATTCGGTGCGGTTCGATTCGGGTTTTGCGGATCGGTGATGACACTCTAGTCCATTAGCTGTGTTTGGTACTATACAATAACACATTAGTTAGCGACATAAAAGGACGTAGTTAATTATCTTTCTTCTTCTTATTCCGGGCCGGTCCTAATAGAATCGAGCCAAAATATAATACCTACTAACCACGTGAAACACCTAGGGAAAGCTTTAGTACGTAGTGCCCAAATATTACGAAGCCGGCGAGCCCATGATTCATGCAATGATAAGAGATCAAAACTAGTTAAAATATATCTATTTACTTTATCCTACTTAGCTCCTATAATATTCATCTTAGAGCTTATTATTATTAAGGTCCAGGCCCTATCATAGACTGGAAAATAGTTCACGATAGTTATGCTAGATCTATTGAAGATAGCTAGCTGTCCAAGGCGTTCTGTTCGGAACAGTCACATCCAAGCAGAAGTCGTTCCTTCATTCACACACATATCGAGGCTCTGTGTAGGTGCCAAGGAGACGAGCGTTTCAAACGATGGTAGATCAACCAATGGCCTACGGTTGGCTTCAGCTGGGGAGGCCAGAGCGCGACTTCTGCATGATAGAGGGTGCTTTTCATCCGCTCTCACCTCATTCCCACGCTGTCTATTGCGCATTCACCCTAATCACCCGAGTCGCGCGACGCTAAAGCGGCGCTCGCCCTATTTTCACCCGGGTGGCACCGCACTTCTTACTGTGTTTTAGCCACACGCCGGCCGGTTAGTAGTATGGTGGGTGACCACATGCGAATCCCGGCTGTTGTATGTTTTTGTTTTTTTTTTTTGGTTCCTGTAAGGACTATATATAATATAACATTGATTGGTTTTAGCTTTCACGTAAAAAAAGTGGTGTGACTGGAAAATGCCCGTTTGACCAGCACTCCGGGATTACCGCCCGTTGCCCTCTACATAGCTCCGGGGGCCCTAATAATTCTTAACAACTCCATGTCTGTTGGGAAAGACTCCATTGTCACTGATATCAGTTACTATTACATCAACCAAGGTCTGCGCGGTGAACTCGAACAATCTGAGTGAGAACTATCAAGACTCTGTCATTGGTTTCGTCCCTGCTAGGAGATGTGGCATTGATTGTCACCATCTGGTCGCGTGTTGAGAGATTGAATTCAAGAACGAGTATTGGTCTCGTCGGTAGCCTCTTCTCAAACGTCTGAGCAATATTGACTGCATTTAGCTTTTGCCACGATATTTCCTGGTACTGGATTGTTTATCTTTGCGATGTGTAATGGCTGCGCTTTAGTTAAGAGCATTCTATCATTGGAACCGACGATTATATACTAACTGAGATTGATTAGATTTGTATCAAGTCGGCTAGGATCGAGAGGGCTGTTGGGTCGACGTTTTCTAGATATAAAATTAGATATGTTAGTGTATCAAACTTTATATTGTGAAAGTAGTAACAGTATACTCGCAATGACTGTAACCGATCCAACAAGTGAGCTGAGCACATATATTCTCATCATTTCATCGTTTATTTCTTTTCTCTTTGCCATTCTGTATGTACAATGATACTCGCGGGGCTGAATATTCTATAGCCTAGGCTCGCAGAGTATCTTGATACAAGAGCCCACAAGCCCAGTCATATGCTAATCAAAGATAGACAGTGTCACTATTACGCTCTGTACTACTAGTCTATCAAGATAATGTAATACCCTTGGGTCTGAGGATGATCTCTGAGATAATAAAAAAACGCTGACCCCCTCGGATCGGGCCGGGCTGTGATCCGGTCATTGACTCGGCCCGAGCCGAACCGGCGCATTCTGATTCATAAACCATGGCCCAGGTATATTCGCATCGTGGGAAGCATCTTATGTCTTTTCAAGATATCAGACTGTACCTTCTTTTGTCCTTCCTTTCTCCTACTTTGCAATACTTCACTGTAAGTAGAGTGTGCTACATACGTTCAACACGCACGGTGCATTTGAAATGAGATTAGGGAGGTCACATATGCAGAACATTGCAGTATAAGCAGTAGTGTTATATCCCTACTGCATAAACACGTAGCATGTCATATGTGGATTCTCATATGCAAAATATGATTGAACCACTATCCAGCCGAGGGCTTACTATACTTCTCAATAGCAATTGATTAAACATACTAACGAACCACAGACTGATGTAAATTGCCTTGTAGACATTATGACGGGCTATTCAATTCAAGATCCACCACACGGGATATTCCTACTTCAACATGAAGAGTCATACCAGCACATACAAAAACTTACTATCCTGCTAGAGATAAAGCATATGAAATTGAAACAGACGTCAGCAACAAATGAGAAACCAAAAAAGGCCTAAGCCACCTCTATACTGAGCGTATTGCACCTCCAGTATTGTCATCCGGGATGCGTGATGTCGGTGCGGGTTGGTTGGGCCTGGGTTGCAACAACGCAACAATGATCGGCGTGTTCTTGCCCGCTCCTTACCGGCCGCACCTACATGAACTGCGAGGCTGGGTCCACAGCGGAACGCACTCCCCGCGAACAAAAGGCACAGCTGAACATGCATCTGGGGGCTTGAGCAAGTGCGTTAGCAACCCATGACCAGCGGATTGGCTTACCTATTCCCATATGTAGCCGAGAGCTCATGGGCGTTGCTCACAGGCTGGTGTCTGGCATACAGTAGCTCGGGCATCGATCGTTAATGTTAGCTCTCTTCGATGTCCAATCAATATCGGGAAAACCCCGCATTCTCCCCACCATTCCACCACCTTTCCCACTGTTATGTCTCGACCTACCATATTAGAAAGGGCTAGGCCTTGGGGCAGCTAGCCACTATCAAACAATCACAGACCCACAGTGGTCTGAGACTCATTGCCGTGATATAGTGGGGCTGGAGCGGCCCGCTCCTGCAAGTATAATAGGTTTGAAGAAAGGAAGTGGGGCGGCTTAGCTGAAAGAGGAAACGATCGCGTATTTGATCAGCTAGCTAGCTTAAGCACTATGTCAAAGGTGATAGTTTGTGACCATATAGCATTGTGAAAGTTAGGGGTTATAACTTAGTATTTTCTATAGTTCTCGGAGTAATGATTTCGAGCCACATATAAGAACCTTAGCTTGAGAATTGAGCATGAGAACTGGCTAGTTGATTATATTATCAAAAGTCATGATCAACCAAGTTAGCCAAAGCATCTCGTAATATGTATCTTGTAACCAATTTGGCGAAAGCCTACGTTAGCGTCAACGTCGAATATGCAAGCATATCGAGCAGTTGCGTAAATTGAGCCCAACGGAACATGAAGTCATACTGTTGCATATCTGCCACGTACTCTCAGCGCGAAGGAATCAAGATCAGCCATGATAATATACCAGACAGGCAAATGGCCAAGAAGTTGCCCATCTACTAAGGCATAATCATCCGGAAAGACAAAGAAAGGACCAAGGATGTTGGGACTAAAGCGCCTGGAAAAGCAATCACTATGCGCCCTATCAGTGGAGTGATGTCACTGACGTGTGTATTACAGCCCATGATCTAATCAATTTAGATTAATTCCACCTGGATATCATGGTTTTTCGACTTTTTTCTCCAATATAACAACCTACACGCCGCGATACTGAGAACTGGTGGATGAGAATCTGAAGATGATGGGGCAAATAACTAGAAGGAATCGCGACCGCCTAACGGTTACATCATTATATCCTAAGTGTTATATTTTACCTTATATAGCTCTAAAATTCATAAATAGCTGACAGATGTACATGACAGGAGTGTAGTGCTAAAGGCTTCAAAATACCCGTCTCACTGGCTCAGTCTGTCTACAACCACACCGGGGCTGCATTGCATAGACAACACTTTTTAATGGCAGCCTGATGAATCAATTCTGGGCGATCGTGTCTCGGACCCAGCGGATCTGACAATCAATGCTCTGTAGGAGAAAATGTCCAAATACCTTGTCGCCAACTATCGAATCAGTCTGTCATGCCAGGAAAGGACGCAATATGCCAGCACAGCTTACCTTTGGGCAGCACTGCTTAATGTCGCCCTTCTACATGTAGTCAGTGAAATGAATGGACAAAGCCATTTCTGATGGTGTGAGAAGTGCAGCTAGTGGAGGGTGAGCATCAAAACTGAGGTGTATTTTCATCTAGACTTAGAAACACCTGATCAAGATGAAAAGATGTCTCGCCTGAATCTATATAAAGCAAGTCCGTCGCCGCCACTTCGCATCATCAATCAACCAGTTCAACCACTGGACTTCCCAAATCCATTCTTGCTCAAAGCCAACCCCAAACTGCCAAAATGACATTTATCGTCGAAGGTATTCCTACCCGGGATAGCAAGGGCAACCCTTACATCCGGCAAGACATCGACAAGTGGTATGCGGATCAGGTCGAAGCCAAAAAAGGCGACCGAATCCAGCTCACCCTCTTTGTGGAAGCACTGGCTCTGATGCAGAAGCGCCCTCTGGATAATCAGCTGTCTTACTTTCGTCTGGCTGCCATACATTCTGCCCCATGGTGCAAATGGGACGATGTCCCGCAACCGCCAGTTCTTGATCCGAAGGGAATTGCGGGCTATTGTGTCCACAATAACTACACGTTTCCCACATGGCATCGGGTGTACATGCTTCTCTACGAGGTGGGTAAACCTCGTTCGACGGTCTCGGAAAACGTTCAACAGAAAGATGGTTGACCAATATACACAGCGCGCTCTGTACGAAGCCATGGATGACTGGATCAAAGGAAATGTCCCAAAGAAACTTCAACCAGATTGGAAGGGAAAAGCTGATAAGTGGCGCCTTCCATACTGGGACTTTGCTCGATTTGCGGATCGAGATGAATCGACTAATGGTGCCTTTGTGAACGACATCGATCACGACAGGATCAGATTGCCCATTCTCTGTATGTTGCCAAATGTGCGGATTAACGTTTTCGGCACAGACGGGAAGCTATCCATTGAGTCTCGACCAAACCCTCTCTACAAATACGTGACTCCCAAATTGATGGGCGAGTTTCCTGCACCATATACGATTCCTAAGGAGACAAGTCCTAAGCAAGCAGACGATCATGATTCAGTCGAGTTTAAGTTCCCGGTAAGTCCCCTGCCATCCATATTCAATTATAAAAAAATGACTAAGATATGTCCAGTGGGATATGTGTAATGCCACTACCAAGTACGGGCTTCTTGATGGGTTCAATGAAGAAATTTGGGCCGACGGAGGCCAGAATTGGTTCCGAGCCAACTACGCCTTAAATGAACATCCATACTACAAGTCTCCAGACCCCGGCGAGACGACCGTTCCTACGCTACAGGAACTGGTCCACAGGTTATTCCAGTCTGGCCTAGACAGCTGGGGCGAATTTTCCTCCACCCGCTACACCGATAAAGAGGTCGGCCCATACCCACCGAAGGGTGTTGACCCCAAGTCGGCGATCAATGCGAAGAACGCAATGAACCTTGAATTTATCCATAACAATGTCCACGTGAGTAGCCCAAGTATGTCTATTTTGTGCAAGAAACAGTTCTGATCTGACATCCCCAGAACTTTGTTGGAGGCTCCCAATTTCTTCGCCCGCCCAAGGAAGGAATCAACCTTTGGGGCGCCGGCCATATGAGCAGTGTAAATATGGCGGCTTTTGACCCCATCTTTTATATTTTTCACAAGTATGCCTTGAGAGACAAGCTGCTAGATGGTGCTGACATTGTCCTAGCAATATCGACCGTTTGACCGCCATCTGGCAGGCGTTGAATCCGAAAAAGTGGTTTGACGATGATTATAGCAAGCTGACCGTAAACAACGACCTACTGCCATTCCACAAGGATGCGGCGGGCAACTTTTGGAAGTCGGATGATGTGCAAGATTGGCGAACGCTCGGCTATGACTTTGAAATTCTCCAGGGACGAACCAGTGATGATCGGGACGAAATCCTGGAAGATATTGACAAACTCTACGGACTACCGACGAGAGACCTCTTTGACAAACTTCCCGATGTCAATGGTCACCAAGACGATTATGTTATTACTGTTGTCTATGACAAGTACGTCCTATATTTCTCTCGACGTTGTTTCATCGCTGACAAAAAAGGTACGCCTTGAATGGTGCCGCGTACAAGATCAATCTCTTTTTGGACGGCCAGCATGACTTCAAAGGACCCGAGTCGGAGGGCTTTGTTGCCAGTGTTTACAACTTCAGTGCTGATCTAGACTCCGGTCCCTGCGGCAATTGCCATCGCCAGAAAGAAGAGAATGTGAGATGTATTGCACAGGTTCCCGTTACCGCGCCGATGCGCCGACATCTGGGGAAAAACAAGAGCCACAATATCGAAATAGATGCACCGCAGCCGGTGTATATGGCCTGGAACAGCTGGGGAAGGGTCAGTATATCCAACCTTCTTTTGTGGATCTACTATTCTGACTCACGGGACTTCATAAAGCCTGTGCGACTGCCTATCCACGTGGCCCTTCACCGATCTTCGAGACTCTATTACAAATATCCCAATGCACCCAATCCGCAGGATCCTTTGAGGTATAAGTTCATCAAGCTTGGAAAACAAGCCCCTGAGTCTTCTTTTGCTTTTGCTGCGACATCCTCCAGATGAGTTTCTACAAGGTATCTATGCTTGGTTACATCTTAGCGACTGCAACGAAATACTGCACGGCATTTGGGTCGGGCTTGGTATGACTGATATCCCAACATTACATCTGCAGCCGGCCCTTGATAGAGACATTTTCTTCCAGCGCCATGATTAGGATAGTAGCAATGATACATCAGACATGAGTATAGTCGATGGAATTAGCATGAGTAGAAAGATCGTAAAATTGTAAGACCATGAAAGACTAAATGAATACATACATTGGCTTCTGATATATAATCTTAGCCCCTGAGCTAAAAAGCCGAACGGTACTTTGGTAGAGCTTGATCTGAGTGATATCCCCAGCATATACTCTTTATATATTTGTATGATACAGTGATACTACAGGTATAGTGCCTGAGGAAATAGTTAATATTAGTAAAGCTATTTTAGAGAAGATACACTCTCATGAATATTCCTGTAAATGATGTTGCTCTTAAATTCTAGCCGCTATATTGTTAGAGCAGCAACTGTGTGAACACTGCTTACTGCACGACCTACTGATCTTAACCCTAACCTAGCCGGGTCTGGACTCGGGGCGGATCCCACAGCCAGCCCCACAGCCAGCCCCCCAACCCCGGACGGATTGGGTGCTGCGGGCCGAGAATCCGCCCAATCCAACCGGATGCAACCCCAATTCAAGATAGACTATAGTTTCGCTTCTAAGATTAGCACTAAGAAAGGTACTTTCACCAATTAACTCATTTTTATCTTAAATGTGATTAGATATAGAAATCCGACCTAGCTATAACTGGCCAGATAGGTGTACCCTGCTTTTGAACCTAACCTCTCCTGTGCAATTCTAGTCCTGTCCAGAGATAGTCCTGTATCATGTGAAACTGTCACGTGGATTATGATACAGGCATAGTCGCGTCCGCTCATGCAGACAAACCACAATGGTTGTCCTGATAATATACATGGTCAATAGCTCATCGCATTCATTGTCCACAACTTTTGTGACCAAACAACCCCCAGAACAGCATGATGGAAAGTGCACCGGAGTCTGCGCGTCCTGATGGGGTGACCGCAGACGTAACTGACATCGAGGACAACGAAGAGCAGCCGGAAACAGGCTACATGCACGGATGGGCTCTCGCTTCCCTGACCGTGGCTTTCATGTCCATTTGCTTTGTGCTAGCCATTGACAATACCATTCTGGGTTCGTGTCCCGTAATCTAGCGGAGGGAGCATCAGCCCTAATTGTCATACCAAGCGACGGCGATACCCCAGATCACCAGCGACTTCCAAAGCCTCAACGACATTGGCTGGTATGGGTCTTCCTACTTGATTGCGCAGATGGCTCTGCTACCGACCTGTGGCCGCTTATATGCGTTCTACAACATCAAGTGGGTGTACTGCATCTCGCTCGCCGTCTTTGAGATTGGCTCTGTCATCTCGGCAGTCGCTCCGAATTCCATGACTCTAATCATAGGGCGAGCGGTGTCTGGCCTTGGCGCAGCTGGTTTGGTGAGCGGGACGACGACTATTTTGTCGTATTGCGTGTCGTTGAAAAAGCAGGCCATGCTATCGCCTATAGTCCTGGGCATGTACAACATTGGATCGGCCATTGGTCCACTCGTGGGTGGTGCGATAACGGATAGCAAGGTGCTGACCTGGCGCTTTGTTTTCTGGATTAATCTTCGTAAGTCTGTGGATGAAAACAGCCCTCATCCTCCTCATATAATCGCAGCTAAAGTATTCAGCCTTCGGAGCTGTTGGGTTGGTTCTGGTTTGGTTCACCTTGAGAAAACCTCCTCCCGCAGTAAAGGGTAATTTACCATGGAGCCTGAAGCTACGCCAACTTGATCTTCCAGGGGCCGCCCTCCTACTCGGCGCAACGTCGTGTCTGAACTTGGCATTGCAGTGGGGTGGCATCGTCCACCCATGGTCTAATCCCAAGGTGTTCGGGTGTCTTATCGGATTTGGTCTACTTTTGGTTACGTTCTTGGGCCTGCAAGTCCGAGGCAATGAAAAGTTGGTCCCTTCTCTTGCAATCTACTCTCCACATGCATACATACAGCTTGGTTATTTTACTCTTGCTAACATATCTAAGCTCAAATATCCCTCTTCACATATTCCGCAGTCGTACCGTATCGGCATCATGCGCATTCATGATGCTCGTTCAGATTGCGATAGTTCTGCAATCATACTTTTGGCCCATATACTTCCAATCGGTCAAGAACACTAGTGCCCGAGACTCGGGAATCAATCTACTCCCATTGATCGTGTCAAACAGCCTGGGCACTCTCTGCGCAGGCTCTATAGCGTCGAAATTCGGGCACTATGTACCGTTCATGTGGGTTGGGCCTGTCGTCCTAGCTACCGGAGGCGGTCTTTATCAACTGGTCCGTGCCAACAGTCCGCGCGGACATTGGATAGGGTTCCAAATCCTGTCCGGAATTGGCTACGGCAGCTGTAGCCAGATGCCGATCCTGGCTGTGCAGGTCGTCCTCAACAAGCCGGATATACCAACGGGTCTTGTTATGATCATGTTTTTCCAGATGCTTGGGGGCGCGTTGGCCCCTAGCGTTGGGCAGAATCTCTTCACTGATGGGCTTTTGAGGAACCTCAGGACGGTGCAGGGAGTAGATGGCGCAGCCGTAGTGGCGGCCGGTGCGGGTGGTTTTAGGGACGTGGTTTCTCCAAAGCTGATAAATGCCGTTGTGAATGCATTCAACTCCGCTTTGAGGAATGTGTTCTGGGTCGCGCTTGCTACGCCCGCCCTTGCTTGGATAACAAGCTGGGCAATGGAATGGCGGCAATTGCCTGATTCTAAGAAGCAGGATACCCAAACGCCAGCCGAGGAGGTCATCGAGAAATAGTTACGGGCCTATTCACGGTGTACACATAGTGATGTGAGTAGATATTTATTTTCAGTTGGCGTGATCAGAAGGAGTAACGATATAACAGCCACCACACCGGAATGCCGATTTGATATTTGGTCAGGCTTGATATGACGGATATCTCAACACAATACAGAAAGAGATCTAGGTGCCAATCTATAGATTTTGTTAACAGCACTGGCAAGGAAATACTACAAACATAAAATCTTCGACGGACATCTGTATATTCACATAACACTCGCTAGACATCGACACCTGTTTCTCGGAACCCAATAACATCATTCATACTAGCGATATATTGAGTATTCTAATTCTTGATATCCTTTGTGTCCGCCGTCCTAGTCAACCATTCATCATTATTCATAGTCAAGTAGACATATATGTCTATGAACGGGCCGATATATTCCATGAGCAGAAACGCCCACACCTGACGTCCACAATAGGGGTGCCGTTCAAGGAATGCTCGGCACGTTGGAAACCATCCTTTCCATCCAAAAGCTAACCAAGCTATGTATGCGTAGCTGTTGATGAAGAATAAGATGGGGTACTGAATGTAAACATGCAAGCAGCACGGGGATGGAGTACTCACGCAATCAACGGCGCTGTGTACCACGTTTGTAACCAAGCCCAAACATATGCAAAGGCCCAGATTGGACGGAAAAGACGCTCAACCATTTTGGACGTCGTGTATGGGTGTCTCCTAAGTAGAGAGTTAACGAAATAAATCAGACAACCACTTCACAAAGCCAGCAAGCAAGACGGGAGCGACCTACTGCATCATTTTTCTATAGCCAGGGAATACAAACATATACCCCAGAAAAGTGCGAACATTTCCCCGCTCCCAACGAAGCAACTGCCACACAAGTCTGTGGTCCCGAGGAATGTTGGTGGTCACTTCAGCTTCGGGGGTATTCTGGATCGACACCTTCCATCCGCGGTCGAATATCATCCCAGTCAGAACAACATCGTCGGCGGTGTTTACGATCCTGCGGCCAATCGTTTCCTGTGTGTACGCATCGGCGAAGCCCTTGTCTTGGAGGATAGAAGCGCGGATGAAGAGCGTTCGTGCCGACAGGCACCAGCAGCCTCCGTCCGCGGCGAAGTGCACCTCCCGAGAGCCTTTCCACTGACACAAGTCGAACGTCGCCGTTGCTTCCCAGGGTGTGATGACTTGTGCATCTTGGCGATCGGATGGGACCTCAGCGCTGATAGAAACTCCAGTCAGTCATGTGTTGTACACAAGGTGGGGGTTAAGGACAGGGGCCTTACCTCTGTATACCCGCCACCGCCCCGACCTCGGCATCCTCAAACGGGGCCAACAGGTAGGGCATGACGGTCTCGACGCGCCAGTAAACATCGTCGTCCACCAAGGCAAAGATCTTACCCATGGCTGCCTTGACACCGACTATCAGCTGGTGACGTTTATTGGCCAGCGGCGAAATCACGATGACAATTTTGTCAGCATGCTGTCGGAGTGGCTCGATCAGCTCCTCGACACGCGCCTTGTTCCGCTCAACGGTTGCGATGACGATCTCCCGAGGATTGGCCTTGAGCCAGAGGCGCATGCACTCGGTGAAGGTTGACTCGGTGTCGATTGTCGGGACGATGATGCTCACGTCGTTGTGGGTGTAGTTTTGCTTTACGGGTAAGGGAACCGGGTTGTACTTGCTAGCATAGTATGATATGACGGCTTTGTCTAAGACACTCCAAGCCCTGTAATACGTGATGTAAGTCATCTCGCGATTTACGGGTTATGTAGCGCGAAGACACTTACCAGAGTGCTCCTAAAGCTACTGCCATGATGAAAATCAGACCAAGGGAAATCGTCGATCAATGTGCCAAATGTCGGCTGAGAAGACGGGAGCATAAGTGAGCATCTAGCATTGATGGACGATTCTCCTGAGATCTATAGGATATATAGAGAGGGAAGGACTTATTGGGACTCAATACCGGAATCTTAGGGATGCCTTGGGACTCTCCAACATCTATCTCGGCTTGGAAGCCGGATATTCCGGAATCAATGGGTCATCCTGTACTACCCCCGCGAGCTTGAGGCCGCCGGCGGGACTTTCTTCATGAAACTAGCCAAGCTTACTGCAGATGTGCATGGATCCATTACTGGCCTAGACGATAAGAGTACCAGAAAATTAGCACAGTAAGAGACCAGGGGTTCATGCAACCGCGCACCATCACTGTCATTTTGTCTATCATACTACAGGGGAAGTGAAATAGGTTATTAGACTCGCTTAAGTACCACGGGTGTGACGACTGGGATTCACAGTTGGCGCCAACGGCGGCTCAATTGAACATCTTCACCCTTGACCAACGAATGGGCTCATAGGCGGAAAGCCCTCAACGCCAATCTCCCCGTAGCCCGGGGTTCAACATAGGTGCATATCAAGTAGGTCTAGACCAGTCCATCCTGGGTCGAAGGTGACTATCTAGTACGTCGTTCGCTCAAATCGCTAAAGGGCTAACCATATAGAAAGCACATCAAATCTCTTAGATCAAGAGTAGTTATATGCAATGTTTATGCATAGTGAGACTGCCCTGGCGATTCAAAGATAGCAAACCTAAAGTCCTGATATCTCTATGCGGTCATAGTCAACCCATACACAATCCACCACAGCCGTGCGTGGGAAGCACCAATAGAGCACACTGCTCTAAGATGAAAACTGACTAACAGCCACGCTTCATGGGTATAGTCTTGGGTTACATTATCATTAGCATGTTTGCTATCTTCACCCTCGGCGAGTCCGAGTGATCCCAGCAAGGCCACTCGCGGGGAAGACCCGACGAACCCACCAATGGTCTAGCTGGGGTGTAGTGCATTGGCGTCTTTTCAGCGACATGTTCGGGAGACTGAAGAACTCTCATTTCTGCAAGAGCGATAATACTCTAGGAGGGACGTGATAGGAGGATAACCGCACTCGCATTTAACCGATTGGAAGGGATAATCCGGCTAAATTGCGGTCGGACGGCGGATCTTCCCGAGTTCGCGACCCACAAGCGGCCAGGCCCGATACACACACTTAACCTTGTCCACGTACTTGTAGCCTGCAGAAGTGGTACGTCGGAAAGTGGGTCCCGTACAAGCTTGACTCTTCAGACATTTGCCAAGGGAAGGCAGAGCTGGGGTTATCATTTCTAGATATTATCCCTGACACGATTACTGTATACCCACTCTGGAGACTCTACACTGTTGCCGTATAGGGCTCTATACTATCACGTGATAGGACCTGCGGTAGGACTATATGTAGAGAGAGAGAGAGGGAGAGGAGAAATCTAGAAGAGCTGGTGTGGAAGCAAATTGTTCAGTCTATACTATGTCTGACTCCAGTCATACCAGCTCCACTAAAAGCCCTAAGGAACGGGGAAACGCCGGGACATCCAGACCAAAAGCCTCGGCGGTAGGAGCAATCCTGCGCGGGGAAATTCTATGTGTGGGGTTAGAATACAACGGCAGTCCGGCGGTTGAGCAGGGGCATCTTTGTACTGATAGTCTTGGAGATGCAAGCCACGCGCTCGCTTCGTTTGGGGGTGCAGAAATGGATCGTATCTCGGGCGACCCAGAGGTTTGACAAAGTCCAGGCAGTCTAGACCTCTTACTACATGGATACTTCTCTGTAACCACCCTAGCTTTGGATGACTGCGTAGCATGGCCAACCTATATAAACAGTACATATTGTGGCGTGTAGACACTGACATATAATCGTAACACGCTCTGTACTTCGAGTCTCAACTATCTATTATTTTTTGTTTTAACCATGTCTCCAACACCAGCTCCAATTGCCATCATAGGCGTCGGCTGCAGGCTCCCTGGCGGGGCCAGCAACCTGGACAAGCTATGGAATCTCCTGTCAGAGGGCCGCAGCGGCCAAACAATAATCCCAGCAGACCGCTGGGCTGCCGAGGAGTGGTTTGACGCATATCCGGACGCGAAACAATCCATGGTCACGAAGCACGGGTTCTTCCTGCAAGAGGACATCTCGCAGTTTGATGCCAAGTTCTTCGGTATCTCCAGCACGGAGGCCCACGCCATGGATCCCCAGCAGCGTCTGTTCCTGATGACGACGTATGAGGCATTGGAAGACGCTGCCATTCCGGTGGAGACTTTGCGAGGGTCGAATACTGGGGTGTTTGCGGGTGTATATGAGAAAAGCTATGATAGGATGGGACACAAGGACCTGTCTACCATTAGCAATACGCATATGAACGGGACGAGGGAAGCGAGTAGGTCTTCGAGGCCGATCTAACAGTCATGGTGCTGACACGACAAAAGTCCTCTCGAACAGAATCTCGTACTGTTTTGACCTGAAAGGACCGTGCTTGACCATTGACACTGACTGCGTAAGTGCTATTGCAAGCTATGGAAAGAACCATACTAAAAGCGTATAGTCCGGAAGGCTGGTGGCCCTTCATCAAGCATGCCAGAGTCTCAGGCTAGGCGAGTCAGACCTCGCCTTGGTTGGTGGCTCGCAACTTATTATTGACCCTGACCCTCTCACCATCAGTGAGTTTGTTTCCATCCACTTGAACCCCTCCCCCCTTTACACTTGAAGCGGAGATTTGTGAAAATTCCCCAAATGCTGACTCGACGTAGTGAGCACCATGGGCATGCTGAATCCCGATGGCAAGTCTTATGCCTTCGACTCGCGAGGGGAAGGTTATGGACGCGGTGAGGGCGTGGCCACGATTGTTCTCAAGCGTTTAGACCGCGCACTTGCAGACGGGTAATATATCACAAGAAAAAGCCCCAGAGATGTTTTATATTGACAAGTAAGCAGGGACCGAGTCCACGCCGTTATTGCCAACTCTGGTACAAACCAAGACGGCAAAACTCCCGGCCTCAACACCCCCAGTAGCAACGCTTAGGCTGCTTTGTCTTCCCGTGTATATCGGGAGGCAGGGTTGAACCCTGCCGATACACCGTTTGTCGAGGCTCACGGCACCGTAAGTATCCCGTACGGTGGAATGAGTCCGCGCTGACAGACATCCGAATAGGGAACCCAAGTAGGCGACCGAGAAGAAATTGCATCCATCTCCAAGGTCTTCTGCGAGAGTGGTGCTAGAACAGACGACCTCTACGTTGGGTCCATTAAACCAAACGTCGGGCACCTCGAGGCGTCCTCTGGCATTGCCGGGCTGCTCAAATCTATCCTCGTGCTGAAGCATGGTCACATCCCGCCGAACTTGGAATTTATTAAGCCAAAGCCCTCCTTGAAGCTCTATGAAAGAACTATCAAGGTATACCTGCTGTGCGACTGGTATCAGGTGCTTGAGTTAACATCTCCTAGATTCCGACAGAATTGACGAAGCTACCGATGCCTCGTGATGGTGGGCCGGTGCGGGTGTCTCTCAATTCGTTTGGTTACGGGGGGTCCAATTGCCATGTTATTATCCAGGCTGCTGACTCCGAGAGGAAGCCGAATGGAATCAGAGTCAATGGTACGACGGCCAATGGTACAACGGCCAATGGTACCCACACGGACCAGAGTGACGATATGAATAACGGATTTTCGAACACAAATCAAGTCTCTTTTACCAGCAAAATCACGCCACACTGTCCGGAATTGATTGTTCTCAGTGCGTCGACCGAGAAGGCGTTGTTATCGCGCGCCGAAGATCTTCGTCTGTGGATTAAGATGCACCAGATGACACCACAGACTCTGCACAGCCTATCCTACACGCTCGGAGTCCACAGATCGGCTCTCCCCTACAGGAGAGCCATCGTCGCTTCAACGACGGAGGAGCTGGCGGCTGAGCTCAAAGTACCATCCCCTCAGAAAAGAATCGTGTCGCGGGCACCCATCACGTTCGTCTTCTCCGGACAAGGCGCCCAGTGGCATGCAATGGGCTTGGAGCTCATCCACACCTCGCGCGTGTTCCAACTGTCGATGTCGGCCATGGAAGATACGCTGCGCCGCCAAGGCTGTTCGTGGAGTCTCGTCGAGGAGCTGTCAAAGTGTGCTGAGAATTCCCGTATCGGGGACGCCGAAATCGCGCAGCCTGCTACCACGGCCATTCAAATTGCGCTCGTGGATCTGCTCGAGAGCTTCTCGATCAGACCGAGTCGGGTTGTGGGTCACAGCTCTGGTGAAATTGCTGCCGCTTACGCGGCTGGTGCCCTTAGTCGGGAGAGTGCGATTCTCGTGTAAGTAAAACCCCTATACACGCAGCGGATCCTTGCTAACCGCGAACAGAGCATACCAGCGGGGAGTGTTTTCCGCCAAAGCCAAGCAGATGGCTGATGTCACCGGCGCTATGATGGCCGTCAGTCTTGACGAGACCGAAGCGACGCAGTACCTCAAGAATCTTACCCGTGGGAAGGCCGTCGTGGCATGCGTGAACAGCCCGATGAGCCAGACCCTGTCGGGAGACGAAACCGCCATTGACGATCTCAAGGAAGCACTTGATAAGGATGGTATATTTGCCCGCAAGCTTAGAGTGGACACGGCCTATCACTCCCACCACATGCAGCGTGTTGCCCAGGAATACCAAGAGGCGATCGGCAGTCTTGAGTCCTCCGGAGTAAGAGACAGCGTAGATTTCTACTCGAGTGTCACCGGCGCTGTCAAGTCAACTGGTTTTGATGCCGACTACTGGGCGTCCAACCTGGTGTCGCAAGTCAAGTTCAGCCAGGCGTTGACGCTGCTCCGCAACGAGCAGATGAAGCATGATGCCAACATGGATATGGGTGTATTTGTTGAAATCGGGCCACACTCGGCGCTTGCGGGTCCTTCTCGCCAGACATTCGCCCAGGACGGAGCTAAAGGCTTCAAATTCGAGTACCTCTCTGC